ACAATATCCTATGCTTTTAGCTCCATAAGAATGATCACTGCTCAAGACTTCGATTGAGAACAGCCCTTAATAAGGTTATTAGGTTCGTGCGCATCACATCGATCGATTGTCATAGCCCAATTCCTGAACCAACTTGTGTAACCTACTGTGTAACCCCTACCAAATACATGTTAACATTCCCGCTTTCCACCTTTATCTCGCTTGCAGTTTCCCTTTCAATGCTGAAAATAACCAAGTGATCCACCCCTTGCAATATCTAAGCTGATCGTACGATACCCAAAGTATTAAGTGTTGGATCCAATCTTTCATTTACTACAAAGTCGAAGAACACGTAGACACGGTATTGTGGACGATGCACGTACATGATACATATGGGAACAATATAGCCAAATTGAATAGGGTACATATGGGCGAAACATGGAGTCATTAGGGATAATAGTGTCATCCTATACTTGATTGCTGTCGTCATGATCACCCTTCATCCATGATTGCAAAATAGTGCCGTATGCTTCGGCTCGAGTATTCCAGTATCATCCATAGCTGTGAAACAACTTCCTTTCGTCAAAGATACAAGCCCCTCCTCAATTCCATCCCAACTGTCCTCTTCCTCATCCGTATGCATAGGGTATGATTCATCGCTCCTATTGATGACGCGCCAAGCAACCAAAGCAACATCCCAAGACTTCTCATCACTGCTCTTGATCGCATCCTTCCATCCATAACCATTGTAAACTAAATATTGCGGTTGACATGCTTCCTTTTTCCTATCCAGCTGTTGGTCGGATCCTTTTCTGGTCATTTTCCATCACAGCTCAACCAGCTAAAGGTTACTTGTATTGTGGCATAGTTGATGGCTGATAGCGCATCATCCAAAATAGACATCACGCTCCAAAGGGAACCGAACCAGACAATGTATACACTTCCTTTCATCCCATATACCAAACCAATATTCAGATCCATATCCATATCCACAAGAAGTTGTATGTATTGATGCAAGTTGCTACGCGTAAATAAAGCTACTTCTATGCGCAATGGCTATCTGCTGTTCACGTAAACAAGAGCTGGCGGCAAGTTGCTGCAAGTGAAGAACGCTGTTTGAGACAATGGAGAATTAAGGCCTTGCTAATAGCAACTGCTGGAATGTTCTCGCTGTTACGATTGGTCGTGGTAGAGGAGCGTGTAAGAGCATGCGGTTATGGCTTCAAGAGATCGTGTGTTGTAGATGAGTGACAAGAAGGCTGTGCACACGCCATGGAATTGCCATTCAGCCAAAGGCAATCGGATCAAGACAATATTTTGATTGACATGAGGGGTCGAAGCAGGACAATCGTTCGCATAGTGGTAGTTGTACTTGAATGGGGCAACAGTTGAAAATGTGAGGAAGAGACAAGATGTTGGGAATGGAAGAAGTTGAAATTAAGTGGATTTTCCCAAGTTGGTTGATACTCCTTTATTGAGCGTTGTTCAATCAAATCCGTCAGGATCAAGGAAGTTGAATGATGACGATAAAGGGTTGAGAAGCTATTATAATCAAAAATTACGGTTACCGGATTGGGCAACAAAATGAATGGGAGGATGGGCTGCATGCTGGCATTTTGAATCCACCTTCTTAAATAGTGTACAAGAATCATGCATCGCCTGTACTGAATGACTCAAGTTACACAAACACGCCCTCTTCATCTTTTGCTCTATTATAGTCATACTACTTGACAAATGAACAAAGACTCCTTTTTCATATAGCATCACGCTTACAAACATAAAGGTGCCTGTATCTCCGAACTTTACAATGAAACGTGGGGTCTTTGATAGAACAACGTGCTCGGCTTGGCCAACTGCACCTTGGGTGAAAGTTTCACGATCAAGCTTGCCAATCCCAGATTTTACTGTCGCCATCAGCCAAACTGGAACTGGGGGTCGACCTCTTCGATGACGACGACCAAAAACAGCTTTGGGCTAGTTGCGACATTGAACATGAAACTTTCACACAAGGTGCAGTTGGCCAAGCCGACCACATTGCTCTATTCAAAACCCCACGTTTCATTGTAAAGTTTGGAGTTACAGGCACCTTTATGTTTGTAAGCGTGATGCTATATGAGAAGTGGTCTTTGTTTAATGTAAAGTAGGTGGACCCTGACAGAGCAAAAGATGCAGAGGGTCGTGTTGTGTAACACAGCTACGTTTGCATGAATGAAAGGGTCAATGTATAATTACTTTATGGATCATCTAGGAACAGACATGTATTGCTAGCTAACGGCCACTTTTATCCAACCATCATTGTTGCGAGATCCATTGCATGGGAACGATGCCCCTGCTCTAGACATTCATTTCCATGATTAAAGTAGGTTGATCCGAGCTGATTTGACTGAGCTGCGGTCAAAGAGAGATTACATCACTCTGGACATAAAGCACGCTCGATGTAGCTCAACCGATGTAATCTTGTGTGAGCGTAACTCAACCAAATCAGCTCGGATCAACCTACTTTAATCATGGAAATGAATGTCTAGAGCAGGAGCATCATCCACCTACAATAGAATGCACAAAAGTTGGGAATGCACAACAGTGGCTATTAGCTGCCAATGTATGACATAAAAGTGAGGGTTGCGTATCTTTCATGCATTGTCCCTGAAGTCCTGACTTTTTAGCTGAGTTACCCAAAGAGGTCCTTCTGCATCTTTTGCTCTGTCAGGGTCCACCTACTTTACATTAAACAAAGACCACTTCTCATATAGCATCACGCTTACAAACATAAAGGTGCCTGTATCTCCAAACTTTGCAATGAAACGTGGGTTTTTTATTAGAGCAATGTGCTCGGCTTGGCCAACTGCATCTTGGGTGCAAGTTTCAAGTTCATCGTGGCTAATCCCAGATTTCGCGATGTCGCTACCAGCCAAACTGGATCCGGGGGTCGACCTCTTCGACGACGACCACCAAAAAATATTTTTTTGGGCTGTTTGCGACATTGAACGCGAAACTTTCACACAAGGTGCTGTTGGCCAAGCCGAGCCCATTGCTCTAATAAAAACCCCACGTTTCATTGTAAAGTTTGGAGATACAGGCACCTTTATGTTTGTAAGCGTGATGCTATATGAGAAGTGGTCTTTGTTTAATGTAAAGTAGTATGACTATAATAGAGCAAAAGATGCAGAGGACGTGTTGGTGTAACTTGAGTCATTCAGTACAGGCGATGCATGATTCTTGTACACTATTTAGGAATAGTTCAAAATGCCAGCTAATAACCTAGTCCTCCCCATTCTCCATTGTTTCCCAAGCCAATGCATACGAACGATTGTCTTGCTCCAGCCCAGCATGCCCATCATTGAACTTTCTTGATTCGAGATGTTTGGTCTGAGCAATCCTCAAACAAAGGAACATCATTCAACACCTGCTTAATTTTCACTTCTTCCACTTCCACCTTATTTTCTCTTCCTCCCATTCTCAGCTGTTCACCCCATAATGTCAATCCTACAACTGCCTTGACACGATTGTCTTGGACTGGATGGCAAGTCCATGACCTGTGCGCCTTCTTGTCACTCTTCTACAACACACGTGTTTCTTGACACTACACACTCTCTTGTACACTCTTCTACCACGATCAATCGTAACAGCATTCACTCCAGCAGTTGCCATTAGCAACGTCTTTACTCCATTGTCTCAAGTTACTTGCAGCAACGTGTCTTGCAGCCTTGTTCACGTGAACAGCAGATAGCCATCATATAGAAGCAGCTTTATTTACGTGTATCAACTTGTTTTCAATACATACGAATTCTTATGGATATGGATATTGGTTTGGTACATTGGGTGGAAGGTATTGGCTATATACAACGCGTGGAAAAAGAGCTCTTGCTGTTATGCATCCTTTGTCAACTTGACCTTGATGATGGACGATTGATGCATGCAAATTATTATCGCTACTCCATGGCAGCTACTAGCATCCTCATCATCCTATGACACGTCAAGTCGCCACCAAGCATCAAGTGCCACCGCATGTCTATCCATCCATTTTTACACAATGCACTCCCAAGGATAGAAACTCCCCCCTCATCGATGTATCTCTCGGTTTGGAGGAATTCGTTGTACCTCTCAATCAATCTATCTCTTGTGAATGGTATTGGATTAAAGAATTACTTTAGCAATATGACATTGCGTTGGTCAATCATTTCGCAGCTTCTATCGTGTAAGAGTCGTTCTTTTTGAATTGGACCTCGTCGTATGTGGGCGTGGTATGGATTGTATCGTAGAATGATTATGGCATGACAAATGCAGGATTGTAAAAACGTATAGCCACTTGCAAATGCTGTGATAAAATAAAGAGAGAGCCTGATTGATTCATTGTATCTTGAACAAAGGCTGTAATCGATAGCGTAACACAAGTTCCCTTTTGTTTTGTTATTTAGATCTTCTTGTAAGATGGTTACTTTATTCATACATGACACGTGAGGCTATTGTAAACAATGACAGCGTCTTAAAGGTGATGCTATTTGCATTAGCTAAAGAAGAACAAGCGGATACATAGAGGAGAAAAGGAATGAAAAGTAGCCTCATAATGCATACTCCTCTTTGACGATAGAGCTTCTTTGGTAATACCAGCGATAGGACGATCATGCTACTCTTCTGGATGCCACTTTATGGGATTGTTTGAAGATCCATAGCATAGCACAGGGAATAGAAGAATCAACAGGTTTTGAGTATAACAACATAGTATCACAAGCAGCCGCTAGAACAAGCAACAGAATCCACAAGGACTAAAGCTGCTGCTGATAAGTAACGTAAAAGATGTAATTGAGCCAAAAGTGAATGAGGCAGGCTTGCGGGAATTTCAGCGTATGAATGGAGAAGGTGGATTTATGCAAGTTTGCAGGAGTCAGTGTTACTTTCTTTCTCTCTCTTTCGTGTTTATCGTTTTCCCTTTCAACTTCAACGTAAGCGTCGTTCTTCTCCACCTTTCCACCTTCCAATTGGTTACAATCGCTCACGACATTCGCGTGCCTCATTACAGCAACATGAAATGGACCGATGCTAAGGGGCCCATGGGTGTCAATCGTGACCAAGTCGTACTCGAATGGTTGAAACAGCCAGGCAATTATGAAAGATTTGTAGCCGCTGGTGGTTATGCCAAGCGATTGGGTCGAGCAGACGAGACCAAGCATGACGTTGCAGGGTTGGTGTGCACTTCGTTGCAGAACGCTGGATTCGAGGGTATTAGCGAGCATGCTGTGGCCATCAAGTTGTCTATCATGGTCAAGCGCTTTAAGCGTGCACATGCACTGGCAACAACAGGTGGTAAGTTAGGGATATGGGATCATCATTTATCATTGGCTGATGTTATGTGTGTAGGTCGACGAAAAACAATCTTACGTGCCTTTCCTCACTACTATGAGTTGGTGGATCATATTCGAGATGCGGCTTGCGATGACGAACGTCAAGGTACAGATCTTATTTGCAAAATCCAGAGACACAACATCATCCAAGGCGATCGACTCCGGCATAATCGAATGACCAGGATGGCGGATCATGGAGACAACCTTATAGTCCAAGAAGCTCATCAATCACAATCAACACGTACAACCACAGTGCATCTTCAAAATGGTCCTGAGATGGTTGAATCCTTTCATCATCGTCAGCTTTATCAAATGATGAATCAGTTACTGCAACAACAGCAGCAAATCCTGGACCAACAATCACGCCGAGACCGCCTTCAAGAGCTCGAGTTGCATGTATCATTGATCCAACGCATGACGGAGGCAGGATTCACAAAGGAGGAGATCGGAGAGCAACTTCAAAAGTTCCAACAATAGTCACTTGCTGAATCATTCATCATTACACGCACACACACACACACACCCTTGGCATACATAACAATCAAAAAGGATCAACTACAACTACAACTTGCAGATATATAGTATACTTATTGGATCATGTACCTTATTCCGTATTTCATTGTCGATGTATGCAGCAAATTTAAGGACATTAAAAGTGGTTGGTTCTTGTAATTTCATTATGTTTGCAATGATGCTTATATAAAAATCGACCCATTTCGTCACCTACATCCACCGCCCCTCACTACTCTCATCAATGACGAACTTTTATTTCTACTTTGCCGTCATCATCACCATGCTTTTGGTCTTTCAGCAAGCAACATGTGCCTTGGATCGCGATTTCTGTAAGGCCTACGATAAGGATAAGGCTGCTTGTGAACATGCCGGTTGTCAGATGCGCCCATATGCTCGCTATGGTTTAGTCCGTAAGTATCTCTTTCTTCATAAAACTATGTATGTGTGCTATACATACAAGGACTAACATGCTTTATTTACAGCGATGTATGGTTGCCTCGCCCCACCTCAATCGTAATCTGTTGGCGTTGCCTCTACTGTAGAAGACACTACCTAGTAGTAAGATGGAGACACATTATTCATAAACGTTATCTTAAGTTGCCCCATTATCTATCGTCGATCATGACATTTTGCTGGACTTACAAAGTAGCACTGAGTTGATATCTACATTATGTGCTACTCCTTTATGCATACTCTACACAATGAGTGGGGTCATTGGAAGATGAACTTCTTTGTGTGGTATAGAGCTACCATCATTGTGTCCTTCAACAATGAACCAACAAGCTAGCTTGTTCTTTATTGCCATAGTACACGCACCTTACAATGAACCTTTGTCAAGCTGAGCGAAACGTATATATAACCTAGATTTGTTAAATCCTATTTTACATCATCCCTTGCTCTAACCTGATAGCATTACAACCTATCCCATTACCACGTCTCCCACTACCACTACCACTACAACAACAACACTTTATCATGCGACATCAACTCTTTCAAATGGCCATGTTCGCTATGTCACTCGTCTTTCGTCAAGCTGCAGGTGTGGATCGCCAATATTGCAAAGAATTCGATAATAGGAGCATTGAATGTGAAAAAGCTGGTTGCAAAATGGCTCCTTTTACCAAAGTTGGTGTCATCAAGAGTAAGTACCAGCCAAAGATTCCAGCAATAGCTCACTCACTAATGACGCTTTGCCAAACTCAAATAGCGTTTGTCCCGTGCGTTCCACCTTATTAATGCGTACACTCTCCCACAAATCAAGATTCCGAGATTTTTAGTATTGAGTAGACGTATAGCGTACATTGTTTAAAAATGAATGAAGAAAGTTAAATGACTCAATGCTGTCATTGTTCAACATCGCCATAGAGGGTTACCACGTTAAGCAAATGCCAAGTCATGTGAAAGTGGTGCTGTGATCACATTGGGATGTAGCGTATGCAACGCGCAAACTTTAATGTACGAGGAAATTTATCTTGCGAAGATAACAAGCAACTTGCGTTTCTTTCTTTTTCTTTCTCTCTCCTTTTTTGTATTTCCTTTGGGCTGTGACAACAAAAGATGGCTACGTTTGATATCAATAACCGTGTAGCTGTTGTTACAGGTGCATCTCGTGGTATTGGCAAAGCTGTGTCAAAGGCCTTGGTTGAGCAAGGAGCATGCGTTGTGATTGGTGATTTACTGGACAAAGAAGGTCTACAAACAGTACAAGAGCTCAATAGCAGTCGTAACGAAAAAGTAGCTGCATTCATGCATACCGATGTCACTGTCTACAAGGACGTGATTGCTTTGTTTCGTTTTGCTGAATCCGTTTTCGGTGGTGTGGATGTAAGCAGCACGCTTTACTACTATGCACATACAAAGACCCGCGTGACTCATGCTTCAACCACCAGATTGCATTTCTCAATGCCGGCAAAATTAATGATGCCGATAACCTCTTTCTCCCTCTGGATGGTTTGTTTGTTTGTTTAAGGACAAGATAGTGCTGATGGTGATGGTAACCACGCACACGTCATGGTAGATGATAAGGAGGCCGAATTGCCCAATACCAATTTCCTTGGTATAGTGAAAAGCACCAAAGTTGCTGTGTTGCACTTGGCTAAACGTGGAGGTGGTGTCATTGTCAACATGGCATCGACGGCTGGATTTCAATCATGCATGCAAGTATTTCTTTATATCCCATCAATCAGGCTTACTCATGCAAGGCTATGTGTATAGGCAACAAGCACACTATTTTGCAACCAAACATGCGGTAGTAGGGTGGACTCGTAGTATAAGCAGCATGCTTAAAGAGATATGTAATGTGCGGGTCAATGCTGTGTGTCCAAGCTGGGTCGGTATGTATCATTATCATCTAGGTTGAATGACACTACTTTTTATTGACACAGAGATGCATATGTACTACATAGACACAGAGATGCATAAAATGTATGCCAATGAGGAAGGCCCTAATCCATACAAGATCCTTGTTCAAAACTCCCCTTGTGCCGATATAGAAACAGTGGTCCGTGGCGTGATGACATTGATCCAAGACACAACGATGAATGGTAATAGCATGATTGGGAATGTGTCAAATGGAAGGCTTGCTTATCTATCATTACAACAGCCCAGACGTTATTAACCCTTCCAGGAGATGTTATACGGATCCAGGAACCAATACCACCCTATGGTATGTTGACAGTCAAATCATGTTGATGGATGCATTTACTAAGCATGTAGCATAGAGGAATCAGCGACGCCTGAATATTGTGCTATTGTCGACAAGTACCACGATGCAACGATAGCGTATTACAAGCACCAGCTACAGCAAGCAATGGAGCGTTATAAGCAAATGTAATAAAACATCGATTTATTTTATGCGTGTAGAATCGCTTTTGTATTATTCCATAGTAATTTCATATAGCCGTTGCGTGGATACCTTATGTCTCAAGTACGTAGCCATGGAAATAAAATGCACGTGACAAAAGATGTCAAGAGCGGAATCTCGGAGGAGGTAGCCCGTGGTCCTAAGTTGTGATCGTTTCTATTACTCCATGAGCTTTAAGATCGCAAGCCGGGCTTTTCGCATTGCTACTCGACACTATTCAACTCGATCGACGGCACTTCGGGTTCTTGGCATTGAGACGTCCTGCGATGACACTTCGGCTGCTGTTGTAACGTCCGATCGACGCATTTTATCTGAAGTACGACATGGACAACGAGACATGCACGAACCTATGGGTGGCATTGTGCCGACACTTGCAAGTCTTGGCCATTCACGCAACCTTCCCAATGTTATATGCCAAGCACTCGATGAAGCAGGGTTATCAGTCCATGAATTGGATGGTGTTGCTGTTACTCGTGGTCCTGGGTTGCCACCGTGCCTACCAGTGGGATTGAATGCTGGCAAGACGTTGGCTGCTGTATGTAAGAAACCATTGATTGGTGTGCATCATATGGTAAGAAGTCCCCTTTTATATATCTACAAAGTATCCATTTAACGATTTTGAATTGGGTAGGAAGCACATGCATTGACAGCAAGGTTGACAGAATCCATCGCACCAGCCTTTCCTTTCATGACCCTTCTCATCTCCGGTGGACATACCATTTTATTGACAGCCAACCGCCTTGGAGACTATGAGATCCTTGTTGACACTATGGATAATGCTGTGGGTGAAGCCATCGACAAAACGGCACGTCTCCTTTCGTTACCATGGGAAGGGAGTAGTCCTGGTCCTGCATTAGAACGAGCAGCTGCCCAAGGTGATCCCAATCGATTCCTTCAACGACTACCAACACCACTCTTAAATGACAAGAAATCAACGTTTGCTTTCAGCTTCTCGGGATTAAAGACGGCTGTTGCACGACTTGTGGAAAAAGAAAATGTATCAACGACTCAAGATATCAATGATGTGGCAGCTGCTTTCCAAGCAAGATGTATTGGCCATATTGAACAGAAACTCAAGCTGGCCCTGGATCGAGAAATCACATTCAACAAAAAGCCGTTATCTTCCTTGATTGTGAGTGGTGGTGTAGCAAGCAATCGATATTTCCGTGACAGGTGAGCTAGTAGATGGGGATATTGAAAACGACACGTTTGGCTAAGACATGTTATCTTTCTCCTAGATTACAATCAGTGACAGCCGCGTATGGATTACCTCTCGTTTGTCCACCACCTAAACTATGCACAGACAATGGTGCCATGATTGCATGGGCAGGAATAGAACGCTTACAAGCTGGTCTTGTCGATGACTATACCATCACAGCCTTGCCGAAATGGTCGCTTGAATCGCTCAAAGATGCATTATAATAGAAGATTGATTGTATATTAAACATTTGACATACCACCATTCATTCAACGCACATGATACTTTTGCAACTTTTGCTATTTGTATTTACAAAAAAAAAGGTGGGGGACACTATAGGTTCTCTTTCTATGATAACTTGTGGGAGCTATTCAATGGTTCACGCCGTGGTGGCTTTCTGCTTCTTGTTCTTCTTGTTACGTTCCTTCTTCTTTAGGGAATCCATGTATGCCTTGATCACAGTGGTATACGCATCATGAAATTTATCCAAATCATCCCCAGCAACCTATCATACATACATACATACATCCAATGATTCAGCCATGATGCTCCTTTACACACAGTCGAATTGATCCTTACCACAGTGCTAATCTTCTTATTCTTAAACGACGCACGCACCAGGCATGGATACTGATCGTTGGCAAGTTCAAGGCGTGTTGTCAATCCAGCAGCGTCTTGTTTTGGCATGGTCTTTTTGGCAATATTCACTCGGTTTTCAGTCACTAAAAGAGAGAGAGAGGGAGAGAATAAAAGTGAGTTTGGACATGAACGCCACCATCAGTTCGCTTGACCACGTACTTCGCTTCATCGTGACCGATACAGTTCCTGTTCCCGATTTCCTTGAATCCTCATACAGCTTAGCTAGCTCGGTTGTAAACTAGTGCGATCAAGTTAATAAAGAAACGAGGATCATGGTGTAAAAGACGATGGCGTACTGCATTGGGCTCCATATGCTTCATGTTGGCGGTATGTTGGCGGTTTTCAAACAAGACAAGATGCCCTTTCCAGCAGACATTGATTGTGTGTGATGATGATTTGGACAATTTACTCCGCTCTACACATTCACTCTTTGATAGCCATGTCATCCCTTTTTGCATTTGGACCTTTTCATTATGAGATTCATAAACTGCATTGGTGACAATGATACTTTTAAAGGGGGGCTCTATACTAGCATAATGCCCATCTTGGTACAAAAATTGCGTGTCATTAATATAAAAGTATATACATGAGAAATGAAAGAGATGGCTATGCGTCAATAGGATGCGTGCGTGTGAGGTGAGCGATTGAGTGGCAGCGTGAGTGTGAGTGTGAGAAAGAGAAAGGGCAAAAGGGGGGGAAAACAATATCTAAAACGAAATGGAATCTAGGCAAAGTATTGGGATAAGGTTTCATAGGTAAGGAAGATGATTGCACTTGTAGGCATACTTCGAGCCACTGTCAAACCACAACCACGATAAAAGCCCTTGATACCTCCATTGGCATAAATATCTCGTGTTGTTTCCATGAATGTTCGTGGAGAAGTCATTTTCAAAAGCTCGCCATCCGTTTGCATGTATGATTTGACGACATCCACCGGATAGAATGAGAAGTTGTAACAAGCGCCGCCCAATGCACCAGCCAGCATAAGATCCGTTGCACCCAATTCCTTTTTGCTGGAAAGACCCCGTTTCCGAATAATAGCATCACATGTGTACTCGTATGCACCAAACCAAAAGGCGCCTCCTCCTGCTTCACGTAACAAGGTTGCCAAGTAGCCTCGATAGAATCCAGCCATACCATTTTGCTTGAGCGTGTGACTGATAACATGAAGGGGTCCTGTATAACGAATGGAGCGAGTGGTAGAGGTATCCGCCAACTGAACCTGCAGCTTGCATTTCACCAACTCGACCGGGGTCAATACAAAAGAAGCAAGGGCACCCGATGCTGCACCTGCAAGCACAAGCTGATTCAGGCTCAAGGCTGGTAACTTTTCTTCGGGTGTATGAAGGAGTGTATGTCGTTCTTCTGCTGAGGATGCTGCACAGTACCGGATCAAATGTTGTACTTGACGATATCCCACAAAGAGAGCTGCATTTTCAATCATGGATCCTATCATGGGTGATGACATGCCCTATAGATGGATGATATCAGCCACACATGCATTCGATTCCCATCCTTCCTTCCATACCTTGAATAAACCACGAATGCCTTCTTGCTTCAATGTAACTGTCAAGCAGTGCAAAGGTCCATTGAAATAGGGACGATCCAGTGGCTGTGTTTGCAGTCGAACTTTGACAGTGTCAAATGGATATTCAATCACCTTGCCCACCATACCAGCGATCTGTAATAGACGCTTTTTAATACAATGCGGATCCAGCAACGAGCGCTGATCTTACCGATCCAAACAACAAGTCTTCCATTTGACGGCGCATATTCGATTTAGGCTCGATAAAGACGGCATCGTCGACAGGTTTTATGTTTGCGAGGGGTGAAAGACTACTGTGTTGCTGTGGTGATTCCATATTGATAATAAAAGAAAAGAGAGCGGAATTGTTGTTGTTGTTGTTGAGGTGGAGGTGGTGGTTGAGGTGGTTGAGGTGGGTGAGCAAAGCAACAAGGCGAACAAAAAGCTTTATTTGTGTATCGAGATGAGTCATAAACTAATATCTTCCCCCCACTCTAATTCAAACCCCACACACAAACTGACCACATTGTTTCATATTGCAACCATTATATTTTATATACGTATTTGTAAATGAAGATTGATTTAAACACACTCTGTAATATCCTTGGGGACCCAGTTTTCACTGCCAAAGTCAATAAACAATCGGTCGTCCTTGACGACGAACATGCCCTTGAGTTGCCAAGTGGTAGGACCACGCAAATCCTTGTCGGTCTTGATACGAGCAGCTCTGTATCGCTTTGCAAGCTCCATACGCTCCTTATCCTCAGCAGCTCTATCAGTCTTTGCCCATTCGGCAGTCTCATGAGAGTATTCCTTGATCATATCCTGATAATCTTGGAATTCACCAGAAGAAGGTTTTGCCAAGGAGCCAGCCTTGGGAGTATCCACCTTGAGTTTCTCATCCTTTGTCTTTTTGTTCGCATCACCAGAGATAAAGCTTGGGAGACTGCTCATGGGCACGTATTTGGTTAGTTCATCCACGTTCTTGGTAAAGTGAATCTTGCTGGCAACCACGGGATCCAACAAAGGTGTGATCAATGACCAAACTATATACCCACGTTGTTAACATGATGATGAACGATGACTTCTTCCTCATCCACACCGCCCACCCCCCCCACTATGATCCCTTACCAGTAGAGAAAACCCAAGGTGCCTTGTGAATCAAACATTGACCAAGAGTCTCGGGGTAGTATGCTTCAAAGCATGTTAACAAGAACTTGACAAAGTCGAAATCCTATTGACACACGTACATGAGCCACATTATCTATACACGCATAGAGTCTACACATACCATGTTGGCAAGTGTGAAGCCTTCCATGTTGAATACAATACAAGCGGTTTCCATGGGCTGGTTCACCATGAGACGAGAGCTTTCCATGACAGCCAGCGTCATGAGCTTAATGACCTCGGGATCTTGATCTTCCTTGTGATGGAAACGAACATTGATAAAGCTTCATGGAAATAAAATAAGCCATATTGATCAATATAACCTTTTTTAAATAAAACACTTACCAAATGCCTCGATCACTCTTATCAGGACCACCAAGGTATGCCTTTCCGGAATGAAGGTTCTTGATGAACGATTCACCCATGCCCTTCTTGAGCTTTTCCAATTCATCACGCAAACCAGTTTCACCAAGGGCAATGATATCATCAATGCGCATCACCAATCGCCAGCGAAGAGTGTTGATGAGCATGTTGTAAGCAGCATCGAAATCCCATTTACGAGCACGAAGGTATCGAAGCATGACGGCATCGGGGTTATCAGTACCCACCATACTCCAAAAGCTGCGTTGCAATGCTTCACCAGGGATCAAAGGAATGGCTTTTTCAAGAGGTTGTGACAACCAGTTGGGGTCAGTGGTGGCACCAATGAACAAGTCAGGTTGCTCGGAAGGTTCTTTTTTGCCACGGCTAAAGAAACCACCCTTCTTGGCAGGAGCAGCGTCGACCTTGCGTGGTTCAGCAGGCTTTGAGTTGGGATCACCAGGTTGCTTGAATAATTCAAAAAGACGTCCCCATAACTTTTTAAGCATGGAGGTCTGATCAGGAGTCAAATGATGAAGATGACCTGCAACGAGGGCAGCTTGAACAGCGTCAGTGGATGCGGGAGCCATAGTAGTAGTGTTGTGAAAAAGAAAAAAGAGTGTTGTGCTTTGTAAAGGATGAAGGATGGCCCTGAGTTAACCCTTTATAAAGGGGAACTTTTATGCTCCACAAATACATTTTTATTTCACGGTGTACAAACCTAACGTATTTAGGCGGTTCAAGATGAGGTATGCAGCTTGTCGCCCTGAATAGGCAATGCCCTCCCCAAGCCAGAAAGAAAACACCGCTTGTCAATCCGCTCACTAATCGACGAGCACGGTCCATGCAAAAAGTGCACAGACTACTACTATTACTACTTGTTGTCAACTTGTCAATGGCATAACTTTGGAGGACCCCATTTTCCAAAACATCATCCCACCTTTTGCCTTAAGGTATTGTACTTTGCTATATCAGCTATCAATGGACCAAAGTATACATAGCCATCTCAGGAAGAAGCTCATATGAAATATAATCATGTCCGACTCGAACCCCAAACAAAAAAGGTGACCCACCAAAAAGTCCCCGCCAAAAGGTGGGAATTTCATACGCGACTCAAGCTCTACGATACGCTTTCATGTACTTAGACCATTACGCCAGCCACTACCACCACCACTACCACCACTACTCAACAATTAATCCATCATGCCCCAGCCGCTTCTACTTTATAATTCACATGATGCTAATTCTCCACACCAATCTACTGTTGACTGGAACTTGTTGTTGATCATGTTTGTGCTACAACACTGCTATTCAAAATGGCAGCTTCCACATGTTGGCATGCTGGATCAGCACTATGCAGCGTGCCTTTGGTGACTTTTTTTTTTGTTGTCATCATGATGATGAAGCATGCCAAGATTTCAGATTCAGGATTGGAGTTTGCTGCATGTTGGCTCTTCTCAAAAGAACAATGTTGTGGCGGTGATAATATTAGTAGTGTGGTTGTTGCATTAATAAGGTTCGATTTAACGTAATGCTGTAGACGTTTGTGTTGCCTTGAAGCATATTGTTGTTACCGAAATGGCATGTAGACAATCAAGACGCGTCGCCCAAAAGCATGTGATTTTGACCTTTTCACTCTCATGCAGCGTACATCGCCGTCATCCACCTACTACAACAATAGCAATTCATTCAACCGCTAGTCAACAAGATGATCTCTTTTTGGATACCCCGTGACCTACTCATCTAAAAGGAAAACTTGATGACAATCACTTTTTGTATCATGAAAGGAATTTAATGATAAACGAGTCTAGGATGCGTTGAAAAAGGGACCTACCATCATCCATATCCATCATCATCATCATCATAATACACACTTGTGACGTTGACATGTCATTAAGGTACCAAAGTGGGGGAGCGGGGAAGAATGACTCAACACCATTGCTGAGTTAAGAACATCATCCTGCCAATGTTGTTGTACGATCGAAACAATAGATTTATTTACACATTTTACACGTCGTCGGCGAGCGTATTATGTTACAAGGTGTGTGTGTTGGGGGGGTATGTATGAAATATATATAAAACGAAAATCGCATATACTACGAGGTGTGAAAGGAGGTTTCGGTTTTACAGACGATCTTGCAAGGACGCATTAGAGAGAGTGGGTGAGGGATAATAGCGACTATTCTGTGATACAGAGTAAGAGTTGGTAGAGTTGGTAGTAGTAGTGGTGCACTCACTACCTTTGATATTCATGGACATCATGAGGTCTTCAATACTCCTTGGAGCAGCACGACCTTGATGTTGATAAGCCTCTTGCAATGCCATAAATAGGACGTTGTTTTGTTGTTGCAACTGTTCCACCAAGGACCGCATGTGCTCATTTTGCTGATTTCTTTTAGCACGGTAACGTGCGGATGCTTCTTTGTTCCTTCGACGGCGTTCATCCAATGTATGCTTGCTGTTGATATCGAAAAACGAGGCTGCGGATTTACTTCGTTGACCCAAGACCCCTTCATGTGCTGCTGCAGATGCTGCTGCGGATCCGTTTTCTCGATCTAAACGCTCTGACATGGAACGAGGCGATAACATGCACATAGGCTCACTACTATCATAGACGCTGTTGTTGCTACTACGATGATACGGTGGCTCGGTGCATTGAAATTGATAGGGTTCTTCCTCTTCAAAATCTGGAGGCGTTGGTGTTGTGGTGGTGGTATCTTCTTTGACAAGCGAGGAGATCGACATTGCCTTTCGGCTGTTATTGGCAGTAAAAGTTGACATTGAATTAGATAGGGGGGGGTTATTTTGTAAATGAGACGACTAGAAACAAAGGGACATGTTTTGGGAAATTGTGGTGGGTCGTTCGTTTTATATAACCTCCATGAGCTGCTGCAACAAGGCTTGCCAAGCTTAGGTTGTGTAACAATGCTGAGCCAATACTTGGCTTTTAACCTGCATGCTTGACCTTTTTCTGCAGTGCTGGTGAGAACACTTTCACGCCATCTTGTATCACTCACAAGAGGACGGGAACCGAATACTAATAGTCGCTGCGCCGCACCCACGCCTTTTGTCGATCTTTGGAATCTTCTGCCCTACCCTACCCAGCCTATGTTGCTATTTTCGTAAATGAAGAGTCAAGTGCATACACACCACAACCCACATGCAGCTATGTGTACATGTTGTATTCCTCTTTCTCTCACCTTCTCCTTTCTCTCAAAACAAGAGGTATCTATAGCTTATCCCCGCCCCACCCCCTTTCAGCTTGATTCTTTGTTGAATAGACTTTAAGGCTGAATCAGCATGGTAAAGAACAAGGTACGTGCAACCAAAGGTATCTCGTGAGAGTATGGCGTCATTGTGTAGAGTATGTAACGCATGGATCTGCTGACTTGGTACCCAACAAACACATGGTGAACAACATCAGTCCTCTTGGCGTTGTGATATTCCCTGGTAAGGAAATGTCTACGCAGATATTATTTTTTTCTCAAATCACTTGCCCAAAAGTCATGCATTCTCTGGCATCGTTCCCGCATCACAAACGCTAAAAAAAGACGCACAGAATTGTCTCGTTAGCTTACATTTACCACCACCAGCAGCAGCTCTTTGTTGGCTATTGTTAGCATAAGCCCCCCTTTGTCAAGGCGCAGGCAAATGCTCTATATGTGTGCTTTTGTATCCCTTTCATTCTTTTTGCACGAGGCGCAGTTTTCAATGTTATACTTACTTGTACACCATCCACACTTGTCGATATTAGGATATTCTTTACACCGAATGTACTTAAGAAGCGCTATCATTTTTGATCGGGCACACATCAAATCCCATATAAAGCAATGCCCCCTTCTTTTCTACCATCACGTTGATGTACATGCCTGATGCTTGGTCTTTTTTATCTTGCTGATGTGGTACCAATCTTATTTTTGATGGCATTTCAGATGGGCCACTTCTTTATGTATGCGTGTGGTCCCTTGTTGCTTGCAAGCTGCGTACCCCACTACTGCATTCGTGTGTGTGATCGATTCACCTACTTCTTGCATGATCTTCAATGGGTACAGCTTTCAACAACAGTGACATTGATTTATTATAACAAATCTCATATCTACATGCTCGTTGCAAATGGGGGTGAATGAGGGTATTAATGCAGTGGTTGTGAGGATTATGCATGATCTTTCGGCGGGGTCTCCAATTTCATTCGTTGTTCGTTGCCAACACCCGCTTCCTTCTTGACACAGTTTTCACCATCTCGTCTCACGTTGAATGGAAGCCGACAACACCAATACAAGCAGCGATGCACAGGCCATTGATTCCTCAAGTGCCATCCATTCGCCTAATGGAACAGAGACTACAAAAGCAAACAGCAATGCAACAACCAAACCGACACAACCAACGACGACTACTTTGAATGTACCTGCCGGGAAACCAAGCGCGTCAACAGCCACAACCGCTTCGTCAGGTAGGTTGAAAAGAGGCGTTTATACATACTACTATGAGAAGCTCACTCGCGTATTCGTAAAGTGGCAACCGATGCAGCAGCAGCAGCAGCAGCCGTATCCACAGCCGATATTCGTGCAACACCTATTTCGCATGCACCTCACCCGATATCGCAGGAATCAGGTGTGGCCGTTGAGGAAACAGCTCTTCAAAAGCAAAAGCTGGTCGAGGAATTCCAGTATCTTTTGGAAAAGAGTCAAAGTTTATTTAGTGGTTTAAGGTGAGTAAAGTTGCCTTGGCAACGTACATGTTCCTATTAGGCTAAGCATCACCATCTTCCTATTATTAGAGACTTGCCTCCCACTGGAAGTCATCGTCAATGGAGACCTGTAAGTGTGAGAGAGATTCCCCCATCATCCATGGATCATGTAATCATGCTTTATCACTATTAGTATTTCGAGAAAACATTCGAGGTGTATACCAAGGTAGGGCGTAAATCCAATCATTGCTGATGTATCAACCCATCTAATCTTCGAACCACATCAAGCTTTGGAAGTTCCAACAGACCCACCGGTAAGCAAGGATCAAGACGATGATGATTGGACGCGCCATACTAATGATCATCCATTAGACCAGTCCTGGAGGATAAGAGCAATTATGGGTTGAAGCGATGGGAAGTGGGCGAAATTGCAAGCAAGATTGGACAACTATACTACCATTACTAGTAAGCACGTGATTTTTACGCCTACAAGAATATCGATATCCTAATGAGAGTCGTTGTTTATAGCTTGCGAACGAGTGACACCAGCTATCTTCAAGAAGCGTATGTATTTTATGATGCCATCCATGAACGACAATATTTCAGAGATATCCTTGAAGTCAAAAAGTAAGTTTAGTCTTTTCATTTGCCAAGACAAAATGATGATACTCATACGTCGCCCTTATTTTAGCCCTGCGTTGATGATCAAAAAGATGAGATATTACGCAAGGTTCATTGTTGTCAGCTTACTATTGAATCGAGAAGAGAAGATTCGGATGCTGGTGAGCGAGTTGGAGAATCTCGTGGACGAGTACACCAAAAACTTTAAGCCGCCAGATGCCAAGGAGTGGCAAGTTGTATTGCAGGAGATATCAACATTTATGGAAGCTGAAAAGAAGCCTGCACCCATCAGCGTGGATCGCCTTCCAGTGACAGTGATGCATCGTTTATCGCCCACCATGAGGATTGATCGTGAGTCGATTCCTGGAACGAGGCTAAAGTTGCAAGAGGCTATCCTTGTCGGCAATTCTCAAAAGCAAATCAAGTTTTCAGAGTTGACGTTGGATATGTATCGTATGCTGCAAAGTCTGGAAATGGAACCTACCGGCAATTTCCCATCAGCAACACCAAAGACAACGACCAAAGCAGGTAGTGGTGGAGGTGATCAAGCAGGAGCCACATTGGAAGGGGGTGGTGGTGGTGCCAAAGACGCTGCTGCTGCTGCTGCTGCATCTAAAGAAGAGCCTACGACGACGACTTCTGCCTCTTTAAAGAATACATCAGGAGCGACACCAACACCACCATCAGCAGCTAGTACGCAACAACCTGTCGCAGTGAATACCAACAATGCATTAACGCAGCCAACTACTACCGACAAACCATCATCGAGACGTATCAATCCACACAAGTACTTGCTCTATCGACCTTCGCTTAGTCAACTTTTTGTATACATTGCAACAGCATTTAAAGATACGGCAGAGAACGGTGTCATGCTTCTTTATCTTTCGGCGGATGGATGTGAATACCCGGATGTGCGTGATACTGGTTATAAAGGAGGGGTTGCAGCCAATCATCGCAAAACTCAACCATCCACTGGTGGTAGTGGTGGTGGTGGTGGTGCAGCAGCCATGGCAACGACTACAACCAATCCCGAAAAGTCCGAGGCAACCCCCACCACATCCACAGCTACAGCGAATACGACAACAGCTACTGGAACCAATGCACCCTCCTCATCGGCTACTGCATTATCCGCTTCATCACCAACACATGTCCCTTCTACGCATTGTTTACATCCAGCTGATCTTGTACCCTTTACTCGGAAGCCCCTGTTTCTTATTGTGGATAGCAATAACAGCATTGCATTCAATAATATCCTCAATGTCTTTGGACAGCCGCTCCTGATTCTCATGTCACCAGTGGAATACCCATCCTCGGTTCAAGACCGTAGTGAAATAGGCAGCCTTTTCACTCTATTCCTTCATACACCCCTCCTCGGATTTTGTTTGGTATCCGACATTGGGGATCTCGATACCAATTGGGATGAATGCGTCACTCTTATTACTGATATGGAACAAAAGACCGGTGAATTACTATTAGAGAATCCTGAAGTTGGTAAGTGGTGAATACCACATCGACAACGATGATGATGACTCATAGGAGGGATTGTTGTATGCACTAGATCCACAAATGAAACGATTCATGGCTGATGAGTTTCTATGGACTTTTATTGTACGTTTTACGTTATGCTGCATCATTCTTCGATATCATTCATCCTTCAAAGATGAAAAGGTATAGTATTTTCTATGGGAGGAGGAATGGTATCTTCAATGGGCTAATGATCTCTACATAGACATATCCAACCTCATCACCAGCCTTACCAGAGAGTATTTACAATGCCGAGGAGATCATTGCCATGCTTCATAGGTTGACGTCTGTAGCCAAAGTAGGAACGTATTTCAATTTACCATTTGCCACAGATGATCCCGTAGAGCCTTAGCCCCGAATAAATATGTGTGAACTGTACCTGGGTATGCCGCCCCTTTCATTGGCTACTTTTAATCCAGCCACGCTTGGTGCCTTCTTTTTCTGAACTGTGTTTGACAAAATGAGCGAGCCCACATTAAGAAAGCATAATGCGACTGAATCGTCGGGTGAACAAGCCCATGACCCAACAACAACAACAACAATGACTCATGAAGAGCCACCTCTTAAACGTACAAAGTTGGAACCATCGGATAACCAGCAAGGTGGGATAACTACAATGTGCTTCTCCCATGGTGAGCAGAGCAGTCTTATTAATTCGTGCTAATAGAGTCGACCACTGGACGATCGTCGCTTGAAGATAACAACAACGCTACTACTCCACCCAAGCCATACAACAGCAATGAAGGACCTGGAATGCGCATGTCTGTATCGGCTGTGTTGGCAGGCAATACACGGGATTTGTGGCACCGAGGATCACCTTCCACTGGTTATGCACGTCTTTCGCCTCACAAGACTTTATCACCCACACCACCTCCACCTCCAGCACCTCCAGCAGCAGCAGCAGCTGTTACAAAGGATCCAGTCAATACTACTTCTACTAGTGACAAAAAAGCAGCAGCACCATCATCATCATCATCATCTTCATCATCTTCATCCACTGACAGCAATGCTTCACCCAAGCCCAACTCTGCCAACATCACCAGTGAACAACTCGTTCGTGCTCTTACTTCTTCTCGAGAGGTATTAGAGTCATCATCAGATACGTCATCCACACCCCAAGTATTAGGCAATGCTCTTGCTGCTGTAGCTGCTGCTACGGTCAATCGATCATCCACATCATCTTCATCTTCATCTTCCAACACCGGCTCCTCCTCCACTGCTGCTGCTGCTGCTATTGGCAATTTGGCTGCTAATATCTCTACCATTCTTCATGCTAATGCCAATGATGCGGATCCAGGCAAGTCAAACACACACACACACACACATGATCCCATCCATCTTTACAAGTTCACTTATACATCATCCTTTAGAAAGTGCACGTCGAGCAAGTGGTATCCTCACCAATCCAACAGCATTGACACAAGTACTGGATCAAGCCATTCGGTTGGGAACGCAACAGCAAAAAAGGAAATCGACTCATGATGAGGAAGAGGAAGGAAAAAAGACATCCAAGGGTGAAGAAAACAAGGGGTTTCAACGCATTGTACGTAACGAGAAGGCATGGAAGGCATTGGAAGGATATCAAGAAAAACGCTTAGGTAAGTAATGCCTCCTCTTTGGATCTTTTATGGAGATGAGCTAATGAATGTATGTATGTATGTATGTAGGCTCTTGGTTGTATTCACCCGAGTTATTACTACCCATTGATTCATCCCAATTGAATGGCTTGGTGGAGATATTGGTTCCTGCAAGATACCTTTCATACAACAACCCAAAAGTACAAAAACGAGCTGTTTGGGGCACGGATATCTATACTGATGATTCGGATGTGGTATCAAGTAAGTTCTACAAGGAGAAAGGGTGTACATAGTGATGATGATGATGTCCATCTCAACCGTTAAAGTGATTGTCCATTGTGGAAAATATAGCATGCCATTTATTGAACCTGATCTGGATGTCCATGACCCCGTTTCGATTGCATTGGGTGCTACTTTGGATGAACCTATCAAGTCAAAAAAGACGTCCTATCCTATACCCGACCATGATCTCAAGGTCACTTTGCGTGTGATGCCTGCTTTGAAATGTTACACTGGCACTGTACAACATCATATTGGATCACGGAGCTGGGGAGGCAATCATGATGGACTCAGTTATTGGGTAGAGCATGTTGAAAAGTTAAAGGTTCGTATAGCATTGTATACATGGGGTGAGTGAGTGAGTGAGTGTGACTCTAACCTGATGGGACGATATAGAGAGGCGATGCACAACCGAAAGGAAGACATGGTATCAAAGCCAACATGAATCGTTATGCTTGTGAAAGGTATCGAACCTTGGGATTCCCAATCAAAGAAAAGGAAGAGGAGGAAGAAGAAGAAGAGGATCAAGTCCCTGTTCCCCAAATCAAATCTGCCATGGTACGAAAGAAGAAAAGAACCGTTTCAGCATCACCATCACCACCACCCACGCCCACATCCCAATCTGTTTCATCATCAAGTCATCGACGACGTCCCTTTCGACGAGCAGCTGGCAGGGTAAGTAAGGATGGCACCTTTTTGTACAAAACATGGATGGGCTCACCTATATAAACTTTTAGGCAAGAAATAGGAATAGGGTCTAGTAGCAGTAGTAGGCATCCAATAAAACAAAGTAGTAAAATGGTGGAGAATGTTTAGTAGTAGTGCTTTCAAAACAGAAATGTACAAAATGGATGCAATGCTAAAAATGTAAAAGAGGGACAAAACTAAAGTATGAAATGTGTAGTAAAAAGAGGTGTCAAGTTGAACAGCAAAAAAAAAGTGGCAGGCGGAGGTTATTGAGCATAAATGTGGTTGAAGGACCAAGGAGAGGATGCCGAGTTGGTGTTGTTAGTATTAGCAAAGGAGGATGTTGTGGATGGAGTAGTAGTAGTAAACAAGGGGCGTGGATGTTTTTGATCAGTCTGGGCTAGCCAATCTGATGCAGCCATAAAACTCGGTGGAGGTAAACGATGTTGTTGTTGATGATGACGTAGGTGATTTTGTTGTAGACTATGTACAGAAATGAGAAAAAGTGGGTATACGTATACAGCACATTTACATACCGAGATGCTTGTGCAGCAGCAGCCGTGGCAGCAGCAGCAGCAGCGGACTTGTCATTTTGCGATCGGCCCCAAGATAAACGAATTCTCGAATTGCCAATTTGATAACCATTCATGCACAAGATGGCTGATTCGGCCGAAATTCTGGAAACATATTGAACAAATCCGCAACCTTTTCCAGGTGGGATCTTAGTGTAGACAATATCACCAAATGGCATAAAATACTGTTGTAGCTCATCTTCAGTGATGGGAGCTGAAAGGCCACCCACAAAAACGGTCGTGTTGTGAGGATCCATCAACGTTGTTGTTGTTGTAGGAGGTGTTGAAGGCGAGGAAGGGAACGAGTTGCTACTGCTTCCGCCGCAGCAATGCTTTGGAGTGGCCATAGAGACACGCACGGGCCTACCTCTAATGCAGCAACCCTGCATTTCAACAAGGGCATGTTGATGTTCTGCAGCATCTGAAAAACGCACAAAACCGTATCCTCGGGAAAGTCCTGTACGAGGATCATTCATGATTTTTGCATATTTGCATGAACGATAGCGGGTTGCAAATGCCGACTAGTAGTAGTAGTAGTAATAGGGTGATGATGATGATGATTAGGTCGTTGTCGTCGTCGTCGTTGTCTAGGGTGATCGTTCACTTACCAACAAGGTTGCTTCACTACAATCACCAAGATCACCCACAAAGATGGAATACTCAGGTTGACGATCCTCACTAAGACAACTCGTTGAGTCAATACATAGGCTCGTTCATATGGACTTTTTTTTGTACTACTCACCGCCGGTCAATCAAACCACCACCCGAGGCCCAATTCAACTTGAATGTCTTGCACGTGTTTGGAATGGTTGTACCATGGAATGCACTAAGGGCAGCTGCAGCGCTTGTAGATGATCCAAAATCGACAAATGCATATCCTGCACTAATTCTACCATAGCTTATCATGTTATTATGCAAGTAGGAGGTGGAGTGTGGGGTTGGGGGAGGTTGTGCTGCATAAAGCTTACGAGGTAACCTTGTCGCGAATGATCTTGACAATGACATTCTCACCGAGATTGTACCAGAGCTGCGTTATGAATTGCTCGTCCATCCAAGGTTCGAGATCACCCATCCTATAGAGCGTGTAAGGCACAAGCAATAAATGGGTGACAGTCATAAGGGGCACGTATTTACCATAGAGTTGTCTTTGTATTTTCTGTAGACGCCATAGAGAAGGGCATGGATAACCCAGAACAGGGAGAGGACATGGAAAAGAGAAAAAAAGTGATATGTATGTATGTGTGTGTGTGTAAAATGCAAAAAAGCCGTAATCAAAAGGTGTGATTTGAAACACCCCATGCACACCCAGCAAGCAGCAACAACATCAGAGGCACCTTGTTTCCCTGTTTGTATTCAACCCGGGCGATATTGTAATCATTTGTTTCACTCTTTTCTTTCTCTATCACAAGACTCTTTTTATTACAAAATAGATATCATGAATGCTTTTTACTAAGAAAGGGATGCCAGATGTGGTTGGCCGCATAGCGCCATGCCATCCTTCCATAATGCGAATCGCGTACGTGTAACACCAAAAACCATGCCATCATGTGATTTGCCAGAAAATACAACGAGTGTGCATATTTGATGCCGTACAGAAACGCATACGCTACTACCATACAAAAAAGTCCTCGGGTAGCCCACCGCCACACTCTATTGTGTATTTGTATACGTATTAGCATGGATGTAGGTAGCTTTGCTGATGACATTGCAAATAAATAAAAAAGCTTACCCTTCATGCCGTGGTAACATCTTGCGGTGGCCTGTCAATAATTCCACATATAGAATAAAGGGTGCAATGGCAAATACATTATGGTCTGATGAAAAAGGAACAAACCAATGCACTGACAAATTCCTGATCCACACCACCAGAATGGGTAGGTTGAATGGGAGTAACGTCACAAATAATAATAATAATGATTGCATGTAATGGTATCGATTCACTCGTGACGGCTATGATAACATCATCATCATTCAATAAGCATGTGTTGTTGTTGTTATCTTTGATCACACTTACTGAAGACCAGGACCGCACCAACGACCTTATACAATTGACAGTATGCACCAAAAAGGCAACAACAAATACAAATTGATATGGGATGCAAGTGGCTACGAGGACAAATAAAATAACCGTTGTGATGGCTCGCCTTTGAAATCGCTGTTGCTTTGTCTCCGTGGGATGACTACTCCATGTAAGAACACGCTGGGTTCCAAAAGTACCGGATAACACATAAGCACATAGTAGTAGTAATCGATCGACGACCACCCATATAAAACAAACAGTGCCACTGCTCACGACCAAGCCAGCCAAGGGTAGCCACCAAAAGAATGGATCCGTATTGCCATCAAGCACATGCTCCCAAGGAATATCAAGTCCAAAGTCATGCCCATCGTAAATTGAACATTGGTAAATGCTGCATAATCCCACTGCTAACATGATCACAGGCAAGATGCGTCGAATATAAAAACTGAGTCCTTGTCCAAAATGTGGAAAGATGCCTAAAGAGGGGGAAACGATAATGAGAACAGGGATCTTTTGTGTGCATAGAGGCGAAGGGTTACCTGTGCGATTGTAGCATTCAATTTGTCCCGCCAGCACAAGAATGACAATAATGAACGTAAAAGAAGCCAACATAATGCCGTTTCTAAATCCAAGCCGACCTGCACTTCCATACCAATCAATGGCAATATCCACATGGATGGGTTCTTGACAAGTGGTTGGATCCATCCACATTTGCAATAAGAATCCTTGATGGTCCACATCGGCTGTGCTGATGGTCATGGATGAAAAGGCGGTTCGGCCATGGAGTGTAAAATCAGTGGGGCCATTGCCAACATTGACATAAAATTTGGATTCATGCATGGTCGAAATGGATTGGCGGAGAAAGGGGGCAAAAAGACCAAGATCATTGCATTGGCGTGTCAACGTGAGATGATAAGCAAGCATGGGATTTTCAATCGCTGGGATATGGATTCTTGTAAAGAGAGATGCATTCACTTTTACATGGGCGCCTAGCATGGCGATGGATGACATGGACTGATCCACTCGATAGGCATTCTCAGTGGTGCTGAAAGGTTCGGCAATAAGAAAGCCATCCGAATCACCATTATCAGCAATACCAATCCATCCATGTCCATCCATTTGACCAAATTCAATACTGGCAAAGCTGAACGTGTTTCCTGAAAATGGATACCGGTCGTGTGGTGTAGATGCAGGTACAGGGGCAACGAGCGTATCAGCACTCTTACAAGCAACGCCACCACTATGTCCATCATGTCGGTTGCATAAATACAATGAAAAGCGACCTCTTGCTTCATCCAATGCCTGATCCGTCAAGATAGCAAATGCATCATTGTTGCTTCCAAATGCAGGTAAAAGTGTCACGTGATTGCCTTTGATGGATCGTTCCCCTTGTATCACGAGTCGTTCGTCAATATCCAAATAGCTGACATGATCAAAATACATCAATGAACCTAAAAGCCAAGTAAGATTAGTCTATATATATATAAAGACACACAACACACGCTTACCCAATGATATAGGTTCCGAGCCACGATCCTCTAACCCACTTAAAAACGCTCGTTTCATGATGCTCATGCGCTCAGACACCGATTTGACTTGCGAGGATCTTCTTGCATCCACAATATCCAGCATGGCCTTCACCAAGACGTGTACAAGCTGCTTACACGATAAGATTTCCAAATGATCCATGCCGGTCCATACGCGTGGGATTGCCGTAGTGAAGACTGTAAAGCCATGAGTTGCAGGTAAAAAGGCGCCCACATTGGCTGAATCGGAACATACGGTGTTATCCAGTGTACCACCAGCAATGGATATCATGGTCACATCCCGGAGGGATCGGGCCGTGGTGGTATCATCGCCTCGGAGATTGTAGCCGTCGATCCAAAATTGATGCATATCGTCGTAGATCTTTGATATCTTCCAATCGAATGGTGCGGGAGGTAATACATGCGGCGTTGAAAGTGTGATGATGGTGTTGATCGTACCAGGTTGATAATTGTTGAGCATGAACATCGTTTTGGCGACGACACCACCCATGGAGTGACCAATGATCATGACAGATGCAGGATCAGGATACTTGTCGGACTTGTATATCTTGAGAATGTAATCAATCGCATCATTCAAATACTCGGCTTGTTCTAATAACGATTGCCCATGGAGTGCTGAGAATTCCTCATGAAAATCCACTAAAAGGAGGAGGAGGAGGAGCGTTGGTTGATTGGAAACCGTTGCCATGGATACCATTGCCTTACCTGTAAAAAAGTCGAGATTACGCATGCCTTGTTCATGGATCTCAGGATGTTGTGCATACAATTGATAATAGTGGAAGGCGGCTTCTGCAGCAATGGCTCTGACTTGTTTATAACTTCCAGCATGACCAGGGACGAATAGAACGGGGACACCTGATGGCTATATGCAACATGTTGATATATATATAAAAGGTAAGCATGTTTATACCATGTTTTACCTGATCCGAAAGATCGACATCCTTTTCGCGATAAAGATACAGCGCATATTTGCCAGCAAAGCGCGTCATTTCGCTATCAAATCCAGTTTGTCGAATATAGGTTGGACGCATGTATATTTCTTGACAGCCGCTCACGTCTCGTTGATGGTTGGTGAATGAATCTAGGATGATGGCGAGGGAGGCAAAGGACACAAGAACCAGCATGGAAATAATGAAACGGGTATTGCTAGTAAATCTATAAGACGATGCGAGTATGCGAGGTCTGGCTCGAGTGTTGGGTGAAGATGGCGGTGAGGGTGATGTCGCTGGTGACGAATTTCGACTGTGAACATGAGAGTCCATGGGTGAACGATCAACATAAAGGCATGGTGCAGTTACAGTGTTGCTTTCTCGATTCGAATGTAACGGCTCATCGTCTGCTGCTGCTGGACCATGACAAGTAGTGGGCGACGACGGCGACGACGACGCATCCATGAGTGGAAATGTGTTTTGTTGGCGATGATTGGGCTGAGAAGCCTCGTCCCGCTTGTTCTTTATATGCGTTTGGACGAGAATAAATAGGTAAAATCAAGCGTCCTGTTGACAGCGTCGCAGGACATGCGAAAATAAAAAAGTGTAAATCGAGAATAGGAAAGACAAAAACTCCATTTATCTGACCTCTCTGGATATTATGGGCCGCATTATCCATCCAATCATTTTTGCGCGGTGCATTGTTTAACCCTCAAGAGCCTTCTTATTTACCATTCAAACACCCATCCCTTTAACTCGGATTTGTGCTTCGCTTGGCTGGGCTTAGCTTTACACTTGGCTGGGCTTGGCATGGGGATTTTGACTTTTGGCCGTGATACTATTACGATTGATGACGTTTGGGTGCTACTGATCTGGTTGCTATGGTAGCATTTCATCCCTCACTTTCATATGCTTCTAAGCATACACATTGCGGAGTTCCTTCTTGCAAGGCATCATTGCACTATGTACCACTCTTTTGATTCACCGTGATCCAGCAGCAGTCTCCTCTTCATCCTCTTGTATACATGTTTGTCTTGGAATAAAACAACATCACTCATTTACGTATTTGAAAATCATTCATTCTTCATTCTTTGATTACGAATAAGGAGATACAATGTGGTGTCAAGCATTATATGTAAAAAGGATAAAGCTCATGCACGCGTTTCTTCGAGCACACGATCAAGATTAAAAGCAGCTGTACGTAAAGTCTATTAATAACAAGAATGATGATGATGGAGTTCTTTTCATGACTCACCGCTGATAAATGATAGATGAGAAAATGCCTGGGGCGTGTTGCCAAGCATTTCCCCTGATCGTGCAATCTCCTCTGAGAAAAGACCAACATGGTTGCTATACGACACCATCTCTTCAAACATGACAATAGCACGACGTAAAAGCCTTCGATCATACATGCCTGCTCTTGCAAGTGCCTCCACAAGCCAAAAGGTGCACATTGAAAATGCACCTTCTAGGCCACCCACCCCATCATCTGTGGTAAGGAAGTTGTATCGGAAAACAAGATTGTTGGCCGTGAGACCGCCTACGAATACATATTAGGACTTGATCCATATAAAGTATACATAGCACAAATTCACCTTTCTCTGGCGGCAAAAGGATGTGTCTAATGGTTGACAACATGCGAGGGTCATTGGGCGCCACGAAAAATACAAGAGGCATAATGAGCACACTTGAATCCAATGCGTCGGGTGATTCAATGCTTTGCGTAAATATCTCCAGCTTTGGATTCCAGCATTGGGTCATGATCTCCTCGTAAATGATATCACGTGTTTTGAGCCAACGGTCTCGTTCAAGGCATGGGAACATGCGTTTTTCAGACAATCGAATGCCTATTTTACCGCCATTTGATGAGCATACTATTGCAAGGATTCACCCTTCTACTCACCTCTATCAATGGCAACCCAACACATGACGCGTGAATAGGTGAAATTTTGTGTCTTTCCTCGGACCTCCCTGCAAAGGACAACAAGTAAGTATATACGTGTCCTTTTATGCATGCCTGATGAGGGGACCTTACCATATAGACATGTCCGGACGATCATAGTTATCGCACACATAATTCACCAAGTTGCGTACAGAGCACCAAATATCATAAGAAACGGGTCGGCCGTACTTGTTGAACAAATAAATGCCATCAAGCAGTTCACCATAGATATCCAATTGCAAGTGGTCAAATGCACCGTTACCTACGCGTACAGGACGTGATCCATGATATCCATCGAGATGATGAAGCTCTTTTTCTTCAAGATACTTTTCGCCATCAATACTAAAATACGTTGTATTAATAAAAGAGTGGTTGCATCATCATTGGAATCCCGTTTACCTATACATGATATTCAATGACCCATCCGGATTCTACATACAACATTCGAATTGCATCATGTTAGCATGGTCGATAGATGTGGGTTGATGGCAGGCCTATTACCAAATCCTTGCACCTGTCAGCTATGTAATTCATGTACTTTTCGGCTTCCTCAGTGAGACCCAGTCGCAAAAATGCATAAATGGTAAAAGATGCATCTCGTATCCATACAAATCGATAATCCCAATTACGCGAACCACCAATGGCTATCAATAACATTTAAGTAGAATGGTCTATGTTTCAAGGCATGAGACTTTTTACGTACCTTCAGGAAGACTGAATGTGGGTGCAGCGACTACCGCTCCTGTCTACATCATGTTATTAAAAGATCATCGATTAAAAATGAAAACCCCTACCGGTTCATAGGTCAACATCTTGAGAGTGAGAGCACTTCGCATGACATGTTCTCTCCAACGTCCACGATAGCTACTGCCACTGATCCATTTTTGCCAATAGTTGGCTGTTTGGCGAAAGAGGGCATCAATCAAGCTGACAGTAAGGGGTGGATCTTGGGCAACACGTTCTTTGGCTGCAATGTAGGTCTCATTTTCGGGAACCTTTCGACAAGGTGGTTCTTGTCTTAGCACAAAAGTAACTTGTTGTGTCTCTTGAAGTTGAAATTCACCCTTGATACCAGGGCCTGTGAGCTCAGGATCGTCGTCTTTGCGAATGTGGATAAGGGGACATTCATAATCACCGCATTTTGTGAGGTAACGAAAATCCATGGTCAAGTTTTTAGAGCGAAAGACAAAACGTTCAGCACCCACATAGTAGGGGATCTCATCTTCTGGATACAATCGTAATGCTTCCTCTTCATGGGCGCTCCGCTTTTCAATGTCAGTGGTGTGCTTATCCATGGCATAATTGAAAGCTGGATACAACTCGAGATCAAAAGAAACGGTACCACGAATCACTTCGACCGTGCGAATGATCCATGGCAATAAGGGTTTGGTAGAAGTACGCTGAGATGTCTCTGGTAAATGCATGTAATCAGTTATTTGAGCCACGCCATCATCCGAAAGAAACCGCGTGGTGAGAATGTTGCCATTAGGAAGATATTGTTGCTTGTTGCTGGTATGCGTTTTGGGCCGCAGCGAAAAATGACCACCTTTGTTCTTGTCTAAAAGCCGGCAAAAGATCGAAGGGCTGTCGAATTTCGGGTAACAGCAAAAATCAATCGAGCCATCGGTGCCGCACAATGCCACTGTACGCATATTGCCAATCATGCCATAATTCTCGATAGGTAGGTAGCCACGACTTCGCACATTGCCTCGTGTGGCTTCGGTATCCGTATTGTGTGTTTGGGTAGGGTTGATGGATTGTCGTCGTGTATCAGCCACATAGCGAACACCTTCAGGGAGTTGCTTGGCTGGCTCACGTTGTGCAGCAATTTCTGTGTCTAATTGAAGACAATAGGACTGATCACGTTCTCTATCCTCCATGATTCATAGATAAGAAAAAGTACGTGAACAAAAAACAAGTATAATAGATTTCAGGCTGGGATGCAATGAACAAAATCCCTTGTCGACATGCACCCAACCACCCCTACAAGTGAAGGGTTTTTTGGGTTCACGATCTTTGGACGACAATGACCCCACATTGTTGTTTCATATGGTTGGTGGCGAATAGATGGCTTGGAGCCATCATCACAGACATGTGTTTAGAGCATGGCAAAAGATAGCGTAATTAGCCACTTGCAAACATCGACAATGAGCAATGACACTGGGTCGTGATCACGTGCATCAATGAACCCTCTGCACAAGACAATGGCACAACGAATAATCCAAAGGCATTCATAGGCATCGATAGCTTTGATCATGACATACGTAAGGAGCCCAAGCTTCCCCTATTATCGGGGTGATTTGTGTTTGACCGAGATAGCAAACATTAGATGTTAGCTGCTGTGAATAAACTACTCCATGTTCCTTCCGCTTTCTTGGGGAAGCAAACAAATGCATACGATGTACGAGGATATTATTTGATATAAGCATTCAATATAGGAAAGAAAACGATGGCCTCCTCTTATTACTCTTTTCCCACTTTTTTAAACAAATGGAATCGTGGATGCATAATCGTGGAGGCCAAAATTATGGCCTCGAAGAACAACAACATGGAGGATCCAATCTTCAAAGTCCACAGCCAGTGCGACCCACCACGCATGAAGATGCTAACGGAAAACTTGCCGTATCCAGCTCCACCCCACCACTACACACATTCCCATCACATCACAGCGTTGCCAGCTCATTCCACCTTCCCGCAGAGTATCTCAACATGACACGTGCAGCATCGCCAGCTGTGCTTGCACAAGGTGATCGTCGACCACTGAGCATGGGAAATCCTGGTGTACTTGGTATGTACATAAACATCATCATTTGGGTGGTGGGCTCAATGGTATTGGTATGATAATAGGTCTCTGGTCTTTTGCAACGGTGACCATTTTACTTGGCGTCTATAATCTCTTTTTACCACACAAGTCGAATCATATCATTTATCCCACAGCTATGCTTTTTGGTGGCCTTGCACAATATATCGCTGGGTAAAGGTGTACACTATAGCTTTTTATTTGAGTCATCTCATCATTCATGCATGCATAGCTTTATGGATTTATTCTATGGTGGTACATTTTCTGGTACCATCTTGGTATCCTATGGTGCGTTTTGGGCAGGGAGTGGCATGATGATGTTACCCACGGTTGAACCACTGCTTGAAGTTTACCAAACGGAATGGGATCTTGCACAAGCCAACGCCATTTATCATTTCATGTGGGCATTCTATACACTGATGCTTATGTGTATATCACTCAAAATCAGAAACGGCACGTTTACTCTCACGTGGTGTTTGTTTTGGGTGTTTATTACCCTGTTTTTGACAGCTATTTACTACGTGACTAATGTCCAACCCGTATTACGTGTGTCAGGTAAGAGCAAGGTAGTAGTGGTAGTGCATCATCCAGCCATACTGAACCTGAACATTATAGGTGTTACAGCCTTTTTAGCAGCGATAGGTGCCTATTACATGGGCTGTGCTGCCGTCTTTGAGGAACAAAAGAGCAAGTGGTGGGTCGGAAAATACAAATGGTGCAAGCGATCATAGATGTATTCCATTATTACTTTATGCATTATAAACTATTCCCTAAATTACAAAGGCACATGTACGTAGTATGCATCGCAAAGCTTTATTTCATGCATTGATGTCATATAAACCTTCTATCTACCATCAATGAAGTTTACTATAACCCCGCCTTCGTTACTTTGGTGAATGATGCTTTGCAATCCACCGTTGAGCCATTACTTGAAGTCTAAACACAAGAATGGGGTCATGTATAAAGCAATGCAATTGATCATTTCATCATATGGGGGTGTGTTGTGTACATTGGTGTTCATGCGTGGTATCGCACAAGATCAGAAATGGGCATTGTTACATATTGCGGAAGCTGAACACAAAACCTTTTCCTTGCTTCTTCTGCTCACTTACACGACACCCAAAAATGGAGACGCGCTCTGGTATCCCTCTAGGCACCAAACCACAAGGCAATCACCCTGTCTCATGGAATGACGACGAACAAATTCTCGTATGCCTCCCTACTATTGTGCAGATCTTGGTAATGTCCAAAGTTGATTCCTGCATGCCCAATGACAGCACTCAACCTTACCGCTTTGCTTTCGCTCAAAAGGTTCCTTCTCTTATTGATATCACGCAAGACGAAGATCCTTATCTACGTATTGGTGTTCGACCACTGAAAGACATCCCGTGCACACCATATAATGATACAGAAGGTACACAGTGGGAAACGTCGTTGTTGAATACCAGCATTAAAGACAATGTAGTACACAGCCCTTCCGCACAAAGCACACGCCTCATAGCTGAACAATATCGATCAGCGACATGGTCATCGACAGGACTTACTAGCTCGGGCGGGTAAGACGTTCATTTGGATTGGATGGGCCTGTTTGTAAATGACACCTTTTTTCTTCATAGATGTATCTTGACAGCTGTGACCACAAAGCACCGTGTGATCCATTACACTCCCTCGAAAAACGAAAGATCAACATCAACTGCACCTTGGATACCGGTAATATTCATATCATGGCAACGATCTTGAATGATCCTCTCATCATGTATTGAAAATTAGATGATCGATATGACTGACAACATTGCACAATCGATCCTTGGACACAATACACGCCGCTTTCGTACAATTGAACAAGTAAATTCATTTCACACATTGGGTACGTAGCACATTTAGTCGAAGGATATGGCCCTTACGACATCATTGACCACACATCTATAGCTGCTAAATGGTCTCCCACGCTGGCTTTTGACCCGATCATGCAACCATTGGCCATCCTTGGACTCGCCAACAAGCGCGGAGAAATATCTTTATGGAGGTAAAAGGGAAAACAATTCTATATCATTGCTGTGACGCATTAACTCTATAGTGATCCCTAGCTATTCTTCAACCAAAGGATTCGAACATCAGGCTACGATCCAACCGCACGATAGTTTTACAACTGAATTGGAATGGACAGCATGGAGACAACACGATGGCAAATGTAAGATTTTTTTGGGGGGCGGCAGGCTTCTTGGTATAGTCTCTATTGGAGATTAACATCAACCAAGTTATATCCTATATCATCTCATCTAGCGGTACGGGTGCAGCTACCATATCTTCAGTGACGATTGAACTTGGAAGCGATGAACAATTGGGGGCAACTATATTGGTATCCATGGACGCCACAGTACAAGAGACCTGGTTTCAAGAGGATCACGCAATAATTGACAACATTTCACTGTGTCAGGATCCTGTAAGGAGGATGAGTTATATCAGCAAGGCTGGCAAAATGAGCTCACGTCCTTTTTCGTGTCCTAGGCACATGATCATCGAGTCAAGGTCGCATTGTTCAAAAACACGCGTGTTCTTATTGGGGAAATGGACTTTGATAATACACCATTGGAGCCGTCGTGGAAGGAGTATTGGTTACAGGATTCGGTTACAGGCGTAGTTGGTGAGTATTAGCGAATAATCCCATGCTCTATATATCGTCTTACAATTTACACATAGGGACTAGCTGGTCTGAAGATGGCAAACGAATCCGGATATACACGTCTGAAGGTCAAGGCTTAGTCCTTACTGTAGAAGAAGGCCATGTGGAGCTAGACGTTGCCGCTACGGCTGATATCAACACGAATCTCGTCACCAAGATTATGCAGCAATGGGATGAGGAACAAGCGAGCATGGATCAAGAGCAAATATCGACAGCCAATAACGCAAGACCTGTGCTTCATGGTACCAGCATTTCTCCAATCGGCCTGTATACCGTTTATCTTTTTGGGTAGGGTATTGGCCAGCTGTAGTAGGATACTATACGTCAAGGAGAATAACATCATACCCCTTTTACTAGTTTTCAAGAAGACGTTGATGGCGCATACTATGATTCCGATGTTAATGAGGTCTGGGCTGCGTTTATGGCGCATCAGCGACAAAACGACGACTCTTGTAAGGCCTATCTTTTGGACAAGCTAAGGACACAACTATCCAATCCATACTTTTGTATGTTATATCCACCCCACCGAACTTTATCATTGATGTTCTTATACGACCCATGTTATAGTCTTCACGTGCCCTTTCAAGAGTATTCTTCATGAACCGCTCGAGTACTTGACTCAAGATGATGAGGAGGAAGAGAACAATGGCATTGCCAAGTGGTTGAAAACCATGGAAACTATGATAACGGATGGCGCAGCGCAAAGGTAATAATTCAGCTATCGATTAGAGGATCAGCAAAGAGCATGCTTTGACCTTCTTCTTTTTAGTACCCAATCATTCAAACAGCACTTGTATTGCGATTCACGTGCTACAGCAGCAAGGGCATTGATACGCACAGGAATTGAGCTCAAGGTAACGCACACACACACAAAGGGATTGTTGGAGCAACAGGGATTAACCTCATGTCCTTTGTAAAGCGATACAAGCTCATAGAGAGTACACAATTCACGCTTCAATCTCTCGAGGACATGGCGCACATGTATCTGGCCGTTCATTTTGCGGATGTTTGCTTGAATTACATTCTTACGCTTCCGGATGATGCACTTGAGAATGCTGCAGGTAAGCAATGCTGGGTGTTGTTCAATACAAAGATTAACCATTTTAAAATGTAGAGAGGGATTTGGCGGTTGTGCTCCTTTTGTGCGATAGGGTACTTGACCAACCTGTTACTTTTGATTTTGCCGTCAATACGGTGATCAAAGTCTGCACGAAGCTATCATCTTGTCAATCAGCACAAAGTGAATCCTTTGCGGAAGAGGTCTCACGAGCCAAGCAGCATCTTGAAAAACAAGAACCAGTACCCAAAATACCTCGTGAAAAGTGTCCAGCATGCCCAAACCTACTCTCCACAGTGGATAACAGGTTACTGATTTGCAGCTCAAGCCATACATGGGGTAAGTTACTTTTTACTATGGCATGTTACCTTTCGTATATTTACTTTTGTTTTTGTCTTCAGAATCTTGTAGTATCACAGGCAAAGCTTTGGCCACCCTTGACACACAACTATGCGTACATTGCGGCGCTAAAAGTATGAAATCAACAGGCTGTAAACTTGCAGACACTATCCTATCCCAGTGTGTGAAATGTATTATATGTGGATCGAACCTTTCAGCTAGCTAGTGTCGATAACACACATTAAAAAGTAATATCGTTGTCGTTGCCTAAAATGTATGGATTATGCAGCTTCTTTTTCCACCACGTGATTTACAGCATATGCCGCACACATGTGATCACACCTGGCATGTTCTTAGTATCCTATGCCTTGCAGAAATCACGATCCAAGACATATTTTGCTTGCTGAAAACACAAAAGGATGCATCGTAAAATGAAGATGATTCATCATGGACGCGAAGCAATGATCATCTTCGAAGGTTAGCGTATAGGGGTGGTGGATGGTGGGTGTAGTTGGCAACATGGTTCGATTTTTATATAAAGCGTCTTGTCGACAACGTAGTGAAAGTCACTTTTATTAATGCATCTATGTAATCTCGGTGCATATCTCAACAATGAGTATGGGCACTTTGTTAGAGGCTGCAATGATATCATATACATTGATGGTTCATCTTCTTGTTTGTTACATGTAATGGGGGAAATACATGAGTACATGAATAAGCGACTTGATTGATCGATCGTTGTGCCTTTAAGATTGTCATGTGCATTTGATCGGTGAAAATGACATTACTTTTCAGGACGGTATGGATCTTGCAAAGAGCTATTTATACAGAGGTGAACAAAGCGTGTAGAATGCCATCTTTGTTATCGTTCTTACTTATCAGCTTGAAGATTGGATTATCTTGGTCGCTTGGACAGATAGTCAAAGCTTATATATAATACCGGGAAAGGCGTTAAATCACCACGACCCTTTGAGTGGCGGTGGTTCCCTTTCTGCCACCATCGGAAATGCACCATGCCGATTACAGCACTCAAGGTAGACCATGACACCGAGGATGCATCATGGGAGATAGCTATATCGAAAGTAATAATGTAGCGTGTATGAGTAGTGTGACACATGAAGCAACATGACCTGGCCTTACCTCGTTACAAGAATACAATATCACAATGACGGCTACAATACAAAGAAGTACTACGAAAGAACACAAGGATCAGAGCTTCTTCACAAAGTTTGCAAGAAATGGGACACACACAAACCTTGGAAATTTGACCTTGTAAGCAATCAATGAAGTACGTATGGCAGAGGAAAGAGAGGTGTGGGAGTATGATGGGCGGCGACAACATCCTTTTATTGTACGTGGTCGGCGTGGGCACTTGTGCTTGTTGGGGATGATGCATTGATAAATTGATGCATGAGCTGATAAAGTGCTTGGGCGCAATGTTGTCGATGCATACATTGGCCAAATTAGGGCAGGTGATACAAATTCGTAAACTGTCAGCTAGCAGCCCATTCCCGTTTTGCTCCAGCCCATCATTCCCATCATTTAACTTTCATGATTCGAGCTAACCTTGGTAGTAAGGTAATGGCTGTTGTTGGATCATCGTTATCATGTAAAGTGTCAAATGGCACGCACCCTTTTGCTATACGTGAGGATCATTTATTTTATTTACGCGTGCCTATTGTCTATCGTGAGGGTGCTAATGATGATGGGCGAGTTGTGTGTTTGGGTGGATGGTGTGTATAGGGTAATTGAGTGGCCTCAGTGTAATAGCAGTAGAGAATTTAAACTTGGGGACGGTAGCTCCACGACTTGAGACAACGTTTTCTCTTCTCTTTTCTCCCTCCTCTGCTTTTACCCCATTCTCGACATTCCAATCAAGGTAATGTATTATAAAAGAGTGCCCTTGTTGGCTGTGAGGTATTAATATAGTTCTGAACATGCATTGTCAGGGAGAGTGAGTGTGTCCAAGTGCTGAGGAATGAGCGTGGTTGGTGGTTGGTGGTTGCCATGGCGATATTGTTGCTTCCTTTTGCTCGTTGCTATTCCCGCTCTACACTTGGCCCAATGTTGCAGTGAATTGGTTCCATTGACGCGTCAGCTTGTATAGAGGGCAAGTTTGGTTTCAAGACGTTGGCTGGTTTGCGCTTGGTTTCGGTGCAACTACACTACTACACCATGGTTTTCGGTTTCCAGTAACCAACAACAAAGGGTCTTTGTGTATATGGAAAAGGCAAATACAATGAAAAGGGTGTTTATTGTATGTGTGTGCTAATAATGAATTGAATAGGTTTCTTTGGTCAGGCAATGCAACTTGGGGGCATCATCATCATCTCTTTGGGTTCAAGTCCCAGCCTGTATCAAGTGGCCGCTGCGTCGCTCTGCACTAGCCAAGTGTGCTGGAAAAGCTTCTTGGAACGCTTCCAGTGCTCTACAGGCCTGCGTTGAGTTGATGGGTCGATGACGATGGGTTTTTGGAAGAGCATGGTCACCGTGTTGAGGTAAAAGGGGATTTGCTACAGCTTGACATCAGTGCCAACCAACACGCTCTTCTCGTGATAGGCTCGTTCTTTCCCTTGAGGATTTCTTTTCATGAGGTGGGAAATGATTGGAAGGATTGGGGATCATTCTTTCTTTGGAGACGATGAATGAGGACACCTATGAGCCTGGACTCTACGAAAGTGATGTCCTTCCTTGCCATGGATCGAACTGGCCTTGCGTGATTCGTGCAGTGCTTTCTCAAGAACAAGGGATCGCCCGACGTTGCTCGTATGGTGGGTGATTTGGTTTGTGAATTCCTTCTGATTTGCTTTCTTCCTTAGAGAGGATCGCCTAACGGTATACCAAATCGTCATCATTCCCGGTATCAGAGGGTCTAATTTGGCTGCTTTCTTATTTGTAGAGACGACGATTACGATGATTACCACATTCACCACAATGACGTTACGATGATCACCCACCCCATCTACAACAATGACAATGATGATGACTACGAGATTCAAAAGGGAGCCTGCAAGATCCCATTCTCTTCAACTTGTGTATTTTTGGATGCTTGGTGTGATGGATGAGATTGATGACTGGTGACGAGTACGAGTAGGAATGATGACGGAGGACGAGTACGAGGATGGTGGTGGCAATGTACAGTAGCAAGATAGCTAGATGAAATAAAGCATTGTTTATTTATTACACGCTTGTTGGAGGTTGCTAGTTTGTGGATTACATACTATTGCTTCGAAGATGGAATAATAAAGGTGGTCCGGTTATCGGTCATGCAAGAAGTACATGGCTTTTGTGATACAATAAGGAGGAGTGGGAAGTGGGATGAGCTTGAGAAGAGAAAAAGTGAAGAGATTCTCCATTGAGTTTCAGGATGAGTGACCCATTCAATATGTATACGTATGTTTTTACATATACAAATTGGTTTATGCAGCTCGACTTTCTTTTACATGCAAATGTGATGCATACCTTGACACACCTTCATTATTGGATGCTGTTTTACTTACGTACCTTCACAAAAGGCAATCATCGTCATCATCCATTTATGTAGCAACCTGTCAAGGACGTGTCTGTGTGACCACCACGTGCCGTTTGACTCAGCTCTTCATCTTTCCGTTAATGCAGCCGACACCATCCACTAGGAAAAAGCAACTCCATCACGCTTACAGTATAGGTAATGTGATGTTTGGTAATAGAAAATGGATAACAATGAAAAGTACGTTGAGACTGAAAGATCGTTCCTCTTTATTCTTATCGCTCTATCCTTATTTATAGTTTTACGAGATCTTTGGTATGACTAATCTTCAAGAAGGATCCATGACAAGAACCAATGGTTATATGACAGCTACGCTAGTCGGATGTTTCACTGGATTCGAGGTGGTTCCTTTAGTTACTTAATCGGTTTCAATCACTTCTAGGTCATTCTCATGTATTCCTTAAGGGAAAACATTCATCCTTTTATTATTCAATATCCATAATATCACAGGTAAAACATAAACGTGCCTGTATCTCCAAACTTTACAATGAAACGTGGGGTTTTTATTAGAGCAATGTGCTCGGCTTGGCCAACAGCACCTTGTGTGAAAGTTTCACGCTCAATGTCGCAAACAGCCCAAAAAATATTTTTTGGTCGTCGTCGTCGAAGAGGTCGACCACCGGATCCAGTTTGGCTGCTGGCGACATTGCGAAATCTGGGATTGGCAAGCTTGATCGTGAAACTTTCACACAAGGCGCAGTTGGCCAAGCCGAGCACATTGCTCTATTCAAAACCCCACGTTTCATTGTAAAGTTTGGAGATGCAGGCGTCTTTATGTTTTTACTATACTGTAAGCATGATGCTATATGAAGAGTGGTCTTCGTTCAATGTCAAGTCGCTGGACCCTGGCAGAGCAAAAGACGCAGAGGGACCTCTTTGTGTAACTCAGCTACTTTGCATGACTGGAAGGATGGAAGGATGATACTGTATACTGTTGACAAAAGCCCGTACATTGCGAGCTAACAGCCATTTCTTCACAATAGCCACTGTTGTCCACTTTATGACATGTGAGCGATTCTCCTGCTTCAGACATTCATTTCCATGATTGGATTATGTTGATCCGAGTTGATTTGACCGAGATACAGCCAAAGAGGGTTTACATCAATCCACACATCTAACCATGCTCTATGTTGCTCAACTGAAGTAACCTTGTATGAGCGTAACTCAGCCAAATCAACTCGGATCAACATAATCCAACCATGGAAATGAATGTCTGAAGCAGGAGCATCGTTCCACTGTCATAGAATGGGCAACATTGCTGATTGTGAGGAAATGGCTGTTAGCTCGCAATGTATGGGATATTGTCAATAGTATACAGTATCATTCTTCCATCCTTCTAGTCATGCAAAGTAGCTGAGTTACACAAAGAGGTCCCTCTGCGTCTTTTGCTCTGCCAGGGTCCAGCGACTTGACATTGAACGATGACCACTCTACATATCGCATCACGCTTACAAACATAAAGACGCCCATATCTCAAGATCCTACAATGAAACGCGGGGTTTTGAATAGAGCAATGTGCTCGGCTTGGCCAACAGCACCTTTTGTGAAAGTTTCACGTTCAATGTCGCAACTAGCCCAAAAAATATTTTTTGGTCGTCGTCGTCGAAGAGGTCGACCCCCAGATCCAGTTTGGCTGGTGGCGACATTGCGAAATCTGGGATTGGCAAGCTTGATCGTGAAACTTTCACACAAGGTGCAGTTGGCCAAGCCGAGCACATTGCTCTAATAAAAACCCCACGTTTCATTGTAAAGTTTGGAGATACAGGCACCTTTATGTTTGTAAGCGTGATGCTATATGAGAAGTGGTCTTTGTTCATTGCCAAGTAGCTAGACCCTGGAGAGCCAAAGATGCAGAAGGACCTCTTTGGGTAACTCAGCTAAAAAGTCAGGACTTCAGGGACAATGCATGAACGATACGCAACCCTCACTTTTATGTCATACATTGGCAGCTAATAGCCACTTTTGTCCATTCCCAACTTTTGTGCATTCTATTGTAGGTGGACGATGCTCCTGCTCTAGACATTCATTTCCATGATTAAAGTAGGTTGATCCGAGCTGATTTGGTTGAGTTACGCTCACACAAGATTACATCGGTTGAGCTACATCGAGCGTGCTTTATGTCCAGAGTGATGTAATCTCTCTTTGACCACAGCTCAGTCAAATCAGCTCGGATCAACCTATTTTAATCATGGAAATGAATGTCTGGAGCAGGGGCATCGTTCCCATACAGTGGATCTCGCAACAATGATGAATGAATAAAAGTGGCCGTTAGCTAGCAATACATGCCTGTTCCCAGATGATCCATAAAGTAATATACATTGACCCTTTCATTCATGCAAACGTAGCTGTGTTACACAACACGACCCTCTGCATCTTTTGCTCTGCCAGGGTCTAGCTACTTTACATTAAGGGTCTTCCCGCTAAATTTCACTTTTTCGGATTCGGACCAATCACATTTCACTCAACCCTACACCAACACCCTTACCATGGCAACAGGTCAACTTCCCCCAGGACGCAGGTCTTGGGCCAATGTTGTCCGCAATAAAAGCATCACTCTCTTTGAAGAGCAAGGTTATGAAGAGGCTCGACGTGCGCGTCAGGCAGAAACAATCCTCACTAGAGCTTTGAATCCTAATGCCGTAATCTTCGACTTTGGCACCAACCTCCCATCTAAGGCTATCGCCTATCAGACGATCAAACAACTAGGCACTATCCTCGGAGCAAGAACCATCTCACGTTCACGCAACCCACGTTCATTGTTAATTGAGACACGTTTCGAAGACGATAACGCAAGAGACAAAGCTTTAACGGATGGTGTCACCTATGATGGCGTCACTTATCGTGCTACACGTGCATTGTCAGCTGATGCAGAAATTACCAAGGTCAACTTTTCTCACCTACCATTTCTTGCACAAGATGTCATCGAGCAAGTATTGAAAAACGCCATGAGTGCCTATGGTCGTGTCTGCCAAATCCGCCTATACGTTGAACCTGAATCTGAAACCTTCGAAGGAGAGGCTACCGTCATTTTGGACACATCCACACCTTCGGGTGCCATGTTGTCGGATGATAAGCCCTACTATAGACCACTCACCCGCCTTATCCCCATTGAGGTTTGGGATGATGTGTTCCCTGCCTCATGGAAAAACGCACCTCCTCTTTGCCGTTATTGCAACACTCAAGGTCATCGCAAGATGGAATGCCCCAAACTTCAAGAACTCACTTGCTTCCACTGCCACCAAAAAGGCCATTTTCGTCGACATTGTCCTGTTGTATACCGTGAACGCCAAGCTGCCATGGTGGATTCATTGACCGATTCTCAGCTTCTTGACACGTACCCAACCACAGCGTCAGCTGTAGATGATGATCATGATTCGGAGATGACTACTACAGCACCTTCATCCATCATCGATGATAATAGATCCAATTCAACCAATGATCAGCATACTGATACAGCTTCTCAACCCGATGTTGAAGATCAACATAAGAAGAGCACCAATGTCACCAAAGACTCTAGCAATCCAACTACCGACAACGCCGACAATCGAATGATCATTGACACCACACCTCAACATGACAACGACCATAGAATGAATGACAACAACGACCCTATTATCGACCACGATCAGCATCAGCACACGCCAACACCTAAGAAACCAAAACTTGATACAGCATCCAGCACACGTGTCACACGCAACATGAGCCAACAACGTTTACAACAATCCGCTGGGGAATCACCTGACCCACAGCATCACCAATAATATGATAAATAATAATACAGCACGACTCGCCTCTTTGAATGTTCGCTCGCTATTCAAAGAGGCACAATCTCAATTTGTTCGACACCTACGATCACAGCATCTCAACATTGATTTACTCGCTCTACAGGAAGTATCCCAAACGCATGCTCCAACACTTACTAACCAAGACATCTCTCACTTACACCGCCTTTTTCCCAATTCCTCTTCTTGCTTCACTAAACATTGTGCCCTTATTTGCCTCAACCCCTCCTTCACACTTTCCAATACCTATGTGACACTTGACCAACGTTGTATTGTATCCACCATTTGTACGTCACATGGGGCTTTGTGTCGTATTGTGGTCCTTTATGCATTCGCTGAAAGGGATCGACGACCAGAGTTTTTCTCCTCCCTCCTTGATTTACCCTGTTTTACAGATCTTTCCGAACCGTGCTTTGTCATAGGCGATTTCAACACCCATCTTCACACCAAGTTGCATTCAAGACTCAGACCATGGGGCCAATTTCTGTTGGAGCACTTTCACAATTGCATGTATCCAGAGATCAATGGTATGCTTTCTCCTCCTACGGCAGCACCTACATACCATCGGGGCAATCTTCATACCACTGTGGACTACGTCTTTTGCACCCATCACCTCCACTCCATGATTTCTAATGCTCAGCAATGGCACATGTCACGTGCTTGGACTGACCATGAGATGCTGACAGTGGATTTTCGAATACACAGCATGGACACCGGCCCTGGCTGTTGGCGTTTTAACCCACTGCTGTTGGGCCAACCTCCATTTGATCTATTGTTACAGGATACAGTGAAGGAGTACTTTACACAATTGGATGATGAGCTCATTGAAATGGATCCACAAGCATGCTGGGACAACCTCAAAGCGGTTTTAAAGGAAACAGCTATTGATTACAGCTTCCGCCACCGCCATACCACCAAACAACACTTTCGTACTTTACAACGTCGTCGACATGTTATCATACAACAACATGGTACTCGAGACCCACGACTGCCACCTCTTGAAAAAGAAATTGCCAACATTCAAGAACGTGTTACGAAACAATTGTTGTTACGAACAGCAACCCGATGGCACGAGGAAGGGGAACGAAACAACAAGTACTTTTTCAAAGTGTTGAAACAACGACAGGCCGCCACCACCATCCACCATCTCCGTGACCCACACACCGGTGAACTTTTCACCACCATGGGTGGGATAATGCAACATGCTCGTCACTATTACAAGGATCTTTATACCCCTACCGAGATTGACCAGGCCGCTGTTGATAAGATGTTATCTTCTATTCCTTCCTCAGTGCAAGTGACAGCAACACAAGGAGACAATCTCATGCGACCATTTTCTTGGGACGAGCTTGTTCGAGCCATTGAACACGCACCTTTGGGTAAAAGCCCTGGGATGGATGGTTTACCTTTTGAATTACTCAAACACATGCAAACGTGGGAACCGGTGATCCAGCTGCTACTCTTAGTGATGAATCAAGCACTTCTTCACAACTTGTATCCTCGTTCGTGGTTGTCAACTCGCATGGTTTTGTTGTTTAAGAAAGGAGACCCACGTCTTTTGGCCAACTGGCGCCCATTGTCATTGATTAATTCGGATGCGAAACTATTTACCAAATTGTTGGCGAACCGGTTACAACCCATCATGCATCGCTTAATCAACCCTTTTCAGACTGGCTTTTTGGCCAAACGACTTATCTCAGACAATGGTTGGGTGGTACAAAACCTCATGCATCATGTTCGGCGTTTCTCTCCATCATCTCCATCAGTGGGTGTGTTACTTGACCAAGAAAAAGCTTATGACAGAGTACATTCGGATTATCTTCGGCAGGTAATGACAAGGTTTGGATTCCCTACTCAATTCATTGATTCCCTCCTCCACCTCTTCTTCTCCACCTCTATCTCCCTATCCATTAATGGATGGCTATCTTCTCCCGTGTCTCAACTTCGTGGATTACGTCAAGGTGATCCTATCTCTCCCCTTCTATTTAACCTTGCCTTTGAACCCCTTATCCGCACCCTTATGTCCGACCCCTTATTATTAGGATCACCTTTGACTAATCCAAGCATGACCAAATGGAATCACCGTATCCATTTTCGTACTAACTTGTATACACCACACATTCCACCAATCAAAGTATTGGCGTATGCTGATGACTTGTTGGTATTCCTTCGTACACCCACCGAATGGCAATATCTATTACAACATCTTACGACATACAAATTGGCGTCCAATGGCAAAGTTAACCTCAACAAGACCGTGGTTTTCCCACTTTCAGGTGAACCTAATCCCTCATGGCAACACATGTTACACACGATTAATGCCCAATGGCATGATCGTACTTCTCCAACGGCTTTGACATACCTGGGATACCCCCTCTATCACCATGATCAACATTTGGATAGCTTTTTGAGCAGCCTTTACACCAAGCTTGAGACTCACGTACACCTACTACAACAACGTACGCTCTCAATTCTTGGGAAAGCTACGGTGGCTAACTCCCTGCTTTTATCTCGGCTGTGGCATGTACTACGGGTTTGTGTCGTCCCTAAACCATGGATTCAGAAGTGTCAAACACTGATTCGTAAGTATGTGTGCAATTTTTTTCCATATCCGAGTTGGTCAACTTGTTGTTTACCACGCTCACAAGGTGGTTTGGGCCTGGTGGATATTCAGGATCAACATCTCGCACTTCATCATGTATATCTTCAACGAGTCTTACACCATTCGCCTTCCAATCCCCATCCCCCATTTATCTCCTCATTCCTCGCCCATCTCTTCCATTTGTATACTGGTCAACCATGCATCTACACACTTTTTCTTCCCTCCCCCCCATTAATTCGTTTATGTTCCGATTTCCCCCATATCCAACACCTCCTTCAATTGTCAGCTAGATTACCTGAATTTCCTATTGACAAGCTCTCCTTACATGATTTTCTCAACATCCCCTTCCGCAACCTCACCCTTGCTCTCCCTGAATCCACCACCCCACTCCCCACACTCAAAATCCTCGTTTCAAACGTTTACCGATGGATAAACCGTGACCGCAAGCTGACCATCAAATATGCTACACGCATTCGACAAGCAATGGCACGTGTTCTCGAAGCCGTTGAACAAGGTACCATGACGTTACATCCAACACTACAAACCCACACCACTGCCGACAACCCACTTAGCTCCAATCCACCATTACCCGATTTGAACTCATGGTGTCTACCATCCAAGGAATATCCCGCTTCACGTTCCACAACAACCACCTCTGCTATTGCTGTCACCAAAGTTGGACCGGGACAACTCAGAGCTTATTGGCGATCCAAAACATCCACTACCACCATTGAAACGACTATTGCACCTTACCACTGGAAACGTTTTTGGAAGCTACGAATGCCACATGGGTCTCGTACCATTTGGTGGCGTATTCTCCACCATCATCTATCGACAACTCAACACCTTCATCGACTCATGCCAGTGAAACATCCCACCCCGATTTGTCAGCTTTGCTTTGGTGAAGTGGAAACCTCTCGCCATATGTTTTTGGACTGTCCCTTCAAACGAGTATTCTGGATTGATGCCTTGGTACTCATCCAAGCTCCCTCACACGTTACACCCGAGATGGCATGGCACGCTATCCTCTTACAACCACAACAACCAACCAGCTTTTGCTTTGTTTACCAAGACCGGTTAGGCCTTATCCTCCAAACCATTTGGGCTATGCATTGGCAATGTCTTCTACAAGAGATTCCTTGGAATCACTACTCGGCATATGAATACCTTGATTCACTCATTGCTAGACATCCCACCCTTGTCCCCCCGATTCAGTTGGATACAGTAGAATTTATTTTGGGGTAAGATATCCCCTAAATAAAAACCCATTAGCATACAAAAAAAAAAAAGCTACTTTACATTAAACAAAGACCACTTTACATATAGCATCACGCTTACAAACATAAAGGTGCCTGTAACTCCAAACTTTACAATGAAACGTGGGGTTTTGAATAGAGCAATGTGCTCGGCTTGGCCAACTGCACCTTGTGTGAAAGTTTCGCGTTCAATGTCGCAAACAGCCCAAAAAATATTTTTTGGTCGTCGTCGTCGAAGAGGTCGACCCCCGGATCCAGTTTGGCTGGTAGCGACATTGCGAAATCTGGGATCGCCCACGATGAACTTCATACTTTGACACAAGATTCCTTTGAACCCAACGAGCAACACTGTTCGATTAAAGACCCCACGTTTGATTGTAAAGTTTGGAGATACAGGCACCTTTATGTTTGTAAGCGTGATGCTATATGAGAAGTGGTCTTTGTTTAATGTAAAGTAGTATGACTATAATAGAGCAAAAGATGCAGAGGGCGTGTTTGTGTAACTTGAGTCATTCAGCACAGGCGATGCATGATTCTTGTACACTATTTAGGAATAGTTCAAAATGATAGCTAATAACCTTAGTCCTCCCATTCTCCATTGTTGTCCAATCCAATGCATACGAACGATTGTGCTGCTCCAGCCCAGCATGCCCATCCTTCAACTTTCTTGATCCGGTGAGATTTGAGTGAAAAACGCTCAAACACAGAAACATCATCCAATATCAGAAGAATCAAATTGGTAAGTTATTTGTAAACTGCCACTTGATAGCCCATTCTTCCCATTCTCCATTGTTGCCCAACCCAATGCATGTGAACGATTGTGCTGCTCCAGCCCATCATCTCCATCCTTCAACTTTCTTGATCCGAGGGGATTTGACTGAGCAACATGGAAACAAGGAGATGGATCAATCTACTTAAATTCCCAGCTCTTCCACTCGCCGCTTATCCTCTCGTCCACATTGCAGCCTTCCATTCTCAACTGTTGGCCCATTCAAGTATACAACTACAACCTGCGAATGATTGCTCTGCTTCAACCCATGATGTCAATCCTACAACTCTCTTGATTCGATTGTCTTTGACCGAATGGCAAGTTCATGGCGTGTGCGCCCCACGTCAACACTAGCGTTTCTTGGTACCTCACCTTCTCTCGTGCATTACTCTACAGTAACCAGCGTAGCAGCGTTCATTCCAGCAGTTGCCATTAGCAAGGGTCTTTACTCCATTGTATCAAGTTACTTGCAGCAAGTTGTCTACAGCCTTTTTATGTGGACAGCAGCAGATAGTTCTTATATAGAAGCAGCTTTATTTACGTGTAATAACTTCCTTTTAATACATACGAAATCTTATGGATATGGATATGAATATTGCTTCGGTAGATGGGATATAAGGGAACTGGATATATACGATGATTGGAAAAAGAGTCATTTTTATGCATCGATTGTCAGCTTGACCATTATGCATGATACTCTCATCCTGAACGCTTGAGGGGAATTCAATGCTGCATGGCAGTAACAACCATCATCCTTCCATCCAGCGGCATATTTTGGCACGCCATGGATATAATTCGCCACCACATGCCCATCCATTGACCTTTGCATGGATGCACACGCAAAGGATAGAAACTTCCCAATTGATGTATCTCCCATTAGAGCGATGCATTATCATCCCCAGCCCATCGCTTGTAAATGATGTTGGATTAATAGGTTACCTCAACGAATTCGACATTGTGTTACCTACCATGTCTAAGCTTCTATAGTGTAAGAGACCTCCCTTCTTCCTGAGTTGGATCTCGTCGTGTGTAGGCATTGGTGCATTATATTATAGGAAGAATTATGCAGTATTATAGAAGTATGCCCACTTCTAAATGCTGTGAAAAGAAAGAGAAAACTGCGATTGATTCATCATTTCTTGAAACAAAGCCTGTAGTCGATGGTATAACATGATTAGATCGTGTAGGGTTGATGTTTTGTCAATACAATACAAATGGTTTATTATCATTAGTCGATGGTAAACTCCATGTCGTTTATAACATGATCCTCAAGCAATCATAATAACGTACGTAGTAGTTGCACATCATATACTTAGTACTGCCTTTACCTCATTTCATGTACACGTCTATATGTCATATATAAGCGCTATGGTAAAGATAACTCACTCCATTACTTTCAAGCCATTGGCCTGCCAACTGGATAAAAGAGCATCGACAATGACATAAAACGTTCGATTCCAGGACACTTTCTTTTCGCAGATACTGATTTTGACCTTACTCTCATACACAATTATCCATTCCTAAACATATGAATAAACGTCATCAAATCGTCTGGTACTTCCTTTATTTCGCTTGTGTGCTATTCTCGATACTAAAATATAATACACATCCCAAAAAAATCTTAGTGTCGGATGATATTTTAGATTTGTAATGTTGCACATGCTGCGGTGCTGAGCAGCCTTTATAAAAGGCTGCTGCAACGCCGAGAATAAATCTTTAGCTTTTGATCCGGTGAATCATAGTTCTTGTCTATATTGAGCGGGTAGTTGTAAAGAGGTGTTTACATCCCTGGCTACGGTGCCATACCGCCAGACGACGCAAAAGGTTATACGACATTAGATCACGTGATTTTTGATCCACAAAAAACAAAAGATCGAATCGAATGATCCTGTATTGGATCAATCGATCAGATGATGATTTGGAATGGAGAAGCCGCGCATCGATCGCGGTACCTCTCGCATGCTAAGCGAGCGCTCTACCATTTGAGCTACATCCCCTTGCTTTTTGATTCGTTTTGTGCAACATGAGCGAGTCAATTTCCAAAAAAGGAAGGTGAGTTAAAGCAAAAAGTGGTCCAATTGAGATGAAATTTGCATCACAACGCAGCGGAGTAAACGTAGATTACAATGGTGAGAGTTATATAGGATTATGGGAGGTCAATCTTGTATAATTTAGAGTTGGAAGAAAGATGAATGATCAATTTGTCGTCGGAGGATTGGAGATCGGGGATGGATGATCAAGTCATATAAGTATCTTGGACTTCAGATACTTAGATGTAACTACATTCTAGTAAGTACTATGACTAAGGTCTTAGACCAGCTTACACAACCCTTAGCTCAAGTATATAAAATCTATATTACTCTACAATCATCAGCTCACCCTTCCCACTCCCTCCTCACCTTATTATATCAATCGACACCAATGCTATCATTCACTCAATAAAGCTATCACATGCTATATTCTTGAGACATCGTTTCTTCCATAATGAGCATTCTTGCCTATTCAACGTTGACTTTGAAATGATTCCCAGCAACCCAAGCTTTATGAAAATGTAGGTTATCAAGTATCAATTATTGGTCAGAAGAGCGTACTGGATGACTCATGTTATATGACTATGTAGGCTTCAGATAGTTGGAGGGACTACGATTCAATAAAAGATTTTGACTAGGATGCCTGGCTACATACTATTGACTAGAAGGGCTCAAGTTAAGATCCAGTAAATGTTTTAAAGAGGGCCGGCTCTTGGAAAAGTTCCTCCTCGCTTCTCGCTCTCCTACATTGGCGATCTCCCCATTGACAACTGCTGCACCATTCAGCACAACCAACCATTTGTTATATGGTTGCTCTACTTCTACCCATCATGTCAATCCTACAATGGTCGTGATCCGGAAGACTTTGACCGAATGACAGGTCCAAGGCGTGTACGCAATCTATTACAGCACCAGCGTTCCTTCACACTACACCTTGCCTTGCCAAAACCAATCGTAACAGCGTCCATGGCAGCAGCTGCTATTAGCGAGATCTTTATTCCATCGCCTCCAACAGCGTTCTTTACTTGCAGCGACTTGGCCTTACAGCCTTTGCTACGTGAACAACAGATAGCCATTACACATGAGCAGGTTTATTTACGTGTAGCAACGCGCTTCAATACATACGAATGCCTATGATGGATGTGGGTATGGATATGGATATGGGTACATGGAATGAAAGGGATTGGATATATTGATCGGCTTGGCTCTCTTGGCCCATTTAGAACGTGATGTCTAGTTTGAGATTACACCATACCAACCATCAATTACACAGCAAACAAGCAATCTTCAACCGGTGGCGTTGACCGAGCAAGAGTTAGACCCACAGCTGGATGGAAAAGGAAGCATACAGCGATCACATGATGGCTCTTTCTTATTGGATTTGCAATGGCTATGGATGGAGGGATGCAATCAAGTGCACTGATGGTGAATCTTGGAACGTTGCTTGGTTACTTGTCGCGTTGTCAACACGAAAGATGGAACATGTCACGTGGATACGGCTGAGGATGATGATGGATTGGAATGGCATTAACGAAAGGGGACTTACAGCCATGGATGAAGGATGATTATGACCGCAGCAACCAAGAACACAATGACACAATGATCCCTGTTTACTCTATGTCATTCACCCGTACCTTATTCAATCTCCAATGCTGCTCCTTTATCAGATTTACTTTATAGACACCCACACTATCATGCCTATTATTCGACGGTTATTGAATGTAAATTGGATTCAACATAATGATTAAAGTATCATACCATCAGCTCACATGTGCAAGATCTGGATCATTTGTTTGGTTTATAATAAGATTGAAAGGAGGAATATAAGTTTGAAGTCCGGGAAGCGAGATTGGATCACTTCTTATCAACATCGATATTAAATGGGCATCGTATTCGATAGTTCTCATGATTGGATTACTTTTATAGATGGGGCAAATGAACCACACCCAATGGTACAATGATGGTAAGCAAAATGATGATATATTTTATACAAGTTCAAATGTGCAAGAGGGTACGTGTCTGATGGTGTTGGTGAGCATACTCTTAAATATCGCGGCTAATTACAAAGCTCTCCACAAAAAGCGGTCCAAGATAGTCATCATAAATGTAGTCGGGAAGTATTTGGCTCAATGCCACATCTTCTGTAGTTGCCTTGTAACTTTCGAAAGTGCTCTCCAATCTCATCTTTTGTGAATCCTGCCTCAGTCATACGTTCAATCAATGCTGCTTGCAGCTCGAGTTCTTGAAGGTGGTCTCGACGGGTTTGTTGAGCCAGCATTTGCTGCTGACGTTGCAGTAACTGATTCATCATTTGGTAGTGAGGAGCATGCAGCGTTGCAATAGGAAGTTGCCAGCGTCGTTGGCGATAGTTGCTATTAGGCGGCTTGCTTGGACGAATAGAATGCACTCCTTGACTTTGCTCACCAAAACAGCTTTCATCTTCAAGGTGTTCCACCAAGTCATAGTAGTAACAGAAGGCACGTTTGACCTGATTTCTTGAAGCTACATATTTCTCAAGATCAGCCAATGGTGAATGATCCATCCCATCCATATTCGAACTTACCGCCTGATGCTTCCATAGCCAGTGCACGCTTATATTGTCTGATCCATACATTCAGCTTGGCAGTAACAGCATGCGGGTTACAACCTTGTATACCGGCATTTTCCAACAAGGTGCAGACTGAAGCTGCCACGTCATGCTTTGACTCACTCGTTCGACCTTTGCGCTTGGCTACACCACTAGCCATAAGGAATCGTTCATAGTTGCCTCGCTGTTTTAACCACTCGAGCACGATTTCATCGGTTTTGCCGTTACGCTTGGGTTTGTTGGGTGTCACCAATTCATCGCTCTGCGTCGTCATGTTGCTGTAATGAGTGACACGCTAATGTCGTGAGTGATTGTAAAACAACTGGAAGGTGGAAGGTGAGGAAAGTTTACGTTGAAGTTGAAAGGGAAAATGATGAACGCGAAAAAGAGAAAGTAACAGTGCCCTCCTGCAAATTTGCATAAATCGCCCGCTTCATTTTACATATGGTTAATCCCCGCAAGCTTGCCTCATTCTTTTCAAGGTGCATGAACCACTCGCCCATTTGCTTTTCTTTTACTACAATGCTGATCCTGTAGCATTTCCATGAACGCGAAATCAATGTGTTTTATTACAATAGCATCATACAATTACTGATCCAATCTTTGTCTACGTGTAAGGAAGGGTGGGGATCATGTGATTGCCAATAGATAAAGCAAAGATAGCTAGCAGCCATCCATTATATCGGCTTCTCGCTTATGACAAAGACTGCATGAAATTAGGGTAAATCCATTGTTTATTTACGCTGCTGCTGATTTTTGCCTATTTTCAATATCCTTAATCGTCCACAGAGATACGCCTGTTTGATTCACTTCAAATGGTTGTGCCATGGAGCGGAGGAATTTCTTTGCAATGACAAGTGCCATGTCCGTAGATAGATTGCTGGATGCATCGGTAACGTATTGATTGATCCATTTGGGAAGTTTGGCCCGTTTGTCTGCTCTTGCAAATCGCTATTTCACCAAGTCAGCATGATCCCAAATAAAAAGTGACATGTCCTTCTCTTACCTTATCAGCAAATACCATCAATCCATAATCGGTTTTACCACGTAAGACTCTTCCAACACATTGTGCCGCATGTCTCATTGCATCAAAAGTAAGGAAATCGTTTTCACGGATATGATGATTGTCACGGAGATACTCCAATCTTGCCTGTGTATTCATATGAGTACACGTTGTGGTTCGAATTACACACCACCACACACTCACCTTTAAGATTCTTGACTCCGTATACTGATATGGGATACCAAACATAAGAACCGCTCGACCATAATTGTGATCAAAATCAATGCCTTCAGAGACTTTTCCTCGAGCCACAGAAAGTAAGATTGCTCCACGTCCATTATCACATGCCTACTCGAGATATTAGCCACAGCATTTTGCACACTGCATTGTCACTATATATATACCTTGCGATAATTGGACAACGCTAAAGATGTTTCTGCTGCATCAGGTGTCTCCACAAAGATCAATTTGTGTTTCCAAGCTTCGTTCAAGATGCCCTAAATCTCACTGTGAGACCAAATCCACATAATCCTGCTCATAGTGTCTTACCATATCATTCCACATAGACACAATTTGCTCCATATAAAGATAACTTGGGAAAAAGCAAACCACACCATCCGGGACTATCTTGGAGAACTCCACCATGATCTGACCGAAATTGCGAACCACGGCAGGATCATTACGCACCTCAAATTTGGAGCTGACAGCGACTTGATCGGATCCACGGGTAATAATCTACTCGAGAGCCCATAAATAAACCTTTTTTAAAGTGTAGCGCTTGTGAATAATTTACCATTGGCAGGAAGCAGTTGCGTGTCAATGTCATTGCATAACTTTCTTGGACCACTGTTTGGAAATTGAGCATCTTGGGATACATGTCAAGCGGTGATAAGGTTCCAGAGGTGATGATAACGCTGCTAAATCGTTCAAAGACAGGCTTAATAGCAATTGCCGCATCAAGACATCTACATGAGATTGTATCAGCAACAACATCTATATGCAAAAGAACCTCGATAACTCACGTAAAGTGCAGTACGGGATTAGGGACGGTGGCGTTTTCGCTTTCGAATGGCTCAAGAATCAGCAGGAATCCTATTCATGCCATGAGTATCTCCCAACAATCATCCTCAAACCCTTTCGCTTTTTTACCTTTGTCATACGTAGCTACCAGGGTTGCAAATGCAGCAATTTTCTGTAGACTAGAATAGTGATCCAGGTCCATCAGTTCCAGCGTTCGAACTAAACTTGCAAGTCGCTCAGCGCAAAAGCGTAATGGTTTTCGCTCGATATAGGTGACATCTTTCAAGTGCTGTAGGAAGGATACAGGCGTCTCGGCAACCACATGCATCACACGCATTCGGGTCTAGAATGATTTACATTGTCAGTGCTATTTGAAAAGTAATACACCACGACGACCACCTTACCTTTAAGTATTCAATAAATCGTCGTAAGAATGCAACAAAATGCTCAGCGCGTCTGATATTTCCTGGTACAGCTTCCTTCAATAGATCATCCGGTAGAACAGGACTGGCCATGAATGTGTCTTCATCTCGAGCTGTGCTAGCATCCCGTAACCCTTCAACGAGCTTTGAGTATTCATTCTTCAGCTTTTGTGCATCCGTCTCCTTTATCCTTTTTAAACATACGTTTAGTACCTAGCATTGCTTTACGTGACTCAAACTTACTCTTTGATCCTATCGGCTAACATGGAGACACTTTTTGCACCAGCATCCAGGATGGGTCGATTTAAATCAATGCTAAGCGATTCGATACACACGTTATCTACCAACAACGATTAGCATTCTGATTGAGACCATTCCTCCCTTGAACACACTTACCGATGTTGTGTGCTTCATCAAAGACGACAATTGCATCTTTTGATAACTCCTTGGAGACGAGCTCAGCGACTTTGGGATCAAGCATGTAATGATAAGAGTAGATGACGACATTTGCAAATGGTATCTATACCATCATCCATGAGCCAATACCCCACAAAAAAACGACCCTTTTCAACATACCACGCGTCGAACCAAGTAATAAGGACAGAATCGCATCTTCTCGCAATAATCCTTGAGATCGGCTAAGGTATATATGCCATTGGGAATTGGATTGGGCGAGTTGGCTGATTCGAGTTGCTAGCATTTCCTTTGATCAATGATCCACTCCATATCATCCAGCGTCCTCATCCTACCTCGTAGAAATCACACAGTTCAATCTGTTTATCTGGTGTCTCGTCTTGTTTGGCGCCTTTGCCCTTCCCTGCCTTGGCACGCACCCAACTTGCTGTCATATTTCTGCACATGGAGTCGACGACTTTTCCCTTCCTTTGTTTTGAGACAACGGGATGCAGGCAGAGATTTTTACGGCTTGTCAATCCGATACCAAGATAATCCTCATCCAATCCTTCTGAACGACGATACTCCATCAATTGCCGAAGCTCTGCAAGCGCTTTCTCGATCTCTGGCACCGTTCGTGAACAATAAACGAGTTTGCGATTGTCTTCGGGATGTTGCTAAAGGAACAACGTATCCACATTGAGTCGATCGTCGGGCAAAGAGAGTGGCCGTAGCTGAGTAATGTAAATGCTCACCATTTGATATGCAACAATAAGCGATAGCAAAGAGACCGTCTTGCCCGTACCCGAAGGCATTTCCAGTACACAATGTCCCTATAAAGCCCCATTTCAGTATGATAGTCATAGCAACACAACAACTATTCGAATGAGACGACACACGTACCTGTGCATCCAATGCCTTCTTTAGATCGCACATGTATTGGTACTGTTCAGGGTAGATCTTGTCATAGGGAAAGTGAACAACGAGATCGTCAATGTTGAAACTATAATGAGACGTTAATAAAGACACAATGGATAACAAGATTCACGTTGACAGTACATCATTGGAGTGTGTGTTCTTGATGCGCTTGAAAGAGATAGGGCGTAGAGTAAGGACAGCAGATAGAATTCAAGTAACGTTGTGTGACGACTGGGCCGGCGCAGCATGATAGATTTCATGCCAATGGAACAAATACTGCTCTCCACGCATTGCCACTTGCTATAGCAGCTATCAAAACGTAGTATCCAAAGCGTAGTGTCTTGTTTTATTGGAGTCCCTGTCGATCGAGATTGCGTATTCAAAAGCCGTTGAATAGTATAAACCTCATGGCCGGGATCATGCAAGAAGGCCTTCCCTTCGATTATACGTATGGCACTAGCAACTACAATATGCAGGGTAGATCCATCTTTCAAGTCATTATACAATAAAGGATGTCACGGGCTGGAGTTCTCACTGAGACGGCATGACATACGTGAGGAAGAAACGGAACGTATAGTAGTAGCCTCATTCAACTTCATTGTTGTAGAGGCATTGATATTTACAAAAGGGCGTTTCATTTGCTTTTAAGCTGCCCACGTTCCTGAAAGTGCCAGTAGTGGTCCTATTGCCGTTTGAAGAAAGCGTGCTCTTTGCCTGAAAATGATTAGCTATCGCTATAAATCACTCCGTGTGTCAAAAGAAAATAGCATACCAGAGAATAGAGCACTACTATCAGTTTTATTGATTCAAGTTGTCGATCTCGCGCTGTAGCTATATACTAGTAGTTGCAGTGGTCTATTCGTAATATCATCAGCCCTTGCTTCGCTTGTAAAGTTGATCGAAACGAGGGCCTTTTCAAGGATGGTATCCATGACTTTCCCTTTCCCTTTCCCATATTGATAGGATCATAAAAGTAGGTTGCCTAGGCAACGCTAGATGGTATCCCCGCATCTTTATAGCCCCTCCTAAACCTTGGTTTGGTGCTGCGTAAAAAAACAGCTGATGTAGCCTAAGCTATAGATTGCTGGAGGAGTTGACCGCAGCAACCCTCAACGGCAAAGCAAGGTCACACACATGGTGGTCTGCATTATCAAGTAATTTTTGCTGCGCAAGTTTGCTACTCCTCCTCTTCCTTCTTTCACACATCACCTGCGACAACCCAATGTTCAAGCTTTGGCAATTTCTATCAAAACCTTTCATAACTCATAAGGAGGAACAGCATGATGAAGCGACACTCAATGCTCAGCCTGATCTCGGCTTGCCCACCTTTCATTATGAGATGCCGCCTTCTCTGACTGCTCCACCCAACCAAGATCAAAGAACACGCAATGTTGTGAATATCTATCCACAAGTTCGACGCGCACAACCACCCACCCCGTCGCCACAGGTGGCATACCAACCATCCGTTTCCGCAGCAGGACGCTCACGGGATGCCTGTAAATGGATCACGCCTGTTGAGCACTCGGTTGCTGTTCTGTCAGCGGATGCATGGAATATGCTTAAACCTGTGGAGTGGGAGGCATTGGGTGGTGCGGTTGTACAGCGTTCAGTCAGGGTAACGGATGGACGAAAGGGTGTTGATGTCTTATTTGGTAAATGAAAAAGTGCTGGCATGGGGATAAAGAGCATTTAAGCGCACCGACTCATGATACAATTTGACGTGTAGGCAAGCGTCGACATGTTTTACGATTGATACAACGAAAGGCAACGGGCGTGCATATACGCTTACAAGATGACAAGTTACATTTGGAGGGGCCTAATGAGCGCATCCACAGGCTCTTGGATTTCCTTGATCACTTGGCAAGTAGCCATAAAGCAAGTATGAAAGTAATCCATTTTGGCTAATAGTATCTATTATAGTACGCACGGGTAGGTCGGTCACATCGTGATTATGTCATTGTACGCTGCAACGGCCCCCAATTGGAAAGCAAGCTGGAACGTATCGATACTCTGTACAAGAACCACTCTGGAGTTCCACCTTTTGATCGATGTAGAGTCGTACCTATGGATGAATTGCATTTCACATTGGCGAAAATTGAAGGACAATACTCTCCAGCATTAATCAAGCATGTGGCTGAGACCTTTTATCGCATTGTACAAGGACTTGAAAAGCAACATTATATGGGCAGCTTTACACTTGATCGTATTGCATTTGAAACCAATTATTCACGAAATGGTAAGTGTCGCTATGTAACAACCTGATGTCTTGCTCACTAATATTGTATAAGCTTTGGCGATCTCTTCAAGCGAGGTTGATAACCCTATATCAAAACTCAAAAGTAAGAAAGGTAACCACGATGACATTCTACACGCTTTGTTCACCTCTATATAAATAGCAATCTGCAAGGCCCGTGCCCTCCTCAACAGCAGTGTCAGTTTCACCAAACATTTACATATGACCATCTTGAAATCACGATCGATCTCGGCGGCTGGCATTGATGATGTAGAATTAAGCAAGGTACTTCCAGAAGATATTCGAAACGACTTTCTTGGGCCAATCTTTGTCGACAGCTTTCTAGTTAGCCGCAATATCACAAGTATGCTCACCAAAAACAACAGACATGTACCTTATACCACATTTAAAATTGTATAAATATATCTCATCCGTTTGCTTACCATCATTACCATTAAAATTCAATCATTTGCTCCATTTATACATAAAAAAGTAATCTATCATGAGAACTATCGAATACGATGATCATTTAGTAATGGGTTGATAAGAAGCACTGGGGGCCGGTTGATGGGTAATAAGGATACGGCATGCTATACTTTACAGTTTCCACGTATGTGCCGGATACGAATCGTCATTGACTCCATTCCTCAAACAAGATCCCATGCTATGCTCCAGGGAGTGACAATATGGTCCGTGCGCCATTGACAGTAATTGATGTATATGACTCATTCACAGCGACCATACCTACATCCTCCTCATCCATCGATGCAACAACATTATTCATAATTATCGTGGAAACAGCATAGTAACGTTCACTTTTTCTCTTCTCAAGCTCATCCCACTTCCCACTGCTCCTTATTGTATCACAAAAGCCATATACTTCTTGCATGACCGATAATCGGACCACCTTTATTATTCCATCTTCGAACCAATAGTATGCAATCCACTAGCTAGCAACTCCGAGCGTGTAATAAATAAACAATACAATGCTTTATTCCATCTAGCTACATTACCACCATCCTCGTCTTCGTCCTCCCTCATCATTCGTACTCGTACTCGTACTCGCACTCGTCACCAGTCGTCAACTCATCGTCACCCAATATCAAGAAACACACAAGTTGAAGAGAATGGGATCTTGCAGGCTTCCTTTTGGATCTCGTTGTCGTTATCATTGTCATTGTTGTGGATGTGGTAATCGTCGTAATCGTCGTCTCTATAAATAAAAAGCAGCCACGTTAGACCATCTGATACTGGAATGATGATGATTTGGTATACCACTAGGCGATCCTCTCTAAGGAAGAAAGCAAATCAGAAGGAATTCACAAACCAAATCACCACCATACGAGCAACATCGGGCGATCCCTTGTTCTTGAGAAAGCACTGCACGAATCACACAAGGTCAGTTCGATCCATGGCAAGGAAGGACATCACTTACGTAGAGTCCAGCCTCATAGGTGTCCTCATTCATCCTCTCCAAAGAAAGAACGATCCCCAATCCTTCCAATCATTTCCCACCTCATGAAAAGAAATCCTCAAGGGAAAGGACGAGCCTATCACGAGAAGAGCGTGTTGGTTAAACACATTCACAAGCTGTTGCAAATCCCCTTTTACCTCAACACGGTGACCATGCTCTTCCAAAAAGCCATCGTCATCGACCTTTTGATACAGGCTGGGAGTCGAACCCAAAGAGATGATGATGCCCTAAATTGCACTGCCTGACCAAAAACCTATTCAATTCATTATTAGTACACATGTACAATAAACGCCCTTTTTCATTGTTTGTTTCATTGCACTTGCCTTTTCCATATACACAAGAACCCCTTTGTTGTTGGTTACTGGAAAACGAAAATCATGATGTGGTGTTGTTGAGCCGAAACAAAACGCCAAACGAGCCAAGGTGTTGAGACCAAACTTGCCCTCTATACAAGCTAACACGTCAATGGAACCAGTTCGGATGCAACATTGGACTCTGAATGTACCTGTTGACACCAAGCATAGAGTGGGAATAGCAACGAACAAGAGGAAGCAACGGTATCGCCATGGCAACAACCAACCACCCACCACGCTCCATTCCTCAGCATTTGGACGCACTCGCCCTGATGACGCAAGTTCAGAACTACATTAATACCTCACAGCCAACAAGAGGACTCTTCTATAATACATTACCTTGATCGGGATGACGTGCATGGGATAAAAGCAGACGAGCGACAAAGAGAAAGAGAAGCGTTGTCTCAAGTCGTGGAGCTGCTGTCCCCAAGTTTAAATCCCTCTACTGCTATTACACTGAGGCCACTCAATTACCCATACACACCATCCACCCAAACACACAACTCACCCATCATCATCAACATCCTCAAGATAGACAATAAGCATGCGTAAATAAAATAAATGATCCTCACGTATAGCAAAAGGGGGTGTGTCATTTTACACTTTACACGATAATGATGATCCTACAACACCCATTGTTGCCATACTACCATGTCACCGCGAATCAAGAAAGTTCAATGATGGGAATGATGGGCTGGAGCAGGAGAATCGTTCACATGCATTGGATTGGGAAACAAAGATGATTGGGAGGAATGGGCTATCATGTGGCAGTTTACAAATAACTTACCAATTTGATTCTTCTGATATTGGATGATGTTCCTGTGTTTGAGCGTTTTTCAGTCAAATCTCATCGGATCAAGAAAGTTGAATGCTGGGCATGCTGGGCTGGAGCAGGACAATCGTTCGTATGCATTGGATTGGACAACAATGGAGAATGGGAGGACTAAGGTTATTAGCTGGCATTTTGAACTATTCCTACAGTGTGTACAAGAATCATGCATCGCCTGTGCTGAATAACTCAAGTTACACAAACACGCCCTCTGCATCTTTCACTATATTATAGTCATACTACTTTACATTAAACAAAAACCACTTCTCATATAGCATCACGCTTACAAACATAAAGGTGCCTGTATCTCCAAACTTTACAATGAAACGTGGGGTTTTGAATAGAGCAATGTGCTCGGCTTGGCCAACTGCACCTTGTGTGAAAGTTTCACGATCAAGCTTGCCAATCCCAGATTTCGCAATGTCGCTACCAGCCAAACTGGATCTGGCGGTCGACCTCTTCGACGACGACGACCAAAAAATATTTTTTGGGCTGTTCGCGACATTGAACGCGAAACTTTCACACAAGGTGCTGTTGGCCAAGCCGACCACATTGCTCTATTCAAAACCCCACGTTTCATTGTAAAGTTTGGAGTTACAGGCACATTTATGTTTGTAAGCGTGATGCTATATGTAAAGTGGTCTTTGTTCAATGTAAAGTAGCTAGACCCTGACAGAGCAAAAGATGCAGAGGGTCGTGTTGTGTAACACAGCTACGTTTGCATGAATGAAAGGGTCAATGCATAACTACTTTATGGATCATCTAGGGACAGGCATGCATTGCTAGCTAACGGCCACTTTTATCCAATCATCATTGTTGCGAGATCCACTGCATGGGAACGATGCCCCTGCTCTAGACATTCATTTCCATGATTAAAGTAGGTTGATCCGAGCTGATTTGACTGAGCTATGGTCAAAGAGAGTTTACATCACTCTGGACATAAAGCACGCTCGATGTAGCTCAACCGATGTAATCTTGTGTGAGCGTAACTCAACCAAATCAGCTCGGATCAACCTACTTTAATCATGGAAATGAATGTCTAGAGCAGGAGCATCGTCCACATACAATAGAGCGCACAAAAGTTGGGAATGCACAAAAGTGGCTATTAGCTGCCAATGTATGACCTGAAAATGAGGGTTGCGTACCTATCATGCATTGTCCCTGAAGTCCTGACTTTTTAGCTGAGTTACCCAAAGAGGTCCTTCTGCATCTTTGGCTCTCCAGGATCTAGCTGCTTCACAATGAACAAAGACCACTTCTCATATAGCATCACGCTTACAAACATAAAGGTGCCTGTATCTCCAAACTTTACAATCAAACGTGGGCTCTTTAGTAGATCAACGTGCTCGTCGGGATCAAAGGAATCTTGTGTCAAAGTATGAAGTTCATCGTGAGCGATCCCAGATTCCGCAATGTCGCCACCAGCCAAACTGGATCTGGGGGGTCGACCTCTTCGACGACGACGACCAAAATAATGTTTTTTGGGCTGTTCGCGACATTGAACGCGAAACTTTCACACAAGGTGCAGTTGGCCAAGCCGAGCCCATTGCTCTATTAAAAACCCCACGTTTCATTGTAAAGTTTGGAGATACGGCTGTCTTTATGTTTTCACTATGCTGTAAGCGTGATGCTATATAAAGAGTGGTCTTTGTTCATTGTCAATTAGCTGGACCCTGGCAGAGCAAAAGATGCAGAGGGACCTCTTTGTGTAACTCAGCTACTTTGCATGATCGGAAGGTGCAATATGCATGATACTTCATATACGATTAGCATTGGCAGCTAATAGCCTCTTCCTCCCACTTTCAACTTTTTGTGCATTAGACTACATGGGAACATTGTACTACTCCAGCCTAACAGGTCCATCCTTCAACTCTCTTGATCCGAGCTGATTTGACTGAACAACGCTCAAACACAGAAGTATCATCCAATATCAGAAAAATTTATCTGGTTAGATATACGTGAACTGCCATTTGATAGCCCATTCCTCCTATTCTCCATTGTTGCCCAACCCAATGCATGTGAGCGATTGTCCTGCTTCAGCTCATCATTTCTATCATTCAAGTTTCTTGATACGAGGGGATTTGACTGAAAAACGCTCAAACACAAAACATCATCCAATTTCACAAAAATCATTTTGCAAAGTTATTTGTAAACTGCCGGCTAGCAGCCCCTTCCTCCCATTCACCATTGTTGCCCAATACAATGCATATGAACGATTGTCCTGCTCCAGCCCAACATGTCCATCCTTCAACTTCCTTGATTCGAGGGGATTTGAATGAGCAATGGTCAAACAAACATCTAGGCATGATTAATCTCCACTTCTTCCATTCCCACTTTCTTCCCTCTTCCTCCTCCCATTCTCAACTGTTGACCCATTCAAGTACTCTGCTTCAACCCATCATGCCGATGCTACAACTGCCTTGATCCGATTGTCTTTGATTGAATGGCACGTTCATGGCGTGTACACAGCCTTCTTGTCACTCTTCTACAACACACGAGTCTCTTGACACAACACACACTCTTGTACACTCCTCTACCACGATCAATCGTAACAGCATTCACTCCAGCAATTGCTACTAGCAAGGTCTTCATCGTCTCCAACAGTGTTCTTTACTTGCAGCAACGTGTCTTACAGCCTTTTCACGTGAATAGCAGATAGCCATTGCGTAGAAGCAGCTTTATTTACCTATAGTAACTTGCTTCAATACATACGACTTCTTATGGATATGGGTATTGGTTTGGAACATGGAATGGAAGGAATGGATCTATTGACCGGTTCGGTTCCCTTGGCCGATTTAGAACGTGATGGCTACTTTGGATGACACCATATCAGTCGTCAGCTACACAGCAATACAAGCAATCTTCAGCTGGATGAGTTGCGATGGAAAGTGACCGACAAAGAGAGAGAGAGAGAGAGATCGAGGGTGGGATGGAAAAGGAAGCATTGCGGCAGCGATCACATGGCTTTGGCAACCAACATGGAATGCTTTTGGTGGATGAATTCAATCAATGTAATGATGGGTATCATGGTGATTACTTGTCGTGTGGTCAGCAGGGATGAAGAATCATATCACACGGATACAGCTGAGGATGGTGATGGGATCGGATGGGATGGAATTGACGAAAGAAGGTGGTTACAGTTATGGATGGTATTGGAATACTGGAGCCAATGCACGCCGCAATCATGGATGAAGGACGATTATGACGGCAGCAACCAAGAATACAATGACACGTTTTCCCCTATTGCCTCTACGTGATTCCCCCCGCGTATCTTATTCAATTCTCAATGCTGTTCCTTTATCATATTCACTTCATAAACACCCACACTACAATGTGCTATTCTTCGACTTTCATTGAATCATGGAATTGGATTGAGCATGTTATTCATAAGGTCATCGTACTATCAACACCCAGAACTTCAGACACATACCATATACGACACGTAAGAAGCATAGGATAGATGTTTCCGCTGCCCATTCGAATGTTCCTTATGTACAAGCACATGACATATCATAGGCATCCTCCAAGCAACTAGAAATCTTCATCTTCAATCTCCATCTCACATAAAAACACACATACACCAGCCTTAAAGGATTTCTATCTTGTCTCCTTATTGAGTATTACATAGAATGTCGTCATTTTGCTTATCATTATTGTATCATTGGATAAAAGTCAACATTCAATTATTTGCTCCCTTTATAAAAAGTGATACGATCACAAGAACTATCGAATTCGATACTCACTTAGCTTTGGCGTTGTTGTTAAGAAGCACCAACGGCTGGCTGATTGCTATACTACCCAAATAACGCACTGACAAAGACATACAGTAAGATGTACATTTGTTCGTCACTCACCCTGAAACTCGCTTTTTGTTTTGAGGTCACCCAACTTGCCATTGTATCACAATCAGGGAGAAAATTAAAAGGTATGCCTGTTGGGAATGGTGGCGAGCTGATGAATTATTGGGCTCTCGTTGGGGTGATTAGGTGTCCACGTCAATTACGTAAATCATGGCTGGACGTAAACAAGGTGGTAATACCCCATCATCAATAATGACACCCAGCAGCTATGTGTCGCCCAAATCACTTTCTGTGAGCGCAATAAGACATGTTCGTGTGACCGTTCGTTTTTAAAAAGGTTGAACTCATTGGCATCGTGATCGATACAAATGCAGGACACACATGTAATAGATGTCCCTTGCCAAGGGGGTGGGTCGAAATTTGTAACGGCTTCCTCATTATGAAAGGGACATCGGTATGTCACATGACCGCTGGTTGGAAAAGTAAATAGATGACCTGCATGATTATCTACAATAGTCGCGATTTGCCGATCCTACGTATATATGTAGCTTTTGGAAAAATCAGTGGGAGGTCCATATCGGCTCTCGATGTAGATAAAGAAACAGCAATAGTAATGATTTCTTTTTAATAAATGATGCTGAATACCATTAAAGGGTGCTATGCAAATACATCTATGCCTATTCTTCACGATTCGTTTATGTAAGGGCATCATCTTGAGACATGTTGATATAAAGGGGGCAATGGAGAAGGCTATTGTTGGAGGAGTTGTTGGACGTATGAGACTATTTCATCCTTTGTAAAGCCGGCTTCTCGCATCTGTTGAATCAATGCTGCATGGGCTTGGAGTTCTTCGATGCGAGCTCGACGTGCTTGATTCAATGATTGTCCTTGATGTTGTGATGGTGGCAGGTTATATGGTCTTGCTCGAGCTACTTTGCGAACCATTGATAATGCTTTGTAAATTGATTGCACAATGTAAATCCACTTCCTGTTACCTGCTCTGGAAGTTGGCTGACGAGGACGAGAACGCTGTACAGGACGAGGTTCAGGGGTAGCTTCTTCTTGTGGACGTGGATTGTTGTTTGTGGTGGTGGTGGTGGTGGTTTCACTTGTTTGTGGACTTGCTGGCCGAGGAATTCGCGAACGCGACGATACGCGACGAGATGCGAGAGAAGCTACTTCTTGTGAATCTGGATTGTTGTTGTTATTGGTGGTGGATGTGGAGGCGGTGATGGCGATACCAATATGGTCAACGAGGGTGTAGTAATCGGAGCATGCATTCAGGACTCGATCTTCACTGGCTATGTATGTATGCAATCACTGTCAAAATGCAATGCAATGCAATGTTGATAATCGTCATCCCCTTCATACATACCTCCTGAGGCCGCTAATGCATGTGCACGCTTATAGCTTTTTATCAACGAAGTCAACTTGACCACCACAGCTTGAGGCGTGATGCCCCGGAATCCAGCATTCTGCAACAAGGTGCACACCAACCCTGCAACTTCAGTCTTGTTCTCGTTTACTGCACCAAGTCGCTTGCTCCTACAACCAGCTTGCATAAATCGTTCACAATTGCCTGGCTGTCTCAACCAGTCGAGCACAACTTGATTACGGCTGACACCCATGGGCCCCAAATTAGGCAACCACTTCATGCTGTTCAAATGAGGCCTCCAAGGAAGTGAGCAATTGCTAAAACGGAATGGAACTTTACACAACGCGTACCTTGGAATGCAGAGATAATAAACGTAGAGTTTGCTCAAGAGAAAGAAGAAGGGTCCAGCTGACTTTGGACACGCGCGATTACTTGCATTAATTTCATTGTGCCGCACTTTGGATAGGCCCTCATGGCTGTGGGTTCTTTATTCATCATCCAATCTCAATCAACAAATTGCATCCTTACATGGATTGTTAGATGTCCACAAGAACATTACATATCAGGGATTAGCTGAAGTCCCCATGAGGAGAAGGTATGGTTTATTCAAGTCTGCTTTCGAGTGTGCGCACCATCACCTCCATCATCTCTTGACTATAATTCGTAAGATCCAACCCGGGTTGCTTCATCTTGATCGTGAGCCACTTAGTCTAGAGCATCCAAATTATCATTGATTAATAAAACTATGACTTGACTAATACACAAAAAAGACTTACAAGCTCCATACGTAAGAACTTGAGTAATGCAGCTGATCTTGCAAAGCATTCGAACTTGATCCAGTCATCCAATATCACGATGCGTTGCTTGTGCTACTCGTATACATATATTGTCAACTCACTTTTGTATCAAATAACTCATTTGACTTGTTCTTTACCTTAATCTCCATATCGGAAGCTAGCAGCATGACGGCCACGGGTTCAATGGTAGTTGCCTCCCACATATATATTTGTTCCCCATTCATCACCACCGTATTGTATACCAAAAAGTCACTGCTCAATGACGTCTCACGACCAAAGAGCATGGAGGATGGATGAATACGCATTGCAGTGTGCTTGTTATTGGCAAACGTTTCGCCATGTCGTTCCGCCATTTTTGGATATAAGCCTGCCATGATAGCTGCATTCACCACAGGTACAGAGGTCGCATGTTCATTGTAGACAGGAGGGACAGAGCACCAGCGCATCTTGCCACCACGCTTGACTTGGTATCCTTGCAAATCCTCGATATCATTGGACTTTACAAATCCAATATCCAGCAACAGCTCCAGATATTGTCGCTTCATGTCTTCGATCATCTCAAGGTTGGCCTCGCTCAAAAAGTGTCGACCACAAAAATCTCGAATCTTGCGTCGCCATCCCGATCCTTGTCCTTGTAATTTTTGTAATTGATCACGCCATGCTTGATAAGCTTTGACGATGGTCCAGAAATCCGAGTCAGCTATAAATGAAGGGTATGTATCAGTGTTTGATTCTTGTAATAACAACCCTTTTTTCTTTTACCATATCTAAACTTGGCACGTGCAACATCCGCTTCCACTTCTCGACCAAAGGGTCGCATAAAAGGACTCTTGAAACTGAGTGCGGCTGCAATTGTCAATACGGGATCAAGACATCGAAAGATGGCACCAAAGAGGATCATTTTGCCGATATGCACATCCACAGGTAAGTTCGCCAAATGAGCACCCAATGCTGTGAGTGTTTCCATTCCATCCGTGGATAAGGCTTGGACCTAACAATGTCAAGCATTAGCCCCCCTTCTCTCTCATACAATCACGCATCCATCATCATCACGAACCTCTTGCAACGTTTCAATAGCATTGACCACCAATTGAGGAGAAGGTGCATCCAAGGCAGTGCCAAGGAATTCTTGAATGGATCCAAGCTCACACACTTTGATCCTGAGACATAGTTCTTCCAAGGGTAAACGGAGGATCTCGGGTGTTTCATAATCGGCCATCTATGATGTGAGGAATGTTAGCGTCATTTGTCATAGAATGCATGTTGACATGTACCTGTAAATATTTGTTCTCGGTAAACAAATGAAAGCACAGACCTTCTTGAACACGACCTGCACGACCTCGGCGTTGACGTGCATTGGCCTTGGCAATAAATGATTGGCGTAATCGAGTAATGCGTCGTTTTTGATCATAGCTGACAATCTTGGCCATGCCTGTATCAATGACCACAGTGACATCGCTAATGGTCACACCTGTTTCGGCAATGTTGGTGGATAACACAATCTTCCGCATCCCCTTTGGAGGTACATCAAATGCACGTTCCTGGTGTTCTGAAGAAAGCGTCGAATGCAATGCAATCAAGATATACTGGGAGCTGTCACCCAATACGCGATGCGCTGCCAACATGTCGTATAATCGTCGAATCTCTGGCATACCAGGCAAAAATACGAGAATCGCACCCGTGTCAGGTACTTGGCTGTTGGGGTCATCTTGTGATCGTATACAAATATGGTCCAATAGATCAAGGATAAGGTCATAGTTGATCTTGCTTTCATCCATGCGTTTGATCATTTTGCGCGTTTGGTCGCTGTACTTTGGTGGTGTCTCGTCTTGTTGTTCATCATCATCTTTGACTGTAAGCTTGCCATCGAGTCGTGTCATGTCGTATGGATCATCATCGTCGTAATCATTGTCGTACCAATCAAAGTGCACCTTATGCGATGTACCATGTCCTCCTGATACTTGAACAGACCCTTGTGCTGTATCAAATGTGTATTAGATCCGGTAAGGTGACACAAAACATCGTATTTTACCTTTGTGTATCCGTTCTCGTCGCACAGCATAATGAGAGTCCTCTTCAATGGTGTATCCTATAGACTTACGTGATGAGCCATCGTTCTACAAGTAAAAGCTGATAGACAAATAAATACCTGTTGCTTCTACGACATCTTCAAGGTACTGTACTTTGACAGGGAACGTTCTTCCAGGAACAGAGATGGCAGGACAACCACCAAAGTATTCAGAAAACCGATGCGCTTCCACTGTGGCACTCATAAGGATAACCTTGAGATCATGTCGAATTCGGCACAAACGACGAAGCACGATCAATAAGAAATCGCTGTCAAGTGTACGTTCGTGAACTTCATCCACCACCACATGTGTGACGCCTTCCAAATGTGGATCGCTTTCAAGCCGTCGTAAAAGAATACCCTGCATATCAACATGTCAGCATAAAAACCTTCTAAGACCATCCGTCGTTATGCAAATACTTGCCGTGGTGCAAAAGACCAGCACGTTCTCATCCGCGACCTTGCTCTCCAAACGAATTTGATATCCCACCATGCCATTCTTGGTACCAATGGACCTTGGATAGTCACCCATTTCAGTAGAAACACGCTTGGCAATGGACATGGCTGAAATTCTTCGAGGCTATGATTGTTTGTGAGTACTAGGTCATCGATCAGCATATTGTATTACCTGTGTACATATCACTGAACCGTAACCGTGATTGCCTTGTAAGAGCTCTTCTGCTAGAAATTGGGGGACTTGGGTACTCTTGCCACTATGTACAGGTGTGTCATTGTTATTCATGTCAAGAGCCAATGCCATGTGTACAAAAGCTTACTTACCATCCAGTTTCACCCGAGACAATGACGATTTGGTTATCACGCACCAGACGAAGAACCTCTTCCCGGTAGGATGCCATTGGCAATTCGCTTCGCTTTTTCTAAAAGATGATCAGCAACAATGACCACCTGTACTGTACAATCAGCACCTTACCTTCATATCATTGTATTCCTTGGACCGTACTCTCTTTGCAAATGAGTTCTTCACACGAGCAAACATGGCTTTCTTATCGACACGTAATGCCTTGGTAGATCCCTTATTCTCCTCCTCCATTTCAGCAGCCTGATGGTCGCTTGTTGATTCAGGAGCCTATGAATAAAACAAGGATTAGAGAGCGACATGTGTAACGTAAGGTACTTTCACTTGCATTATCCTCCTTGTTCTTGTTGAGCGTCCCATCCATCAAATCCACAAACAGCTGCATTCGCTTTTTTGATTCTTCGAGCTGGGGTCGTAATTCTCGTTCATTCTAATGCAAGGTGTGTGAGCTATCTTTTCGACCTTTGTTATCCAAATTTACCTTTTCCTCAACCCATTGCAACCATAGATCCTTAAAAGGCGTTGACATGATACGATAGATGGAAGATGCAGGATCCAATTCAAAAAGAGCCGCCATCTAAAAATATTATCGTCATGTGATGAGTTTCCACCCCCTCCCCTGAATGACATCCTATCCAAAACTTACTGCAACAAGCTGTTCAGCATCCTTGGTATTGTTGGTTGCAAGGTGGCCAGGAATGTCCACTATCCGGGGTTCATGGAAAGGTTGTCGTGACACCAACTTAACAGTAGCTCGCCATCGATGACCACCAAGGCTCGTAGTGGTGTAGACTTGCTTTGCGTAATCCGTGTTTTGCTTACAATACTCTTGTAGCATCTCCTTGGGGTATCTTCCAATCCAACCAGGTTTCGCCAAATCCACCAATTCCCATGAGATTTTTTCCTCCTTGGATTCGACAGGAGTGACAGTGGCTGCTTCTTCCTCGTCCAACATGTTGCCAAAGAGTCCGCCACCTTCATCATCATCATTCTCGTCACCAAGACCAAGATCCAATGGGTCGTCGTTTTGTTGTTGTTGTGCTGAAGCTTTCTCTTCCTTTGCGGCCTGTTGTTTCTCTTCCAATTCCTGCTGTTTTCTTCGTTCACGTGCTTCCTTGAGCGCTTCCAAGGCCTCTCGCTGCATTGAAACAAAGATCTCTTGTGCTTTTCTCTTGTCAAAGTCCCAATCATTCTCGATATCCTGAAGAGATTGTCGTACATGGGCTATCTTTTTCTCAATGGCTTGTACATCGGCTGGATCCATTGCTGCTGCAGCTGCTGAGGCGAATTTTTTCTTCTTTTTGCCGCTGCTCCTTGGAAGTTGTTCTTCGAGTTGTGTCAATTCCAATCGAAGCGTTGCATGCTTTTCATTGATATCCTGATCATCCTCTTCCTCCTCCTACATATAAAAAAGCTGTAATCAGATACCGATTCAAATTCCATGACAATATTAAATTTACCTCTTCATAATATTGTTGAGCTGCCTTTAGAATCTTGGCCTTGACATCCTCCTCATCCTCCTCTTTGATAGCCTCATCATCATCATTGGAACGATTGAGTGCCACCACATCCTTGGGCTCTTCCACAATTCTCCTTTCCTTATCGACTTCTTGTACCTAAACAAGGATCATCATCTTAATGCCACATTTCCAAATAATCCAACTTGAATGTTTACCTCGCCTTCAGGTAACTCGGCACGAATGGAGAGACCTTCTTCTGTAAAGTACTTGTCGAAAAAGCCCACTGGCATTCGATCATATGGCACATGGACGCAAAGCTAAAAAAGGCCTACCGTTAGGATGATGATGTGCCGCCTGAATAGCTCCTCTCTCTCTCTCTTACCCAATCCAAAAGATGATTGATATCGGATGAAGCGGTGCCACCAAATGCTTCCATCATATCACTTGCATGAAATCCCATTTTGAGTAAAGTACGATACACCACATCCATATGTCCAATAGCTCGATCATAGTCCAAAGAGTTGTTGATGATGCGTTTCTTGCTTGGTTGACCCGCAGTGCCTTTGAGTTCATTGTATCAGCAAATCCATATACACACATACACAATACAATGATGATCCCTTACCAAAAGTATCTGCCTTGCCTTGATGCTTGAGCACTTGCAGCAAGTCAAACTCAACGTCGGCCGTCAGTGCAAACGATCGCATTCCTGCTGTGCCTTGGTCGTCATTGACACCACCACCACGCGATCCCAGTTCATTCAAGAGTGTCTCGGCTTTACGATCATTGACATTGGCAAAGCGTTTGGCGAGTCGCGTTACATTGTCGTCTGGATCGTCTTTCTTTACACTGGTTGCTGGAGAAGTGGGTGAATGGGGCTTTGTGATCTCGGGCTGCGATGGTTGAATGTTGACGACATTATCAGCAGCAGCAACAGCAACAGGAGGAGGAGGAGGAGTCGGTTGAGAAGAGATTGCTTTAGGTGTCGATACAGTTGCAAACCCGCGATTGGAGGCAGCTTTTTTCTTTCTTGGCATATTGACGCGTGAGTTGTGTATGTGTGTGTGTGGTCAAGAACAAGATGGAGTTGGATTTCATCATGCAAAATGATTGAGACTGAATTGGAAAACATGCCACTAGCATACTTTGGATTGATTGATCTGATGGATGGTGCTTCTTAAGGAGGTGGTTGTGATCTTGGCTATGTGAATCAAGTTGCCCTTTGTAATGAGCCTATGCACTTTTCTTTGTGTTACCATCACATTGTCGATGACCTGAGTTACCAGAAACGTACATGTAACGCTCTCCTGGAATCAATGCATGCATGCACACCATTCACTATAAATACATTCTCGTTTTCGCCCTACTCCTCTCCCTCTCGCGTTCATTCTTTTCTTCTTTTCCCATACCATGTTTGACCAAAATCAAGTCCTTGTTGCAGCTGCCATTGTTTTCTTAGGCTTGTCTATTCCAGAACCAAAGGAGACCAATCAAAGTCGATCCGCAAAGCATTCTACTGAAGAAGCAGCCTCCAAGAAGAAGAATGGCTATCATTGTAATTCAAATGATCACAAAGACAATGTTACTAGTAAGTTGTCTACATAGATGTCATTGTTTGTCGTTGTATCCCAACTAACTGTATACCCTCATTTCACGTCCATAGGCTTCCTTGTTTCTGATGCTTATTGCTGGAGTGCTATCTAATCGAGTATCAACCCCCCTCCTCTACTTTCTTGAGACTACCACGCCACACTCATCATGTGTACCTCCTCCTTCCCTAATATTTATATAAACACAGCATGAGGAATGCATTGATCTTTACATCTACTTTTAAGCATGCGCGCTTTGACGCGAAAATGAGGCAAGAGAGAAAAAGTTGTGCTATAAGGGATGATGCTTAGTGATATTCAAGGGGTGTGATGATATACATGGATCATTGGTATAAAGGAGCATTTTTCTCTCCCCCCCCTTCTTGATATTCAATAACAACACTACACATGTACATATGGCGGTGGCGAAAAAACTAGAACTGGGTTTTGTATGTGTGTACGTCTTGCATGCAGGATGCATTATGCATATGCAGAGTAAAAGATCCATCACGTGATCATGACCACCTTCCTCGCCTTGCCTTCATTCATTCCTGATAGATACCCACGTGGCTGTCAACATTGAGTCACATACAAAATGGTTGTCGAGCTTGTGATGTTTGACTGATCCAACTTTATCCATCATGTTGTTCTTTCTTTTCCTATTCTTTTCCTTGTACATTTTCACTCCCGTCACTGCTGCTACTACCACTACCACTACTACCACTACTACCAATACCACATTACCAACAAGAAAACTGCCTCCTCCTCTTCCTCCAAGGTCATTCATGTATACTGGATGGAGTCAACGTATGAATGCGGTCAGTCGACTGCGTTGGTATAATGTGAACGACTTGACTGACTGTTGTCATCAACTACGCACGCTTCTTTTATCACCCGATTTCCTCGAAAATGTTGTAGCTCAAGATGTACGGCCTTATCAACACCAACACATCTTTCATCTATTACGAGGCGGTGAATGTCCTGCATCCCATCTTCGCCGTTTTCCTTTGGATGTCTTGTATGTGTGTGAAGGCATAGGTGATTGGGGTCTCCGTGTAGATCGATTGCAAATGGCCATGAATTTGGCCTTGTTCCCCGAAAGATTGGATCGTGCCTATCCCAACATCCAAACACCAGGCGATGCCGACTTGACCGTCTTTGATGCATTACATGATATATTGGAAGCCATTGGTGGTATGGTTGATCTCATTGATCGAAATGAATTTGAAGAGCGATATCATTTAAACTGGATTCCGGCAGCACATCATCATCATCATCATCCACATCAGTCCACCACCACCACCACCACCACAGCAGCAGGAACCGGTCGTGGTGGTCATCATCATCATTTTTACCCACCACCTCCTCCCCAACAAAATTAACTATCAAGGTTGTCAAAGCGAAGAATACTTGTATGGAACTTGTATAATAGTATAATTATATATAGAAAGAACATGTATATTGCAAAATGTATATTCCAAGATCAACGATAATAGATATCGAGTGCAAATGACTTCAAGTATGTAAACAACGAAAATTGGTATGCGAGATAGGTCACCATCACTAAGATGAAAAAGATGTGTCAATCAATCATGATTCATACTATAAAAGAAATAATACTTACGCCAAAAGAGGGGAACCCAAAAGACAAAAAGACGCTTGTCCCTCCGTTTGGGATCACGTACTGCGGCTTGTAGGCTTGTACTTGAGTAATAGTTGTCATAGACAGCGGATGAAGAAGATGATGAGGGTGATGATGAAGAAGAAGGAGGAGGAGGATGCGTGATGGAAGATGAAGAAGACGAGGGGGCGGAAGAGGAAGAGGGTTCGGCAAAAGGAGAAAGATGATGCTGTTTACGGCTCGGCCGCATAGAAGATTGCTCTTGTTCTTGTGAACTACTTCGTGCACCCATTGCATACGCCAGTGCCATATACCATGCCAAGGTTTGTTCTGGTTCTTGATGCTCTGGTGCAGGTGCCGTTGTATTGGGTGGCCTACTACTATCCTCACCTGAAAACCTTACAGTCATGTTGGCAATCATGGTTGTGGGTCGTGGCAGTTGTAATAAATGGTCGGCGATTGTTTTGAGATTCAATTCACCGGGTTTGGTAGCAATATTGTTCTTGATGTGTTGCAGGAACGAGGTATCATCATCATCAGCATCATGATTTTGATTTTGTTGTTGTTGCTTGGGTTGGAAATGAGACAAGGTGCGTTCGATCCAATTCTTTTGTTGTGTGGTCGTCGTGTTGGATACCATCATTTCATCATCGGATGAGCCTTGTACCATCGCATCTTCATGTACAGGCTGTGCATCAGGAATCACACCTTCCTCATCATCATTGGATTCATCTTCTTGTTCGAGATACTGGACCACAGGATGTTGCTGCATTCGATTCTTTCGATGTCGCATACCATAAGAAAGGGTCACGTCATTCTCTTCCGTTGTTAATGATGAATCCGAGTAATAAACGGGTGATTCAATGATATCATCATCCTCTTCTTCTTCACCAATCCATCCATCATCGGAATCGTCATCTTCCTCTTCTTCATCAAACGACGTATCCACATCAGCACTCATGGCATCCGAAAGCATACCATGGGATGAATCGCCGGATGCTTCACTTAATGGCAAATGATTATGCAACAAGGTGCGAATGGATCCATCGCGTGCAAGATGCATTGGGCGCTTATCAAGCAAGTTTGCAATCTCGGGGTCGGCATGGCCTTCTTCCAACAACGTACGCACCACATCCTCGTGTCCAAACCAGGCTGCGTAATGTAAGGGTGTAGAGCCATTACGATCGGTCATGTCAACATCACAACCCAAGTCGATCAAGGCATGCGTCAACTTTTTAAAACCTAGCATGGCTGCCAAATGTAACATGGTATGGCCCTGAGCATTGGTCATGGAAACATCCTCAGAGTAAACATCGGCCATGGTATCCATCACTTCGAGCACTTGGATGATTTGACGTTCCAATTGTTGTTGTTGAGGTTGCTGTTGTTGTTGTTGATTTTGATCGCCACCTGCACCGGTTGAGGAGGATGAGCCATTGGATTTGTTGCCACCTTGTACAATACGCATAGCAATCTCACGTGCATCTTCCACCTTGCCAGTCATTTTAAGACCAACCACTTGCAAGGCTAATTCCATCAAGGCACGATCGTTCTCGTTATAGTAAGTGAATAGCATCACTTCTTGACTATCCATCATGACAGGATATTCCTTGAAACACACCACCACAGGTCCAGGTTCAGTCACTGCAGGTAAAATGCATACCAATGTATTGGGTGACCAAAAATGCGTGCTGGCAGCAGGTACATCACCAAAGAGAACTGTTAATCCAGGTCGGAAATTACTGCCAAGAATGGTAACTTCGATACCACCAAAGGTTGGACCCTCATTCGGAATCAAACGTTGAAGTTGGGGTCGTTCCATGGATTGTTGTTGTTGTTGCTGTGGGGATTGCATAACAGGTGTTGTTGACTTTTCAATCTTTGGATCAAGCGTTGACAACAAGGCTGCATTCAATGGTTGTTGCTGCTGTTGTTGTTGCATGTGTGTGGTCATTTGTGATAATGCATCCAATTGTGCTTTTGACATGGTCTCAGGACGTGGTTGTATCGATAAAGGAGGTGGTGTACTCGTCATCGGTGGTGGTGGTGGCGGTGCTGCTGCTCCTGGGGGTGCATTAAAGTTGTATTGCATCGATTGATGTTGTTGAGGTGTTGTAAAGGATGGAGCAAAGGAGGTCGTAGGTGCCTGTGATGGTGCATCGGAATCGGTGCGTGGACGTTTACGAGCTGCTTTGACCTTGTTCGATTTATGATCATCCGTAATCATGATGGGTGGTGACATGCCAGTAGCAACTTGTTTGCCTGTATGATCATGCATCTCAAAGTATATGCTAAGAATGTCTTGTCAGCTCAATGGGGATCTATGGGCATTTGTATAATATATTATACTTACCAGAAACCAATCTTTTCATTATGATGGCGACAATAGCAAGTGATGCGAGTAGGTAGAATGGTATCTCCAGAGCTGAAATCAACCACCTCGGAACAATTGAATAGCAACACTTTTTGTTCCTCGAGTGCCAAGGATTTCTCGTCGTCCATGGCAACGCTGCGCTTTTCATCTTGTTGATCATTCTCTGCCTTGATTCGATTCTCTTTACGACGTTGTGATCGTTTTCGCTGTAAAAGGGTGTGTGAATGAGTATACATGTCTTATGGAAGATATAGATGTATAACTTACCTCGCGTTGAATACATCCAAGACAAGTGACGACTTTACGTTTTGGATCACTGGCACAAATGACACGAGCACTTAGGAACAACATCTTATCGGGACGAATGGGGTTGTTGTTGTTGTCGGTGATGCTTGCTACACGGGGTTGCCCATTGGGTGATGTGGTCATGGTAACTTGTCGCTTCAATTTGTCCTTGGCAACCATATGTTCAGGCAATTTGATATGAGACCACCATTGTGCCTTGTCGCCATCATCGGTGACCAATTGAATGCAAAGCTTGATTTGTGTCTCTACGCGCGATTTTGCACCTGTTTGTGGAACACCCAGCACACGGATTTGCATTCTAATGTCGTTCGTTGTACGATGATTCTTAGTTTGGCAGGCTTCTCATTTATAGGCGGATTTACATATGAAAGTTGGTCAACACTTACCCAGGGCACTTGTTATTGCCTGCTGCTGCTGATGCTGCTGCCATGAGATTATCAGTCTTGAAAGAATTGCCAGGTGATAACATGGGTGGCGTAGGCATTGCACTGGATGCGGCTGCCGCGGCTGCTGCTGCTGCTGCTACGGCTGCTTGTTGTGGTGAATTCGAATTGCTATGATTGGGAGGTGGGGGGAGAGAGAATAAATAAAAACGAGATCAACAAAAGATCGAGTTCAATGATCTTACAAGGAAGGGTAACTTGATGATAAATACTCTGTAAAATTACGCGCCAGATTGGGGATAGCCTGAGGAAACGGATTTTGGGTTACATTGGACAAGAACTGCGTGTTGGATATGAAGAGATCATCATCATCATCATCAGCCATATGCAAAACGAAAGTAGATGGAAGAAGAGAAAATCAACTCACACTGTTGACACCCGACCAAAATGTCTGGTTGTGTTCAGGTGCAGTGGCGGTGGAAGAGGATGGTTGCAATGGCTCGACAACACTCATGGCTCCTACACTACTAGAAGCACCTGGACTCATTGCTGGTGGTGTATGATAGCTCGCAGCGGATGGTGATAATGCCTGCTGAGGTTGTTGCTGTTGCTGTTGCTGTTGCTGGTAGTGTTGCTGGTGTGGTGTAGTGGTAGTAGTAGTTGTATCGGAAGAGGATACTCGTCTTGTTGAAGAAGCCGTATCGTTAGCAATGGTCGACTCGGCCATACTTTCGTCCTCATCTACCGATGACGGTTGCTGTTGTTGCTGTTGTTGTTGCTGTTGCATAAAATACAAGGGATTATCAGGAGAAAGCTGATCGAGCTTGTAGAAAAAGGATTGGTCAATGAATGTTTGTTGCATTGAGTCGTCATGAGGTTCGCTCGTCGATGAGCCAGAGGGTGAATCGCAAGATTGAATACTGTCGTTTATCGAACAAGGAACATCAAGTAAAGGACTTTGGTGGGACATGGAATGGAAAGGGTTGACCCGAAAAAAGTGTTTCTTGAAGTGGTTGTGATGCTGATGATGATTGATGCTGGGCTTTAGCCAAGAAGAGAGAAAATTGGGTTACTTGTGCCCAATCAAATGCCCTACTGCCCTTGTGCTACTCAAAAGCTTGGGGTAACTTGACCCACCACCAATCCACCCATTACGTTTTCTCGCTTGAACGGGTGCTGCTGCTGCTGCTGCTGCTCCTACTTACAACTACCTCTATTCAACCCACCACGAGAATGGATCCGATGATCGTGCTACGGTTGTGTCCTTTTCTTTTTCTTCCCCCCCTCTCATCTTCTCTTTACAATCTTTTTATTGTCTCGTAAATTATAAAACAAAAAAAAATGTCTCAGCTGGTGTTGGTGGTTGCTGATCGGAGACCATGCTGCTTCAACTCCACCGATATGCTATCGGGAAGATTGCGTAAAAAGATTAAAAAAAGAGGTCTTGTGCTCAATAACACATCCGGTGACTACCCCCTCACGACAAGATATCACATCCTTATCATGAGATTTGATCTTGCATTGATAATATACAATTGCTGTCATTCCAATAAAGAGAAAAAGAAAGAGATCATAACCACCAAATGACTTTAGGTCATCATTGGCTGACACATCAGGGTCTTGTTAAGTCATAGCCGGTTAGTCATACTTAACGATGCCGAAAATACATGCGCCACAATGAATTTTGTCCCAGCCTAGGTTGTAGCAACTTGGCTATGGCTGATTGGACATGATGCAACCAACTGCTGCCTCTTTCAGCCATCCGTATCATGCGGTCAAATACACATTTATTCAAAGTTGTTTTAATGGTTCGTGATTACCCAAAGGCACATCGTGACCAAACTTATCACTTGTTGCTTTCTGAATCGGTATTGCTTCTTCCTCTTCCTCTTCTTGCTCATCCTCTTCACCCCTATCACCAGGCATCCTTCGTAGACATCCTGGTAACAATGCTATTTACAATGTTTGTATAAATACATGTATGCTCTGTGTGAGTGTGAGAGAGAGAGCTCTCTTTACTTACTGACACCGCTTGTGCTGACACCACCCTTATCCCATAAACAATGCGGCTCTTGTTCACAAGCCCCCTTGGTTTTGAATGCTGTGCACATCACCTCTTTATCACAAAAGCTCTTTTCGATTTTGAGTTCTATATATTACGTGTGAGAAATCGGATGCCATAGCCACATGTGCACTTACCAGTGCTATGTTTTGCACCTTTGGTAGGCTGAGATACAATACTCGTCCATGAACATTGAGCGTTCAAACAATCACTCTCCTCTTGAAATTCCTTGCATTGAGTGCGCTTTGAAGGAAGAGCACATGTATGCTTAATAACTTTCTCTACAAGTAGGAGAGGTTAAGATAGGAAAGAGCTATGGTGGGATATGATAAAATCCTTACCATTGCCATCGGAGAGCTTATAGCCTAGAAGCTCAAATGTACATTTTTGTTCTTCTTGATCTTTTTCTTTGTCGCATGCTTGTACGTGAGTGAGTTGGGGGCATTGGAAACCTCCACTGGTATGATGCGTCACACTACTACTGGGGGCTACAGCGGCAAATGATGTATGGTGATGGGAGCTAAGAAATAGCACAGCAACGCCGATCAAGATAAAATGGTGGGTGGTTTTCATGGTTACGTAGAGAAAAAGCAAAAGCACTCCATGTTCCATAGTTTGATCTTCCTTTATATGATCTATGTAACGTCCAAGGAATCAAGGAGATCCATCATGCAGCTTCTTTTTTTTTACTCCTTGATACGTACGCCGCCGCCATCGTCGTCGCCAAATGGATGAATCCTTGTTCTTTTGATACTCCTTTTTCTTTGCTCCTGCATTGTCCCATAAAAAAAAAGCCATCACCATCATACCATGTCCGAATTGGTTGCATCGGCGCCATTGATTGATTGATTCACATCTACAGCAGCAGGCGGTGTTACTGTTAATTCAAGTACGTGTCCCTTCCACGTGACCTGGATGCTCTTTACGTATCCCCGTGCATCACATTCACTTTGAGTGACAAGAAACCAATTTCAATTCGAGACATGTACCATGATGTGATTGTATCTTTCTCATTCATTGGCATGGTTACACATGGCTCAAGCAACATGGTCACACAAGTGAAATCTATCATGCCATTTTTTGAACGGCGTTAATATGATCCCACTTTAAAAATGTTCGTGCCTATATCTCTCTCATCTTTTATTCTCTATCTCTTTTGAAACAAAACAAGCACCATTATGACTACGGATGAAGAACAAAACACCAAGACACGCGTTGACATTGTTATTGTTGGAGGCAAGTGTGCTTGAATTGAGACCACAACGACATCGACAACGCTCATACATATCATTCAGGGGGCCCTGTTGGATTGCTTGCAGCCAACCTTGCCGTCAAGTATGGTTTATCGGTGCGCATAGTGGGTGAGTGAAAGATGACGGGATGCGCGTTCACTATTACTCTTTGCTGACGAGAGTGAGCAGACATTGAATTTGAGCCACAACATTGGGGACGTGGTGATTGGGTTCATGGTCGTACCCTTGAGCTACTTGACCACAGTGGTTTGGCCGCCGATTTGTTAGCTACGGGTGTACGCGTGGAAGCATTTTCACATCATCATCAGCAAGTGTCAACAAGCATAGCCTATGCACCTGAACATGTGGTTTCGAAATACAAGCAAGTAGTAGTATTGGTACTGGGATGGACAATGGCTTATACTTTTATATATATAGACATGTTTTATGTGTGGGACAACACATCACTGAATCCAGTCTACAACATACACTCTCTGAACATGATGTACAAGTTGAAAGGCCTTGGACTGTCAGCCAATTCCAAAAGGATGGGGCAGATTCGGAATATCCACTCTCAGTGACTCTCAAGCACATGTTGGATAATAGCACTATCGACATCCGTGCAAAGTACTTGTTCGGGTGTGATGGAGCCCACAGCGAAATACGAAAGCAGCTCGATATTGCTTATGAGGGAGAGTCCAGCAAAAAGAACCATGGCGTGCTTGATGCTCTGGTCCAAACCAGCTTTCATGATAGAAAGAGTATTAGGTAAGTCAAGGAACATGTGGAGTGTCTCTTTTTTTCCCTCACCTGATGATCTTTGATAGTTTCATCAAAGGACCTTTTGGCACCCATGCATGTATGTTCCCAAGGGAGAATAATCTTGTACGTGTGATGGTGCAGTTATCGGATGAAGGTGATCGCAACCAGATCCATTTGGAGACAGTGCAACATGAAGCAAGAAGGGCCTTGTTACCTCACCGCGTGGAGTTCATAGGGACGATGTGGTGGACTATTTACCGTGTCGGTCAACATGTTGCTACGCACTATACAAGTTCCCAAGAGGATCCACGTATCTTTCTCTGTGGAGACGCATGCCATTCTCAAAGCCCTACGCTTGGACAAGGTCTCAATACCGGATTTGGCGATGTATTCAATCTGGCAAGTGGCGAGAGGTGGTGGTGGTGGTGGTAGTCATGGCGACGACGATGAACACGAGAGACTCATTGAACATGATAGGTGTGGAAGATAGCGATGGTCGAATCAGGACATGCCAAGTCAACATTGCTCAACACATATGAAAATGAACGACGTCCAGTGGCAGAGCAAGTGATTGCATTGGACAAGCAGATTGTGCAAGCGGCCGAGTCAAAAGAACAAGAGAATTTGGAGGCTCTTTTACGACAACACCAACTCTTCATATCCGGATTTGGTATCAGCTATGGTCATGGTGATAATGGCGTGATGATTCAAACTGGCGACCGTGCACCTGATTTCAAGGTAGTCCATTATGCAACGGGTGCCAAGGTGCGATTATACGATGTGTGGCGACAACAAGTACAAAGCAGCAGCAGTATGATGGGAGGAGGATGGGGATTTCATTTGCTCGTATTGGCACATGATATCACTCAATCGATGGATGCTGTTATCAAGGGACTCAAGGATTTTACGGTACCATCATGGATGCATGTGCATATCATTACAACTACTGTACAAAAAGGTGTTATTGAAAAGCAATTATCACAACATCAGCAGCAACAGGATGTTGAGGGTGGTATTGTCATTGATCCACAATGGGTGTACATGGACAAGATCAATCAGGCGCAATGTCATCATGGCTTGATTCAAGATTACAACAGCAACAACAACAACAACAAGAATGATCCAGTGGCAATCGTGGTACGACCTGATTTGCATATCGGTTGGATAGGCGATTTCTCCAAGCTGTCTTTGGGATTCATTGCTTAAGGGGGTGTCTGTGCTTTCCGCGCTCACTCTTCACCGGTTGACCCCCTTGTATATTACCCTTTTCGATCATATTGTTTAATTCATCCAACATACATCAACCTTATAGAATCTATGCTCACTCAGATTACACGTAATCCCCACACACACACGCACACACACTCAAGCCCGCGTTTTTATTTTTTCTTTTTTTTCACTTTTTTTTTCCTTCAGTAAAACTTTTTCACCCTTGAAATGCATTCCAGCACGACACTACTATGGATGGTACTTGTTTGGATTATCATTCCCATAAGTGCTATTCAAAGTGGATCGGATGTGGATGACCCGACATTGTATCCATTTTATGTCATGTTGGGCAATCCTCACGTGTGTGGGGGTGTTTTATTGTCCTTGAATCCCGCCATTGTCCTCACCGCTGCCCATTGTGTGGCCGACGCACCTCATCCATCCACCATTGAAAAGAATCCCTACTTTGCAGCCTACAGCCATATCGATCGAAAGAAACAAAAAATCAACGCCATCGACGATTGGATAGTGCATCCAAACTACAATATCAGTAACAATGTCGATATGCATTACGACCTTGCTCTTGTCAAGTTGGAGGATCCTCTGGAACAATCCGATCACGTGGATCGTGTTGCTTTATGGCCAGCAGATGGCAGGTTACACTCGTTCGATGGTAAAGTTATACTACAACTACTACACATTGTCGATGATGTTTTTGTTTGCAGAGAGCTAACTTTGTGTGTATGTGTAAAGGCAAGTTGATGGGATTTGGTTTCTTGGTCAAGGATGGTCCTGAAGCTAGGAGGTTGCAATCGATTGATGTCAAGGTGACGAAATTGGCATCCGGGTTACGGGATATGGTGGAAGCCATATCAGCTGACGACGAACAACGTGCTTGTCATGGTGATTCAGGTAACTTGTCTAAACATATACATATAAGTCTTGTATACTAAAGTACCTTTATTATACTGTAGGCAGCCCATTAATCATACGACAAAGCGTGAACAATGATACAGCACCCTACGTACTTGGCTTGCTTGCTCGTATTTTTGGTGTACATGATCTCGATCCAAACCATGCAACATGCCCACAGCCCTTTAAAAAGAACAGCAAAGTACCCACCATCACTGAGAGTTTTTGCAATGTGTCCAACATGCTTGATTGGATATCAGAAATCACTGGAATATCAGTAGCCAACCTTACCGATCCTTTCTATCACGTAAACGATCCATGTTACGAATCCTGCGCAGGACGCTGGACAGCATCAAAATCACATGACTCGTCAGGCCACAAAGGGGATGATCATTGGCACATTGGATTTGGTGACGAAGCATTCTTAAAGGAACAACCTGACAAATGGTTTATTGGGCCTGTTGTCCAAGATAATCCCATGTATCATGACGAGACGTCTTTTGCTGTTTTTATTGAACCTAGAGCATCCATCACTCCACTTTTCCTCTTTGTAGTTTCCTGTTTCCTATTAATCTAAATATTCCCTCCACCTCCCCTCACCCAACCCAACCCGTTTTCTCTCTCTTTTTCGCTCACGTTTACTGTGTAGTAGTTTAATCATGACAAGATGTATAAAAAACAATTTTGTTCAATCTTTTATAATCGTAATCCCATCAACTTGTATACTTCTTCAACATTCTTTGCTGCAACTTCACTAGCTTTGGTAGCACCTTCTTCTAGCACTTGCATCACATAGCCTTGATCATCCTGCAGGCGTTTCAATTCGTTTTGAATAGGCGTTAATCGATCAATTACTGCTGCTGCCACTTGATCCTTGAAGGCTTGTGTGCTCTTGACATTTTCGAATTCCTTGACCGCATCATGAATCTCGATATCACGCACAGCGCTGTAGATGCTGATAAGATTGGATACACCAGGTCGATTCTCCACATCATACGTGACGCCTTGAATTGAATCAGTGACAGCACGTCGAATCTTGCTTTGGATCAATTCTGGAGCATCGGTCAGGTTGATCTTTGAGTGATCGGAGGGATCAGATTTGGACATTTTTGAGGTGGGGACACGTAAGGACATGACACGTTTGGTACCTTGAGCTATAAAGAACCATTAGCTTTGTATATATATCTTCTGGTTGATCGAATCACTTACGGATGATAGGATTGGGCTTGGGGAAGGTATTGGATTTGAATGTCTTGTTAAACACCTTAGCAATGTCACGTGCCAATTCGAGATGTTGAAGTTGATCTTCACCCACAGGTACATGAGTCGCCCTTTTTAAACACCATTAATACCTTTCCAAAGACCTCTCATGGTAGCTGTTGCTTACTTGTAAATAAGAATATCGGCTGCCTGCAGCACTGGATAATCAAACAAGCCCATCTTGAGACCCGTTGTCAAGGATTCATCCGCCAACATTTCCGCATGAGACACCTTGTTGCCACGTGCTGATGCATCCATCTTGGACTTCCATTGTGTCATACGGCCCAACCATCCAACAGGCGTCAAGCAATTGAACACCCACATCAAATCGGCATGTCCAGGCACTCGACTTTGTTCAAACAAGACACTGCGTTTCGGGTCAATACCACACGCCAACAAACTCGCAGCCATATCAAGCTTATTGCGTCTCAGTGTAGCAGGATCCTGGGGCATCGTAATGGCATGAAGATCGGCAAACATGTAGTATGTGGTGGCATCGGGCTCTTGTTGTAGCTTCACCCAGTTGTTCAATGCACCGAGGTAGTTGCCCAAGTGTGGAATGCCGGTGGGTTGAATGCCGGAGAGAATTAAACGGCGTCCTTGTTGTGCGAGTGCTTGCTGTCATTGGAGAAGGTGACAATTGAGTATAAAAAGTGGAGGGAAAGAAAAGAAGAGCAAGGAGGAGGTTGGCTTACCTTGGCTGCCATAGCGTGGTTGTCTATAAAAGAAACGACTTGTTGACAGCTGTGTCGGGACCTTGTGACCCTGGATCCATTGGGATGCCGCACGCATTATTTTTACCACTCAATCAATGACAATAAAGTCATTTTCTTTTAAACCTTCATATATCAGAATGAATGAAAGGTGTTTAAGCGGTAGCTACATCATCTCGTTTTATTTCTTTTTCAGTGTTCAACGACCCATCAGCGGTCGCTTGGGGGATTCTGAATTGGATGCGTAAAAGGAACCACACCAGTAATACAGCTATCATTGCTACACAACCAAAGCCCACGCTGGTAATTTTGCCGAGCCCTACGGATACATTTACATAAGATGTCATTCGGGAAAAATCCCTTAATGATGAACTTACAAAATACGGGGGAGTCAGTAACCACCCATAGCTTGACTTGCATAAATGCAGGAACGAGGAATCCAATACCGCCCACTAGGGAAACCGCTAACGCACGCGCATTGGGATCAGCTTTGTAGATAATCAGGGCCCAGACAAAGCAAAGTGATATAGCAACAGTCGTCAACTCTAGCGCATACGCAGCTAAAAAGACCAAGACAGCTGGGTTGTCTCCACGATTCACCGCTGCAAGAGCCACACTCCAAATGGTCATCCATGCACTCAATACACCCAAATGGATTGCACAGTCATTAAACCTATCCGCACTCCATCCAATGGCAATACAGACAAGTCCAGCAAATACATTCAAGGGCGTGGACATGTAATTAGCAAAAGCTTCGTCATAGCCCATATCCTTGAGGATGATGACAAACATCACTGGAAACTTCGCTACAATCGTAAATGTGATCGTCATCACCGTAAGGATCAATGCATATGGTGAGCCAATGACATTCTTAAACCTATGTATAGGTAAAGGAATGTTTAGAAACGAGTATAGCAATAAAAAGAACCATAGCGATACTTGCGTCTTCCAATTGTAACGTGTGGATGAAATCGCCACATCACGTGATGATTGTGTATTTAGGGTGATCAATCGCTCGTTGTCAGTGATCCATGATGTGTCTTGATGAGGGTAATTGGGTACCACAAAGTAACCAGCAAGACCAATAACCACTGAGATCAGACCTTCAACGAGAAATATCCATTGCCATGCACGTAATCCACCACGATCGGCAATGGTTTGGACAATACCACCTGCTATAAGACCGCCAACGGCCGAAGCTATGCTCATTGCAGATCTAAATGCATTGACACGCTTTGAAATCTCCGCTTGCGTATACCATGCACCCAAAAGATAAATCATGCCCGGCTGAAAAATCTGCAAGAAGCATTTGGTACATGAATAAGCGAGGATAAATTGTCTTTTAATAGTAGCAGTGTACCGATTGTGCAGCTCCCAGAAAGAAACGTAAGGCGATAAGACCTTGGTGGTTGGTCACGAATGCCATGCAACATTGAATCACGCCCCATAGAATAGTCAAAGAAGGAAATACCCATCGAGGATATATCCTAGGCAAAATCAAGCTCCCCCCGATCATGAATCTGGAAAAGAAAAAGCCTCCTTAATAAAAGTGGTTGGTAAATCTATAATTCCTTCTTTCATCTTACACTGTGGCTCCAATGTTATTGGCTGTATTCGCCCAATTGTATGCTGCAGATGCAAGGCTCAGGTCTTCTCTCATCCCACTGACATAGGCATTAGCTGATAAGAGAGGAGCATGAGATGTGTTTTTTATGTTCCGTATCCTTGATGATTATACACATACGCAAGTTGGTTCGATCCAGATGCATGCCAAACAATCCCAAGAACGCCCACACAACAAAACGAGTATCAAGCTTTCGGTTTACTTGCTTTCGAACAGCGTCGATCGTATCATTCAGGGTTGTCGTAGCCTTTTCATCAGTAGTACTATATGCAGTAGTGGTGAGGTCCTTATCGCCGTTCATGCTTGAAGGAGCATGATGGTCCATTTGTGTTTGCATTATAGCTATGCGTGAGGAGCAGGGTTGAAAGTAGGGAGGAAAAAAGTGGATGATGAGCAATGATTTAAGTAAATCGATCGCTTGTGGCGTTCCTGATCGTAACTGGTACGTGATACAAGGAAAACAACTTTCCGCGTTTCATCTCTATGCATGGTCTGATGACATGCATGGATCTTGTTGATCGGGCATACCATAGAAGCTTCGTTTACTACCACCATGGAAATTCCACAAACACTTTGAAAACACCAAACTCGCATGTTTGCTTGTTACGCCGCCAACCTTATCAAAAGATAAGCTTTCACATGCAATGCAAGTTTAAAATGCCCATTGTTCTCCAACATGGCCTGCATCATCCTTCTCTCGTAGCTAAAGCACTATATCAGTGACCTAGGCAACGTCATTTGTTTGCTTTATTTGATCCTCTTTGGATGGTATATCATTAGAAGCACGTTGTGGGAGTCGAAACCGGACACGTAAAAGGAACCAAACTATCCAGGTGGTCAAGATCAAGGCACACCCAAAGCCCACATTGGTAATTTTACCAAGCCCTTTATACAGCATTAATGCGTGTGGATGTGAACACAAAGTCAAAAAGAAGAGAACTTACAAAACACAGGTGAATCTGTAACGACCCACAGTTTGACAGTGATTAGACTTGGTACGAGCAGCCCAATGCAATTGATGATGCCAACCGCCAGAGCTCGTAAATTTGGGTTGCCCTTGTAGATGATGAGGGACCATATCATTGCCAAAGATGGGATCACTGACATTGGATCTAATGCGTAACCTGCTACGATGAGTAAGGGTGCAGGTGTATGTCCTTGATGGACCCCAGCAAGTACAGCGTTCCAAGCGGTAGCCCAAATGCCCGTAACAGTGAGATGAATCACACGATCACCAAACCAGTCAGAGCTCCATCCAATAATTGCGCTGACAATGCAACCAAAGACATGCATTGGCGTTGACATATAGTTGGCAAAGGCACTGTCATATCCCAAATCGTTTAAAGCAATTACAAACGTCTTCACCGCTTGTCGCAATAAGATTTCAAAGATGTTGATACAACCCAGTAGCCATGGATACGGGGAGACGATGCCATCTCTGATGCTAATAATAAAATATGAATAAGGATCATGACAACTATGGTAACCTACACACACAAATTACATACTTTTCCCATTTATATGGCGAGGATGATGAGTGGATAACAGCATTTCCTGACGCTTGTATATCAAGTGTGGCCTTTCTTTCATGCTCAGGAATCCATGATGTCGTTTGATGCGGGTAATTGGGCACCATCATATACCCAGCAAGTCCAACAGCCACAACGATTAAACCTTCGATTACGAATAACCATTGCCATGCTCTTAGTCCAGCTTGATTTGCCAAGGTTTGCACTATCGCGCCAGCAATAAGACCGCCTGGATAAATAGTTCCCTTGTCAGCTTCCCGTTACAAACACAAGCTCGTAAACATAATACTTGCCAACACCAGAACCCAAACCCATCATTGACCTTAACGTTGTGATCCGCTTGGCAATCTCCCTTTCTGTGTACCATGTCCCCAATAGGTAAACAATGCCCGGTTGAATGGCCTATCATAGTACGATCCCTTATTATCATCCACAGTATCAAAAGTAGAACCAAAGTGATTTTTCAATTACCGAGTGAGAAACGCCAAGGAAAAAACGTAATGCCAATAATCCTTGATGGTTCTTGACAAAGGCCATGCAGCATTGTATTATGCCTAGAGTAACCGCTAACGATGGAAAGAACCATCTTGGGTAAATCTTGGGTAGGATCACGCCAGCTGGGATCTGGAATCTATGACACATGGTACATACATAGGTCAATTTGCTTGCGTACATAGTAGTAGGTCCACTGTGCTTATAATTGGACATACATGATAATGCCAATACTCATCATCGTATCGGCCCAATTATATACAGCTGATTCCAAATCGAGATCTTCTCTCATGCCACTGATGTATGCATTCGCTATAGTAGTTGCATGAATGCATGTATGTACGTGTTAAGCAGCGGGGTATAGAAAAATGATTAGAGGCGATCATACGTACGCATGTTACTTTTGTCGATGAATAGGGTAAGGAACGCGACCATTGACCACAGGGTCAACCGAATGTCAAGCTTGCGTTTGAGTCGTTGCCGGATCATAGTAACTTCATCCACAGTGGTGTCAGTAGTGGTTGTTGCGTCTTCTTTTTTCTCTAAAGACGTTGTTGTGCTATTCGGATCACTAGGGAAAGCATCACCAGTGTTCTGGTTATGGTGTGACATTCTGTACAAGGCTATACAAAAGAAAATGAAGGAAGCTATATAGACAAAAATGAAGAAAAAAAGTTCGAGGCGTATCGAACTTGGTGTTACAGCACTTGATTCATTTCGGGTTTATTTAGAGTGCCAATTACGCCACATCTATAGCCAAATCCCGCCTTAAGATGGATGATGATTGTCGTATCATTGCATCGATTCTTCTATGTATGCTCATCATCACCAAATGGCATGCAACATCATGACACACGTTCATGGATCTTCATGATGGGGTGCCAAATAGGATTGCACGCCATTGTTAGAAAAGCTCAATGATGTGCGAAACAAATCAATCATCTCAATCATTTACAATGCCAGACAACAAGAAGAGCTTCTTGTATGCAACTCTGAAGGCTACGTTTGATATCATTCATTGCATCTATGTCCTACCGATGTACTAAGCAACACCAGCTTTTGTATTTATTTGAGTCTCTTCGGACGTCATGCTATTAGAAGCAGGTTGTGGGAGTCTAAATTGGATACGTAGAAGGAACCAAACTACCAAGATGATCAAGATCATGGCACACCCAAAGCCCACGTTGGCGATTTTACCAAGCCCTATTATGTAAATAAAGTGTGAGGAAAAAAATACAACCAAGCGCAATAAAGACTTACAAAACACAGGTGAATCGGTGACAAGCCAAAGTTTGACATTGAGAAAGCTTGGTATAAGCATCGCAATGCAGCTGACTAGGCCGACTGTTAAGGCACGTAGGTTTGGATTGCTCTTGTAGATAACCAGGACCCATACGAGTCCCAAAGATTGAACCACTGGTAATGGATCTAAGGCATAGGATGATGCAAAAACCAAAGGCACAGGTGTATCTCCTCGACGAACGGCTACAAGCACCACGCTCCAAATAGTGGCCCAGATGCCAATAACCAACAAGTGAATCACACGGTCACCAAACCAATCGGCACTCCACCCAATAGCTATACCAATGATGGCGCCAAAGATATGCATGGGCGTTGACATGTAATTTGCAAAGGCGCTATCATAACCCAAGTCGTTTAAAATGATGACAAACATCATTGTCATCTGCCTCAAGATGACCGAGAACATCATGATGCACCCAATGAGCCATGGATAAGGTGAGATAACGAGATTCTTGATACTACATAGCCATAAGCATGGTTGGGTCGTGTTGCAAACGGAGATGATAACTTACTTTATCCATTTGTATGGCGAAGAGGATGTAGAAATGGTAGCATCTCGTGATGTTTGTATATCAAGGGTGGCCTTTCTCTCATGGTCGGTGATCCACGATGTTGTTTGGTGAGGGTAGTTTGGCACCATCACGTATCCAGCAAGTCCAATAACCACAGCAATTAAACCTTCAATGACAAAAATCCATTGCCATGCTCTTAGGCCTGCTCGATTGGCCATGGTTTGTACTATCCCGCCAGCAATAAGACCCCCTGGATAAACATTTCCCTCGTCAGCTTCTCGTTACACACGCACACACACACACATACTCGTAAACATGATACTTGCCAACAGCAGAAGACACGCCCAATGCTGACCTAAAGGATGTGATGCGTTTTGCAACCTCGTTTTCGGTATACCATGTTCCCAACAAGTATGCCATACCTGGTTGGATGGCCTATGTCATAGTAAATCATTAAGGTGCAAGGGAAAAAAAAGTGATTGTCATCATTACCGATTGAGCAACACCAAGACAAAAACGTAACGCTAGCAATCCTTGATGGTTCTTGACAAAGGCCATGCAGCATTGGATGATGCCCCATACTACAGGTAATGTTGGAAAAAACCATCGTGGGTAAATCCTGGGTAGGATCAAGCCAACGGGGATCTGGGATCTGTCATTTAATAAACGTGTCAACGAATCTCTGCGTACGATCATCCATGGGGACTTTTGACATACACATTAAGGCTTATGCTCATAATCGTATCAGCCCAATTGTATGCGACCGATTCTAGATCCAAGTCTTCTCTCATGCCACTGACATAGGCATTCGCTAATGATATAAAAAAGTGAATGATCGCATCCATGGATGTACGTTCATCATCAAACAAAGTTACTTACGTAGATTGCTCTTATCGAGAAATAGGGCAAAGAATCCCAAAAAGGCCCAAATCGCCAACCGGATATCAAGTTTACGTTTGAGACGTTGCCGAATCGCTGTCATATTATCGTCGACCGTGGTGCTCTCAGTATTGCTGCTAGTATCATGCGTGGTGGATGAGTCTTCTCTTTTCTTGGTAGGCGTTGATGTGGTATTCAGGGCATCATGGGTAATGACAACATTATCATCATCACCACCACCGGTCTTCTCGTTATCTCTGAGCATACTGATGGCTGTTGTGGTGATGCTATACAAAGGAAAATGAAAAAAGAGATCATGAATAAAAAAGGTTCGTGGCGTATGATGGAACAACAAAAGCTGGTGTTACAGCACTTGATTCATTTCAGGGTTATTTGGTACCAGATAGTACGCCACATCTACCATAGCTCAAGTCGTACTTCATTTTCTATTTCGTGTGACCATACAAATAACTTGGATTGGTGTTTGACATCAACCTGCAAGTAGCCAATGTTAACTGTGTTCTTCGTGTGAACACTTTTTGTAGGTAAAGAGGAGATGACGAAAGCTTATGGATGTAGGTCATTGGTAGCCTTCCATGACATACATCTTGTGAGTAATTGGTCGTATGAGATTGAATGACTTGCTTTGACCAAATAATAACTCTTCCATCTATTTTGAAACGTCTTTGAATCCTCAAATGGCTTCTTTGATGTGGCCAAATATACTCGTTTTTATGATTCTCAAGTTCTCAATGGAAGCTGCATGATATCGATTCCTCTTTTTTATGCGTATACGTTCCACCTGCTACTTGGCCATGATAGCAGAGTACCTTTTATTCTTATCACATACCACTCTGCTCCTTGAATTCTTATACAACATCTATTCGTGCCATTGTAAAAAAGAAAGCATTCATGGTTCTTACAAAGTTGCATCGTACACAATGCCAAATTCCAGCCCTTTGCATGTATCCAAGGGGGTTCCTATAACTTTAGAAGCGTGTAGCTTCAACCACATGATGCACAGAAACAAGGCATTTATGATTTAGCGAGGAATGGGATGTTAAAAGCTGCTGAATCTTGGAATAGACAAAATGAAATTGCTATACAACAATGACGACCACTGCTGAGTTCAACTGAATTCATGCATGTCAAACGTGTAACCCAAAATTGGATATTGGCATATTAGGTAAAAGATAGGGGTATGCGACTCGATCCCAACAACACGGGGATGATCCCTTAATCCCATCAAATTTGTTTTCCTGCGGATATAATGCTTCATGTGAACAATGTATTATTATGCCAGTCAGAAATACAACAACGACAAAGAGAGAAAGAGAAGAAGGAAAGGGATGTCAAAAATGTTAACATGCTATGATTATTTTAATGTTGCATTTACTCGTCATCGGATTCAGGGTAGCAACCAATTTCGAGAGCTGCATCATGAGAGGAGGAGCGCATTAGCTTATCATTAAGAAGGTTTATCAACAAAAGTACACTTGCCTGCTTCCGATGGGCTATCTTCCCAATAGCACCGTTCATCACTGCTACAACCCTTTTCATCCAACTTTTTACAGTGCTCGCGAGTATTCTCTTCTGATGCCTTGGTAGATGTAGCAGCAGTGCTCGTTGTGGTGGATGCGGGTGTAGGATTGTTAATGTTGACAATGATGGTTGCTGGTGTAGAATCAAGGCGCGTTGTATAATGTGAAGGCGATGCTTGTTGTTGTTGCTGTTGCTGTTGTTGAGGATACGAAGGGTATTGTTGTTGGTTCATTGTAGTAGGCGTTGGCCTATGGTGCTGATGATGGTGGTTTCCAGAGGGCCTATTATGGGCAGCAGCAGCATCATGCATCCTCTTGTCATCAAGGTCACAACACCAGCTTTTGCTAAATCCTGGCACAAAAGATAAGAAGGAATCCGAGTCGCAACAAAAGTCTCGTTTGATGTAAGGAAATCGTGTTACACCAGCCTCGACAAGCACCGAAAGCAACAACACAAGGGCCACTGTAAGCGTAAATTTGTTCATTTGGATGGGATAATGGATAATGAAAACGAGGGAGAGAGAGAGAGAGATAAAGTATGAAAATTCATCATCATGCCATGTTGTCCTTTTTATGCTTACCGAAGAACATTAATGACATCGTGTGAAATGCGAATATGTACCACCGAAATGAAAACGCATGGCTCGGTAGGCATGATAAGCAACACCGAGCAAGGCAACGCGACTTTAATCTTTGTCGCTTTTGGTATTATTTGATTGATTCATCATATTCACCACAACCCCCAGATGAGAATAAGGAGAGCTGTTTGCTAACACACAGACCACATTGTTGTATGTTGCAACTAAGTTCACGTTGTATCAAATGACGTGCATCATCATGCAAGAGACAATAGCTATATACAACAACAACAACAAGACGATCGCCAGGTTTGTAATAATAGGAAAAGGAGAAGAAGAGGAATGTTACCACTCCCAAAGTATCTACGGAATAACACAACCCCTTGCCACATACTACACCAGAGGGACTCCAGGTACGGTTTCAGGTGGATGGATAGCTGACTATAACATGTATGGATTGACATCTCGCGTGGTGAAGCAAACAAAGAATGAGGTGATGATCAAGCTATTATACATAGGTGATACAAAATCGGTGACGTTGTTCCGTGTTGCGATTTATGCGAACAGTGGCGTAGACGCGTACGTAGACGAAGCGGCGTTTATTCCCTTTTCTCATTGCTCCCATTACAAAACCACTATTCTAAGGTATGTAGCTCTCAATGCGCAATAGCCTAATGCCTTTCTTCCTAATCACACATGCTGGACCTTAGCATTCATGGCTCCAACCAAGGAAAGGTCGAGAAGTAAAAAGTCCATGTGGGACACTGATGCACGGCCCATGGGGGTTTCGCCGGACGACGTGTTGATAGGGTGGTTCAAGCAGCCGGGCAATTTCGATCGTTTCAGCAGAGCCGACAGTGACAAAAAGAAGGCTGGTCGAGTCAAGGAAAGCAAGATTGATGTGGCTCGAGACATATTGGTGTTATTGCAAAATGCTGGATTTACGGGTTTTGTCTTGAGTGGCATCGTTGTAAGGGGCAGTCTTTGGATCAGAAAGTATCGTATGGCGCGTAGATTGGATCGAGGTGGAGGTAAGAGAGAGAGAGAGAACAAGAGCGAAGATGGGATGATGTGATTGATGATGGTACATCATAATAGCCTCCAGGGCACAAGTCGAAAAAGCATTCAACTACTATTATGAGCTCGTGGATCACATTCAACGTGGACGTGCGGGTGACGATGAACCTGAATCACCTTTGCCATTATCGACAATGTCATCTTCACACGGCTATGAGAACTTTAGCACACCTCGAGAATCACCAGCGCTGTTGGAGAGTGGACAGGACGCTCGATGTGAGCTATCAGGAGAAAACATCATTCGCAATCAACCACGTCAACGACGCCCTGTATCACGCTACACCGGTCAGGACGCTGCCGTTAGTGTTGCTCGAAATCAAAGACATCAATCACGGTTGAGCCGAGATCCATATCCACCCACCATCAGCAGCATGCAGCCATCACATCAACAGTACGACACTGAACACTTGTATCGATTGATTGAACAACACCATGCACAAACCAATCATATCCTCAACATGCATGATAAACAGCTCAATCGATTGATTGATCAATATCAAGACCTGGTCACCGAAATGTCAAGAAGCCATCGTAGCCAGCAAATGCAAATGCAAACTTCCTTGACAGCATCATTGATTGAACGTATGAAGGATGCCGGTTTTTCAAAGGAGGAAATAGCATCCAATATGGCACATCTTCAACAACAATCACCACCACAACCACCACAACCACAACCACAACCACAACCACAACCACAACCACAACCACAACCACAACTACCAGCACCATCATCGTCTACTGGTGAACATATATAGCATACCCGTTCCCCCTATTGTGCTTTATTGCTGTAAAAATATACATCTTGGCATCATTGATGACTGATAAAAAATGAATCATTCAATAAAGGACCCAAATGTGGTAGAAAGTAGCTCCTTGTGTTATCTGAAAATGATATTTGCGCGGCGCGTGGATCATTTCTCGTATCTTTGTTCTTTCACACCTACGCACGCACGCACGCACCCCCCACTCATACCCACATGCTATCAATGTAAGCCATCGAACGCGTCTTTGTTGTCCTTGCCATGTGCTAAATTGAGGCTGCTAGGCAATCGAATATGGAGATTGGAGAGTCCTCTCGTTGGACAGCAACGGAATCCAGCGAATCGAGACCACCCGTGAATATGTCTTCGAACGAGGTGTTACTCGAGTGGTTGAAGAAACCAGGCAACTATGCACGATTCGCGAAAGGGGGTGACCCGAGTTACGTTAGCGTTGATGGAAGGGGCGAAACCAGATCGGATATGGCTCGAGAAGTGCTTGTCATGTTGGAGGCGGCAGGGTATCAAGGACGTAATCATATAGCAACCGCCAAAAAGATGATTAATTGGGTGAGGCGATATAAAAAAGCACATGAATTGGCATGTTCTGGAGGTAAATACATGTTGGATGTGTGTGTGTGTGTATAATGCAAGATGTATCATTGATGGGATAATATAGCGAATGAACACAAGGTGAGGAAGACATTTCCTTATTACTACAACCTCGTGGATTGCATTGGCAACGACAGTGAGCTCCCTATCAACATACGCGAATCGAGACAAAAACGACGAGGGCGTCAGAAAAAAGCCTCCAGCAGCAGTCGCGATGTGAGCCTTGATACGTATTTGGAAGGAAGTCCACTATCATCAGCAGCTTCATTATCACCCTCACCCGGGCCTGATTATCTCTCGTCTTCCTCTTCGGCTTATTCACAAACGGATTACGTACCACACATGCCAATCATCCGTTCAAGGCAACCCGATTCTTCAACACTATGCTCATTTTCAGAACAAAACATTATCAATGGACCACGACGCTTACCAGTGCCAAGCATACAACCAAGGGGTAACCCTACTGTGAATGATAGCAACAACAACAACAACAGCAATAACGATAGCAACAATACAACGCATCATCATTGCCAAGCTACCATGCAACGTATGATGGAAACCTTATATCAACAACAAGAATACCACAATCAACAAATGAGTCGCTTACTGCAACAGAATCAAGAATTGCTTACTCAACAAGCTAAAAGTCACCGTATACATGAAATGCAAGTTCAAGCTTCTTTAATGGTGTCTGTGATCGATCGACTGAGTGCCGCAGGATTATCAAAGAATGAAATATCGGCTCATCTTTTGCAGCTTAATGGAGGTTCGAATGAGGAACAACAACAACAACTGATACCACAGCAAGACCAATAAGGAGTAGTGTAATATAGGATTGGAAGGGATGTGCATCATGCTTGCATAGGATGTCAATAAAGAGAGGGAATGTGTGTATGTATTCATTCATTGATGCGGCTTATTGATGAGCGGAGTGTACAACCATCATGCTTCAAGGCCGTTTGGGTCGCGTTGTGGAAGTAATAGCATGCTCCTTCTCTCCGCCCTTTTTTGACAGATCTATACAATCCATGTGAGTCGCCAATGTATATGTGTACATCGTTCATGAGCAACGTGCTAATGCTGCAATGCGTTTTTTTTTTTCTATAGAGACAATTGTTCCCCCATGACCAGTGTTGAAAAGCGTAAGAATGCAAAACTCTTGGACGACTTTTTAGCCGGTTGGTTGGAACAGCCGGGCAACTATGCACGATTCGCGAGGGCTAACGGCAGAGATGGACGTGAACGCAGAGGAGATATTGGAGACGAGATATATAAAGCATATCGCGAGACTGGAGGGACGCAGCATAATCGTACCGTCAAGGCCAGGATATGGAAATTGGCACAGCAATTCCGCAAAGCTCATGATTTAGCATGTAACGGAGGTAAGTGACAAGTAAGGTTGTACTATCATTATTAGTGTCTAATTTAAGATAAAACATAGCTACAAGAGAAGAGGTGCGCAAAGCATGTCGATATTACTATCAGCTTGTGGAGCATATTGGAGAAGACAGCAATGTCCCGATTTACTATCAGTATCCAGGACGACCCGGCAGCACTGAAATCGAGAGGGATGATCCTCAAAAAAAGCCACTCACAGATGCAATGAAGCAGCAACTCAATGACGATCATTGTCAGGACATGATGAAAATGGTGGATGAAATGGCTCTGCGACAACGACAACAGCATGAACAAGTGATGCATCTTCTTGATCAACGCCAAGAATTGCTGGATCGGCAATCCGAGCGTGCTCGTTTGATGGAAATGCAAATTGAAGCTTCTATGGTACTTTCGGTGATCGAACGATTGAGGAATGTAGGGTTCTCAGAGGATGAAATATCGTTGCATATCCAACTTCTTCAACCACTCTACACCTTTCACACTCAAATGATGAATCAACAACAACAACAACAATCGTCATCTTGATCAAATGTATTACTTTTATCATTAGCTTAGCATTAGCTACATTTACCCTGCATGTTTTACGGCTTGTCAATAAAAGCACACTCATTCATTCATTTGTATGGGGATAATTTGTGTCACGTGCAAACGCGGTGTTTTGTGATTTATGCGTTGGCTCATTTTCTGGGACCACGGACGCGACTCTTTCGTTGACGCACTTCATTCACTCCTTGACTACACAATTGTAAGCATTCGATCTTTACTTTGCTTCCAACACTCAACTCAATGGCACGAGATTAGCCTCCATGGCAGACAAAAGGAACAAAAGGAAAAAAATGCGCCCATCGGACATGCGTCCATACGACTACTTGTTGCTCAACTGGTTAAAGGTGCCCGGCAACTATCACCGATATGTGAAAGCTGATGCTAGAAAACGAAGAACTGGTGAAAGAAGAATGGATATCGTCGCCGAAATATGCGAAATTCTCGCAGGCCAAGGATTTCCTGTGGTATCACAAGGTACCGTACTTCAACGACTTAACGATTGGGTCAGGTGGTACACCTGGGCACGGGAAAAGGCACTTGATGGGAAAGGTATGTAGTGGATTGGTATTTCATATGTTGGTCGCTCATGGATGATGATGACGATGATGGAATAGCTCCTGAGATCGTGAAGGATACCTTTCTTTACTACTATGACCTGGTCGATTACATTGAGACAAAAAGTAACGACGACAACAATAACAACAACTCGACAACAAATCAGCCTATGACAGGTGGTCCTTCACATGCATCTCGTATTCGCCAACCCATCGTAATATCATCGTCAGCAGCTGCTTCAGACATCAGCGACGCGTGTTCTCATGATGATGATGACGATGGGCAAAGTCTGGAATCATTCGACGAAGACCATCAACCCACGGATATCGTTGAAATCTCACCACTCCACCAACAACAGCATCTTGCAACAACAACCATGAAGAGTGTTAATAGTAACATCAGCTACGATAATCAACGAGAAGATGCCATGGAAGTAGTAGAGGGATCAGAGCCCACTCTAGCAAATACACAACAACAGCGACATGATATCCTCCAGCAGCAGCAGCAGCAACATCCACCCAACCGACAACATACATCCACCCCCTATGAGTCCCAACCACAACAACAACAGGTATCATCCTCTTATCAAGACCTAATGGAAATGCAAAGCCGCCAAAAAGAGATGATGGAGCGTTTGATCCAACAGCAGCAGCGGCAAACATTGAAGGATCAAGCACGCAGAGATCGTATCAAGCAACTCCAACTTCGTTTATCATTATTGGATCGAATGAAGAAAGCTGGATCTTCCAAGGACGAGATTGCTGCCCACATCAACCAACTTCAGTAGCCTTTCTTTATATAGCATGTACATCAATAATACCAACCCATTGAAAATAAACGCTTTGTCATTCCAATAAACAAAAGCAATACCAAGTTTGATACAATGCAATGTCCCCATCACAATGAAATCAAGAGCCGAATGATGTCGCGTATCAACAACATTCAAGAACGTCAACAGTAATCAGTAAAGCATGCAATCGTATTCATGGCAACAGCAATGACAGCTTCTAAAATGAGTCACGTGAGAGATAGCATGCCTGCAAACGAGTTTTTTTCCCATCCACGCCCCTCATGGTTGTAAGAGATGATATGAACGGTTATCAAAATTTTGATTAAGCGTAGACCCCAGTGGGGTAGTTGATAAGGGGTCGTTAGATTTTTACCCTTTATGGCGGCATGGATGACCCCCTTGGAGTAAATGATACGTAGTCATATATAAGACGAGATCATCATTCATAGTCAAAGTAATATGGATACGTAACCAATGGGCAAGCTGAAATCATAAGATGTCAAAGAGGAAATAGAGGTATAACCCTTTGCATTTTATTCATGGATCCATTACATGGTACCATCGACTTTTCTTTTTGAAACGAATATCCACCATCCTCGAACAACGTCTTATCTCGTGGAACTTGAGCACAGCATGAAGCGATCTTTTGAATGATGTTGTCTACCTCAAATCCTGATTGATGTAGCTATCTCGCGAGGTACACAATGTGTGGGACACACACGTCTGAATGTAAATCCTCGCTGGGTTTGCATTTCGTGTATTTCTCACCTCTTTCACTTTGGTAAGTGTACTGGACGCAATCCATACAATCTCCCAATGACGAAGACCGATTTGGTAGGTTCAAGAGTTTTTCACCCATGGGAAAACGCAATCGAGGTGACAATGAAGAAAGAGAGAAGAAAAGGTCGTTGGACGAGCTGATACTCCAGTGGTTTTTAAAACCAGGCAACTTTGAGCGATATTTGAAAGCGGATGGTCGTGCAAAGCTGCCGGATTCTGAAACCAAGGGTGCTATGGCATTGGAGGTGATCGATCTTCAAAAAGAATCTGGATTGGGTACACGCAAAATGAATTCGATGGTATCAAAGCTTACGCTTTGGCAAAGGAGATACCTCGAAGGACGTAGATTGGCATTACTGGGATCAGGTATGTGTGCATGATAGAGAGGGTTATCACACAACAACGTTATTAATATGGGGGGGATTATACACCAGATGAGCGCACTATACGCAAAGCATGCCCTTATTACTTTCGAGTTGTCGATACACTTGGAGATGCGGGCGTCGAATTCGTTGAAGACGATGAGGATGATGATGATGCTTATGCTTCACCAACAGCTGATACTACTACTACTACTACTACTACTCCACCGCCATCATCACAGCAACAAGGCCAACAACAAAACGGCAATGCTCAAGGCAATAAGACACCGTTACAGCAGCGTCTTACTCAACCAAATGTCATTCATATACGACGAAATCCACAACAAGCTTATTCAACACGACAACGACGACAACCAATACGATATATAGAAGAATCCTCATCATCATCGAGTGATACATCTGACAGTGACGACGAGCCTCATCAGGGTCCTCCCAAAAAGAGGATCAACAACCGCCAACGACCAGCTACTACTACTACTACTACTACTATTATGGTCCCACAAGATTCCAATCCAACACCATCCTCCCGCCAACATATGATGGATCGATTAGAGCAACAGAATCAAGAGCTTCTTGAGCAACAAACAAGGGTATATCGAATCCAGGAGATGCAAGCACAAGCAACTTTAATACAACGAATGCAAGAAGCTGGTTTCTCAAAGGATGAAATTACTGAAAACCTGCAGTATGTGCGTAGTGGTGGCATCATTTGACATGCGCAGCAACACCCTCATACCTTATAAAATGCCATGTATATATACGTGTGATTATCTACTAGGAATAAAAAGATGATTTGCTATCAATTGTATGAGTCTCTCACTTGTAGTAGCTGCGGCATAGTGCTTATGAAAAAGAACGTGATGACACAATAAGGTGCTATGGTAAAAGGCATATTTGGTAATAGAGATGAGGTGGCACAGTCATCCTCATGCACATCAACATTCCAAAATTCCAATTGTAATTAAAGTTCTGTCGCCTGAATGTTGCCTTTTGTGGCCTACACCATATCCGGGTAATACGTAGGGCACTGCTACTGCGGATTGGGTGTAACTATAGCATCGTGCAACATGATGCTGGGACGAAAAATAAAAGGTATATAATAGTCTCCTCCCTCCGTTTTCTAGTGATACGACCTTCTTCTCTACTACAATTTACTCCTCGACGACATGCCATCAATAATAGCGCCACAACACCCGAAGGATGATCCTTGTAACCAGAATTTGTCTCGGCTCCCTTTGGAAATCAATCATCGTATCTTTGCCAATTTTACTCAACGTGAGTGCATCGAATGCATGCGTGTGTGTCGATTATGGCGTAGATGGATGGCCAAGTGGACCATAGATCACTGGAAAACGATACGACTTAGGAACCATGATTTGGATCATCTTGACCCCCTTTTGTATATGATCACCTCCTATGTACGACACATTGTCGTATTGCAGCCCTCTCAAAAGAGCATCATGAAGGTCATTGACAAGCTTGTTTCCATAGGCTTCACTCAAATTGAAACATTTAGTAAGTTGAGCTCTCTATGTAGTACAACAGTGTGCCCCATAATAACACGCCCAGTGTAGTGATTGCCGCTGAGGAGAAATGCGACTTGATACCCTCTCCTACTTTGAAGATGTTTTCAACCAATCTTACACGCTTACATGTTGGATTTTCTCGAAGCAATTGTCATTTTTTGGATGTGCTTGCTTGTTGTCCTCAATTGACCCATTTTTCAAGCTCTTGCTATGTGCATTTCTCTCGCAAAAAGACTCAGCCGATATTGGAATCGCCCTTACGTCTCCAGTATTTACGACTGAAGCATGGCATCAGCATGGATGAGCTGTCAAACGTGTTACGCCACAGCCCTCATTTGCGCCACATGCGATTGCAAGGTCAATTTGATTTGGTTAAAATCGTCAACATTCGACCGGAGCTTGAGCATCTCAGCTGTGGTCATTTCCCATCGTTGAATCAAGACCCATTATGGAACATGACATCATCATCAAAAGAGGAAGCAACACCACCACGCACCTTTGAAATGTGTGCAATACATTACGAATCGCCCTTATATCAAGCCATTGCTTTACTCAACAGCCCATGGGGAGCCAAGATTAAACGTCTTGTTTGTGAAATCAGCAAGATCTTTAGATCTCATGATGATGATGAACAACAACAGCAACAGCAATATCAAATTAACCAACCACTTGAATTGGAGCATCTTGAATATCGGTGTTACAAATATTGGGAAATGCGAACACGTTACAACCTGCCAGTGCAAATGTTGTTAATGCCACTCCTCACGTATGGTACACAATTGAAACACCTTGATATCCGACTCTTTTGCCGCCGTCGTCCAGCGATATTCAATGGTGGCATGGATTCTCAAGCGATGCCCGAGTATGCCACCCTGAGTAACTTGATCCAATTGAGGCATTTATGCATCCATGAATCCAACAGCTTGTACCCCGCCTCATTGGATTACTTGTTCTCACGCATCATTATGGAGCATACGCCGTTGACATCGTTCGAGTATATGCTATCGAGGTTCTTTCCAGATGTCTTTTGCTTTGAGAAACTTGCCCATGTGCCCACACTACGTCATGTGACTCTCTATGCGTTCGAACCCAACTACATGGACTGCACCACCGTGGCAGTCTTTACGAAAGCATTAAGCCCCTCTCGGAGCATCGAATCGCTTCATTTCAAGAATGGAAAAGAATTCACGTATGAAAGGGCATTCAAGTACCTGAGCGATAACATGTCGAATCGAGTCAAGCATTTGACATTTTCTTCGCTCTATCAAACATCCCATGCAGGTCTCAAACACCTCATCAAGCATCATCCACAAATTGAGACATTACGCTTTATAGATATTGTAGGTACTTTTAGTGAAGATATGCATGTCATCCTTCCTGATTTACGTGCTCGTGGTGTAAAAAATGTTATATGGGAAATGCCTTATCCAATAAACGATCGTGCATAATTTGCAAGGCGGGGAATGTGGTGATGATGCGTCGTGTCTATGTTACACCTCTTCTCTTTCACACCCAACACAAAAGCCGCGGCATGTCATTCCTCAGCCATGAACAACAACAACAACAACAACAACAACAACCCTCCACCTTCTCTTTCAAGTCTATTCCATGTTGACCAAACGACGTGATTTCACTCGTGTCTTGACAACGGACGAAATCAATGGCATCTTTTCGTACTTGACACAACACGATTGTATGACATGCATGCAGGTCTCCCAGCGATGGCGTTCCTTGGTGCCGCAGTATGCCGAGACAACTTTTAGCGACTTGAGATTGGATGGCAGGAAAGATTACAGGCGACACCAAAGCATGATTGCTTGTCTCGGGCCACATGTCAAGTCTCTGGTGGTGGATGGATGCCCTGACGCCGATGCATTGTATGGCTTGATGGAACTATTGAGAGAACGTGATTGTCAAGAAGGCATTGAATCGCTTGGTAAGGACAAGGACAAGGATGAGGATAATGACCGTGGTGCGAAGGAAGACTTTTCATTTATTCTTTTTATAGAGCTCTACAAATGCTATGTACCTGGTGATCTCGCTCTTTATCTTTGCCATTGGACACGTTTAAAGTACCTGACGCTGAGTCAAATGACTCATATCATCGACACGGAGGCCTTTTATCTCTCATTGATTACCCGATGTAGCTCGTTAACATCGTTTCAACTCCAATGCGATTTCATGATGATGTGTGACACGCCCGTGGAAGCCGTCCCTGATGCTGCTGCTATGAATCTCAACACGCGTCATTTATCCTGGAATGTATTCGGTGGAGAGCTTGAGCAACCCAACGACTTTGAGCCTCTTTTATTGCAATGTCCAAATCTTATCAGCCTCGAGGGGTGGCTAGCAACCGACTTTGATCCAAAAATATTTGCATGGTGTCCAAAGCTACAGCATCTACGATGGGTGGGTCGGCAACCCAATCGTCATTATTATCAGCTTCCAAGGAACGATCAAGAACTACAAGCACTCGATGTCAATGTGGATGATCATCACGAAGGAGTGGGTCATTTGAAAGGGTTATCCATGCAGCACTATCACTTGTCGACATTGGAGGACCAACATCATTTACGATATCTGGAATTGGATGTGAATCAAGAGCAACAAAGTTATGCTATTCAACTACTTGAAAGAAATGCAACCACCTTGCAATCACTTTTATTGGAAATTGACGGCATCTTATTACCCATCATGGCATGTTTATACGATAGCGGCATCATTCAACGCTTGGTATTATTCGTGCTTTTTATTCGACCCTCATTCTTCAGCAGCAGCAGCAGCAGCAGCAGCATCGACGACGATGATGATGATGATGATGACGCACCGACCAATGCAGCATTGCCTGACTTGATCCACGGCCTGCAAAAAAAGGTGTCTCAAAGCACATCGCTGGAATGGATGGCGCTTGATTTGCTAGACGTTTTTGGCGATTTCGATCTTGAAGAGCAAAAAAGGATGCTATCGATGATTGGCTGTATACCCCATCTCAAGAGTATCGATATTGAAGAAGATACGTTGGATCCACAGGTCCTTTTGGCATTGTTTCAACATGCAATGGCATTACAGCATGTGGTGGTTCGTTGCAATCATTTGAATGTGACATACGAGGTATTGGAGGTATTGGCCCGTTTACCGAATATCAAGAGGCTTCATCTCCATGCTGCTGGTTCTATCAGTGCAAAAGGCGTACGACATTTAGCGAGCAAAAAGGACATGACGTGGATCGTGGAATTATTGGAATCCGATGAGCAAGGCCATGCGTGTTTCGATGATGCAAAGGAAATCATGAAGGATAGATTCTCATATCATGGATAGAGATCACGTGTCTTTATTAAAGCAAAGATTTGTACGTTGTCAAGAGCAGTGATGTGAAGGAGGTTTAACTGGGTGCCATAAAGGGGGTGAACAATGTGGATAATGATCCTTAGATAAATACCCTTCCATCCTTTATTAAAGAGTTCATTTCATTTCATCATCTTTATGTGATTAATTATTATAGAGAGAAGAATGCTTTTAAAAGAAAAGTTTATTGGATATCAAGTTACAAGACTATTTAAGGCCATGCTTAGCCCATCATGATGATGGTTTCCAGATGTGACCACGAGGAGGTGATGGCAATCCACATCCATAGTTTTACGTCTTCTCGGACGGGCCCTTTTAACGTCTATCGCGGACGGCTAGTTATACGTCATTTAAGCTACGACGGCCATTTTAACGTAAATGTGCAAACGTGAATAGTTAACGTACCATCAAGACGGCTTCGGGCGTGAAGCAGACGCAGTAGTTGACGTACTACCGAAACGGGTCTTTTTTAACGTGTTATGGACGTACCTAACAACACGGATAAGTTAACGTCCTACCAAGACGAGGATGTTTTTACGTGTTATGGACGTACCTAACAACACGGATAAGTTAACGTCCTACCACGACGAGTATGTTTTTACGTGTTATGGACGTACCTAACAACACGAGTAAGTTAACGTCCTACCACGACGAGTATGTTTTTACGTGTTATGGACGTACCTAACAACACGGATAAGTTAACGTCCTACCACGACGAGTATGTTTTTACGTGTTATGGACGTGCCTAACAACACGGATAAGTTAACGTCCTACCAAGACGAGGATGTTTTTACGTGTTATGGACGTACCTAACAACACGGATAAGTTAACGTCCTACCAAGACGGGAGTTAACGTCTTACCAAGACGGGCCAGTTTTACGTCCATGGCGGACGGCTAGTTATACGTCATTTAAGCTACGACGGCATTTTTACGCAAATGAGCAAGCGAGTAAGTTTAACGTCTACTACAGACGCCCCCGTTTAACGTCCACTATAAAAGCAGACGGCTAGTTTACGTCTTTTAAGCTACGACGGCATTATAACGCAAAGAGGTGCAAGCGGGTATGTTTACGTCTTACCAAGACGGCATTCTACGTGAATGTGCAAACGGGAGTTTACGTCTTACCAAGACGGGCCAGTTTTACGTCCATGGCGGACGGCTAGTTATACGTCATTTGAGCTACGACGGCATTTTACGCAAATGTGCAAGCGTGACAGTTTACGTCTTCCCCAGACGGGCCAGTTTTACGTCTTACCGAGACGGGCATTTTACGCAAATGTGCAAAGGAGAAAGAGGCGCGAAGCCTGGGGTTGAAGTGCTGCGGAAAAACGTCTCTGTATATACCCGTTGCCATGCTGAGGTTGAAAAAACACAAGTCACAGCGGCCATCGTTGTCTTCTTTATGGCGTGTTAGCTGAAGAGGTTATGGTAAAAGACGAGACACGCATGCACAAAGACACACTTCTTGTACCTTGGGGCATCGCTATATGGGGGAAGGTGCTAAAGCGTGCACGGATCACCAGCTGTAAGCAATGGTGGAGTTTTAGCTGATATCAATCGGAGACACTTGATGAACCCCTTTGTGTAAGGTTTGACTTGCAGCATAGCATCATTGCAATAAAGTGTATCAGTCATTCATGTACATCATCTTTCAATATAGGTAAAAGGCTTGAAGAATTGGGTCTGTTTTATGTATCCATGGCTGCTGTATATGAATAGCAGGTTGGTATCCATGGCGACGTTTCCAAGTCCTCTTTTGCCTGCTTTCCCTCTTTTGCCTACTTTCCTCTTCTGCCCACTTTTCTATTTCTCACAACACCAACTCCTTCAGAGCACTCACTGATGCCGTTCCATTGCAACAACAACAACGTCAACGGTGAAAAGAACCAATCGTGGAGCGTGTCAATCAAGGATTGGTGACTGTAGCTTCCTCATTAAGCACGAGAGTTACTACGATCCACCCATGACAGAAGCAATACAATAGGCATGTCCAAACACGACTTCTTGGGACTTCTTGCTTTCACACAGTATTGTTCATTCTTTTCCACAAGATTAAGGGGATGGTTTATTTGGTATAAGGCGTATTTCACTTTGAGCTTTTTACGTTGGATGAAGGATGGTGCCATGACAATGATCACAAGAAGTGCGTTTGTATGCATGATGCGGGTAGCAATGGATTGGCAAAAGCAACCATCGAGCACACAACATCGACGACATGAAACGATTCACCAAGGATCCTGGGCAATGACGGATGATGGTAGTATCAAACAAGATAAAAAGTGGTAAGGCTATTCCACAAGGAGGCACGGCGTATTGGTGGATTGAATTGCACGTTGTAGTAGATGTATCTTTCTATGCAACAAGGACACAATGAAGTGACAGGATCAAGAATGCTTTGGGGCGAACACCTAGTTTATCCAATAATGGCTGTCATTTGAATAGACGAGATTCCAAGCATGGAAACAACCACTGATAAGGGTTTGGACGATTTGACCTTGGCCAAAGGATAGTGGTCTCCATGATTGTATTATTTACTATTAGCATGATAGTGTATGGTTCGAGAAAGGATGATGGTCTTAAAGAGCGTCAATAAAATGAGATGAGTAAGCTGCTGCAATTGACTAGTACAAAAAATAGATGCTGTGTTTAGGATGGATGGATGATGGATGGTAATTTACATTTCAAAGTTTATGCACTTCACACAAAAGATACCTCAGGATCCAGTGGTCGTTTTTGGCTTATTGAACATGCCATGATTAGCTTGAAAAGGTTCCATACAGGCTATCACAGGCGGACCTTACTATAGGCAGGCAAGGATCGGATTCATTATGCACTCTCCGCCAATAGGATTGACGCTTCCAAGATCAGCCCTCTTGCTTAGTGTCACAAACAAGTCCTTCTGCATCTTTGGTTCTAAGACGAATGAGGCGATTGACATTGAACAAAGACCATATATCATATAGCATCATGCTTACAGCATATGTAAAAGATAAAGGTGCCTGTATCTCTAGAGTTTACAATCAAACGTGGGGTCTTTAATAGAACAAAGCTGCTCGGCGGGGTGAAAGCGATCTTGTGTCAAACTATGAAGTCGATCGTGGCCGATCCCAGATTTCGCAATGTCGCTACCAGCCAAACTGGATCTGGGGGTCGACATGGCTCTTTCCGCTAAAGATTCAAACCCCACTCAAACTGGGACCCGTATGGATAATACGCCTACTGGGACCACTCCACCAACACAAACAACATCACACTCATCTCCTATGGCTATATGGCAAAGCTTTACTCACCATCGTCGTAACCTTCAAGTCCAAAAAACGACCGTATATGAGGATAAACAAGCAAAAAGCGAGGCTCAACACCGTCGTCATGAATTTACCTTTGTTCGATCCAACGAAGAGAATAGTGCCGCTTTCGATCTTGCAGGCATTAATGATGTGTCACCCGAAGACTTCTTTGGGGCTCTTGTTCATCAACATCCCAATGCTATAGGATGGGTGCCTAGCAAGCACTCTGCCTCTTGTGTCATCGTCTCCTTCGAGGATTCATCGTCTCGTGATGCAGCTGTGCATGCAGGGGTATCAGTCAAGAATCTAATGGTTCCTGGTGTTCCCACCGTGGGATTGGAAAACTCAGTGTATCAAGTTGCTTTAGATGGTCTCCCTCTTATGAATCGTGAGGTTTTAGCAACAGCCCTACGTGAGACCATGGGTCGTTATGGTCACATTTTGGATATCAAGCTTTGTACCGACAAATTCCATTTGCTCACGGGTCGTGGCTCAGTGCTTTTGGATATCTCCGCTGAAGGTGGAGAAGATGCTTATCTTGCTTTGGAACATGAGGTTCATTTGGAAGTTAAGGGCACCAAACGTATCATTTTGGCCCGCTGGAGAGGCATGGCCATTCATTGCAATTACTGCAAGAAAGAGGGGCATAAGATTGCCGATTGCCAAAAATTAAAGGAGCGCAAAGAACGCATGAATGTTCGCAAGCTTTGTTTCATTTGTCAATCCCCCGATCATTTGAAAGCCGATTGCCCACGCAGTCAGCAACCTTCGTTAGGTGCAAAACGTCCTCGTATGGCTGATGCGTTTGAGAATATCCATGTTTCCGATACCAACACAAAGGAAAAGCAACCAACACAGGCCCCTTTTGAAAAGGTATCGAAGCAACCTCCTGAAACACCTTCTGATGCTGCACCTAAACGACACATGGCCTCCCAAAATCATCGACCAGGAGATACTGCTGAGGATCCTTGCATACTATCTGATTCTGATGAATCAATTACAGAAGCAGAAAAGGTGATTAACATCCATACGGTGAAACGAGAACCTGAAGATGTTGCCATGGAGACTGATCGAGGGGGCTCAGACACTGCGTCCGGGCTCTCACAATATTGACATCAGTTGTCAACGAGATTGCCGTGGCGACCTTAAATTGCCGCGGCCTGAAAAGGCTGTCGAATCACAATGATCGACAGTTTGGACGAATACTACGCAACTTAAAATATGACATACTCGCTTTACAAGAAACCCATATTGATTCGGACGACTTGGGTGACATTACACAAACCATCCTTCAGGCCCACTCTTCAGCATGGACTCCATATTGTGGGGTCATAAGTCTCAACCCTGCCTTTACTATTCACATGATCACAAAAGCCCTCGAGGGACGTTTATTATGCGTGAAGGTATCACATTGCCAACAACTATGTGATGACCTTTTATTATACATCATCTATGCACCTGCCACGGCTTTGGATCGACCAAGGTTTTATCAACAACTATATGATTTTATGCACACACAACCTACACAACGCAGCATCCTTTTAGGGGACTTCAACTACAACATTCACCTACGAGCACCTAACACCTTCCCAATCACATGGTCCAATTGGCTCACCTCCATGTGGCATGACCCATTTCACAATGATGAACAAACACGAGGCGCTGCTACCTTTCATCGTGGCAACACCACCATCGACTTTATCCTTTGCTCCAATGATCTGGAGACTAAGATTCACCATCCCACAATTTCTTATGTATCGCATACTGATCACAACGCCCTTGCCATCACCATGACTACAGGTATACCTATGACTGGACCTGGTATATGGCGCCTGAATCCACAACTCTTGCGCAATGACTATGTGAGAGAGGAAATACAAACATGGTTGGATGTTGCTACCTTGCATTTACCGGATACCACACCCTGTCATCAATGGGATTGGTTGAAGAGCCATTTGAAAGCCTTTTGCCAGGTGCTCTCACGAAAAGTGGCATCACACCGAAACCGGCAGCTTCAATATTTACAACGTGAATACCGCCAATGTTTACATGCCAATGCTCTCTATGAATCCATCAGCACTCAAACACGCCTTCAGCAAATACGTGCATCCATGGATCAAATACAAGAAGCCGATGCTGATATCCTAGCATTGCGAGCTGGTAATCGATGGCGTGAAAAAGGTGAACGATCCAATGCATACTTTTTTAACTGCCTCAAAGAACGCCAGACCAAGCAATACATACATGCATTGAGCAACGATGATGGGACTTTATGTACATCACCTGGTGACATGGCCCAATGTGCCCACGATTTTTATAGTCGACTTTATCAAGCCGAAGACATTGATCAAGAGTCTCTGCATGAGACTCTATCAGCCATCCCACCTGAAAGCTGCTTGGATGATCACGATCGAGCTTGCCTTATGGAACCGTGGACTGATGAGGAGATCACTAAAGGTCTCACACGAAGCCCCTATAATAGCAGCCCTGGTGTTGACGGCTTCCCATATGAGTTGTTGCGGTTTATTTATACACACGATCGTACAAGCTCGCTCATGAAACAGGTGTTCAAGGATGCCCTTTGTATGCAACGGACACCTGAGTCCTGGCGAAAATCCGTTGTGGTATTGTTACCGAAAAAGGGCGATCGTACATCATTGCGAAATTGGCGCCCTATTTCGCTCATATGTACCGATGCCAAAGTGTTTACACGCATGCTCACTGCAAGAGTGGCCTCTCTCATGGATAAGATGATTAATCGCTACCAAACCGGTTTCCTTCATGACCGATTTATTGGTGATAACGGATTATTGGCAAGGTTGACAATGTCTCTAGCACAACAATACAAGATTCCAGGAGCCGCCTTACTTTTGGACCAAGAAAAGGCGTATGATAGAGTGCATCCACAATACTTGCAAGCGGTTCTACACAAGTTTGGTTTCCCCGCACCTTGCATTGAAAGCATATCACATTTGTTTTTCAATACTCAGCTATCGATCAACATCAATGGATACCTCTCCAAACCATGTCACCAACAAAGAGGTTTGAGACAAGGTGATCCCCTTTCCCCGCTCCTTTTCAATTTAGCCCTTGAACCATTCCTTCGTTCTCTTCTATCATCTTCCCAACTACGTGGCTTCGATTTTGCTATCCCCAATTCTCCACTTGCCTCTTCTCATCTTGGATCCATCCCTCCTACACTGAAAACACTTGCCTATGCTGACGATGTCCTTATTTTCGTCTCCGATCCTGCCGAAATCCAACACATTATGACGATCATCGATCACTATTGTAAAGCCTCCAACGCGAAGCTCAATCACCAAAAATCCATGGTAGTAGCACTCAATGGCAGAGTCTCCCCCGAATGGCGTCAAGGATTTTCTGACCAGGGTATTCATCAATGGCATGATCGTTCCACAGCTGACGCAGCTATATATCTGGGTTTTCCCCTTACCAGCACTCGATCTCAATTGGAGACTTTCCTTCAGCTACAATTAGACAAGCTACGCAAATACGCTGATATCCTCTCACAACGTCGTCTCTCAATACGAGGAAAAGCATTAGTGGCAAATGCTTTATTGCTCAGCAGAATATGGTATTGCCTTCGCATCATCCCTCTCACACAACAATACCTTGGCTCTATACAATCTATTATTGGTCGTTTCCTTCAGGGCACCACCATCCCAAAAGTCAGCTTTGATATATGCACTCGTCCAAAGAAAGAAGGCGGCCTTGGCATACTTCACCCCACACATCATTTACTCTCTCTTCAATTACGATGGATCCTCCCTCTACTTTCTCAACACCATGCTGACTCCAAATCCCTTGCTATCCCCTATCTCCGATTTTGTATCCAAAACTTTTGTAACACCCTTTCCCCCGTTGTCCCTATCCTCTTCCCCGAACGTCGTGTCACCCTGCTATCCACTTTTGGCCACTTCAAGACATTGTTTCAAGCATGTGACAAGCTGCAACTTCAAGTCAATTGGCAACAGGTGACACATCACACCGTGCTTGATTTCCCGCTTATACGTACTTGCACATTTGCTGGCTCTGCTGCAGAGGCACCTACCCCAACATGGCGTTACCATTTGGTTCGTGATGCCTTTATTTTGTCTACCAGAGTTTGCATACTACGAGCTCGTAATCCTCGAGAACGCTCACAGCATACCTACCATGTGGCACGCTATCACCGAGCTACTGCACGTGATGGTAATTGGCGCATCAAACCATTCATGAAACACCTTCTCGATTCCCTTCCCCCTAACCCCATTCCCCTCGACATTCAATCCGACTACTATCGTCTCATCGTGCCGACCACCAAATCAGGCCTTGACATTGACTCATTCAAACGCAAAGATTTTCGCTACAGTCTCTTGCCAGCCCTCACAGCTCTTCCATCATCCTATCCACGAGAGTCAAAAGGAGCATGGCACCGGTTTTGGAACTTGGCCATTCCACACAAAGCAACCACAGTCCTTTGGAGATTGATACAGCATCGCCTTTCCAGCCGTGAACGATTACATCGTATCATTCCTTCCACCTGTCAAACAAACGCCTGCCTTATTTGTGAAAGCTCGCCTGACCAAACTGCTACACACATTGAAACCGATCAACATTTTCTTTTTTCGTGCCCTTCGGTGAAACAAGTATGGTCTATTATCGCTGCACGTTTTTTCGATACCCCATCCGCCCTACAATGGGATCATGTGTCCACCTTGACCTTACGGCCACCAAAGACTCTTTCTCACACCAAGGTCCATGGCAGTATTGTCATTGCTTGTGGCGTACTTGCTATATGGAACGCACATTGGCGATTCATCTTCGATAATCAGTCCTTCAATTCACAAGCCATCGCCAATACAGCCATTCATCATATTCTCCGCATTGAACAAGAACATCAAATAGCTTAGTCTTCTCCCACTACATGGTCATTATTTACTTTCCTTACACGTTTTCACTCAGCGTCATACATTAATGGCGCCAATAAACACAATCTACACAAAAAAAAAAAAAAAAAGATCTGGGGGTCGACCTCTTCTTCGACGACGACCAAAAAATATTTTTTGGGCTAGTTGCGACATTGAACGCGAAACTTTCACACAAGGTGCTGTTGACCAAGCCGAGTCCATTGCTCTAATAAAAACCCCACGTTTCATTGTAAAGTTTGGAGATACAGGCACCTTTATGTTTGTAAGCGTGATGCTATATGAAGAGTGGTCTTTGTTCATTGTGAAGTAGCTGGACCCTAGCAGAGCAAAAGACGCAGAGGGTCGTGTTGTGTAACACAGCTACGTTTGCATGAATGAAAGGGTCAATGTATAATTACTTTATGGATCATCTAGGAACAGGCATGTATTGCCAGCTAACGGCCACTTTTATCCAATCATCATTGTTGCGAGATCCACTGCATGGGAACGATGCCCCTGCTCCAGACATTCATTTCCATGATTCAAGTAGCTTGATCCGAGCTGATTTGACTGAGCTACGGTCAAAGAGAGATTACATCAATCCATACATCAGCATACGTGCGAATGTCTCAGCTGATTAATCCTTGTTCGACCGTAACTCAACCAAATCAGCTCGGATCAACCTACTTTAATCATGGAAATGAATGTCTAGAGTAGGAGAATCGTCCACCTACAATAGAATGGCACAAAAGTTGGGAATGCACAAAAGTGGCTATTAGCTGCCAATGTATGACATAAAAGTGAGGGTTGCGTACCGTTCATGCATTGTCCCTGAAGTCCTGACTTTTTAGCCGAGTTACCCAAAGAGGTCCTTCTGCATCTTTTGCTCTCCAGGGTCTAGCTACTTGACAATGAACAAAGACCACTTCTCATATAGCATCACGCTTACAAACATAAAGGTGCCTGTATCTCTAAACTTTACAATGAAACGTGGGGTTTTTATTAGAGCAATGGGCTCGGCTTGGCCAACTGCACCTTGTGTGAAAGTTTCACGATCAAGCTTGCCAATCCCAGATTTCGCAATGTCGCTACCAGCCAAACTGGATCTGGGGGTCGACCTCTTGTTTGTCGGGCTCAAGGCTGGTGATAAAGCTCAAAAACGCCGTTTCAAGCCAACAATCCCTGTTCGGAGGCAAGTCACTCCCCAAATTGGATCCCAGTCGGCGGCCTCAAGTTCCTCCACAACTTGATACCTTGTTCCATCCTGCTTTATGCAGCACACTTGTCTCATTCTCACACCTTCCCACAGTTTCAGTATTAAGTAGTATAAATATCTTTGTAGTATCGTAGTGAATAAATTATCTATTCGTTTATCGAGTGATCTATCTATCTGCTCATTTTCTCTATCACTTTTCACATCTCTATTATCAGCTTTCTATATTATCTTTATCTGCAACTCTATCTTTTCTTTCTATTGACAACTCCTCCTCGACATTAAGCTTCCTCTGCACACACGTCTCTATTCTGGTATTAGTTTGAGGGCGTTTATTATCATTTCTTTGGCTCTGTTCCTATTTTGGCAAGACCCAAGACAACTAGAGAATAAGGCGTGACAACGACGACGACCAAAAAAAATATTTTTTGGGCTAGTTGCGACATTGAACGTGAAACTTTCACACAAGGTGCTGTTAGCCAAGTCGAGCCCATTGCTCTATTCAAAACCCCACGTTTCATTGTAAAGTTTGGAGATACAGGCACCTTTATGTTTTCACTATGCTGTAAGCGTGATGGAGTTGCTTTTTCCTGGTGGATGGTGTCGGCTGCATTAACGGAAAGATGAAGAGCTGAGTGAAACGGCTCGTGGTGGTTACACAGACACGTCCTTGACAAGTTGCTACACAAACGAATGATGATGATGATTGCCTTTAGGAAGGTACGCAAGTAACACCGTTCAATAATGCAGATGTATCAAGGATGGTATGTGTAAATGACGACAATGATTGTTCCACATCGCATTTGCATGTGCCGCGTGGTGGAGTTGCATAATCCAGCAATTATTAGATCAAAGAGTTGATGCGTGCAGACATGCCTAAGGTCACCCTTTTGACACCGTATCAGGTTATACTGTATTGGTTTGGCAACAACTCACATCATCATGAATCTCAATCCCTTCTCTCTTTTGTTTCAGAACATGTACTGTATCCATATCTTCATTCTTACGAGCCCAATAGCGAAATCACCTTTATTCCATGAAAGCTACTACATCATGGTCCGTGTTATTGGTCTCCATATCGATAACCCAAATCACAGCAAAGAATTTTACAAAAACGTACGTAATGGAATATGCATTAATTACTACTCGATCTTACTCTATTTACATTGATGTATTGAGGACCGACATGATTTCATCCTTTGAGAATCCTGCATCACGCATTGTTCGAATAAGCGACGTCTTTCGTTCCATTTCTTGTGTTCGGCTTACAGACAATATATAGTCATAGCTTTTCTGTAACAATTGTATCATCTCCAATTTCATACGATCATCGTCATAAGCCGACTGGGTGTTCTTGTTATCTTGCTCTGCTTCTTCTTCTTCTTCTTCTTCTTCCTCCTCTTCCTCCTCCTGCTCTTCTTGTTCTTCTTGTTCTTCCTCTTCGTTATCTTCATCATCATCGTTGCTATCACTAGTGGTTGTCATGATGTCTGGCATTGGTTTGTATGGTATAATGATCTGTGGTTGTGGAGGTGGTAAAGATGATGGTGAAGGTTGACGTCGTCGTGATATAGGTTTGTAAGGTACACGTGTATCCAGCTCCATTGATGATGATGGTGATAAGCATGGTACTAGGGCTTCTTGATCTGTTATGGCTTCATGCAGGTTACTGCCGGGTGATGAAATCATGACCCCTTTCCTCTTTTGTCGATGTGGTTGGTGATTGCTATGATTCATAAGATCGTAATAGTAAGGAAAGACCTTTTTGATTGCTATCATTCATGGCTTCATGAGCAGGGATGATGATCTAAGATGCATTGTCTATGAACATTTACCTCGTTTGCTACTGCCTTCCTTTGCCATCGTTCTTGCCTTTCGAAAGGTGCACAACCATCGATGTACACGGGTCCGTACTGAGGCACATGTCCTGGGTGGACTGCTTTGCTTGTTGACGGCCAGCCATATCTGTTTTGTAAAGCGAAACCTCTCATGGTCCAGAGATCCGTTACTGATAGCGCGCGTAACATTGCCATGCGATTGAAACCATTCCAGAATGACTTGATCGGCGGTTTTGCTGTTTCGCTTGTCCGACTTTTTATACGACATACGAGAAGTAGCGTTTGTAGGTGACTTTGCTTGTGGGGTTTGCTTGGTCATGGTTACAAGTGAGAGAAAAATGATGCTACAGGTCACCAGGCATGTCAAGTTGTTGGGATGTCATTAAGTCCGCGTGCTCCATTTACCGGTCATGATGTTGCTTATCCCAATTCATAGAGTGTTGTCAAGCTCAAAGTTGAAAAACAGGCTCCCTCACTTGAGTAGCTCCCCTTTCAGGAAGATTGAATATACGCAAACAAGAAAATAAAACGCGACGTTTCTATGTTGCTGATCAGCCATCTTTCTTCCTTCGAGTATCCAGCTTCATCCATCAATCCGTATACTCGTAGCATCTTGTTTTTGCTCTCAAGTATCATCATGCTTTGATCGAATGCTTTGTTTCTTTTGATAATGGATAGTTGTAACGAGGGTACAAAGATGATACACTGTTTCATAGACTTGGGGGGTTGTGGCGTATCAAAGAATCACGTGACAAAGTCCTCATGCTACTCCCCACACAAAGAAAGAGGGATGCATGTATGTTTGTTACATAGAAGGAACGACTTTCCAAGTGTATGGTATGAACAATTGGTTGCTATGCTACGAAGATGCAATTATCATAGGATGATCCCGGTCAGGGTATTGTCGGAGGTACGGCGCATCTTCATTCTCATCGCGGGGAAGCGCTTCTTCCACTCAACCGCGTCTTTTTATTCCACAGCCCACATCCATGAGCTCCTCCAAGGTAGCAAGATTGCAAAAGAATTGGACATCCGGTGAGAAACCCGGTGATAAGTCGGGTGACGAAGCAATATTGGAATGGCTACAAACACCTCGCAATGCAGCACGCTTCATTCGCATATGGAACAACATTGCCGAAGCCGATAGCAAAACCAGTTTCAGTGCCGAGCTTGCAACGTTTGTCAACAGCATCAGTAGCCCTCAGCGTACCGCGTCAAGCATCCATAAACGAGCACAACGATTTGACGAGTTGCTGAAAGAAACCAAAGCCATGCTATCGAATGGTGCTAGTGATAGAGGTAAAGTAACCTATGTGCCTGCATCATATATTCATTTGACTATGGGATTGACAAATAGTGTTTGTATCATGTATGCAGCAATTCTCAAGCATTTTCCATATTACCATGAATGTATGAAATGCATGGAAAGAGGACTTGAAGTGATACGACAAGAGCTTGATGCCAAAGGAGAAAAAGATGATTACTACGACAGGATCTTTGAAGCGTATCAATCACAAATTACCCAGCGTACTCGATCAGAACGTCGATCAAAATCAGCTTCTCTACCGGATACACCATCACCCATACTGCCTTCACGTGATACGTTATTTGACATGCCACCATCACCGTCATCCTCGTCCTCATCATCATCAATATCAATGACAAAGCAACCATACATGGATTCATCAATGGCAAAGCGACCTTCGATTGTTTCAGCTTCTTCATCATCCAACGTATCCAATCAAATATCCTCCAGTCTTAAGAGAAAAGCTTCACAACATCCTCGAGTAGAATATCCACCTCGTCCCAATAAAAGAGGTTTCCGCATTGAGAGTGATTCCACTTCACCTTCTGATAGTCGACTTTGTGTTGATCCAACACTACCAACACCAACACCATCATCGTCATCATCATCGTCATTGGCTCATCAACCACCCGCTTTATCAAGGCCCATTTCGTCCCCTCGTCGTCCTTTACATATACGACCTGATACTCCATCCTCCTCGAAATCCATCCCATCGCAGCAAAGAGAACAGCCCAAAAAGAAACGAGTTTCACACCAGCAGCCAAGGAATCATCATGCTCAGCAACGTTCTGAAATGGACGATACAGAAACCATTCCTCAAGAGTTGACGCAATTGCTCCAGGAAACAAACAAGTGTATGCAACGAATAATGAAAATCAACCAACGGATCGAGAAACGAAGATTACTTGTCGAAAAAAGGAAACTAGCATTGAGCAGATCACGTGAAATGGAACGGAAGGCTGATTTGATTAAGACGATGCTCGAGTCAGGGTTCTCGAAAGAGGAAATTAGTGAAACTATCAACAAATAGAGATATAAAGAATGGTGGATAGTAGTAATAAAGCCCTAATTTTAATTACGCTAGATAGGATACTACCTTAATGTTCACTGTGCATGACTATTTCTTAATCAGGTGGTGGTCTATGTCAACACTTTGTGCCGTAATTTCAAGGAACAAATCAGATGACTGGGTAAGAGCTGGCTCCTCATACAAATGATATGAGTGTACTTTATGTTGTCAGAATAGAAAAATGACATGTAAACGATATGCATGAACGATTCCAAGGTGTTTTGAAAGGAAATGGAATGCTGTGTGTGTGGCGTCGCTATTTAAACAGCGGTGACATCAGACTTCCTTCCTTCTATTCTTGCTCTTGCTCTCCCGCCCTCAATTCACAGTTTCGCGTTCTTTTTGGCAATGGCAACGGACGAACCTAAAAGACGACAACGTGTCAATTGGAACAAGGCTGTAAGACCTAATGGCAAGACCTCCAATGAGGTTATGGTGGAATACTTTCAAGTGCCAGGCAATTTCAAGCGTGCGTTATCATCAATCAGTATAGCTCGAAAACTTGGATTGCCTATTGAGAACAACGACAGAGTGGTTCATGAGGTCTTGGAACGTTTGCATGCAGAAGGGTTCACATTTCGCAAGTATGCCAAGGTGTTTCTTAAGGTGATTGAATGGATGACGGGGTATATCAAGGCTCGTGCATCGGCGACAAGAGGTAGGAGATGCATATGCATAGAGAAGCACACTGATCTTACAATTGCCTTAGAAAACAACCTTGATCGACGAGACATTCAACGCATTTTTCCATTCTATTATCATATTTGCGACATTGTCGGCGATATAGACGCGTCTACTATTTCAATCGTTCTTGGTCATGATCAACAAGAACAAGATCACGCTCGTCATGATTCTATGAGTCGCGTTGACAATGATCCACCCGCCTACCCTACCGCTCAACGTGATGGTGGAATGGCGACAAGCAGCATCAGCATCAACAGCAGTAATCATATGGATGAACCCGGCGATAGTTCCAGTATCAGTGATGACATGCAAATCAATCAACTTGGAAGGACGTTGCCGATGAATACACCCTTTAACGGCCAACATGATATTGCTGTTAGCTATGTCAGGAGCAGTAGGTTACCACCACCTTCCTATGAATCATCGCCATGGCAACAACAACAACAGCATCCACCTCCACGACCACAATCTCCACAAGCACGCATTTTCCCAACACATACACCCTATGTTCAACCTGCATCACCTCAACCTGCATCACCCGAACCTCCATCGCCTGAACCTCCGTCGCCTACACCTTCTTCTTCTTCCCATGATACCACTTTTACATTCCAAACAGCACATGCAATACTACTTCTGCCACAACAACAACAGCCACAACAACAACAACCATTATCAACATCTTCATCCACAGCCGCTATTACCCCATCAATAGTACCACCTACGCCACCCTCCAGTAATACAGCTGACATCACTCGCAAACGACCCGCCAATGATTCAGAAACGAACACATCTTCCATGCATACCACACACAATACACGAAGGAGGATCATAGAACCAGCTGCTGATGATCAAGAGACTTTGGAGGACACCCCACTTGAAATGATGCAACGGAATAATGAACATCTACGTCAATCAAACATGTACGAATACCACCATCAACGGTTGCTTGATCATCAACACATCTTATTGAGCCACCAAGCACGTATTTATCGAATACAAGAAATGCAAGCGCAGTCAACGCTTATAAAGTCAATGACGGATGCTGGATTTTCAAAGAATGAGATAGCAGCGGCTTTAAAGGGACATCGTCAAGGTGTGAGTAACACCCGTTTTCAGTAAATAGCATTATTGTTGCATACCAGTCAATAAACGATAGGTCATGGACATACATTTTTATGATTGTGGGGAATAGTGGTTACACCGGCTTCATGCAACCTCCGCGACTTGGTTTAAAAAGAAAACGTCATCGCTATGGCATTCAAGCTCTGTACCCAATTTCAGCATTCATAATGTAGCGTGCTAGCTTTACCAGTATCGAGTTGTATGTGCTTATTGTTTCATTGATAAAGGTTTATTCTTTGTGTATGGAGCATTCAATGAAATGGGGGAATGATCATGGATAAAAATTTTGGAGTGACTACAAGTCGCCCCTGATATTTTGCAGGCGGTCGTGAACCTCTTGGATAAATTCTTGTACCCGCGGGGAAACCTCACCGACGGGCTTGATCTTGACGAGTAAAGGCATAATGTCCTCCTCAAGGAAAACGACCAAAAACGGGCACTCATCCGCAACCTTGATATGGAAGCCAGGCAATCCCTCTTCTTCGTCAAACGCCATGGGTTCGACTACTTCAGCCCCTTGTTGGTCAGCTCTCTCGGCATGTGACATGACAAGATTTGGAGGAGCGCCTGGGATATACAATACTTTGATTTGAGATTCTGGTATTACATACACCTTGTTAGAAAAACGATACCACCAACTGCAAAGTAACAGGAGATACAATACCGGACATGATAAGTAGTAAGGCTGAGGTTGTGATAAAGGAAACAAGGACAACGATTCTCAACCCTTCTTTTATATTGCATCGATAGGCCTGGTGATTACCGATAACGCGCGATGACCGAGATCTAAACTTTTACGTGCAAGAGAGCGAACGAGAAACAAGGTTCAACGAGTAAGTATAAACACAAATGCATGACATGTGGGACAACACCCGCTAATGGGTGATACAGCATTGGTGGGTGTCGCGGGGTTTAAGATACATACCTCTCATGCTACAGTAGTACTTAATGATCACTCCGCCGGTCTCATTACGGGAATGAAGGGAAAAAAGTAAAGTCTTGTGAGATAGACGACTTTGTTTTTGACCTAGAGAAGTTACAGATGCATATCTGTAACGACCAAAATGGAGGTTTGGGTATCACTTTGTAGTATGTACCAGCCGTCCGGATATTCGTTTCGTCCGTAGCCTACGATTTTTCGTTGAATAGCTTCACACTCGATTCTCTGTAGCATGCCTCCATCCATTGTGTGCATGCTTAGTGTATCAGTTGCTATGTCTATTGAAAGGCTATTTATATTTCAGGAACGTGTCAGGGAATTTTAAGCAGTATAGCTCGAATACTAGGTGTGCCTATGTAAAATGATGACAAAGTGATTCACGAGGGGACTTGGCATGTTTGCATCCAGAGAGATCAGCATTTCGCAAATGTGCTAAGATGCTTCTTTAGCTTTGTGACGCATTACAGGATATAGCCACAGCCGTTATTGCCGCATCAAGGATACCATCATCGCAAACGACCTGCCAATGATTCAGGAACAAATACACCTTCCATGCATGTCACACCCCATCCACGAAGAAGAGTCATAGAACCATCCGCTGATGGTTAAGAGGTTTTGGAGGAAGCTCCACTTAAGGCTACAACGAAGTAATAAACGTCTACACAACCACACGTGTATGAATACATACATCACAACGTTTACTCGATCACCAACACATCTTATTGAGTCATCGAGCACGTATTTATCGAATTCAAGAAATGCAAGCGCAGTCAACGCTTATAAAGTCAATGACGGATGCTGGATTTTCAAAGAATGAGATAGCAGCGGTTTTAAAAGGACATCGGAAAGGTGTGACTAACACCCGTTTTCAATAAATAGCATCATTGTTGCATACCAGTTAATAAACGATAGGTCATTTTAATCATTGTGGGGAGAATGATGGTTACACCGGTTTCATGCAACCTCCACAACTTGATGTAAAAACAAGAAAACGTCATCCCCCTTTTATGCTATAGCATGTAAGTTACCCAATTTCAGGATTCATGATATAGCGTGCTATTTTTAACAGCATCAAGTTGTACGTGCCCGTTGTTTCATTGATAAAGGTTTATTCTTTGTGTGTGTATGATGGTTGTAGCAAATTGACTAATCGTCCCTGATATTTTGCAGGCGGTCGTCAACCTCTTGGATAAATTCTTGTACCCGCGGGGAAACCTCACCGACGGGCTTGATCTTGACGAGTAAAGGTATAATGTCCTCCTCAAGGAAAACGACCAAAAACGGGCACTCATCCGCAACCTTGATATGGAAGCCAGGCAATCCCTCTTCTTCATCAAACACCATGCGTTCGACTACTTCAGCCCCTTGTTGGTCAGCTCTCTCGGCATGTGACATGACAAGATTTGGAGGAGCGCCTGGGATATACAATACTTTGATTTGAGATTCTGGTATTACATAAACCTTGTTAGAAAAACGATACCACCAACTGCAAAGTAACAGGAGATACAATACCGGACATGATAAGTAGTAAGGCTGAGGTTGTGATAAAGGAAACAAGGACAACGATTCTCAACCCTTCTTTTATATTGCATCGATCCGATAGGCTTGGTGATTACCGATAACGCGCGAAGACCGAGATCTAAACTTTTACGTGCAAGAGAGCGAACGAGAAACAAGGTTCAACGAGTAAGTACAAACACATATGCAATGAAATGCATAGTATGTGATACAAACAACCGCTGATAGGTGACACAGCATTGCGGATAAGATATTACTTCATGCTAATACTTAAGGACGACGCTTCCGATATACTAGTTGCAGGAATGGCGGACAAATAGTAAAGCATTATGAGCTTTAAAACTTTATTTTTGGCTAGAGGAGTAAAACATGGACATCACAAATGGCCACTCCAGAAACATCAATTGAGGTAGACGCCCAAGCTAATCCATAAGTCATATACGATGCTTGAATCTTGAACGAAAAAAAGGTGCACTGGAGAGCTTGGTTGTGGCATTGAAAAAAAGAGATCATGTCGAGTGGATGAATCCAATGCCCCATTTCTTGGAGATACCACTGCCGTCAGAAGTTCGTTGGCCATGTCATCTTGAAAATCCTCTTCCAAAACGTCCACAACCTCAATACAACGTTTTCCAGAGTGGGTCTGTTGGATACCACGTGACGCAAATGGACAAGGGTCCACCAGGATGACTCCATAGATGTAGTAGTCGAGCCCAGTGAGACGATGGCAATGGATCAAGCACGTCCTTTAATTTCAGCTCTATTGCATAGAATGAGATTCATAATGATAAGCAAGAGATTCAAGATGTCTTTCTCCTTCTACTTGCCTAATCTTTCAATGCATGATGGAATACATTCTTGCGCCAAGTGCATCATCGTATCAAACGCATCTTCATCATTGGCACATTTCTTGACTACTATTACCACGCTGATGTGAGATCCCTGGTGCGCATGGACACTTGACCCTGTACATACCTTTTTGATCCATCCAAGAATACAATGATCAGGGCACGATTGGTGTAAAGTTCATGGGAAGAAAAACGACTGGAAAATGATCGCTGAGGCTGAAGAGGTTGGTAGCCAACAAGTTGGTGCTAAGAGGCACGCTCATCTGCATAATTCGGATTACCAAAAAAGGTCATCTGAAACTACACTCAAGGATACAGCACCTACCTTTGGTATCATGCTGGGACTCATCTTCCATATGCATCATAGCTGGTAACTCCCTTGTCGAGTAGCAATACGGTGGTAGTCGTTGCTAATGGATCTTTCAACAGCAACATCTTGCATGTGGTGTAACAGCCTATGCCAATCGTGTGTTACTTTAGGAAACAGCAGGCTCCCAGGTTCAGCAACGTGCACTTGTTCTTCCCTACCTCCAATGTCAGCAGCATTGCAATGTCGTTCTTTTCCTGCTCCTTTCGACCGTTTTCCAGTTGACATTACAGTTGCCATCTTTGACGAATTGGAACGAAAGGACTGTCTCGAATGCATGGTTGTGTCGCGGCCATGGCGGCAAGTTGTATTCGAATGTGCAAGCACAGCATTCAGCAAGGTGACCATGGATGCCAGCAATGGATGTCAGCGGTACAAGGCGCTCTTGGAGAACGTTGGACTTCATGTGAAGAGTGTATCGGTGAAAAACTGCTTAGACGCAGCTGCATTTGTGGAGATGATGACGTTATTGATGCAACATTGCCAATATCTCACTTCATTGGGTAAGGGAAAGGAACAAAAGGAATGGTATCCATGGTCGTCTTACTCATATGGCGTTTTCTTTTCTCTCTCTAAAGTTCTACTTAAATGCTATGTACCTGGAGATCTCAGTAATCACGTGACCAAGTTGACCTGTCTCAAGCATTTGACCCTGAGTAAATCATCACTCGTTATGGCAGCGCATCCTTCCACACTCATAATGAGCCTTACAACAACAACATCTCCAGCATTGGAATCACTTTTCATTGAATCACCTTTTAAACACGACATGTCGATGGTCCCTGAAGATCTACCACCATCACCTATATCGTCGTCCAGCAGCAGTCTACGTTTTCTTTACGTACGGTGCACGAGCATAAACGTGTCATTGTTGGAGAAGATATTGCAGCATTGTCCAAATTTGATCGGTCTACGAATACCCAGCAGCAAGGAGAATGAATGTCAGCAAATCAAGCAGATCATTTCTCAGCATTGTCCAAAGTTAAAGTACGTCTACTTATCCTTGACAGAGGAGCCACATCATCTTTGGGACCACGTGAAGAATGATGGAAAGACAAAAAGAGACGACCACCCACATTCACTATATGGCTTGTCTATCAAAGCATGCGAGGCAAGGCTGTTTTTGGATCAATGTCATTTACAACATTTGGACTTGTCGCTGGAGATGTGGAAGGATGAATACCCATCCCTTGGTACTTTACAACAATTACTGCAACAAAATACGGCGACTTTACGCACCTTGATTCTTCGAATGGATGGATTTCTCCTATTGAATCTCTTACCCTTTTTGCATTCTATGCCATGTCTTCAATCGCTTGAGTTGGATATTCGCACGACACGTCGACCTTCTTCTGAGACATCCAATTTACCCAGTGCATCCACAACAACAACAACGCCTCCCCATCATACAGAACCAGAATCTCCCATGATCATGGAATTACTGGAGCAACTCAAGCAATTATCATCCACACACCAAGACAACTTGGATCGATTGATCTTACGGATATCGGATACCATTCTCACCCAAATCACCACCGATGCTACCACACAACGTATGGATTTCATGGCAACCACGATATCAGAGATTCCTCATCTTCGACGACTCAAGTTGTGTAATGGGTCCTTTGTTTCAGATATGATGGTCACTTTATTCTCTTATCCAAACCAAGTGGAGCATGTGCATCTCACGTGTGGTCTATGGGAAGTGTCTTGCGAATTACTTCGTGTCATGCCAAGATTGCTGCGATCCATTTATCTTCATTGGCAAGGATACAACACAATCATGGATGTGTCGTCAGGCTGGCGACAATTTGCGAATCGACCCGATGGAACCCCCATTTTCGCTACCATAGAATATGTTCCCTTTGATGATGTTGATTGTGGATTATACCTCTTTTATTCCAAAAAGTCCACTATAAAGTGATTTACTATCTACATAATCAATGCCCGGATCGTAATTGTTCCACAATCTCATCCTTCGTCATGCCAATCTCTCGAAATTGTGAAATGAGCGATAATTTAAGCTGGGTATTCAAAATTTGATGCGAAGTGGATTGCTGTTGCTGATACATTTCAAACATGCGATCGATTTGCTCATTGTGTCGTTGTTGTTGCTCTTCAATGATGTTCAACATCCGTTGGATCGTGCCATCATCAGAGGCTATTGTTGTTGATGATTCGCTCATGGTGGCATTGTTAGGTAACGGTGATACGGGTGGTTGCCTCACGCTAGCATTGTACTTTATTGTTGGTGGTAACGCCTGTGGTACAGGAGAGGACCTATTGTTGTTGGTAGTAAACATGGATGATGATGATGATGATACGACCATGGGCTTGCGACCACGTGGTAAGCGTAAAAGGATGTTTTGACGATGAGAGGTGGGTGGTTGTTGTTGTTTTTGCTGTCTACGTTGGTTTGCAAATGAATCACTTGTAGCTGAGACATCAAAGACATCCACCAAATCATAATAATAAGGGAACGCCTTGCGAATGACTGCTTCATCTGCTCATGCAAATAGTATTCATGAAAATGGAATGATGGTTGCCATGCAACAATGTAACTTACTTGCTCCGTCGCGAGCCAACAAATGTGCTGTGACATGCTTACTTTCCCATGTATTGAGCTTGTAGAAAACCATACTTGGCTTACATCCAATGAACCCTGCCTCGTGGTATAGAGCAGCAATGTCCTTGCAAACATCCGTCTTGCTTTCTACAGCATCACCATTCTTCACGTTTCGACCATTTGCTTTGATGAACCGGGTGTAGTTGCCAGGTTCCTTGAGCCAAGATACTAGCACCTCATCCCCCGTCGCATTGCCTTGTGGTTTGACATTCGCTAGAATCCCTTTGCCCTTCCTACATTTTGGCATCGTATACTATACCAATAAAAGTGTGCAGTTATTAGTATCAGATAATAGTATCGCAGGTATAGACACACACCCCTTTACTTTGAAACAGGCACGCGTATCGTAGCAAGAGTCGCGTCGCATTGAGCACACTGCTGAGTCTACGCAAAGTCTCTTTTCAATCACCGAAGTCTGAAATTGGATGGATGCTGCATTGATTGTGAAGCATGAGATCGGCCTCAAAGGGCTTTTGAAGCATTCTCTTGCTTAAGTTGCAATGTGCTGACCAAGTAAAAGACGGTTGTTTAGTACAAAGACTTAGAGACTTCAAAGTACAAAGGAAAAGCATCCACTCAGTTTTTTCCTCTGCTCTCTTTTTCACATACATACTGTTCCAAGTGAGCCTTCCTGTGATGATGTCCTTTCCTTGTACTGTAAGCATCAACCTGACCAGAATTAAAGTGTTGTAATACCGGCTCCGATATGCCGGGTGCATAATGGCATTCATTTGCCAGGTAACCAAGTAAGCAACGATGCAGCAACAGGAAAGAATAGGCCATGGGGATATGTACGCACGCTTTGGATGTTTTGAACATGCGCTTGCCCATTCAGGGAATTATGTCGAAAGTGTGGCGCAAAGAAGATTGTGTGACGTTCAGTAAGTGGCATTCTTCAAATCATCGGACAAATCAAAAGATCATAAAGCAACGTGGTGTCGTATAGTGTTACATGTTCAGCTCGGTCCACGTCGGAAACACATTTGTGTTACGTGGTCGTGGTCCCGCATTGTTCCTCATAAACAGCTTGGCGTCCTTTTTTGGGGTAGTAGTGGTCCATCTTACTCGTGTTCGGCTTCGTAAACAACATCTTGTATAAATAGACCCACAGCGATTTTGCATCATCCTTTATCTTCAGACAGCTTTTCCTTTCAAACATGCCATCAACGACAGCCATCAACGCTTACACCTTTATCAATGGGGCTTATGTGCTTGCAGATTGGTACTATGACGACACGCCAATGAAAGCCTTCAAATTGATCATGGCGATCTATATCAATATGCAAACAGCCTGGGCACTTGGTGTCCTAACGCTTATGTTTAAGCATGCTTTGCCAATGGTGATCAGGCAAACGTTCAATCACTTGACCCTAAACTCTTTCCCAAGGTTCACGGAGTACTATGATACATTGGCCGATGAGCAATACGCTATCCTCAGGGATGGTACTGGCGCATTATACAGGCGAGTTTTCCAGGATCCTGATTTTCTTGGAATGATTTACGCCCGCATTAACCGTCGAGGACATGAGGGAAGACCACCACTTTTAACCATCGCTTTACGCATCGAACCCGGTACAACAGCAAATGAAAATCTGCCATCAACAGTATCTTTATACGATGTCCATACTGCCAATAATGGTGACGAGGAACAACCTCCACCTTTGGATCGTAATCAAGTCAACAATAATGTCGAGGAGGAGTAATCAGTCTCGCTTGCCTTGCTATGATGGGAGCAATGCAATGTTAGCCACCATGATAGACGCTCTTTTATGACGTAATTACCCTTTCAAGTAGACATAAAGGAAATCACGTTGTACACTATCACCCATTCACCTACACACAAACATGCAAATAAAGCGTATGCTCATCATCGTACCATAGCTACCATACGCCTTACCTTTGTCTTGGTTCTCTTTACCATGTATTGACTCATAATGAGTACTGTTTGTTGTGCTAAGCCAATGTCGTTCCAAATTGCCCAAGGGAATTACTATGCGCACCAGTAGGCATGGTAGTAACGTAACCCAGCAACCAACCAAATAAACACATCTCTCATCAATGCTCATTGACCATGCGCACACCACTTTTGCTATCCCATGTCACCTGCATTCATCCATCATTGACCATGCACGCACCAATTTTACTCCATCATCTTGTTCGCACCTTACATTATATCCCTTTTCATGTGCAATCGGTTTCCTACCATGCATATAATGGTTGAAAGCTCACCATAGAATACAACCCACGATCGATTAAAGCATTGTTAATTAATAGAGTGATGGTGCAAGCAGATTGGATGAAGTGATAATATATGTAATAGTGTATGAGATGATGGAGCAAAATTGGTGCGCGCATGGTCAATGATGGATGAATGCAGGTGACATGGGATACCAAAAGTGGTGTGCGCATGGTCAATGAGCATTGATGAGAGATGTGTTTATTTGGTTGGTTGCTGGGTTACGTTACCACCATGCCTACATTTTTGGTGCGCGCGTAGTAATTCTCATTGCCGAAGTAGGGCTTTGCACAAACAATGTCGTATACAGCGAAGTATAGCTTCAACGTAAGCAAGCACAATACCAGCACGTTGCTAAGAGAGTCACTCCCATCCCTCTCCCATATCATGTCTTTGCAATGGTTACAAGCAGAAAATCGAACAATGTATTCATCCATGTCTGATCGCTATACATCTATCACACCAAAATTTACCATTCTGCTCAAGCAACAATAGCCTGCTTGATGTACCTTAGTATTTGATCAACACTGTGCCGATACACCTACTTGACAATCCCCGCCTGTAAAAGGTTGCACAAATCACATTCTTTCTTTTACACTTAATGCTGCCATGAACCAAATACAGGTGACAGCCATCTCGCTTAACCTTGTAGATGTTTGTACTTTAACTTTGAGAATGTATTCGATGACATAGATAGGATTCTTAAGAGGTAGAAGCTTTACATGCAACCACGAGGTGCTGTGTGAGCATTAAGATGGGTGGCCTTTCCGCTGTGCGTGATGTTACCATTTCGTGTAACCATAAACAACGCGGACACGTTAGGCGCGTGTGTGAGTGAGGCATCATGAGACACATACCACCACTTTTTCTAGATGGTGAAACAAAAACACCGACAAAGATGCATTAATTGTAAAAGAACGAGGAGGAAAATGAATGAATGTCTCCTATATCAAGGGAGAGCAAGAGACAAAGACAACTGGTATTTGACATGAAGCACATAATCAATGTAATGGGAGAAACAGGGATTCTAATATGAATGTGAATGATTGTATGGGTATGTGTGAGTGTGCATATGCTTGGAAAAGAAAGAGAACCTGATGTTGGTGTTGCTGCAAAAAGCAACCATCCCCTCCTGATCTCCATATTTAGGCTGTGCCTTTTTCTTTTTTACAATAAGCTCGATACAGCACACACCCATAACACACGTAACTTGGATACACATTTCTTTCTCGCTCTCGCTCTCTCGCTCGCTCTCTCTCTTTTCTTTTCTCTTTTTAAAACAGCGTGTCCTGCGTGTGCGTGTGTGTGCAGTGTGGTATTTATCCTCCTCCTCCCCCTTCCTCTCGTGATTGCAGTGAACAGGCATGTATTCTTTGTTCTCTTAACAACAACCATGCAATTAACCATTAGCAACTACTCTATAGCTCGAATGACCCCGTCGCCATCCAGAGGTCTTGTAAAGTCATCCAATTCGCATCGGTCCCTGGTGTTTCATTCTGAAGAATGGACTGCGCGCAATCTCAGTTCCGACTATCAAGAGATTCAAATACGTACCTTGACAGCTTGGGTGAATGCGCAACTAGGAGAGCAGGCTATTGTTGATATGCGCAAGGATTTGCAAGATGGGAGGCACTTGTTACAGTTACTAGCGACTGTGGAGGATGATGACGATGACGCGCCAAAACCAGAGAAAGGACGAATGCGTATCCATCAATTATCCAATGTTGCACAGGCCTTGAGCATTTTATCGAAACGGCATGATGATGTACCTGATATCGGCAATGAAGCTATCGTCAATGGCGACTTGAAGAGGACCCTTGCATTGCTGTTCTATATTATGACAAAGTATCAATTTCAACCCATTCTAGACGATCCATCTCTCAAGGTAAATCACAATCATCAAAGAGCCATCCATCATACTCATCTTTAAATGTAATTATAGCATGACCCAACAACAACAACAACCGACCCATTATTAGATCATCACCATATCAAGCCATCACCGTCATCATCCAGCATGTCACTCCATATCAAACATCACCAACAACAGCATCTTTTACCCTCTACATTGAAACCATCTCGTAGTAGCAACAGTATTCATCACACAATGGCGTCTTCATCGGCATTGACAGAGGCTAAAGCAGCTCTTTTACGATGGGTTCGGATTCAGCTTGATGATTATACACCACACATCTTGGGAACGATACAGGACTTTAGTCGATCATGGCGTTCGGGTCTTGCATTTTGTCTCTTGATTCATTGTCACGATCCTGATCTTGTCCCAACCTTGTTTGATACCTATTTGCATACCACCATCGCGCTATCACATGAATTTACAAAGGAACAATGGCATGAAATGCTGTCATTGGCATTTGATACAGCAGCACAACAAATGCATGTGCCTCGATATCTGGAACCAGAGGATTTGACAGAGGTGGATTATCCGCATGAACCTAGTGTGATGATGTACGTCACCGAGTATTATCGTATCATGTCAGCTGCACAATCCAATGAATCAGAAAATCAAAAGGCGCTTCGCGTTGCCAAGCGACGTGCATGTATCCATCAACTACTCGAATCTATGCAAATACCAACAACAACAACATCAACTTCATCATCATCGCTATCACATCAAGAGGAAAATCACCATGATGACGTTGCTATGGAAGAGGACAAAGACACATTGATTGAGGAGTATAAACAAAAAATCGACACGATTCAACAGGATGCACACATCTCCCCAGCAAAAACACTTCAGGCAATTGTTGCACTGGATACATTGGCAGATGATATCAAAAAGCATGGTGGTGATGACAACTTGAACAACATTGTCACATTGACACGTGAACGATTGAAGCGGTTGGAAAAGGAATGGGAGGATCATCATCAAAACGGTGGTTGCCATGAAAAGACGTTGCCTGTTCAACAAGAAATGAATCGTATACGGCACATGGTAGAGCAGGTAAATTATTAGGAACACTATGGATACCGGGAGTTTGTAATATTAATGACCAATCAATTACATAGAATCCATATGCTGGGATGCATCCATTGGATGGCAAGGATGACGATATCAAAGCATACGAGCAATTCATTACGGAGCTTACATCTTCCATATCAACATTCAACACGACTTTTTGGGATACATTGGATCAGGACTTGATCACCACGCAGCTGAAGCAGCAACATGAATCACTTTTATCCACCCTCGACACACAAACAAAACGCGTACAATGGTTCAAACGTGGCGTATCTTTTGGCAACATTACTCGAGCTGTGAGCGAGCAATTGGACATTGTACAAAGCATCATGAATGATAGCAGCAATAGCCACAGCGTGACGGACGATGCTATTCAAGATCTTGAGAAAAGGGTGGATGTTGCACGTACAGCTATTCATGCGATCCATGACGAATACGCGGACGATTTAGACAACGATCCTCGGTCCATGGAGCATATGAACGCACTCGAGACGACTTATCGTACGATTCGTGATTGGGTGGATGAGGTGCGATCCTGGTTTATTGAAGCTGAACGTATCCGGGCATGGATCGATCAAAGGATTGAGACCCTTGAGCAGCGGAATGAGAAGCATAAAGATGTGGATCCATTGGGTGAATGTCTTATGCTTTCGGATGATATCATTGAGGGATTGGACAAAGAGCACGAGCAGTTGCGTACTGAAGTGGAACGATTTGATGCGGATGATATGGCACGGTTACGAGCTCATGTCAAGAACCTCACCTTGAATCGCAGTGATTCGGATTTGACACCTGCTGACACATCCACGATCGAAATCACCTTGACAACTCTGAACATGTTGAATCGATTGATGCAGATGTTACATACACGCTCTGTCTTTGTGGATATGCTCGTTCTACGATTAAAATGGGAGCATTTATTTGCCGATGCTGTCAAATGGATTGCACAAACAGACGATGAGATGACTCAGTTTCTACGACGACGAAGCCGATGGATGGATGATCAACAAGACGACCAAGAAGGGGAAGAAGAAGAAAATGATGATAGTATCGAGCATGTTGTCAAGACATTGGTGACCCTGGAACGCAAGATTGCTGATTTCGATCAACATGATTATTCACACGTATTGGATGCATATCAAGAAATGGAAGATTTACATCAACCATCATCGCCTATACCACCATACCTCGAGACGCGTCAAGAGAATTTTGAGAAAGCATTTGAAGATTTGATGAAACGAGCTGCCTATTGTCGCAAAGTGGTTGAGCAACGTTTGGCTGTGATGGAAGTGGTGTCTCAATATCGATTGATTCGGGATCAAGGTGAACAGCTGCGTAAAACACTTTCATCCATGGGCGACAAGTATGTTCAAGAGGATCAAGAACGGCTGGCTGAGGACATTGACGACTTTAAGGAGAAGTCCGCTCAGTTGATCTCGCATTTTGCTGCACGTGTACCTTATCCACAAGTGGACGAGATGGCTACAGCTGCCATTGGGGCAGGGGATGCTCAAGATAATCAAGCCGTGAATGAAGCGATTCGTAGTGCCATTAGCACCTATGGCATGGCACTTGCTTTGACAGCTGAAGGATTGGATCAATTGCTTGCCGCTCGACAAGATACATTATCGTTGCATCAACGTTCACGAGAGGCATATGACAAAATGACGCGACTCACCGCTTGGATGCATGAACGCATGCGAATCTTGGGCCGTGTTGATCTCAATAATCCTGCCACGCAACAAAAGCTTTTGGATGATGAGAGTGAGGTGGCAAGATTGGAAAAGGAACGTGAGACCACCGCTTTACGATTGGATCAAATGGAACATGAAGATCTGGCATCTGTGCTGAGACAAGTACAACAATTGGAAGACGATATTGATCGGGCCAATGCTGTATCCATTGATCGTGGATCACTCGTATCGTGTATTGAAGATTTGGAACGTGCCCATCGGGAATTGCAGCACATGTTGACATCACGTGGACAAACCTTGGATATGATTAAGCAGCGTGCAGCTTGGCAAGCACAATGGATCAAGACCAACCATCATATCCTTACGGTGGCTCGCAAAACATGGGATCTTTGTATCAAAAAGGCACGCTATGACCCTCGTCGTGAGGACCCTGACAAGCCATCGTATGCAGGTGATAGTGAACATGCGCAGGCATTACAAACACTGCAGGATCGTGTCACCGAGATTGAAGATCGACATATGGGTTTATTGCGTACCGTGGATGAAGGCAATGCTCAATTGGTAGAGATAGAAACCAAGTTGAGTGATTTGAGACACTTGCTTCACTACACGTCCGAATTGATGACACAGCGCGCTATCGTCACCGAGTTTCTACTTCGTGCTCAAGATGCTCATCGTGAAGGAGATAAATTGAAGGATGCCATTGTCAAAGCAACACGCCGTATCCAACATGATGATGGTTTCCAAGGACGTGTCGATGGCTTTAAAAGTGAGGTGAAACGGATCTGGGATGAGTGCGTGGTGCCTTGGCCAACCTATCAAGGTGGTCCATTATTGCGTGCTTTACAACCTGCCGAATCAAGTAGCAATTATGCCGCTCAAGTCAAGGCCCAAGTCAAGGCATTGTTGGATGCACGAATGGAAGAATTGTACGCTTTGCAAACGAGTATTGAAAATGCCATGAAGGAGTACAATGAAATGCATCGAACCAATGCATTGGTCAAGGAATACGATGCTGAGGCTGAATCGTTACAACAATGGCTTGATCAACAAGCAGCGGCATTGCGGGCACAACATGTGGATGTGGCAGCTGAGGAAGGCAATTTCATTGTGTCGGATATCACTCAATTGGAACAAAAGCATGCCGAGTTGACACACGCCGTGGATACCTTTGAGCAAAACCAAGTGCGTGAATTACATGACAAGGTGATTGGTCTTGAAAACATCATCATGACTGAACCAGCACGTCAACGATTGGGTCAAGTTATGCACACGCTTGAACAGCTCAAACTTGCATTAGCCGATCATGTGATTACGATGGAAGCAGCAGCTGCACGACTTGCATGGCAAGAAAAGTTACACGCTGGCAAGCAGGATATGGATGCTTTGACTGAATCATTACGTCGATTCACCGCCAACAAGAATATGTGGGTGACTCAACCTGATTTCGGTCATGACCATTTGCAGCAACTAGAAACGCAATGGAATGCCCTCATGGAACAAAAGCACATGCTGATGGAGACCACGTTACCAGCCATTGAAACCAGCTATGAGACCTTTGTCAGCTACTTTTCAAAATTGGCCCGACCCATGGCAACGCCGGATCATCTGGAAGCGATGATGGAATCACTGCATCGAGCAATGACAAGATTGGAAGAGACACTAGGAGCACGTGCCAAAGAATTGGAATTGATGCGTGACCGAGTTGATTTGGCAGATCAATTACAAGCATCCCTTGCATGGTTAAGCACACATCGACAAGAGCTTGAGACATTAATTGAGGAGCACATCAAGTGGAAACCTGAAGGATGGGATGAAGATGTGGACAAGCTGCAGGAACAAAAGGATACGATGCACGCTGAATTTGTCAAGCATTGTGAGGAGACTGCTTTGGGATTACGCAAGACCTTGGATGATCTATGTGAATCAGCGGCATCTCATGGTACGGTGATTGTGTCCGATTCTTTCAAGAAACAAATGCAACAATTGGACACTGCACAAGATGGCATTCGCGATCATTTCGATTTCAGTACCGCTTTACTGATTCAAACACGTGCTGTGTGTGCATTCATGGTACAAGCAACCGAACTTGAGACCCAAGCAGACACTATTCGAGACGACCTTGCATCGACCCATTCACCTTCTTCCTCAGGATATCAATCACAGCAACAGCATGAGGATTGGGCAATGGCTTTTATGGATCGATTGTACGAACTCAAGAATGGTATTGATCATATGCCAAGTATCTCTTATCCAAATTCGAATGATGAGACCAACAATGACATGATTCGTGATTGGGTGGATATGCGAACACGGCGTCTGTATGGTTTGCATGCTAGCTTGGAACAATTGCTCGAATCCAAGGAAGGCATTTCGCGTAAAAAGATTACATTGCAGGCGTACCTTAAGGAAGCGGAGACGTGCCGTAACTGGATTGCTGAACGTATGGATGCATTGGTATTCAATGCCGATGACAATGGCGACGTGGCCAAGTTACGCAAAGCTATTCAACATGTGGAAGGTGTACAAGCTGCCATGGCTGCTCACGGCAATGTATGGGAGACTACGCAGACCGCCTATGCCAAATGCAGGGATCCTGAGCCTAGCATTCAAGAACAGCACACATCTCTTGAAAAGGCATGGATGGCATTAGATACCAAGACACGTGAATACAAGCAATCTTTATTGGCAGCACTTGAACCAGCTGAGATCCGACAAGGCATTGCACGATTGAAAGCTGCTTATGATACGCTAGAAGACGCCATCACACATGCCGATACTGCTACTGTGAGTGACGAACAAATGGCAGAATGGCAAAAGGACATGGATACGTATGAATCGGTCGACTATGCCAATTTGCTCAAGGCGGTGAAGCACGACGATGACGATATTCGCGCACAATTGGATACGGTAGCAGAGCAAGCGGTTGCAGTGCGTGCTATGATGACTACCTTGTACGACGCAGTGAATGCATCTCGGCTGCAACGTACTCATGCCGAGAATGCAATGGTGGTACAAACTCGCCTACAAAAGGTCCGTGCGTTTATGCAGCAAGCTGATCACGTGCAGCATCTTGCTCTTGAATACGATGATTGTCGCGACGCTTATGGTGATTTGCAAGCCTATCACGCTTTTATTGGTGGTCAAGTGATATCAGAGGAGATCAAGCATGCCATTGATCAAGTGCAAGCAAAAGTGGATGAGGAATGGGCCTTATTGGAATCGGCAAAGAATGACTTGGCAGCCCGTGAAGCACGTACTGAAAAGTGGGCCAAACAACATGAAGCCCTTGAAGCCTTGGCAACTCAACTCGAAGCGATTGAATTGGATGCCAAAGCGAGGAAACCGGTTGAAAACATCATGTCGGCTTTGCGTGAATTGGACATCTCATTGAATGAGGATAAGGAAGCCCACGTGTTCATGCAGCGACACAAGGAGGTCACAAAGCAAGCTGAAGATTTGATGAGCAAAATCAAGGCACTTGAGATGGAATCACGTAGGGGACCTGTATTGGCGTCTATCAAAGATCAAGTTTCTGGTATCCAGGCAACCATCGATCAACACGTCACTACGCTCGAAAAGGAACAGAATGCCCTTGAATGGAACAATGATGATATTATCAAACGTGCACGTACACACAAACGAACAGTGGATGCTCAACGCACGATGCATGCTGAATGCAATGAGGAGATTACAACAGGTGGTCTTTATCAGCAGTGTCAGCAATTGGTGAATGAATATGGCATGGACAAAAAGGAGGTGGATGAGCTAGTACAGCCATTGGCGGCAGCATTGGATGCTTGGCAAGCATTGATCCAGCAAGAAGATGCATTCAGCAACGTTGCACAAATGTATACGAAACATCATCAACAAGTGAGTGCTTTCCAAGATACACTTGCCACCATTTCAACGGCTGTACCTATTGGCATGGATGATGATGATGAGGAGGAACAAGAAGACAATGATGAATCTGGATTGCAAGAGACGATGGATCACCTTGTTCAATTTGCAAAGGATATCACCACCAAAGCATGTCCTACTCCCAGCGACGACGACAAACGATACACGTGTATTCGAGAGGCATTAGAGCAATGTATGGCTGATTTACAGAAGCAGTATGATCAAGTGAAAGCAAGTTTGGATGAGAGACGTGCTCGACGAGCTGAGAGGCGACAAAAACGTGAAGCGGATGCGAAGGTGGCTGAATTGATACGACATGCCGAGAGTCTAAAGACAAGAGTGGAAGCATTGGAATGGAAGGATAACACGATCACACCTATTGAGCAGCAAGAGTTTCGTGAGCTTGAGGATCAAGTGGCCCAACTTTTGGAACAAGCCAAGAAGCATCCTAAGGCGAGTACATGCATGAAAGACTTGGAAGAGGTGATGAAGCAGCGTCGTGAGCAATTGGCATCTCAAAGCAACTGGACGGAGTTGATGAGCATGTTGGATCAACTTGAGGAACAAGCATCATTGCTTTCAACAGCTGTGGACGATGCAGCACCTCATCATGCAAGCATTGTCAATAACAAGTTCAGCAAGAGCGATCTTCAATCACTGCTAAAGGTGTTGGTGGGAGCCTACAAGCAACACGAACCAACCATGACCCATCTCGTAAGACGTGCCAAAGCAGAAGCGGGTGATCGTACACCTCCTGAAAGAATGCAACAAGTGCTTATGAAATGCAACAAGGTGCGTGCATCAGCAGCTGCACGTGAGCGTGAATTACAAATGTGTATCAGTCAATTGGATCATGAATTCTTTACCAAGTTGGCCATGGCAAAATCCAAGCCCAAGAGACGAAAGACTCCTGCTCCTCCTCGTTCTACAACACCCATATCCATGTCACGTCGATCATCGAGTCAAGGTAGCAGCAGCAATACTGCTAATCGCACGACGCCCAGCTTGAGGCCTTCGAAAACGCCTTCTCGTACACGCTATGTAGCTGATCCCAAGAATGAGTTGGATATGGAATTGGGTCGTATCGTCAATGAGAACCCTTACCGCGTCAAGGTCAAGATGGTCCCTGGTGAAGTGGGCAAGTATTGGTTTGGAGAAGTCAATCCAAGGCTTGTTTATTGTCGTATCTTACCCAGCAAGCTTGTCATGGTGCGTGTGGGTGGTGGTTGGGTTGAATTGTCAAAGTAAGTATACATCTTTTATATACAAGCGAGTGGGGTATTCATTGAGTATTGTATTTTAGGTTTTTGTTTGATCACAACTTGACCGAAGGTACACCACGTAACGCAGCGACAGCAACCACGGAGGAATCATCATCATTAGCAGCAGCAGCAGCAGCCAGTAGTAGTACTACACTATCCCATACAAGTAGCAGTGAATCTTCAGGCGGCTCGCTCTCATCCACTTTTCACCATCATCCTTCTGTTTCGGCTGCACGTTGTGTATCCCCATCAGGACGTATCAGTATTCGTGGTGGTGGTACAACATCTGCAAGTACAAGTGAACATCTCTTGTCAGTCACTCGATCTTCAACTTCATCCTCAGCCAGCCGTCGTTCCAAAACACCACGTGGAGGTTATGTGGATGGTGACAAATATATCCGAGTGGATGAAGCTGGTAATCAAGTCATGGTGAAAATGACCAAGGCAGAAGATGGTGCCAAAATGCCCATTGGCAAGCGTAGATAATTTCCCCCATCATCTCTATGATATATATATACCACACATTGCTTTTATCCCCTTATAGAAAAAAAAACCCACGCTTTAATATACAGACACACACAGAGGCATTTGCACTTTATCACGTGATTCATGAGGTTTACATTGTCAGAGATTCTTGCACACATCCAATCTAAACGATGCTAGCTAAGCGGTCTAAGCGTACATGATCCAGGTTCGCGAGCACGCTTTCGAGGCTGGAGCTATTGTCAATGACTTTGTTTTGAGTATCCTCCTTGACAACCACTAGACGCTATAGATTACAAATAATCAATCATCCATGTCCTTTTACCTCTTTTCGTGGATTCTTTGTTTACCTGTGGATCATCCACGCCCAACCGATTATTATCATTCTTTATATTTCCTTGATCTGCTAGCACATCCAGTAACCGGCCTATCCTCAGGGTCTAGATATTTATCATTAGACATGATGATGATGTCTTTTCAGTTCTTGTTGGTCCCCATCCTATACCTTATCAAAGAACATGGGCTGCGACTCTTCCTTCCCGGGCCAATGGATATTTAAATAAATGCGTGATGCCATAGGTACGGATGCCGATCCCTAACCAATTCCACATGTATAAATCCTCAATTCCTTCCCTATCTTCCTTTCTCTACCTTGGCTTTGGATTTCATCTTCATCAGCTCAATGGTTGGATTGACTTTTTTCTTGACGGGTGTTGCTGATGCTGCTGAAGTTGATGTCGATTTTGGCTGTTGTTGTTGTTTTTGCTTGAGCCTGCTAACAGCAGCTTCTGCCATCAATTTTCGTTGGTATGCCTTGGCATCTGCTGGTGATGATACTGGGCAATGATGATCAGGGCCATGTCGATGTCTAGAGTGGATATGCCAATAATGAGTCTCATACATTTTATCCCCATTGAGCACCTTTAATTAAAACGTACCTTAGACAAAATACTTGTTGGCAGTTGGCACATTTTTGTGAAACAGCGTTGCCATCCTCTAAATCACGACATCCTTTGACACCACATATCCGCTTGTTCGTTTCTGATGGTTGTATTTGCCACACATACGTCTTGCAATTGGATTCCACGTGACGTTCCAGCTGAAATGGGGAGTAGTGAGTCAACCATATGATGAAAGTGGTATGTTCATATTCTTTACCGTTTGTTCCAAGGTCAAGCCTTCAGCAACGGCTGCAAGCACCATTTGCGCGCATGTCGTGCACTGAGCAACTGCCTTGTCAGGTCGCTTGTCGCAAGGATGAGCAAGACGATGTTCCCCACTGTAGTATATAACAATGTCAACTTGACAATAAAGCACCATGAACTAGGTAACTTACCAAAAGGTCTTGTGGCAAAAAAGACATGTCACGGGCAAAAAGTCTTTTCGAGAATGAGGTCAATGGCTATCGACAATGAGGCATGTTGTTGTATAGTGGTTACCAAGGGAGCGACAGGTGGAGAGTGAGCAGTGTTTTCCAAGTTGTGGTAATTCCATAAGAGGTTGTATGAAAGAGCCAGGCACGATTGCACCCACCCATATCACCGCCGCCCTCGCATCAACATAGATCCTTGATCCATGGACTATCCAAGGAACCTTCCCTTCCAGGCTGCATGAATGAGTGATAATACCTTTATTAGATAAGGAAAATGGGATGAGAGGCTACTTTATGATGCAAGAGTAAATTGGATAAGATCAACTTGGCTAGTGAATAGGGTACAGCTTCTCGAACAATCGAACAGAGAGATCTATCACGTACTCCCGATTGATGTTGATTCTGCTTGTGTGTGTCTTTATGGATTCAAAGGTACAGCATGAATCATTCTGTAGCTGACTCGTTCTCTCCTTCCACAATACCATCTCTGATATCCCACTTTTTGCCAATCCAATCCTCCTTCTGGCTCTCTTTTCTTTGTATTCTTGTGTTGGTTTTATTGTGTCATTTTTTTTGTACTCCACTTCTACCAAAATAAAAGCATTGCTATCTATCGTCATTTGTGCATGTTGTTGTTGTTGTTGTTGGGTAAATGCTGGATCATATCTTTCATTCTGGAAAACGATATACCATGCTTTTATGCTGATGATGATGGTGCTGTTGTTGATGCTGCCTCTTGTTTGGGTGCTGATTCTGCTGCTACTTTTTTCTCGTTCTTTTTCAACTGTTTGAGGATGACTGATTTGAGTTCAAGAGCCTTGTCGCTGCACAAGTTTTTATCGCGAGTCTCGAGCAAGTACTGATCCAAACCACCCTTTTTGTCAATGGTACGCAACACCGAAGTCGTCACCTTGAGATCAAGAAAGCGATCGAGTGTTGCTGAATAAAGCTTCTTGCTTTGGACATTGGGAAGCCAGTTACGTCGAGTTTTTTTCTTGGAGAATGGATTCTACAAGCAAGGTGTGTGAGCGTGCTGGAAAAGCGATCGTGCGTCTGGTGCCCTTACATTGTTACCGAATTGAATGTGTTTGCCACCAAACAGACCACGTTGGGCACGTTTAAAGGTTGCTCGTGCTAAAGAGTATGCAGGACCAGCTGACAGCATAGTGGAAAGGTTGTCAAAACGGAAAAGGCACCACCCCAGCTGTATCATAGCGTGCGGATGTTTATCTCCCTTTGTGACCGACTCCTCCAAATCTCAAGTCCGGTCCGCAATTATCATTGTCTCCATGGCAACCTCCTCATCTTATCATTATTCATACATGCGATTATCTTTATATACAATAATAAAGATGTACAAAAACATTAAACTATAATAAATGGTCTACTGCTTATGTCTTTTAAGCAATCGTTCCTTGAGAGTCATTGATCTTTTTGGTTTTGGTATTGTCGTCGTAAAGGAACAATCATCAACCCCATGATCCATGTCCATTAACTTTTGTCGATAGTATCCATTACGTCGTCGCCAGTAGGTGTCGGTGACAAGTGGCAAATCGGGAAGTGGGTAATGATCCGTGGAGCGATTCAAGTTTAATTTCCAATAGCGGGCAATAGCATTCGCTTCAAGTGTGTCCAATAAGCGCTCCAATAAACGACCTTGACATATAATGCTATCCTCGGACTGTGTATAACAAGTCATTTGCAAGTCATCCAACAAGTACTCTTTACCCTTTTTCCTTTGAAGTGCACGCACAAGTGCATCATCAACTTGTACTTGTGAACAATGCATGATTCGCAACTTCTTGAGATGAGTAGGAGTAGTAGCCAATATGTGAGCAACCGTGTCGACGTTGCATGCACCCGTTGAATGAAGAGTAAGATAGGCTAGGGATGGACATGATGAAAAAAGACTGGCAAGTGCTGAAGGTGAGAGATGAGGACAATATTGCAAATACAATGTTTGAAGGTGGGATAATGGCTGGATCATGGTGATGTCATGGATGATGCCTCTTCGATCGATTAATGTGAGCTCTTGGATGTGGGGTGCTTGAGCCAAAAAAGATCCAAAGTGATCAACCGCTTCATGGTTCGTAGGAATTTGCTGAGGACGACCCGTACTACTCCAATGAAATGTATGTAATTGAGGAAGCTCCAGTGTAGAAAGAAGAGCAAAGATGGTGTCGGTATCATCGTCACTATCATCCAATAACAATACTTCCAACGTGTCATGATGTCGTTCAATGATTTGATGCACATGATCTTGAATGGTGGTGCTGCAACCAGCAATCGCTAATTCTCGCAATCCATCCAATGTATTATTGTTGTCATCCAAGGTCGAGGATACTTCGGGGTGAATACGTATTGAATCGATATGAGGGCAATGGTCCATGATAGCATCCAATACCCATCCTGTATGTATATTGCTGGAACCAGTCGTAGCAGCGAGTCGTCTTAATTTGGGAAGTAATGGAACAATGGAATCAAGTATGGACGTCGGTTCGATGGTACTGGTCCTGTTGGCTGGTGCAAATAGAGTCAATGATGTAAGATGTTGGTGCGGAGGAATGTTTTGGAAGGTCATGTCATCGTTTTCCATAGTCAATGCTGTGGGATTGGATAAAGTCGAGCAAACAAGCGATTCTAGCTGTGGGCAGGTGCGTAAAGCAGTATCAAGAATCCGAATCCATGATATCCCTGATCTTTTGTTGGTGCATTTGATGTCCAGATGCTGCAAATTGTGACATGTTAAATCCATTAGGCGTGAAAGAACACCATCTGATGCAAGTTGAGCATGAATGGATACTACATTTACCTTGATAATGAGTTATCCTTATTCCGTAATTCCCTTTTTGCCATTATTACATACCTTGAGAGATGTTTGAACAATTGCGTTCAACCAATAAAGCCATCATCTTTTGTAACATTGTCTCATCATCCTGGTAACCTCGTTGTCGAATGTCCATCTCATCATACGATATCCGTTTCACTGCCTTTCCACGTATGTATTGCATGTAGGGTGCCAAGTCATACCCAATATTGCATCCATCTTTTGTTGAGAGCGTATCCCACATGCCTGGCCATTCCATCAATAGTGCACGCCATGTATAACACACTCGCATGCATCGTATTCGATCACCCAATTCGAGTTGTGAGAATATGAGCAATAAGATATCATACGGCAATCTGTTCACAAGTGCTCCTAAAGGTGGCGTAGAACCTGTGGTGGTGGTGACAGCTGTAGGTATAGTGGTCGTCGTCGTCGGGAGTATTGTTGTCAGTGCTGCATTCCGATGGTGGTGGTGGTTGCCATGCCAGGATCGCGGTAAGACCAATGTTAATTGTGACAACAGGTTCAGCATATATCAAAGTCGAAGCGTGTGGGAATGAAAAAGAGAGCGAGCGAGAGAGAGAGAAACATGGTATTGACAAGATAACTGCTGTGGGTTGATGCTGCTGCTGCATAAAGAGTAAAGGGTGGAGTGAGCATGCGAGCTGACCTTGCATCTTGATTGGTTACCAAAAAATCCTGGATTTCCACACACACTTGCACAGAACACTAGGAAGAGCACGTTGGTATAATCCACGTTATTCATTCGATGTTTTTTCCCTGTTCAATATCCTTTATTGTCTCCATCACACCTTTTCATTTTTCGGATTAGCAAATCACCTGATATGCAATCATACGCGTGTCCATGCACGCACGCATCCCCCCACACACACCCGGCTAATACCTAAAAGGCAACATGTGGGATCTGCAAGGATCCCCATGCCAAGAGAACATCACTCATTCAAAGCATGCTCTTTAATGTGTCGTTTTGTGTACCTAGCTTATAGACATATGATCTCGTTTTCGTTAACGCACAATGAATGATACAAGAAAAGCTCATGTATATGCATGATGCTTGTTGGTGTGATATGCACACCAGCTTGTCCGATGCATACAGTATAACTCATCACCTCGTCAAAGCAAAGCAACAAGGGTTTGCTCTCTCACGAATGTCCCATCATCAGCGTGTATCGTGTACCTTCTTTAAAAGAGCTATGTAATAGTTGATATCATATAAAATGACACAAACCATCTAAACTATGCAATGCCCTTGTTAAGCTTTTTGACAATAACAGGGATACAGTGATAGAATTGCATCATCTCACACCACGTTTTAGGCGATCAAGGAGGCAGATGACTAATACCTCACTTGTCAAATGGACGATGCAGCCAAGGTGTATTGTATATCTTCCAGCTGCCATTTAGAGATCGAGTACAACAAATGACTGCCAAACTTAGCCTTGTGAGCGTATCCAAGAGGTATCCAGCATAGGTGATCCCGGTTGAAATATCGAAGTGATGCACTAAGAAGATACTTTACGGCATTTGGTGTCCTGTTTTGGCCCTTTTATAATATAGGCGGCACGAACACTAAAAGAGGAAAGCGATCTGTGGCAATAAAAAAAAGCCATGGAGGAGTGGGAAAACGTGATGCGAGCGGGCGATCCGTAAGTAATAAGCTATCGCCCATTCCCCCCCTCACCCAAGCTTGGCCTCGTGCTTAGTACTTGCCTACTACAGCCTTTGTGCCCGATACTCACTTTCTTTGTCATACTAAAGATCCAATAATGGATGTTATGGATAGCTATTGGACCATGTTTCGATGATAATGGCTGAATCATTGGATGACCTTAAGGATGTGTTTGCATCGACAAAAACGACGCATTTGCTGATCACCGACGCCATCGCGTTGCCTTTACATACACCTTGACGACTTCTAAATGATATTGTGCAGTGAACTAATCTACCCATATGTGACGAGGATAGCGTTGGATCTGTCGGAAGATAGGATAAACCAATAATGTGTCTTTGTTATGCATATAAAAGATGGCATACCAGCATATTTGTTTACCGATCAAAGGTGGCGGCGTCAAGTGGTTCAAAATGTTGGTATGTTGCATAAACAAAAAGACACCCCTTACATTGCCATGTATCGTGACAAGCTACAGCGGTAGTTTCATCACTATTATAAAAGGGAGGCAAATCAATACTTTTCACCTCGTCTCTTTTTCAGCTTTACATACTTGATACTATGAAGCCTTACCTTTTTGCTATTATCGCCGCCATTTTGGTTACGCTGAATGTTGTCGGTGCTATCCAAACCCATTGCTTGGACCTGGATAAGGATGAGTGCGAGGAAAAGAAGGAGGAATTTGGCTGCCGATGGTATGAATTCACTGTAGACGACGAGAGTAAGTATAAAATGAATCATAGTTCCGTCACGTACATCTTGAAAACTGATTTGTGGGTGTTGCTGTGGACTATAGTCAAGGAGAAATGCTTCTAGCTGTTACGCGATTACATACTTGCTTCATTTTACTATCTATCTTTCTTGTCAATATTATCACCTGTTGTACTAATGGATCCCACAATGCTGTGATGAATGATCTTTTTGATGTTGTTTTTTCTCCTCATCAGCGGTGACAGCTGATGGTTATAATGCTAAGTTCATCCCATAATATGAAAACAATTTACAACTTCAACGCGATGTATTCCTTTTTTCTTAACAAAGGATCTAAAGAATAGGTTGAGGTAGCGTCCTCCTACTACGTTTTGCGTTTGTGAATCCTGTGTGCCTTGTGGAACACGTACATGCCACGCATTCACAATCACTCGGCGTATCCAAGCTACCTTGACTTGGTAGCATAGCAACCCTTATGAATCGATTATTAGGGAAGCTGCCATATACAGCTTGGTGAATGGACATTTGGGCTTGCAGTGGTTGCCCTCAAGAGCTATCTAATTGGGAAAGCAATGAGCTGACAAGAAAGCAGGGTTTCTGTCAAGTGCCCACGTTAAGAAAACGTGAGCGTACTATATACACTTGGCCTTTAAGCCTAAGTTTTCATGATGTGCAACAAAACAAAACGTATGCATCATTGGAAGCTATATGTACAATGCATCAAATAGCTTGTTGATTGGTTGATCAGCCATTCCTTTGTGTTGGCCCAACGGCTCAAAGAGATTTCGGCTCTATAGCCGGATGATCATCGATTTACAAGATATAGCATACAATAGCATTGGTTGACCGACATTCATCCGCACCGACACCAGAGATGCAGTCATGTTCATTGTCACTGATATACGAAATCTAGATTGGCTGAATAGTAAGCAATTCAAAGCTGTGAACGAGTACACGTTGCCCATGATGCGATATCTAATAACATCTTTCGCTGGTTATGTACATGTATTATGCAATTGCTAGCAAGCTGAATTTTTGCATCTACATGTTCAAAACAAACAACGGCATAGAAGTGGCTGGAAGGCAACTCTCAGGTTAGCAGTCTATGTGCGTTTTTGCTTTGATCGTCATGCTGCAGCGCCGCTGACGTGTAACGAAACACACATATTGTAAAGGCAAAGAGATCGGATCTTTGTTAAGTGTAACTTCCTTTTTCAAAAAAGACGCTTGCAGCTGACGACGCTGCTATTGTTACAATTGACCATTAGTTTTGGGTTTTCTACATAATCACAATTGCTCGCAGCGTGGATTCCTTCGATCAAGCATTGAGGAAAGACAATAAGGTTAGCATGTTTAAAAACAAAACAAGCACCATTCGTGGACCATTGACATCTTCCTTTTCATCTTGAGGAGTCTTTGGGCGGCAACCGGCAGCGGTACAGTGACCTTTATATAGGCAAAAAATCACTGTGAATATATGAACATGTGCATATTATAACATAGGCATCATCCTTTTTTCATGCGGTTAAGATTATAGCTACGTACATTATGTACGTGTGCTTTTCGAACCAGCAGTTATAAATAAAGACATCTGATCCGCTAATGTTTACATGCCACTGTTACTGCTACCACAAGAATGTTCAGCAAGATCCATCAAGTTTTTCTAGCTGCTGTCTTCTTATGTTTATGCCTCGCTATCCAAGATGTGAACGGCGCAAGCTGCTGTTGCTCATGCGGCTGGGTGTTGTTTGGCGCTTGCCTTGAACCTCAGGACACAACTTGTAACAATGCTGGCTTGTACACGGGTGATCCGAATGAGTGCGGCAAAAGTTATTGGCAGTGCCGGACTACATCGGAACCATTTTGTCGATGTTAAGACCAAGAACAGTTCTCTGAAGGCTAGAAAGCATCCCTCTTTTCTTCTCAAATCAAGATTTTCATTTCCCTGATTACGTTTTATCCTGTTACTTTCTTTCAAATGAATAATACGTTTACAGACTTCTTTTGTTGTCTATCCTTTTTCTATATACAGAAGGACTGGGTTTTGCACTAACTCTGGTGACAAAGTATACGCAATACCGGATCGGTGTCCATATACTCTTGTTGATGATCATGATAATGGGCTTGAAGTGCTTCACGTGGAAATGGTTGCTCTATAAGCCCCAGCACAATGATCATACTGGTAATGTTGCAAAAGCCAAAAGGATCGGCCATGTGTTCATGCCTAGTTTAATCAGGCTTTAAGAGAAAGATCAAAAGACAATGGCCTTTTGACAGAGAGAAGAAAAAGCAAAACACATCCCTGATCCCCAGATGGCACTAAACGCTATACCTGGCAACATGGATGTTTAATTGAACTACCATTACCCCTGAAGTCGATAGCTTGATTATGATCGTCGTTTTGAAACTCAACCTTCTTCTTAGGCAAACGATCACTCCTCCTTGCTCTGCCTGCTATATGCTGAGGAGACACAAAGAATATATAGGGAGTCGACGAAGATATATAAGAGGCGATTTTTATGTACACCTCTATAGCCGTCTTTGATTCAACAAAAATCACAATGTCCAACAAGCTTCTTCTTTCTCTGGTTCTCGTTGCAGCTTTCTTGATACTCGATGCGAACGCTGTCCCGCAAAGAAACCCTGGCAAAGCAGGCCACAGCCCTCCTCCTCATGTTGGATAGAAGAACCTAACCATTTCTCATCCCCCAATGGTCACAATCAAATAACACATTTCGGCGTCACGAACATAGATTTTCTTCTTTCTATAATAAAAAGACCAGCATCTCGGGCCCCTCGCTTCGATCGTAAAACTTTGATTTCTCGTTGAATGGTTTATGGAGTAAATGATCTTACAATAAGCTTACGCGTTTACGCAACCGCATCACATTACATCTCGTAGTATTCATCTTTGAAGAACCTGCAATCCTTTGACATGCATATCTACAATAAGAGACTGCATGCTCCCGTCCGCCGTTCATCGTCTTTTCTATTTTTGGACCCTCCCATTCAAAACTTTCATAATGAAGCGTGTAGTGTTCATGAGAATAAAGTGGATCAGCATGCCTTAGAGCACATTGTGTGAAAGTTTCATGTTCGAGATGGATAATCTCAAGGTTATGGATTGATGTACAGTGTTCATGCATACGTCGCACTTAATTTCCAGTTCTTCCACTCCTAGCTTCTTGTACCTTCCTCTCACTCTCAACTCTTAGCCCATTCATGTACAATTACCACCTGCGAACGATTGCACTGCTTCAACCCATCGTGTCAATCCTACAACTGCCTTGATCCGATTGCCTTTGACTGAATGGCAACTCCATGGCATGTGCACCCCACTACAACACCCGCCTTCCTTGACACTACACCTTCTCTTGCACACTCCTCGACCACAAGCAAACGCAACAACGTTCATTGCAGCAGCTGCCATTAGCAAGGTCTTTACTCCATCGTATCCAACAGCGTTCTTTACTTGCAGCAACATGTCTTACAGCCTTTGTTACGTGGACAGCAGATAGCCATGGTATAGAAGTAGCTTTATTTACGCGTAGCAACTTGCTTCAATACATATGAATGCTTATGGATATGGATATTGGTACATTGGATGGAGTGATCTGGGTATATGCAACGTGTGGGAAAGGAGGCATGTTCTTATTTATTCATTGTCAACTTGACCATTATGCTGGATGCTATCATGCTGAACGATTGATCCGCCCAATTGTCGTACTCTACACGCAACTCCATGGCAACCACTATCATCATGCTTGGTGCATCCTGGCAACCATATACAAACACTATCATCCACGCCAATGGATGTAATTCGGCACTACGCACCAAGCGCCACCTCACGTTCATCTATCCATCTTTGCATAATGCAACCCCAAAAGATTAGAAACTCCCCATATCGCTGTATCTCCCCATTGGAGCAATTTGTTGCATCTCTCAATCTGTATCTCTTGTAAACGTTGTTGTATTAAAGGGTTATTTTAGGGAGTACGAGATTGCGTTGCAAACCAGGTGTAAGAAAGCTTCCTTCTTTCTGATATCGATGACATCCTCATGAGTGGCACTTGGATGTACTGTATTATGAAGAGATTGGTGGTATGGCAAATGCGGGTTGTCAATGCTGTGATAAAGGCAAAAGGGAGGGAGGGAAAGGGTCTGATATGATTCACTGTGCCTTGAACAAAGACCGTATTATCGATAGCGTCGTAAAACACGTTCCTTTTTTGTGATTTGGATCTTACATGGTAGTTACAGTACTATTTTATTATGTTTACGGCGGGAGATGGATCAAATTAGTAATAGAAACGATACTTGAGTTCTTGAGGCTACATGAAAAAAGCTATTCAGTTACGCTGTAGACGCAATATGGGTTGGCAAATAGCATTTACCGGTTCATGCATTTTGCTACATAGGTCATCACGGCGTTTATTCTCTCGGCAGAGCATGTATCCTGTAAATCCTGACACAGTTGCACCAAGCACGGCGCAAATGATATTGAACCCATTTCCAAAGCCTAATAAAACACCAATAGATTAATCAAAGGAAGAATTACATGTTCTTATACTTGCCATAATGGGGAGCATCTGTAGATGGATACAAATAGGACGCCATCACGCCACCCGTATTTCCTACCATGACTACAATTGCCACTGCTACTGCACGCACTGATAGATCTTCAAAATTGACAGCCGACCAGCCAAGGACAGCAGGTGCAATCAAGGCAAATCCCACAGGAATAATAAATAGAGAACCATAAAGAGCTACATAAACGTTGCATTAGTGTAAATTGGGTCGATGAACATGCTTTTGCTTACCCCATCGATCATGCAATACCAACAACATCATGTATCCCAGCGCCATGATTAGAAATCCAGAGACTAAGATCTTGGCTCTGCAATTGGGTAGGCGATCGGTTGCCCGTCCACTTAATAACATCACCACTGCACCCAATACATTTGGAGGAGCTGTCAACAACTGCGAAGTGAGCACCGGAAAACCAAATCCTAATAAGATCACAACATGTATCAATCTTCAATCCTGCTGGAAAAATTGCCCCACATGTTACCGTCAATGAGCATAGGCGAAAAGATGGCAAAGCTGTAAAAGTTGACAGCATTGGTCATGTACACAACAGCGAATAACCACGTTTTCCAATCCGCAAAAGCTTTGTATATCGTTCCCCATCCGATCTTGCTACTACTACCATCCCCTTGCTCTTGATCCATCATCCGCTTGTGTTGCAAAGCCTTTTGTTCAGACGTGAGCCAGCTCACTTGGTCAACAGTATCAAACAACGAAAAGTAGGATACAATGCTGAGGACAATGGTTGGTACACCTTCGAGAATAAACAAGTACTGCCATCCATGAAGTTTGTTACGGCCCTCAAGAAATGATGTACCATAAGCGATAGGACCGGAAACAATACCAGCAATACACGCCATGCAAATCAAAATCCCAATTCGGCTGCTCAATTCGCCAGGCTTGTACATGCGTGACATTTGATACAACATGCCCGGGATATAGCCACTCTCGGCAGCACTACATAGTAGGGGAATTGGATAAGCCTTTTTGTAATAATAATAGATGGCTTTTCTTCCTACCCAAGAACCAAACGTGCTGCTAGCAATCCTCCAAAGCTTGTAATGAATCCCATGATCAAGGTGATAACTACACAGGTTTTCCGATATAAGCATCTATTCAATCCTATGCATCAATGATAGCACAATTACCTCCCCATACCAGCATAATAGTCGATAGCCACATCACTGCACTTGTTCGCTTGAGGATGATATTGGATGGTACTTCAAACAAGATATAGGTGATATAGAATGCTGAAATAATGGTGCTCATTTGTGTTGCTGTCAGCTAGTAGATTCCATTGTCAACTTTCATATACGATACTTCATGCTTATTACCTACATTGAGATCTTCTTCAATCCCACCAATCCTAAGACCATCAATCCATTAGAGATATTGTCCATGTGCTGACACGCTTGAAATGTGTATGCTCACGTTGCGTTACCAATGTTGGCTCGATCGAGAAAATCCGTAAAGTAAAACACACAGAATAATGGTAGCAATCGCCTATCCAAGGCTTTTACCAGCTTCCTTTCTTGTTCAGCTTCATCCTTCAATGGATCCTCATCAATGTAAACATTGCCACCAACAGCCTTTTCTTGCCAATCAGCAACTGATTTCTTTTCAACGATGGTATCCTCTTCCATGGCACTATCAGTACGTGAGACTGGTGGGTGCATAATGAGAAAAAAGCAATTGAAAGAAAGGGGACCACTGTTGTGCCACGTTCATGCAAGATAAAAGAAAGGAAAGAAGACCCTGATCGATGGCTCCGAGGATTGAACCGTAAGGAGCATTATTGGGACAATTCGAAATGCGATTCGAAAGAGTGTTCGAGAAAGAGCCCATATGCAAGGTTCTTTTATTTGGTTGGAAGTTCGATATAGAAGAAACAATGCTTGTATATGAAGGTTGTGTGGGTGTGGGGTAGTTGTTTTTTGCTTGCGTAGTGCGTTGTAATTTGCGGGGTTGGCATTTATATATATCATCTCATTCTCTGCTCTGCTTTGTCCTCTAATGACCATGACCATCGTCGGGCTTGGGCTCAGGTGCAACTAAAGAACAATCAACTATTAAATCACTGCTGTATCAAACAAACAAACAAACAGTAAGCATACCTTTGATCATATCGTCAATTCTAAGAATTGCAATAGCAGCCTCGGTTGCACTCTTGAGAGACTTGATCTTGGAAATAGCTGGTTCCAGAACACCGGCATTCAAGTTGTCACGGATACTACCATTGATCAATTCCAAACCATAGTACTTTAATGCGCGCTTTCGCTCATCAGCGCCTTCGTTAAGTGCGGCATTATGGTACGCACGCAACTTGGAGACCAATTCGGTAGAGTCCTTGGCGGCATTGACAGCCAAAGTCTTGGGAATAGTCAAAAGAGCACTAGCGTATTCGGCAATAGCCAATTGTTCACGGGATCCAACACTGGTAGCAAAGTTCTCGAGGTATATGCTGAGAGCTGATTCGACAGCACCACCACCAGGGACGACACTGTTGCTCTCCAATGTCCGCTTCACAACGCACAACGAATCATGCAAGGCACGCTCCATCTCATCCAACATGTAATCATTGGCACCACGCAAAATGATGGAGGATGAGTTTTGAACCTTGGTGCCCTTGACAAGAATACATTCATCATCCGAGATACGTTCCTGGACAACTTCATCAGCCTGACCAAGGTAGGATGCTTCAAAGGTTTCTTCACCTTCCAAGTTGGCAAGAGTCGAAATGAAAGTGGCTAATAGATCGAAAACATTTTAGATACACACCTCTATATTCCAATTCCACACCCTTTTTTTTACCTCCAGTGGCCTTTGCAATACGCTTCAAATCTTCCTTCTTGCAACGACGAACAGCCATAGCACCAGCTTCAACAAAGAGCTTCAAGCACAAATCATCAATACCCTTGGTGGTGAGAATGACATTGGCACCAGTGGCAAGAATCTTTTGGATGCGCTCAGTGGTGATCTCGATTTCACGTTTACGGATATCCTCAAGCTTGTCGGGATCGTCGACGACAATGTTGACACCAAGGTGCATACGAGCCTTTTGCAAGTTCATGTCCAAACAAGCAATCTTTGCATTTTGAATACGGGTCTTCATGGCTTGGGAGGCAACAGTGCAGTTGAGAGCGTAACCACGGACAAACATAGATTCACGACCAGACTTGCCATGGGCCTTCAAAATGTTGACAGCCTTGACGGGGTATTTGGTCTCACCGCGTACATTGGTACCCTTCACAGCCAACATGGCTTCAACAGCGAGATTGGCAAAGAAATCAGAATCACTACAAGATGGACATGTGAATAAACATTGGATGATGATGATGATGACGACGATGATCCTTGTCACTTACGAGCCAATGATCTTACTGCTCATGGATGTCTTTGCAGCATTGACAAGGCATTCTTTGCCCAAGCTATCGACCTTGACGGCCATTTGATCAGCGATAAACTTGCATGCCACCTTGGATGCCAAGCGATAACCAGTGATGATAGTAGTAGGATGAATCTTGTTCTTGACCAACTCATTGGCTCGCTTCAAAAGCTCGGCTGCAATAACCACCACGGATGTCGTACCATCGCCAACTTCACGGTCCTGTTGTTGAGCCAACTCGACAAGCACCTTGCCAGCAGGATGTTCCACTTCCAAGAGTTGAAGAATCGTCGCGCCATCGTTGCTGATGGTCACATCCTAGCATACCCAACAAAACGCGTCATGAGATGACAGCTCATTGTGCTTTCTTCCACATGTTACTTACACCAATCTCGTCGACAAGCATCTTGTCAAGACCCACAGGACCCAAAGAGCTCTTTACAATGTTGGCGATCGATGCGGCAGCAAGTACTGTCAAGATGAATCAGAGACGCAGAACATAAAACAACGTGTTGATGAGTGGCCTACCATTGCTGGATCGCACGTCTTGACCGGTTGTACGTTCACCACCGAGGAACAAGGAGGAATTCTTGTCACGTTGAAACATATGAGCGAGTGTGTGTTGTGTGCAGTAAAGAGCGAGAAAGAAAAAGAAAGCAAGCACTCAGCTGTCAGGAGAACGTGTTCACAGTCGGTACCAATTTCACCTTACCACGTTCATGACTCTGCTCTCCGCTCCTGTCAACCATTCATCATCCATCCACCGACCTACTCCCAGTGGCTTGTCATTGGCCTCTTCTCTCGACCATGAAAGACTACATAGCAATCACTTTTAAACCTCCCATCTTCATGTACCATTAGAGTCATAGATAAATAAACCCATCTTTAACAACCAATACATGGTAAAGGAACCAGGTGTGGATGAGTGATGTAAAGCTTCACTGAAGGGATCACACAAAATGATAGGCTTACTACTATTGCCCATCTCAAAATCGGGTTGATGCACGCATTAGGATTAAACATTCATGCATCTTATGGGCAAACCCATATTCCATTGATTGCTAGGCGTTCCTTGTTTATATGTAGCAACGTGAGCTCATTGGCTGTCAACAGCACCTACACATAGGCCTTTAATGGTTCCAATTCTCTTATGATCCGACAAATTCCCCAAACATGTCCCACATTCACTCCCCCACTTCATCCAACAAAGTATGGTTTGTATGCATAAATGTACAAGTTTTTTTCTTTAGAAACAAAAAGCAAGTCTATCTACTGCAGTGAGTCATATCCTTCCAACACTAATATACACAAGAGAAAAAGAAAGTGATATGAGGATTCACCACGGTTGAGCAATAGATGTGCCTTTTCTACGAATGGATATATAACGAAAGTTGTGTATGTCAAAAACGGCAAAAGAAGAAAAAGCGAAACCGATCATGAATGGGTTTACTCTTGCTTGACGAAACCAGTGCCCTTGGTGATGTTGCCCTTGAGCTCGGGAGCACAAGCAGTAAAGAGCTTCTTCTCAAAGTCCGAGACAGCACCAACAGGGGAAACCTTATCAACGCCATTGGGACCAAGCTCAACAGGCAAAGAAAAGTATTCAAGGGATTCGTCACCAGAAAGGTCCTTGACGGATTGAGCAGCTTCAGCACCAGCAGCTTGAAGGCTGACATAGGTGCATTCAACAATACCCTTGCCACCGTTGAAAGCAGCTTCAATGACATTCAAGGCGAAACGAGCACCAGCATAAGCCATGGAGAGAGTGGCGCTACCAGCACCATCCTTAGCCTTCACAACTTCATCACCACCAAATTGGATACGGTGGGTGACATCAGCAATTTGTTGCTCGGAGAGAGCATTGGTACCTTGGACTTGGGACAAAAGAGGAAGAATGGTAACACCACTGTGGCCACCAACAACAGGCACCTTCAAGCTTTGGGCATCGGCACCAATCAATTCAGAGACAAAGGTGGAGGCACGAACGATATCCAAGGTAGTAACACCAAAGATTCTATTTAATGCAGGTTCCAGGTCAATTTCTGAATCAAGTAATAGACCCGAGATCTTCCCGTCATTATCCCGCATCACCCCATTTACCTGCGAGCATCATAAACACCCTCCTTCTTGAAAACTTCAGCAACGATAGGAACAGTAGAGTTGACAGGGTTGGAGATAATGCACATGAATGCCTTGGGAGCGAACTTTGCAGCAGCAGTAGCAAGGTCACGAACAATACCAGCGTTGATCTTGAACAAATCATCACGGGTCATACCAGGCTTACGAGGAACACCAGCAGGGATGACAACTATGTTTGTATGTGTTCATAACATGTTTCAGGTGGTCCCACACACACACATACACGTAACATCACTCCCACCTTTACTTACCGACATCAGAGTCCTTGATGGCTTCTTCAAGTTGTTCTTGGCCCTTGTGGCCAGTGACCTTAGACTTGGTGTTGATATGGCTATACACATCTTGAATAAGCACAACGCTTAAGCATTTTGCCACGCGTCATTAATACCTCAAGTCAGCAGCAACACCGGGAGTGTTGACAATATCGTAAAGGGAGAGGTGGGTGATCAAAGGAGATTGCTTCAACAAGAGCGAAAGGGGTTGACCAATACCACCAGCGGCACCGCAAACACAGACTTTGACCATGATTGATAAGAGTAAGAGTGAGAGTGAGAGAAAAGAGTAAAGAGAAAGAAACGTAATTACGCGCCCAGTCCAATGGCAAGATCCAATTTTATAGGCCCCGCTCACCCCGCATCCTACACACGCACGTAGACTACTGCCCGAACTTCTCTTTTCACATGCCACTTTTAGATGAGTCTCCCCTTGACCGGATCCACATGTGAATCCATCCACTTCCTGTTCGTTCCGAGAACTCACACATTGCTCTTATTTCATAACACATTTTATGAATCCCCTCCCCAACATTCATCATATCACATAGCTGGCTACCCTCTCTCTACATGTTTTGCCATCTCACATATACACGCACACCCATCTTCAGGGCATTTTTATGCGACTTTGCGCATGATCAAGATACCATATATGTAGCTGTGTGTGTCATCAATGTTTATTCGATTGCAGCAATAAAAAGCCGGATTAGATAGGTATATGTAGGCAACCTATACAATCTCACCTACACACGTTTTATGGTATGAACATTGCATCGTCACTGCCAATGCTTTGACATGATGTGTGTGAAAAGGGCAACCCAAAAAAAAAAGAAACATTGACGTAAGGGCATCTGCATGTGGAGAATGATACGAATGTTTTCTCTTTATTCATTGCACGTGAAGAAGCGTAAACATTTTTAATCCAAAGTAAACCTAGGCTGGGTCATGATTAACGTCAGTGTGTGTGTATTATGTGAGCGGGCCAGTTTCGAAACACAAGCATCCGGGATCGCCTGTTCCGATTATACCTATCTCCATTCCCCGCCTGCTGGACAAAGAGTATATCCCTATCATACGTCAGGACCTCTTCCTTTGCTCCTTTCCTAATGACGCCGTAGCATCATTGTGATCCGACACCACCACCCACCCATTGTATTCGCGTACCACTCTTCCGATATTTTCATTTTATGTTTTGAGGGCTTGTATTGGGTAAATCCACATAGATAGATGACACCTCCCCAAAACGCATCAAAGGCTTCATAAGCTTTCTTTTTCTTCCCAGTATGTGAACGTGATTGCTTACTTTGACGTATATCGATCAAGAGGTGTAATCGTTTTATGTAGACACATCAAAATGCTAGCCAGGATCATTTCTCGAGTCCCATTACCTCCAATCACGTAATTTTATCCATCCATCTTGAACATTGAGAGTATCCAATGACCTGCCCATCGATATCAAAATCGCTCTTTGAGCAAAGTATGCTTGTTAAATCAACATGGATAGCCTTGTGGAGATCTACAACGCCAACGTTTTATAACCCACGGAATGTTTTTAAACACCGCTATAAGAACATTTTCATTGAATAGCATTCAGGCTACTACTATTGGGATGCATGGAGGGATCGTGCTCATTGTAGTGAAAACCAAAGGATAGATTGTTCAGTTTTGATCCATGATATCAGTGTCATTGTCCTTTGTAAATTGGCTATTCCTGAAAGTAAGCATTGGCTATAGAGAGTGTTCTTTTTGTATACGATTCGAATTCGAAGCAATGTGCTGCTTACTTGCATAAGGTTTAATCTCCTGCGATTGATTGGTATTTGGAGAGCGAGCAGAAAAAGATAACTCGAGGTTGCTATGACTGCATTGGCAACGAAGAACCAAAGATTCAACAAAGGCGAACAATGGATCATTCCATCGCATAGGGTCGTAGTTTGCTTTATTCGAAACGAGTCTATAGACGAATAATGTACAAGCTCTATCTAATACATGAATGATGAATGAATCTTATGAACATGAAGCTTGGGGATCACGTGCAAGGGTATAAGATAGATAGCCAGTTGCTTCAACGCCACCTGACCTTGCTCTTTTTGGTGATTTCCTTTTTCCTCTCTTTTTTTTGCCTTCCCTCCACATGAGTCCACAACAGACTGATCGTGTTGCATTGGTCAATGTCACTGCCGACAATGTCAAGATGCTTTCAAAGCTGAATGCGGTCATTTTCCCTGTCCAATACGGAACGACTTTTTACCGCGACGTACTCTATGTGGGTGAGCTGGCCAAGCTTGGTATGATACATGATGAGCGGTGTGTGTGGTGTTGGTATCGCTGATATGACTATGTGTGTGCGTGTGTGCGTGTGTGATAGAGAAGGAATTATGATGATTAGAGTTGTTGATCCCTTGATAGCATACTTTGGTGGCATGTGTGTGGGCGCAATATGTTGTCGGCCTGAGATGGATGGGACACGGATATATATCATGACCTTGGGCGTGCTTGCACCTTACCGGCATTTGGGATTAGGTAACCATCGTTGTGAAGGTGTGTGTCTTTATAGCATGTTGACTGATCCAGCTTTGTTTACAACAGGGAGCCAACTGTTGACGCATGTGCTACAGCATGCATCTCGAGTGCCTCGTTTTACATACATTTATCTTCACGTGCAAATCACAAACCAAGCAGCTCTTACCTTTTATCAAAAACATGGATTCCACATCATCGGTATGGAGAAGAACTACTACCGTGATATTGAACCACGTGACGCCTACATCTTGAGAAGAATAAACATCCCTTCGCCTTCCCATTAAAAAGAAAATGTACATTGGAAAGGATCGTAATTAGTACAAGGATGTGCGATATCGACGTTGTTAAAGGCGACCTTGGTCAGCAACAGTGAATGGTGTCAACGACGCTCAATCTTTCACAAGTATCACGTGCGAGATGTAGAAAATGCCCGCCAGAGGATGCTTAGGCAACAAGCGACCAATCCATTCATTAGTAGCAATAGTATCATCGTTCAGAATAGAGGCGATTACTACTCGAATGAATAAAACAGCCTTACAGTAATCATGTATGCAAATACGACACCATAAGCTCATTCAAAGGCAACTTGACATCACCCAAGTGTCTGGTAATAAGAAGGTGTTGCACATGTTGTCAAGGTGAATGGGCGTATCCATTCCACTGTTGCTGGGCTACGTCACACGTTAAAATTTGCAGCCAGTTGTGGGCCGACTTTTTTTGTTTCTCCTGGGCAAGGAACGCGCTCACCCAACTGACAGCCCGTTCTTGTGTGTTTTTTTTTTGTTTTTGCACGCACAAACATATACCCTTATTCTCTAAAGGTAAGCCATTTAGGCACATTCCAATACATAGACTCACAATGGCTTCATAGCACGCAATTCGGTTGTTTGCATGGCGGTCTGTTGAAAACGATCCTCTTTTTCCCATCATAAAAGACACTATATATATATACACAACAACAACAACCATCGCCCCACCATCGCACTTCCATGACAACATCGGCACTTGCTCGACGAGGTAGCAAGTGTGCCGCTGCTTGCAAGCATCAGAATCCTCTACGACCCAACTTTGCTCGGTGTCGATCTACGTTTGTGCTCCCTGTGGTACCGTCACCTATAACGCGCCACACCGATATGTTATGTCTATTGGCAGCAGCAGCAGCTTCACGTGCTACTGGCGTATCATCATCTTCATCATCATGCACTCAACGACGACACTTTAATGCACGATCATCATCCTCATCATCAGCAGCTCTTTCTGCACCATCATCTTCAACATCATCAACTGCCCCATGTGCATTGAATGATCCATCACACAACATATTTCATCCACGGCGGATAGGCAAAGGATGTGATTTGAATGCATTATATGATTATTTACGGGCACAAGGTCATCAATTGGGTCCTGAAAGAGTATACAAGACGTTGAGGTCAGCATTGTACAATGCGAGTGGTTATCAGGCGGATACGGCATGGCGAATTTATCAAATGATGCTCGAACATGGCGTTTCTCATCGAATGGGTGCCAATAACTATGGACATTTACTCAACATGCTAAAGTATGGGAATGATTGGGAACGGATGGTGAATGTGCTGGACAACATGCGCAATCAAGGGACGCAGGTCGGCCCGCTCCATTATGCACAAGTACTATTTGCTATGGCACGGCATGGTCAACTCGAGTCAGCGTGCAAGATTCTCAAGGAAATGCGTGATGCTGGTGTTCCACGACAACCCTCTCATTTGACTTCTTTGGCATTGGCAGTACGATCACACCATGTATCCACCAAACAGCATGAAGTGGCAGCCAAGGTCATGATGGAAGTGATGCAAACGGATGGAATAGTGATTGAAAACAGGGCATGTGCTGTCATGGTCAGCCATTTATCACGCACATCTATGGATAAGACGATTGAGTTTCTCGAATGTCTTGCACAAGCACAAGCCATTGGCAACAACAAGGATACCCCAGCAACAGCAATTGAAGAAGCAGGAGCAGGAGCGAGAGGAGGCGTTTACAACACACATGTGTACACATCACTGATATCCGGTTTGGCACACAAAGGTGATGCAATCAATGCTGAACGACTATACAATGAGATGAAGCACCATCGTTTAAGACCGACTGTGGCCACCCGTGTTGCATTAGCCGAAGCTTATGGTCGTGCAGGTGATTTCGACAAGGCGCTCAAGCTCGTTGGTAAACGACCCAATCATGCCATTATGACTTCTATTCTCAGCAATGCAATGCGACAAGGACGATGGGATCTTGCACATGACTTGGCAGAAACATGGATGGCTGATAAACGCATCATGAATAATACAGCAGCCGATGACAAGTTTCGAGCGACGTTAATGTGGGTCAAGGTCAAGACGGGATTGGATACAGCAAAGCTCTTTTTCCAGCGGCTATATGAAGAAGATGCATCTTTTGTCAATGCTGTGATGGTGAATCATCTTGTCATGGAGAGTGGTAATCAACAAAAGAAGGATCAAGTTTATGAATCGTTCGGATTACATCGGCAATTGGAGGATGAACCAGCACCCTCGTTGTTATCACACCATTATTATGTGGATGCCTTGTTCAAATGCCGAGATGTCCCAGCAGCATTAGCAGCCTTTGTGGAAATGAGAAGATACGGTGTACCGGACGACATCACGATGGCTATGGTGGTGCGTGGATTAGTCATGAATGAGGAGGACAACATGGCATGGAACGTGTTTCGGGTCATGAGGAAGAATGGATTACAGCCCAATCTCTATGCCTATTCAAGCATTTTAAAGGCATTTGCAAAGACACAAGCTCCACGATGGGTATCCAAGGAGTTGAGCAAATTATGGCCCGATCTGCATGCAGCTATTACTGGTGATCAACAGCAACCTGATCTTCTCACCCATGATTTCCTTGGTAGTTCATCGCATGCTTATTCCTTGTTCCAAGAAATGACTGGATTTCAACGACCCAACGAGTACACATATACCACCTTGATTGCCTGTTTTGCAAAGACAAGTCTTGCTCGTGCAGCTGATGTATTCTCTCACATGTGTGCTGATGGTATCAAACCCACCGCTCAAACCTATACAGCCATGCTTCAAGGATGTGCCATTTTCCGCAACGCTCGTATGGCTTTGGTTGTATTCCGACACATGCGTGAACATCATGTCACACCCAACCAAAAAACGTGGCATTATCTACTCAAGGCCTTGGTCCGTGCGCGCGTCGACCGTAAAAAGATTGATAGCGTCGGTCGAATGGCTCGTAAGGCCATGGATGTATCATAGATTCTTTCACTTAGACACACACTCACACACACTCTTGTACTTTTTAGCATTACATTCACTTTCACACACACATGTATCTAATCAATCACGCTCGCAATACACATCACACACTTGCACACACTCTCATTCCTTTTTACAACAAAAATCGATAGATTCATCAATGTATATAATAGTAGAAGTGGAAGGAGACAAAAGGAATGTACAATCGAGTAGGTTGGATGAAAGGAAAACGTGTGAGAGAGTTAGAGAGAGGATATCACGACGAAGGAGCTGGTTCAGATGAGGATCCACTGTCGTCATTCTTATGCGTCTATAAACATAGTAACCATGAATACCATATCCATCACGAGGCCGTAGTGCATATATTTTACCTGAGTACCGGCAATCGAACCGATGATAGCACCCAAAATAACAAGAATAGTGACGCCAATAATAATCTTCCATTTCAAATCTTTCCACCACATTCGCTTGCGTACTTGGTTGGCACCTCGTCGAAACTGGGATGATGTTGCATGCAAATCCTCTTTTGTAGCAGTACAGAAAAAAAGTGTTACCAACCAACCATAATGTATACTTTGATCTGCCTTCATTTACCTGTTTTGTTTTGCAACGAGTTGAGGTTCTCACCACGCTTATACATTTGGTCAATATTGTCTTGCATGATATTCACTACTTCATCCACTTGGTGCTGTACACGCTGTGTCTTGTTGTTGGGTGACGAGGTAGCACCTTCCGCTTGCTCATTGGGAATGTAGGGATCATAGGGTGACGACCTGCCATGCTACAATGTTAGTTTCGTTCGCGTCACTCATCTATGATAGTAGACTACTTTACATGTTGAAAGCGAAATAAAAGAAAGTGAAAGAGAAGAAAGAGAAAAGTACAGTTAAACACGCAAGGGTTAATAGTGCTTTTTTTTAGTGCTGAGCCTTTTTGTGTGGGCTTGGCGCCTAAAAATGGAGGGTTTCAAGCATGTATGTTACACATGACGTAGCCAACAATGGCAAGGGGTGTTTTTCATGCGTTTCCTATACAATGGATCTGCATTTGACTTTTGGATGATAATACAACCGGGCCACACACACTTTAAAACGAAACAAATTGCCAACCCCAATCAAAGTCTGTTATCAAAAAGATGAATAAATGTATTTGACAACTTGTATAAATCAGATTCGGTTCGCCTAGTACCGGTGAATAGTGCGGCATCTGCCTGTAATTGGTTACATAAAAGGAGTTAGATACAACGACGTTAATGAGATGTTGGCACCATAAACATACCACGATGGTCCCGGCGGCAGTAGTTCGAATACACACTGCATGAATCGCTGGAGATCTGTTCACAGCTTGTGCCTGGAGGGAGTTCTCGACCATAAATGTTTGGGGCTTGGATAATATTGGGAACAGCGTTGGCTGTTGCAAAGACAGCGGCAGCGACAAAGAGGAGAGCGGAGAACTTCATTGTAAAAGTGGAGATGGGATGATGTTATTCTGAATCGACAAGAATCATTCTCATTTTATAGTTTTATTCTTGTTGGCAACTTTATCTTGCCGCACGATGACTCTGTCGCATCATATCAAAAGATCAGCGCCATATGCATTAGGTGTATAGTGGTCTCTGCGATACATAGGCACAACACTGGATACTTTGACAAGCAAATGGTGTCGTTTCGAGGCGCTTGGTATGCAAAACAAATCCCCTGGGAGGAGAATGTGGCGAAATCAGACGCAACAATCTACCACCACCTACTGCATGGACAAAGTAAACCACGTAAAGCGAAAAGTGGTAATCACCCATTCCTCTAAACCCAACATCCAGCATCTATCAAGCATGGTAACGGGCCATAAAGGCAGCTATGTATTATGTATATAGTCGTTACGAAAACAAGGAGCGCTTTGATGATGGTGTTTTCTTGCCCTGTGTTTGCAGTAGTCGCTACAGTCATGCAAGAAGCATCTTGGATGCAACACGGAAAAATGGAAGCATGATCACCGGCTCGCATCACTATAACCAACAACTCATTTGCAGCTTTGCTATGGTCAAGGACATGATGATCAAAAACAAGGACTACAGGTGGTTTACACGATGGTCACAATACCCTTGCGGCTGAAACCCCATGTATGTGCGATCCGCGTTTTCAATTTTAATGACATGGATATGCTGATATTAGCAACGCTATGTCCCTCTTTTTGACATGATACTGCTTTTGATATGGAGACGTATGTTTGCTGATCTATTAGATATGCATAGAAGGTGGTGGTCTGCATCATGCAATCCATGCGAGGATAAAAAGATTCACTTCGTATATGATGCAGCCGCTGTTCATAATAATGTTCATTGCGGTGGTGAAAAGTCATGATAACATAGGCTACCTCAAGGATGATAGCAAGCATAGCCATGGCAACAACAGCATTCTTTTTGACTGAAGGACCGTTTTAGCCGCTCTGCAAGGAAAGGATCCCAAGTATCATGCATGCATGTAATAACATACATGTGCTGTTTGTATTTCTAGGAAATTCGAAAACCCCCTTTAGGAGATGATGTTGACAGCAAGACATGCCAAACACCTCCTGCAAGCATTGTGGCGGAGATCACTTGCAGCCTTCATCCTCGGGGATCGGGCTATGATACAGCTATCCACAGAATGGTAACAACATGCCACGGGGTAATGGCTACAATACTGGCAAATGGCGTCCACATTGAAGACGAATAGACACCAGCAAAGGTGACATTACTATCCATCTGCATACCACAGCTTGTTTATATGATGTCCCTGCATTTTTGCTGTAAAGCAACTTGATCACGCAAGATGTAAATACACCGATGCGTCAAATGCATATTGTTATTGCAGTGGCGTTCTCGATAACACCATAACGACGTCATTGGGTCTTTGTCGTTTGATGAATTCGGGATCCTATGCCATGACAGCTAAAGAGTTGCGATATTAGAAGAATACTGCTCCTAGCAATGAGGTACAACGTACTACTAGTTTAGACGCTTAGGTGCCCAACGCAAGCAAGTGATCATCTTCAACAACAAAAAACAAATGATGCTGTAATGTATGTTATGATGAAGGTTATGTACTATGCATCATCATGATGTTGAGATATGTCTGTCAAAGCAAGTAAAGGTAAATCGAATCTCATAAACCCAAGAGAAAACATCTTTATCTACGTTTGTGAATTTAACACCAAATGCGATGATTGATCAAGGTCAACCTATATATCTCTCGCCGTATGTAATAAAATAAGGAGCATGTGTTACGACGTTATTGACAAGATCTAGTCGCAACAAGAAAGGGGAGGAGTGGTTTATACTATTGAATACAGTCTTTATTCAAGTCAAAATGAATCAATCAGGCTCTTCCTCTTCCTCTCATCTTCCTCTACCACGGCCTTTAAAAGTGGATATGCTTCTATGGATGTGGGAAGTCTTTACCCTTTTGGGCGTGCATTTTGTAAAATCGGATGGTACTTCAAGTAGGGAAGCCGTTAAATTACCACCATGGGAGTTGGGGGTGGGTTCCCTGATATTTGCACCATGTCAAACCATACACCATGTCAATTTCAGTACCCAACGTAGACCATGGCACTAAAACCAACTTTTGCAGATGCTTCACGGAGAGATAGCTGTATCGAAAGTAACAAGGTAGCGTGTATTAGTAGTGACTCATCAAGTAACATGATCAGGACTTACCTCGTTACAAGAATACAATATCACAAATGACGGCCACAATACAAAGAAACCCTATGAATGACCACAAAGATCAGCACTTGTTCACAGTTTGAAGGATGGGATAAACACAAACCTTGGAAAGTTGACCTTGTAAGCAATCAAAGAAGTATGGCAGAGAAAAGAGATGTGCGGTAGTATGATGGGCGGCGACAACATCCTTTTATTGTGCATTGTGGGTGTGGGTGTGGGTATTTGTGTCTGTTGGGGATGATGTATTGATAAATTGATGTAAAAGCTGAGATTGTTATGTGATTGCTTGAAAGCGTACGCTTATTGTAGAACCATTTATGTACCCATAGGCAATGTTAAGCCATTCAACGAGAAATTAAAGAGTTTACGAGCCAAGCGAGCAATCCGAGTCAATACATTTTAAACGTCATCGAGCAAAAAGAGAGAGAACCAGACATAGATTGTATAATACAAGGTAATATTAAAGGTGAGGGGTGGTCTATACATGTTACATCAAATCAGCGGCCGTCACCATTTGGCCAACTTCGATACGTTCGGCTGCTGCCAGACCTTGAAGCGTCAATGCATTAGGACCTATGATGTATGTAATGGTTAACTACCTTGGCCATAATAATACCATTGATATACCCATCCTTACATTTATCGGGTGCAAAATGCACAATAAAGTCGCCAGGTTGATATCGCTTGGGGAAGGTGTTGAAAGTATGGTCATCATTTTCGAGCAAGTAAATGTGAGGCTGATTTTCAGGTTTGAGCATGATTTGCCACATGGCACCTTGTTCATACGCTGGCCTTCTATTGTACCATTCGGTGACTTGTTGCACTTGGCGCAAGAATTGGCGACTCCATTCGGTATTACGCAAGAAAAATACGCCTGCATTGAGCATTGGGTCACCTCGTGGCTTGGCTGTAATCAGATCGACATGCTCATCAAACGCTTGTCCATCTCCATAACGTGTACGCAAATCATCCAGCAATTCGAACAATGAGTGCTCCTGGTTCATGATAACAGCATCCATATCCATCCAAAAAATCCAGTCGTATTTGGGTAGCACCTTTTCAACAGCATCCACCTTTCCCCATACAGTCTTTCGTCCACGTTGCTGAGCAAATTCTGTAGACCTGGCAACAAATGTATGACCGTGTCGTTCGGCATATTTACGCTTGTTGAGAGCTGCCTTGGTCGCTGATGGCTCCATGCAATTATCATCATAAATAAAAGAAGACGTCATCAATGCAATGGATGGTTGGTCTTTGTTGACAGTGGTTGATAGGTCATCTTGGGAGAGTGTCATCTCTTCATCGTCATCCATAGGACTTTGTTGGAGAGTTGGCTTGTAAGCTGATTTAGGTGGATAACATACACGCACAGGTTCAAGCGATGTCCATCGTGCTAAATCAACAAATTCTGTATCCTGGTAGACGTGTGTGACAGCTGCATGATCCTCGTGCACAGACTCAACATTGTTTTCCCATCGCATAAAGCGTTGTGCTTCTGGAATGAATAACGGCATCGTTTGTACTTGAACTTCAGCCTCGCCTTCATCCTCACCAAATTCCACTGTAGCATCATTTTTGACTTGGTCAACTTCATTGGATTGATAGTAGTGGTATAGATCGGTTAACAAGTGCGATGATGACTGGATCTCGTTACGTTTCTCAAGGGCTACACGTGCAGCTGCTGCGCCCACCACAAACACTTGAGAATCATCCACTTGATCCGAGTTGGTGAATTGAGCCCAAACCATGTTTGTTGTATGATCCACAGCCACAGGTGATTCTGAATCTTCACTGATAACACCATGCTCCAATTCTTGACGAATACCAGCGATGTGAACAAACGTGTGAATATCCTGCACAATCAAATAGTCATAGCTGATTCCCCGATCCGCCAATGTGGTCTCCGCCTACAAGTTGTTGCTTAGCATGATACGTTACACAATGGCTGTTGTTGATGTTATTCTTACCCATTCTAAAACTGAAGCTTGTGTAAAGGAGACACCAGCAGGGAGCTCTTCAAGATCATTCCATTCCATCTTTTCAGCTTCATAACGTCGACGTTCAGCTGTACGTGGAGTGACACTCCCACCATGGATCCAGAACGTATACATTGTATCCGCATTGAATCGCATACAAGGAAGCAAGTTGTCGCGTAAGCCAAAGTATCTCTCTCGAATCAATTGTCGACGTGTCATTTGGTCGGCAGTGGATGCAATGACTACCAAATACTTGTAGTGGTTGGATGTATTGATGATCTCATTCGATGTATGGACATTATCCTCTTCTTGTTGTTCCTCGTCGCCTTCAGATAATAAATCGGGTACTGTATCCTGGCCGTCGTCTTCGTCTTCGTCTTGTGGCAATGGGACAATGACATTGCCATTGGGTGGTGGAGGTGCGAGATTAGGGTCATTCACTTGTTGTGGCTGGTTATCTTGAGGGCCGGATGATGATGGTGTGGTGACTCGAGCATTCAAATATAGTAAGAAAAAGATGCCGGATACTGCCAAAGTCACCAGTATTCGTTTGTTAAGTCTAGGTGGTAGAGATCGTCGTGTCGTAGTGGTAGTCTCAGATTTGAATTGTGGCAAGTCGGATGCCATTATATGCAAATATGTACAAGGAACAAGGGGAAAGAAGAAGGAAGAGAGGATGGATTGGGCTGAGCAAAAACAATACATTTTCTTCTTTTTATACACGAAGGATTACTATTTTCAGAACTCTAACGGATCTTGTTTCCCGGGTACACCAGAGCCACCACAGCCAATGCGTCGAGGCGTTGATTTCTTTTCCTTTTTAGAATCCGAAGATGATGATGATGATGTTGATGATGATGGTGGTGGTTCGGTGCGTCTCTCACTAACACCTCCTTCAGGTGGTAAATGGAATGTCTCAATGGCAAAACGTTTACGTCGAAGCTTGAATGCCAAATCATTGCTACCGCCTGCGGATAACACTGATAACTTGGTGCTAGGTGGAAGCAACGAATTGATGACTGGTAACTTGTGTACATAAAAGAAGCCATGGTAATTTTGTGTATAGGATGCTTCATTGTGTATCTTGGATCCTATCAACAACAACGTAATGAGATTAAACCTTATCCACCTTCCTAAAATGTTTCAATTACCTGCAAACGATTCCACCTCAACCACGGCATCCACCATGTGCTCAATACGTCGAATAAAGTTGGGAGATTCATCATAGAGATAAGCGGGAATGGTCACCACAGCAGCACCAAAAGAGAAACGTAACAAGCCACGTAATGCATGGAAGAACTTGTAGAGATCCTAAGTATATATTCATATACCAGTAAATAATCAATCGAAGGGTAATCATCCTATTCCACTTACATGAGGTGTCTTGGATTGCCAGCTGGGAGACGCCAAAGAATGAATACCAACTCGTAACACGTTGCGTGTAGTGTTGGGTGGTGCAGGTAGGGCTGAGCTGTTGATGTATTTAGAAACACGATCCTCCATCTCCTTCAATCCTCTCTCCCCTTGCCATGCTTACCTGAAATTGTTTTCTACAATCAGCTTACGAATGTCTTGTATCAATGTCCAATAATCATCGTCGCTTTCATCTTGAATGCCAGCAGCTGTAGGTGCTAAGACAGTGGCCTTGCTTTCATCCAACACTGATTCAGGAATTCGTTTTGTCAAGTCGAACAAACTGCAATAAGGCCTTGGTTCATTGGAGGCTGTTGTTGTTGATGTCGATGATGATGATGATGTGTCGGCTTTGTTCTTGTCACTTGTATTGGAAGATGGTGGTGGTGATTGTGGAGAAGCTATACATCCATTATATCAACAAACCTCCTTTATGCATGTCCCATTGATTGCTATTTACCTGTGCGAACACCTGACTCGAACTTTTTCAAATGTGCATATCTCCAAGCAATCTTGAGTCGATCATCTCCAGTGCGTGCGTTACGTCCACCAGCTAGTTTGCTTCCTTCGTCGTGATCGTCCACATCGGTATCAGAAGTAGCCAGCCACATCAAGTTACGTAGCAACTCGTTGCCATCCTCATCGAGTGAAGCTAATGCACATTGGTGTCCCGAAGCAATGCCTTGAGCCATAAAGTATTTCAATAATAGCTGTGCATAGGTCGTGGCGCGATCTTCCTTGATCAACAAGACCGTGCCAACAGGGAGACCACCACCTAGAATGTCGTCAAGAGAAGGCACACCCGTTGAAATGAGAAGTGCTCCATTGTATGCAGAAAGGCGTGATCCAGGAGGTAGTTTCGGTTGCTGATCGGCGTTGCGCTTTCGAAAGCTCATTGATAAAAGGAGAGGGAGACACGAGTTGACGGATCGTTCGGAGCCTTCATGCTGCTACTACGGTTGTTGTGACGACCACCATGACCTCATCACGTGAACACGATTGCATGAATCCCTTCACCCTTAAATTAGCTATCGTTCGACGACACTTGAAATAAAAATGATCTATCATGTTGCTAAGAGATGCGGTTTTGATATATATTTCGTATACGTAGTATCACTACAAGCTATAAAACCGCCATGTACAGAAACTAACCCACGATTGGGCATACAATAACTGTGCGCGTGCGCGTATTAAATTGAGATAACATGTAGTTAAGCAATACATTCTAGAATAGAGATGTTTATTAAGTGATTGTGTATAAGCGACATCCTCGAAAGCGATATACATAAAGATCTAGTGCATGCGGAACATTTTGATAGAGCAGCTGTACCAATCCGGAAAATTTCAGGTTTCCTTTTCTCCTTGTGAAAACTCCGGCAGCAACCCGCCAATGGCTACCACCCAAAGTGCATTGTATAAAGCCTCAGGTTCCCATGCTAAACTCTCTCACACATCTCTTTTCCACACACATTTACATATACTATGGCAGTCGGCACACCACTTGGACGGGGAGTATTCGTTCCTATTCCCACCTTTTTCAAGGATAATGAAGACCTCGACTTTGATGCTCTTGAAAAGCACATCCAATATTTATCTAACAAGGGCCTTGCTGGCATTATCTTTCTCGGTTCAATGGGCGAGGCCGTCCATCTTTCTGATGAAGAACGACGTCAAGTCATTTCCAAGGGTGCTGAACTCGTGAAGAAATATGATAGTTCTATCAAGGTGCTTGCAGGTGCCAGCGCTGGTTCAGCGCGTCACACCATTGAGCTCACCAAGCAAGCTGCTGATGCAGGTGCTGAATACGTGCTTGTCTTACCCCCTTCTTATTATCGCGGCAATGTCGATAGTGAAGCCATTGAGTCTTTCTTTACCCGTGTTGCTGATCAAAGTCCCGTGCCTGTCGTGATTTACAACTATCCTGGTGTCACACAAGGGGTGGATATCACCGTCCAAAGTCTGGCAAAGTTGGCCAAACATCCAAACATTGTAGGTGTCAAAGGCACTGATGGTAATATTGGCAAGGTTGGCTATCTTGGTGCACGTATCAAGCCTGAAGGTAAGAAAAAGAAAAGTCATAGGAAAAGATAAGGTTAAACGGTGAGACTTATGCTTTTATGTACTGTAGACAACTTTGCATTGCTTGCTGGTTCAGCTGACTTTTTCCTTCCTGCATTGGCAGTGGGTGCAGTGGGTGTGGTACCTGGTCTCGGTAATGTGGCACCTCGTGCATGCGTTGAAGTACAGCGATTATTTGAAAGTGGCAAACTTGCAGCGGCTACCCAATTGCAACAACAGCTCGTTGAGCCTGATGATGCACTTGCCCGTTGGTATGGCAACCCTGGTGTCAAGGCTGGAATGAACCGCGTACTTGGTTGGGGAGGTCTTCCTCGATGCCCACTTCGTCCACCTTCCGATGATCAAATCGACCGTATTGTTCAAGCTGTGGATACTGCTCTCTCCATTGAGAAATCACTCGCCTAAAACATGTATAATAATATATCATTTTTTGATGCATCATCGATTCTTTTTACAAAAAGTCGCAAACACTTTTTTATTGATCTGAATACGAGGGAGAACTAGAGCAAGTTTTATTCTCATCTTGTTGTTTTCCACTAATAGTAGGTTCAGCTTCGCCATTGGTACTAGTAAAGGATGCACTATATCGATTCCACACCTTGGCTACCTCTGCTGTAACACGTGTCACTTGCAAACATCCTTGCTTGACTGCTTTGGGCCATCCAAAATCCTCTTGGGTAGAAATAGACTGCATGCCTCTCATGACTGATATAATCACCTTGAGATACTCATTCGTCTCTTCCCAAAATGCCTTATTTCCTTCTATCGTCGATGATGATGATGGTGATGCTGTGGTATCCTTATTCATGATGCGTTGTAATCCTTGATCCAAACGTATAGCCATGCCAGCGGCTTGTTGAGCTTGTTGTCCCAAATTCAAAAGCTTTTGTCGTAGTGTAGGTGCACAGTCGTCCTTGGCAACCGTATCATCAATGGATTTTTTGAGTAAATCAGTCACGTGTAATGAATGGGTGACAGCAAGTTTAAGATGGGTATGGAGTTGAGATCGATCACGGTCATCCAGAGGTGATGATGATGCTGTAGATGCTGTAGCGTATTCACTATGCGAACGTGTTCGAAGGTAAGGTGGTGGATGAGGAGAAGAAGGTTGTTGTTTGAATGCATTGTCGGGAGATAAAAGGTGTTGTTGTTGTTGAGATGATGGTTTTGGTGTGGATGATTGTAATGTCTCACAGGCCTCTTTGATATCAACCGTGGTGCCATGAATCGTCAATAATAAATGTCGTGCAAATCGAGGATCCAAGCATGGTACAAGGGATGGTACTAGTTGTTGTAAGCTGCCACATAGTACTTGCAAATGCCGTATACATTCAGACGCATATTTCTCAATGGCAAGTCGATTGTTATCATGCTCCTCCAACGCTTGAACCAATTCCTCAACCGATATACTGGATTTACCAAGCGCATCTGATAGAGTGTCGAGGTCCCCATTGATATTGCTGCCAGTGCATAGTGCTAAACATCGCCGTACTGCTGTATGAAGTGTTCCTGCTGCAAATACAAGAGACTGGCTACTCTCCACTATTGCTGGTATCGTATGTTGTTGTTGTTGTTTTGTGCGTTGAAAATAAGAATCGACAGTGGCCGTACTGCTCATGATGGCAGGTCGATGGGCTGTTTCCTTTTGTTTCTGCTTTTGCAACTTGAATGTGTCCGAAGAGAAAGAACGAGATGCACTCGGAGATTCTTGTTCACCACCAATAACAGGCACAGTCAGTTGAAGTGGAGGAAGAGCGGCAATGCGACCATTGTGTGGAGACGAAGAAGGCTTTTGAAACGATAACCCATGTTTGTTCAACGAAAGACCAAACACACTAGAAGAGGAATTGGCTGTAACTGACCGTAAGGAGTTATGCGGAGGTACATGTGCCATACGTATATGCAAGGAAAAGAGAGAGAAAGAAAGGCATAAATGTGCTGCAGCTGACTTTAAGGCTTCCTTCTCCTTCACTTTGATCACCCATATTCGTCTCCAATGGATAGCAGTATATGTGATATGCAATAAAAAGATCAACAGCAGTACAACCACAGCTTTAATTTTATCCTAGTACCAATGTTGAAGCTTTATATGCTGTGACCCGATGTTCCCCGCACATGGCCAAACCCTCTAATCTAGATTAGTAGCCGTCATCACCTCATGCAGCATCACGCATAGATATCACACATTTCACAGCACGTAATAGAAGGAGGCCGAGAGAGTGAAAGAAATCGAACCCAACGAATGCCATTGTCAAGATGCTTTATACATTTATTGATATCTAGATTTCGAGCCCTTCAAATACATCAATGGATTTGTCAAAGACTTCAGATAACTCGGTATTGAGCAATTCATCCAATGTATGGTTATCGCGTTGGTAAAACCATTTCTTCTTTTCGCCATCCCAGTCGTATCGTTTGGGTCCACTATAATACCATAGTAAATTAACTGCATGACAACGGTTGCCATCCTACGGTTGCCATCCCACTTTGCGTAGCTTACCTTTTTGGCGACGATAACCAAATCTGCTGGTTGGGTGGTTGTTTGTTAATGACATAGGTGCCATGTGCTCCCAACTTGATGGTCATGACGCCTTGCTAGAATCCATTGTTGAGCACCTTGGCTGTAGACCCATATCCCACATTACACACTTACCGCATACTCCACATCAAATCCATCCAAGTCCAATTCATCGCCCAAATTCTCTAGGTATTCATCCAGGTGATCGAGCGTTGTATCAGAGACATCGTGGTATGTGTCAATGTTCATGGGCCTACATTGATATAGGATAAGTAATGTGACAATACACACTCCAAACTTTGGCTTGAAAACGTTACGTTGCTGTATAGGTAACGCCCGTCGAATAGCAATGCTGAGACATGACCCAAGATCGGTTACCAGGAACGACGGCGGTACGCATGGTGTTTGTTTTGACCATGGCATTGGGTGCAGCAACAGCCGATCGGCGTGCAATCAATGCCAAATGACGACAAAAAGGACGTGCAAGGTGTCGAGCCAATGACATTGTATGAATTCGGTCAAGCGTGTAAAATAGAGCGAGAAAGCGATACACAATTGCTGGCCTGGATTGGGTGATCGGAATAAGCGCTGGCAAGCATCTCGTGCGACATCACATCCAGCAGCTGTTGGACTACCTGTGCCCAAGATCCCTTGTATGTGTCCCACTCTTTGCACTATATTCTGGATATAACAATAAACAAGATATTTTTATGGATACCACAACTAAGAGAGCACTACAACAGGGGAACAACTGGGGGAGTGTGACTAAAAAGAATGTTATGGATCATGGCCGGCATGTTGCTTAAAGACACAAGCCAGTGTTGATGTTCAAGTAGCTGCATAATAGTAAGAAGAAGAGGTACTTTTTAGAACCTCGTAGACAACGTATGCATCCTATATACCATACCTTAAGTGATCAAGAGCGCTAGTGAATGGGACAATCGAATTGGCGCAGTCGTCAGTTTCGATTCCATTAGGGCAAACACCTTTATGCATGGCGAAGAATGGCATGTAAGTGAATTTTACTTTGACGATGTGGGTTAAGCTTTCACTTACGAACAGTAGTTGGATCATCATCGACAATCCAAAATTCTTCACCAGCATGAAGGAATCCAAATGCACCTGGAGGAAGATGCGGCACAACTAGACATCATGTTATGTCAGTCACGTGCTGCTGTTGATAAAGCAAAAGGGTTACATATCCACTTACTATCACGTTTATGGACAAGACGCTGATAGGGGATCTTGGTGCCCACCACGTAGTTGGCAAAAGCTGGTGTACCCACACGAGGCTGTCCTTGCGTGTAAAGCGAAACATCGTGACCACGGTCTTTGAGATCAAGAGCACACAGCACAGCTGTAGCACCACCTAATGAATGGCTAAAGTATATACACAAGATATGTAAATCAATGGATCAAGGTATGTATGTAGGCCATTGTTAGTATGTACATACCCGGTCACTGTAAGTTTATAATCGGGATATTGAGCGACCTGCGCTTCCACTTCTTTGACAAGATCCTTTTGCACTTCATTGTAACTATCGAGGAAACCTATAATACAACAAAATTAGTGTTACAAGTGTGGGGGACCAAAAGTGTATATGTGATGCCCTTACCTTTGTGCACTTTGGCCCCATTGACGGGTGGATAATCAACCGGTGCAAAGACAATATCCTAATCGAGTCAAAAGCAAATGAGAACATGTTCCACCTTGTACTAGGATTCTATCTTTTTACTCACATCAATGGCATTACGGATCGAACTTGTACCACGGAAAACAACGTAAATGGTCTTTTCCTTGCTACCAACAGCCACCAAAACATTGGTATCAGTGACCAACGTAGTAAAGGTCTTTGTGATTTTGAGATCGGATACAGCATCACAGTGAGGACAAGCCCATTGGCCAAGAGGGATCACCGTACGACAATAGACGTTTGCTGACAATGTTGTATAATAGGTCAATGTTTGGATCTCGGCTTCACTTGCAATGCGTACATCATTGGATGCTGCCGCTTCAGACATGGCTTTGGCTACGCTGGATGGATACGTGGTGGCATTTTTGGCTTGCGTGTAGATGGTATCAGTTCCCTTGGGAAGGGGTCCATTCATCTTGATTGCCTTGGCTTCGGGATTGTATGTTGTTGTTGAATTGTCTTGTCTTTTCAATGGCACACCCATCACAAAGGAAGAATGCACAAAGGCTAAAAAGATAACCAGAGTATGGATCTTCATTGGAGTTGTTGGTAAAACGATTGGACTGGGCTGCTGGTGATAATGAAGGAAGAAGAAGAAGGATCGCTTGTTGAAGACGATTACTTGACAACGAATGTCCAAGGTTGCTGCCCTTGACGATTCATTTTATACTCGATGTCTTTGTCTGTGTCATGGGAAAAAAAGGAATCTAACTTGTAAGCGAAAATGAAGTACAATGAACGCGACGGACGCCATAATTGATTGAAGGTAGTATATGGGCAAGTGATCATGGCGGATGGTACGTTAGCAGTCAAGTCATTATCAGCTATGTAACACAATCATTGACAGAAAAGTTTCTCATGGCGGCAAGATCATTGGCGCTTGTGTATTGATGATGTGTCTGTGTGAAAACGAGCGCATCACTATCCTCTGTTACCAAACGTTGGGGTTGGGAAGATCAAGCCTATGTGTATGTGCGTGTGTACCTGAATGATTTATTTGGGAGCACAATTGGCATGTGAAAACATATGGAAACAATGCTTGTATCACATCTCCACAAACTAATTCAAGACAATTTTCATTTACATGGCATAATGCGTTGGGTATCCATTAAGCTAGCTATTTCATTTTACACACGTACGAACCAAGCAGTGTAACATACATTGTAGGCTCCAGCACACACAGATTGTAAATGAGATCCTTCATCTCAATGATATGTGCCTTTAATGGGAGAATCTTTATCATATCCAAGAACATAATAATGCTGTGGTATATAAAACTTGAATTCGAGAAGGGGTTGAAATGAGATGCGATGGCTTGGTAATTGGTAAGTGAGTGTTGATGGTGGGTGGGTAATGACGTATGGCGAATGGGAATCACTATTTCAAATAGGTATCGGGAGAGAATATGTTCTAACGCACTCGAACCACCTTGACGTTCTTGAAATTGCTGTCAGATGATGTATTGCTGCTGCTATTGCTACGATGTACTGTATTGGATGCATTGTTTTCTGTTGTAGTTTTGATGGTAATAGATGATGGCGGTTTCAGTTGAGATGGTTGTTGTTGATGAGTGTCCGAATGCAACTTTTTGCTAGTGCTTGATGATTGCCGATTCTTCGAGGATCCCATAGAAACAGGTCTCTTTTTCTCGGATGAAGATTGATAGCCGAATCGGTGGATACGAGTCGTGGTGGGTGAAGAATATTGACCATCTATCATGGGTGTCGATTGTTGTCGAATCACTTTGGGTCGTGGTAAACTTTTAGCCTTGGTGGTTGTGGTAGCTTGTTGAGAAGCAGGTTTCCTTGGCAATGATGCATATTTCCTCTCATGGGTTGGTTGCTGTTGCTGTTGTGGTGGTTGTTGCGATGGTGTTGGCGATGTCTTTTTAAAGGCAAGGGATGCAGCAGGTGTTGTATTGGATCGTACCAAGGAGGGTTTCCGCATCGGCTTTGATCGTGTGGTGGTAGTCGTATTTTGTTGTTGTTGGTCTTGTGATAGCCGAGATTGTGTTGCTGGCGATTTGCCTCGTTGAGTTGAGTCTTTTTTGTTGGGAGGTGAAGGAGATGGTGGTGGGGTGATGTTCTTAAACATGGGCAACTTTGATCCTTGACCCCAGCATGCATTCGAGATGGATTGTCGTTTTCGTAGCACACGTAGCACTTTTTCTTGAGCAGTTGCAGATCCATCCGTTTCTTCTGTCAATGTAAAAGCACGCAATGGGATACGACAACGGCGGATATCTGATACACCAGGTAGTCGTTTTCGCTGTCGACGAATGGATGAGGATGATGATGATTGGTTGTTGCTATCCGACGATGGTGCCAATGATTCCATAGATGTCGCTGGATCCTTATCCTCTTTGGTGTTTATTGCTGCTGGCGCATTCTCTTCTTCGTTCAGTGATGATTCCAAATCCTGTAACTTTTCCATAGCAGTTTGCATGGCAATCGTCTCATCAGCAGACACGACATCCTTATCCTCGAGCGTTGATGTTGCATTCTCTTCAATGGGCGTGGCTGGAAATAGTGGTTCAGCTTGGTACTTTTGTAAGAATTGGTGCTATATATACACAAAGAATCAGGTTAATAATCAAAGCCAGGAGATAGATGGATATGTTACCTTGAGAATGTCTTCTGCAGATATTCTAGACTTTGAGTCCACGTCAAGACATTGATCCAAAAGATCGACCAATAATGGAGGCAAGTCGGGTGGATAGCTAGGAGTTCCCTTATTCAGAATGCAATCTTTGATCTATTTTTCATGCGTGGTAAGTTTGTGACATGATATGACTTTTGGATAACACACGTACCTCATCCTCGGTCAGATTATCATCTTCATAAGGTGCTTTGCCACCATTGAGTATTTCCAGAATGACAATGCCTAATGCCCAGATGTCAATCTTACGATTGATAATCTTGCGTTGAACCAATTCAGGAGCCCAAAAGAGAACGACACCAGCTTCTTCCACATCCGAATCTGCAGCAGGTGACACAGACACAACGCCGAAATCGCCAATCACAATCTCGTTGGTTTCTTGCATAAGGAAGATGTTGTCACATTTGATGTCTCGATGAATGTAGCCATGTCCATGAACTTCAGCTAATCCAGAAGCAATCTATATTCATCCATGGAGGTTAATTATCCAACATAAGAGTCGCCATCATCATCATCATCATCGCCCTAACTTACTGCTTGAATGATGTACACGAGTTGACCCACTGTCAAATGATGATCAAAGACGTATTGCTGTAACGATCCACCATTAAAATAAGGCATCACCAAATAGACGAATTCTTCATGTAGATAGACGCTCTTCAATTTCAATATGTTGGGGTGTACACAGTTGGTCATGGTGTAAATCTCGTTCTCCACAAGCTCCTTTGGCATCACGAATAGATCGGCATGGCGTTCGGTTTCCTCGACAAGATACTTTTTGATAGCAACTTGGATATTCGGGTTCTGACGGTCTTGACACCGGTATACACCACCTTGTGCACTGAACCATGTAGGCTCATGTGTCAAACCTCGATAGAATAAAGCTGGATCATCACGGTGAACAGGCACTCCATTGACGTTTTGCATCGGGATAAGAGATGGGATGGTGTAAAGTAGATTGAAAGAAACACCTTCTTGTCCTCTGTTTAAGCTTCACACAGCAAACAAGGGAACAAGCTTTCAAGGGCGGTGAACAAAAAAAAAGAGAAAGAGAGAGAGGGGAGAGGGAGGAGAAAGACGCGGTGTACTTCCGACATTGCATGTGCCACAACATCGAGTACCTTTTATGCATGGAACCATAGCCACCATTTCTTTATCTCCTATAGGACAATGAACTCATACCAAGAATGACTATCTTTGTGGTGCAGGAGGTCCAACGATCCATAATGTACGACATGCATTTAGTACAATGATCCAATGCTTTGACCTAGCAGTATAATAAGGATTCATGCAATTGATAATAATAAATGACTCAGGTACACCATATGGCCATGTCGTCATTGCATCCATCTACACCCAATACGAGTATTAAGGACATTGCTGGTTTGGAGTTGTGGTTTATTGTACAAAGCAACCAAATAAAACATGATCCAAGAAGTATCAGTGATATCCCTAAACTATGTATGGCTGCATGATGACAATCGAGTCTTGACCTCTTCTTTTTGTGTAGACTTCAAGTTGCTGGGGGGTCTAAACAATGAGCTGTTGTGGTGTATGTCATATACATGTATTCCACACGTACATCCATGCTAAGGTTTGACAGCTGGGTATATCTTTAAGAGTTCGCCGACGACTTTTGACTAAGAAAATGTCATACTTTCAACTTCATAAGTAGCTCAACGATAAATCATTTCGTTACATATGAGCGGTGAGGACCAAGTGATATTTATTGAATATACAACATGTTCAGCATGGGGGCGTATCCATCTTATAACGTACCAAGTAGTGTATCCATAGCAACAACTCGGTACATCGGCCGTTCTAGGGCTTCGTGCCAAGAGTAAAAGTTTACCTGGTACATACAAACGGGTAAACATTGCGACACCATCAGCAAGGGGAATCATTGTTCCGCCAACCCCGATACAGAACCTTTTCATAATTATATCTTTTTGGAAAGAGCTCGAGCCAAAAATCCTGCGCGTTCTCTTTTGCTTTTCTCTCTCTCTCATTCCTTGCTGCAAACACTGCTATGAATGCAGCCTCATTGGACAATGGGCTGCTTGCAAATCAGGAACCAAGTCGACGTGTCGGCAAACGAATGCGTATTACCCGAGCATGGTATGCTATATCTTTCCCCGCCGTCTCAAAAAAAAGTGTTGACTGATAGCATGATATATAGTGACATGTGTAGAAAAAAGAAGGTCAAATGCCATGCAACACCAGGAACTGCATGTAGCAATTGTATAGATGCAGGTACACCATGCGAGTTTAACCAAAGGTGAGTGATTGTGTCATAATGATTGTGGTAGAAAATTGACATCATGGCATTTTATCTTTTAGTGCCAAGAAGCGTGGCCCACCAAAAGGGTAAAGAAAATTGAACTTTGGTGTCAAACCATGGCTCATACATCTATATTACATGATGATAGATATATCGGTGCCTTGGAGACACGCATCGAAAGAATTGAACGTTTGTTGGCGGATCAGACAGCTGAACAGCAAAAGTTATCACCAACAATGTCAGCGGCATCACTGACGGCCCGAGGGAAAAAGACATCATCCAATGGCGATCCATTACTGTATTGTCGGAAGTTACCACGAGGCGCCTTAGCTGATCGTGTACGACTCATTGGAGACACATCATTGATACAACAATTGTTTCAGTACAAGATCCCTGCGGGTCGTTTGGATGAATTGGGAACCTCAGGTGTACATTATCGATTATTTGGTCGCCAAGTCGTGCAAATGATGGCTCATAGTAGTACCACGGGTGCATCTCCTGACATTGGCTGTGAGGAACGGCCACAAACAATCAACCCAGAGCTCTTTTTTCAACGGCAAACAGGTGTCAACTTTTGGATCTATTCTAACACAGGTGCCGATCGGCATACAAGTGATCGCTTGCTTCAAATGTAAGTTGATCATTGTATTACGCAACTACAGCAGCAGCCATCTCACATGTTGGATCATTTGGTATTGATAACATAGCTATTTTTTAAATGTCCATCCAATCCTTCCAGTCGTCAACAAGACTGAGTTCCTCAAACAATATCGTGATCAAGCTGATACATATCCGTCGGCTGATTTGTTGAATGCCATGTTTGGCGCGGCTTCTCGTTATCTCGTATGTGAATCGAAAAGGCAACGAAGCAAGGGTCGCTATGTTCCACCTGATGTCTCTTGGGATGTGCCTTCACAGTGGTGCTATCAATTTTTTGAACAAGCATCCAGTGCAGTCACCAACAGCGCATGGTCGTCGTCTATTTCCAAAGTCCAAGCCATGCTCTTGCTACACAACACAAGCAGCCATATCAATGCCAAAGAGTCTACTGCATGGATATTAAATGGGTTGGTAAGCTTAGGCGTGGCTCACTTTATTAAGCAAGGAAGCTAACCTATGCTTGGGTTTAGGCCATCCGAGTAGTAAGTAATGGTAGAGTGCTTTTTATGCAAGCTTTATTTATATTTTGATGGGATACTATAGGCTCAAGGATTTGGGTTGAATCGTTGTTGTGATGAATGGGATATCCCTGACAGTGAAAAGGAGCTACGAAAACGAGTATGGTGGGCTTTACATATTTCGGATCGTTTCCAGGCAACGGCATTAGGGCGACCTGTCAGCATTCGTGAGGAGGTAAATCGTGTCCTTTCTATTGTTCTTTTCGTTGATAATCTGACGCCTTTTTACCAAATACAGGATAACGACGTTACATACCCAAATCCATCGGTCAGCTGGAAGGAAGTTCTCGATGAACCTGAGGATGAAGACGATGATGCGACGCCACGTTTCCCATCTGCCACATTTCGACCCGAATCCATTCAAGGAGAAATCGAATTTTATCAGCTATTCATTCAGCTTATCAAATTATCCGAAATCTTGGGCCGCATCCTGCAGGGACTCTATACGCCAAGAGCTCAGCAGTATTCGATCATGCAGGGCAGTGACGCCATTGTTACACAACTCGATCACGAGTTGACACAATGGCGCTTTGGCTTTCCTAAAGCACTGGAGAATACCAACTTTCGGGATTTTGACGATCAAAAAGGATATTTTGCCTCAAGCATAGGTAAAACGAGGTGGAATAGTATCGCATTTACAATGACATTTTAACGTTATCTATGTCATAGCATCCATTCTACTCTGTTACTTTGCATGTCTTATCTTACTTCATCGTCCATTTATCGAAAGGCAAGGAATCTATGCTACAGGAGCTGCTGCACAAGATCGACCATCCTACCTTTCATTTAGGATTAGCACAAGTGCAGCGAGTCGAGGAATCCATATCGCCGACCAAATGACAAAGCGGGACTTTGTTATGTTTCCATACGCATTCAACATTTATCCCATCTTTCAATTTTGTTTGATTCATATTTACAATGCACGCAATCCCGATGGCCGCATTTCTGCACCAGGCCGTACCGAGTTACGTAGGGCTATGGGTGTTGTTGAACGATTACGAAGCATGTCGACAGCTAGCAAGATGCTCTATGATGTCGTAGGGCTTATTACAGAGGCTCTACAAGCTGATCTGGGACTTCAGAATAATGGACAACAAAACAATGATCCAAATGCCTTTACACAACAACAACAACAACAACCCGCTGCTGCCAATGATGGATATCCACCTCAAGCCGTTACCAACCACAGGAATCATAACAATGACGAAGAATCGTGGAACACGATGCTTGATACCTCTTCAACAATGGCTCAGCAGCCGTTGCTTCATCTGAAAGAAGGCAAGCCCGTTGACATGTCCACTTCAGCTATGCAAAATAGTAAGTACAGTACTTTGATTATAATGGGCTATCTTTTGACTGATGGATGCAATGACACAGCTACACCCGCTAGTCAGGAAATTTATACGCTCAAACAATTTGGATACAATGTACCAGATGACCCAAAGGAATTGGATCACATGCTCCAAGATATGGCTTCTTACTCTAAACTTGAAACATTGCAATCTATGTCGGCTTCTTTCAATCAACAACAGCAAAATATATATAAGGCACATCCATCTAAATCGACAAGTACGCATCAGCTTTCACATCAACCTGCAACACCAACACCATCCATTTATGCATCATCTTCATCATCATCGTCGGCTACTCCATTTGGCTTGTACAATACTACTACTACTACTACTCCCACCAGCATGTCTCTCACTACCACTGATCGTCCATTTTCCTTGCCTCATTCATACCACAACAGCATTCAAGAACCTTTTCATTCCACGACTAACTTGAGCAACAATATGATCCCATTGGAGCAACAACGACAGCCGACAGCCAATGCCAGCAACAGTAACGTCGTGTTTCGGAATCATCCCAATAATCCATTTGCAAGCTTATCATCATCTATGGATTGGTCAGAATGGTATGAGTGGACACAACGAGCAACGAAGCCAGCTCATGAAGAGCAATCAACATGGCCACTTGCATCATCACAATAGCTCAGCGGTAGAAGAAATTTGTAGCATACTATATAAAATTCATGCTGCTGGTAAATGGGTGCATATATCACGTGATGGATAATAAGGAAAGGGTGGTGTAGCAATAATCTAGAATATACCATTGTTGATGGATGTAATTGTTTGGTGAGAGACCGGACCATGGATGTTGTTAATGCACACCACAGGTACAGACACACGTACGGCACAATGAAGCGGTGGGCCAAAACTTTTTCCTTAGCTGAGTATTCACGGAGGAGTATTTATGCTCCCACCGGGACGTGCGTGTGTATTGTCTCTTCCTCTTGTTTTCTTTTGAGTGTATTGGTACCCATGGACTTTCCTTGGGTGAATGAAGCGTCCAATACACGCAAGTATAATGCCAAGGATGTTTCCGTTCATCTTGGAATGTCTTCTTCAGACACATCTCCTATGCTTATGAGGTACGTTGGGGTATTGTTTACATTGTGTGTGTGAGCGTGTGTGTGTATGTTATATCAAAAAGTCATTCTGGTATTGACGGGTGCTTGTTCCGCATCTTTTTCTCTCTCTTTTTTTTTTCTCTCTCTCTCTCTCCCTCTCTTTCTTTTCTTTATTTTTGTCAACACACTCAAGAAATTCCATGGGGCACATGTCACATTTTGGTTCGTCTTCCATGGAAAACCAGCAACAACAACAGCAGCAACAGCAGCAGCCACCTCTCCGGCGTGCACGAGCCGACACTATGCCGACCTATGTCGACATTCATGGGAACGGCAACATTCCTTCCACCACCACAACAGCCAATAGCAGCCATCTCCATTTACAAGCAACGCGGAATCGGTCGGGATCGACAGCGTCACTTTTTGCTGGAGTGACACCTTCACCTTATTCACCCTATGAGTCCGGTAGCTCTGTGGATGATAATGCTTCGAGTACAGTGGCAAGCACGTTAGCATCACTTGGCTTAGACGATGAGAATAATCATACTCCAACATCGGATGCAGCGACAGCAACAACTGCAACGACACGTAGTCGATCGGGTTCATCTTCTTATTCACTTTTATTGGATACTTTGTCGGATGATTTGAAGCGGAACCGTGCATACACCATTGCTGCAGGTCGCCCACCATTTCCTCATCCTCATCATCATCAGCATCACCATCCCCATCATCCACCACCACCACCTCATCATCCTTCTCATCACCCTCATCCTTCTGCTGTATCATTTACTCCTTTTGCTACAACCACAACCACTGCACAACAACAGCAGCAGCAGCAACAAAGACCAAGGGCTATCAGTTTAGGAATGATGGATGGTGGAATAGAAATGATACCTGCTCCCGGAGACAATGGCAGCATAAACTTTTTCGATATGACCAGTAGTCATCATCATCAACCACCTCCAATACCTATGACTGCATTACAAGCACGACTCCAACAACAGCATCAACAACAGCAACTCCAACAACGAGCATTGAGAGGATCACGTAGCAGTGGTAATTTGCCTGAACTCGGAGGAGGTGGTGGAGGAGGAGGCACATCTCGGGGGTTTAGTCGCATTGGTTCCCACAGTCAATTGAGTGAACTTTCCGAAATGACTGCCACAAAGGTAAAGATAGAGCATATTCATCATGAAATCTCATTCTAATACTAATCCTAATATGCATCTAGGATTTTTATGCCCAACAGACAAGCATCATGGAGCCATCTTCTTCTTCATCTCCACCTTCTGCACCTGCACAAATACCTTCACGTGCCTTATGGCTGGGAAATATCAATGCCTCTGTCAGCGTACCCGATCTCATTCGCATGTTTTCGGACTATGGTCATGTTGAAAGTGCTCGTATCCTATCCGACAAAGAATGTGCTTTTGTCAATTTCAATGACGTGGAGTCGGCCATAGCTGCAAAGAATGATCTAGAAACAAGGTTGGGAAGCATGCTAGCAGGAACACCTGTTCGTGTGGGATATGGCAAAGCGGATGTCAACTTGGCTATGGCACTTACCAATGAAGCTGGTCCCAATGCACAAGGTCCTACAAGAGCATTATGTAAGTTATATTATAACAGAAAAAGAGAATGGACACTCACCTACATCATGATGATTATAGGGGTGGGTAATATACCAGCCAACATGAATCCAGCAATCCTTCGCGCCATTTTCCAATCCTTTGGTGCCATTGATTCGGTGCGTGTCTTGTCACACAAGAATTGTGGTTTCGTCAACTTTGAGCATCAAGAAGATGCTGTTCGTGCACGCAAGTCTTTGCAAAACAAAGAAATCCTTGGACCCGGCACCGGCACTGTACGTATTGGATTTGCAAAGGTGCCGTCAGCCAATGAAGAAGGTGGTGGTATCGGACAAGATTGGATGACAGGAACGGCTACTACCAATGGTTCAGCACAACAACAATCATCCTCTTCATCTTTGAATGGTGCTAGTGGTGGTGGCAATAGCCATGCTATGACTCCTGAAGCATACCAAGCCACACAATGGGCTACAGCCATGATGATGTCTCGATTAATGAAGCATACCAATAAGGAGGAGCAAGAGGATGAAGAAACACCTGATTTACACAAGGCTATGGTGACTGAACGTCGATTTATGATGCAACAACTAGGTGCTCATGACCTAACGGAGGAACATGAACCTATCATTTACAGCACTGTTATCCCTTCTGTTCCTGAGCCAATGGTTGAACGTAAAGTGGACGTCATGCGATTACGCGAGATGCGAAAGGTGTTGGATTCTGGGTCCGTATCGACTCAAGAAGCTGAGAGTTTGGCCATGGAATGTCGCGATGATATTGTCGAGCTGTGTAGTGGTAAGCAAAGCATTTCGTCATCTTTTTATTTCTTGAATAGAGTCACTCATTGTGGATGTCGATGATGTAGATTATATCGGCAATACTGTGGTGCAAAGGATCTTTGAATTTTGCAGTGATGACACCAAACAAGATTTACTGGAACGCATTGCTCCCCATTTGGCATCGATTGGTGTACACAAGAACGGCACTTGGGCTGCACAAAAGATTATTGATCATGCGTCAACACCTTCGCAAGTACAGCTTATTCGTGAAAACATTACATCTTATGTACCACTTCTGCTGCTGGATCAATTTGGCAATTATGTGGTGCAATGTTGTCTCAACATGGGCACTAGCCAGGACAAGTTTATATTCGATGCCATTGTAAGCAAGTGCTGGGATATTAGTCAAGGAAGGTTTGGTGCACGGGCCATCCGTGCTATTCTTGAAAATCCGCTTGTGACCCGTGATCAACAGGTAAGGGAGCAAAACATCGTTTCAAACACAAAATATAACCAAAGATGTGAATAGATTTATGTGGCATCTGCTATTATTCAAAACGCTGTGTTGCTGGCAACCAATACCAATGGCGTCTTGCTACTCTCATGGTTTATGGATCATCCGGAACTCCCCGGCAAGTTCCGTGTCCTGTGTCCACGCCTCTTACCGTTTTTGGCCAAGCTCTGTACCCACAAACTCGGATCCACCGTTGTGCTAAAGGCTCTTCAGCAAGATACCGAACCTGAAGCTCGTCATTTGTTGTTCAAGACATTATTCCGAGATGATGTATTGGAAGAAATCTTGATGGATTTGGTGCATGGTGTTGGGTTCATTCAAAAAGTACTTGCCATGTCAGGACTGCTGGATGATCGACAACGGGAAGAACTTGCTCATCAGGTGAAGCATGTGCTTGTGCATCGTATCAAGGCAACAACCCAACATCCCCAAGGATACAAAAAGTTGATGGATATGGTCGATGTCTTATCACCAGACGCCGCTGCTGACACTACTACTACTACTACTACGGAGTCCGATTCTCCTGTGAACGATGCTAGTGAGCAAAAGGATGACAAGGAAGAACACAAATCGACATCATGGATGCAAAATCCACAAGCTGTAGCCATGGTTGCCAACATGTACGCCGCTGCCATGACAACCGCTGCCACAACAGCCATGCAACAACAGCCATCATCATCATCGTCGTCGTCCGGGGAGGAAAATAAGCCTACAACAGCAACAACCGCACCCATGGTCGACTTGGCTCAATTTGATCAACTACTCAAGAAACTTTTGCAGCAAGAACAGGGCAATAACGATGATAACCAATCATGATCATTATCCAATGCCAACGTAAATAGAGAGCAACATACAAAAAAAAGATACATATCCAAAACATGTACATAGCCCATATTTCCCCCCCATTATAAAAAGAGAAAACGTAGACTTTTTCAACACTATGTTCCAATACCAAAGTTAGCAGATGCACGATTGCTTATGTATATGGCTCCAGCTCATCATTCAATGCTTACAGATAAAAGAAAACAGGGAGCTTTTTATATACTTTTTTCTAACGAGACAACAAATGCAATAGTATGGGGGCGGTGAAAAGGTGGGGGATATGAAGAGATCTTTTAGTAAAGGACACGCGTTCTGATATTGGCCGTAGTTGAATTGATAGCGTCATAGAGCTTGTGTAGATCTTCTTGAGAGACATCGGCAATATCGGCCATGACATAGGCAACATCGCCTTTGGAGTCTGAATACTGCTTTTCGACATTGTGGTCTGCAAAGATCTCGTTGATTTCTCTGAGGACACCAGGAACATTCTTGTGAATATACAACACTCGCACGACCTTTTCTTCTTCTCGAATAGCACGCAAATCGATCTCTGGGAAATTGACAGCACCCAATGATCCGCCCTCGTTGATAAATCGAATGAGTGCTGTGGACACTTCAATACCAATCATACGCTGAGCTTCCTCGGTGGATCCACCAATATGGGGTGTCAAGATAAGATTGGGAGATTCGAGCAAGTCGGGGTAGTCTTTAAAGTGAGGACCATTAGCTGCTGGTTCCTTGGGATACACGTCTACAGCAGCTCCAGCAAGATGACCAGATTGCAAGGCTTTAGCCAAGGAAGGCAAATGGACGACAGTACCACGAGCATTGTTGAGTAGGTAACTTCCTTTCTTCATGTATCCCATAATTTCACGCTCTCCCATCATGTTTTTGGTCTCTTCAAGTTCTGGTACGTGGAGCGACACAAAATCAGCAACCGAAAGTAATTCCTCAAGCGTATCGACTTGTTTGGCAGTTCCCAATGGCATGATTTGCAATACATCATAAAAGTACACCGTCATTCCCATGGCTTCTGCAAGCACTGATAATTGTGATCCAATATGGCCGTAACCAACGATACCGAGCACCTTGCCACGGATTTCATAACATCCCTTGGATACCTTGTTCCATACACCTTGATGCATTTCACGGTTACGATCACCCAATTGACGCGCCAAGGTGATGATTTCACCAATCACCAACTCAGCTACAGATCTCGAGTTGCTGAAAGGGGAATTGAATACAGCAATCTATTATAAAGGGTCTTGTCAGCTTTGCCTATCAACCAACCAACCCATGCATTCCATGTCCACTTACACCCTTGGTTGCAGCTGCATGCAAATCCACTTGGTTGGTCCCGATACAGAAACATCCAATCACCAGTAAATTGTGGGCAGCATCAAGCACTTGCTTCGTCAACTTGGTCTTGGAACGAATGCCAATGACATGGACATCCTTGATCTTCTCAATCAACTCATCGCCGACAAGCGCTTTGCTGTATGTTTCAACCTAAACTTGGAGCGTCAATAAATGAAAACCCAACACCCCATGTTTTTTTCTATTATACATACCTGATAACCCTGCTTCTTGAATGCTTTGACGGCAGTCTCGTTGACATTTTCCAATAAAAGGATTTTGACTTCGGATGTATTGAAAGGACGAAGTACTTTGGGTTTTGGTTGACTAAAAGAGGTGCGACGCACAGTAGGTTGTTGCTGTTGTTGCTGCTGCTGCTGCTGCTGATCCATTTGAATATTGATGTTGTTTATGGTATCGTTGGCCATGAGGATAATGTTTAAGAAAAAGACTAACCCACGCGCGAGATCAAGAAGGAAGAAGGAGATGGAAAGGATTCCAAGTTGGAAAGAGATCCTAGCGGGTCATTTGTCCATCAACATCAACGTTACCCAAAACCCCGACCTATGCTTATGTATCACCGATATCTACCTTCCGGATATGGCTTTGATCGTGTCTGTGGGTGTAATGTCGACTCTTCTTGATATCAAAGTTGAAAAGTTTGCTGATTCTAGCTCTTTCTCTTTTGATGGTCGAAACATCTGAATATGAGTAAGCATTCTTTTGTAGCTGTGTAATGATGATCCCATTGCCATAAAAGATAAAATTTTTGGCTTCATTGACACTGCTTGACGAAAACGTGGAAGGGAATAAGCTGGATGTAGCAAAAACATTATCTTCTGTGTCGTATTACAAGTACGCTTATACCTACGTCTTATATGAAAAGTGTATGGCCCAATTATACCTGCTGTTGCTGCTACTGCTGCTGCTGCTGCTGCATATGGTGGCAAAATCAAGCAGAAGCTTGTGCTTCGTCATCTTATGGTGCTTGCTGCCATAGATAATGTGCATGCAAATTAAAGGATAGTGCATTTCCGGTTATATATGGGAGCCATTTAAATGGAGAAGCATCAAAGTGTCGAGCTACAAAGGTCTTTTAAGGCCTTTTTTTATTACATGAATGACTCGCTTATATGTCTCATATGGATCAACTATATTACATGGGGTACGTTGTTCGTAAAATGGTATCATCAAGTGGGCGTGTTAATGCTTCATCAAAAATGTCACACAAGCAGCTTGTGCCATCAACGTAATCAACCATCGTATCCCTCTTATCCGCTTTCCGTACGGCATTGAGCAAGTGCGTTATCGCCTTTGTCATCCTGGAAGGTAACCGATTGTTCTACGTGCTGCTCCTGTGTGTATCGTTTTCTGACAGTTGCTTGTTTGCATTTAGCTCCAATATGAAAAGATATTCTTTTGGGCTCGTCCTTGTTTGCTTTTGCGGGTTCTTTAGAAGCAGAATCAGCGGAAACCACCAGGGCCACCAAGACAAAGATGATATTGACAAAAAGAATGATACGCAATGATGATGATGACCCAATAACCATCGAGATGAAGAAAGAAATTTAGAGTGGATGCTTGTTTCAAAGTCATTACTGAAAAAAACCTGCCTTATATATATTATCTTGTTGAGATACATAATATCCTTCCTACTTTCTCTCCCCCTCTTTATCACCGTTATAGGAAATATGCACATGGTGGCATCGACATTGTAAATGTCACTTGCCAATAGCCTCCTCCTCCTTTCATCATCGTAATAAAACACCTTCTCCTCCTCATTCATACTTGGAAGGTGCTTCATATGCTACTATGACAAAGGATTAATTCGTTGCGGCAGTGTACCCCTTAAAGTCTGGGATTTGGAATCTTATGGTGGAAGTCAATTAGAGGGTGTTAAGCACCAGCCGGGCTTTATAGAATAGAGTGCTGAGCATAGGAAATAAACTTCTACTAGCACTTTCCAGTCGAAAGAGAGGGTGGCTATCACACATTATGTACATGTCCACGCCTCCCCGACGTTTCTTTGTTGGCGACGTATTTACATGTTGATCGCCTATTGCTTCTCGATAACTCTTCAAATGGAAGCTACCAATGGTCCTGTTGCTTTTTTATATTCTCAAAAGCGCTTAGCACATCATCACTGTTATCTTCTCTCCTGCTATGTAAACCGAATTTAAGTACCTAGTCACCAAAAGGTCACTCAAGGTAAGAGGTCATCACCTTGCATAGATTGTCGATGAACATCCAGGCCATAACGCACCACCAAGTACCATCCAAGGCTGCTTGACCTTTGAGGTCATCCAAATGGATGATGCCTCAAGGAACTGAGTATGCTCATGTGCCAACTCCAGCATCCGGTCTCCCTTGTATCGGTATATGGTGCAGCTTGCCCTTTCAATTGAAGGAATCGTTGACGATTTTATTGTAATGACGACAGCCGATGACCATATAGGTAGGCTCCATAATGCTTTGGGAAATCAAAACACTTCTCGATGTGTGTAAGCATCGCATGGAATGGGCTGACATCATTGGCGTGATACGATAAGATCGTTCTCCTCCATCAGCTATTGGTACCTTGTTTAACAGCATGTGATTCAGATTTAATGTTCACTTGTGGAGAAAAGGCGTGAGTGATCTTGTGAAACAGCGTGGAGTTTTTCTCCACATGCTAAAGTTTTGGCATGTGATTCATTTGCCGCTGCACAAATGCACGTGAAGATCTGTGTAATAAAAAGGAGAAATGGGCGATGACACTTGTTTTCTCATCTCTCTTTTTCTTTACACACACACAAACACCATGTCTGATATCGTTGTCCCTGGCTTCAAGAGCTCCGAGCTTATTGCTGAATTGAACAAGGTCTTTGATGGCTACAGCGCTGAAGAGCGTGCCAAGCTCATCAAGCAGGTAATAAAGCAGTTAATCCATACGCTTCATGTACACGCGTCATTCATCATATGATATAGGTCAATGGTGTCTTCCAGTTCGTCATCAAGAACTCCGAAGGCAAGGAGGAGACCTTTACTATCGATGTCAAGAAGGAAGGCAAGGTCACCCGCGGCAAGGGTGCCGTCAAGGCTGATGCCATCCTCTCTCTCAAGGATGATGACTTTGTCCAACTCGCTACTGGCAAGCTTAATGGTAAGCAATTTTAGATTGGTGGATTGCAAAAAGGAGGTAGCCGCTGACATTTATTTTGAAATAGGTCAAAAGGCATACATGAGTGGCAAGCTCAAGGTGAAGGGTCAAATCATGCTGGCCATGAAGCTCGACAATGTCTTCAAGAGCATCAACCCCAAAGCCAAGTTGTAAAGATACATATTACAGGAATAAATTGTAAAGTACATATACCACAAACATATAAGAAGAAAGAGAGAGAGTAAATGGGCGAGTATACGGAGCACCTTGAATCATATGAAAAATGGCATACTATACAACTTAGTCATTGCAATTGGAATTGGATAGTGGAACATGCGTGTAACTAACTACCGGTTTGCAGCGTGAGTTGAGGCAAGCATGAACAAAAACAAAAATAGCAATCGCCGGTGCCTCAATGACGCAACTTTTTCCACAGCCGACATTGATGATCGAATATGATTGGATGCCAAGAGACAAAGATGTGGATACTGTCAATGCTCTCATGGACGTTTCAAAAAGAGAAGTCGTCTGCAAATTCATAGTCGATAAGCATAGTGCACAAGCGTAAATGTTCTCATCATATAATGAATTCATTAGGTAGTGTCTTTGTAATAGTAGTAGTAGCAAAGGTCGATTTCGCCAATGCTTTCAATCTTTTCAATAGGTCCTCGTTGGCATGATCATGGGGTGTATTCTTGACAGAAAAACATGCATGCCGCTTGCCCTCTTGCCAAATAATGATCTTGGAACAAGCAGTAAATCAATTAAACAAAAGAAGTGTATTGAAATGCAATGACGTGAATACTTGCGGGGATTGTGGGGCAACAAGCTACTACTACAGTGACATCTTTCTTTTTCCTCTTTTCTCTTTCAACCGTTTCCCTCCCTCCCCCCAACACTCGCTTTCACTCTTCCACAATGCGGAATTTGGTCGTTGTTGGAGGCTCATCGCACCCCGAATTGACAGCTGCTATATGTTCTCGGCTAGGTATTGCACCCGGTCAAGCCAAGCTTTCCAAGTTTAGCAACAAGGAAACCAGTGTTGAAATGAAGGAATCAGTACGCGGACAAGACGTTTACATTATCCAATCGGGATGCAGCAGTGTCAACGATGCCGTGTTCGAGTTGCTCATCATGATTAACGCCTGCAAGATTGCGTCAGCCAAGCGTATTACAGCTGTGTTGCCATATTTCCCATACTCTCGACAAGCGGATGTTCCATTTCGACCCAGCTCTGGTGCGCCATTGGAACGGTTACCGCCAGCAACACCTAAGACATCAGCGGTGGTTGAGCCATCTACAGATGATGTGAGCAAATTATTGAGACAAAAGCTGTCAATGGCTGCCAGTGGTGGTGGTAGAAATGGATCGGATTATCGGCAATGGGTCGCACAACCTGGAACATTGGTGGCCAACCTGTTGACATGCTCTGGCGCAGACCATATCGTCACCATGGAGATGCACGATGCTCAATTCCAAGGATTCTTTGATTGCCCAGTTGACAATTTGCTCAGTCGACCTTTACTCATCAAGTACATCCGTCATTGTATCCCACAATATGAAAACGCAGTCATTGTATCCCCAGATGCAGGTGGCGCTAAACGGTATGTCAATAATAATAGTAGTAGTAGATGGATGATAATACTCATTGGATTATCATTAGAGCGACTGCAATTGCTGAAACGTTACAAATGGATTTTGCATTAATTCACAAGGAACGACGTTTGACACCCACTAAGCGTGAATTAATGTTGGTGGGCGACGTACGAGGCAAAGTATGCATTCTCATCGATGACATTTGCGACACAAGTTACACAATTACTCGGGCTGCCCGGATGCTACGTGAAAATGGTGCCGTCAAAATCTACGCTCTCGTTTGCCATGCCATTCTCTCGGGCAATGCTGTTCAAAATATCGAAAACAGCGAATTGGATCAAGTCATTGTAAGCAACACTATTCCACAACATCTTAGCCGACAACAATGCTCCAAGATTAAAATGTATGATGTGGCGCCCATGTTTGCTGAAGCTATTCGACGTATTCATTTCGGCGAGTCAGTATCCATGCTTCTTGACGCACACCAAGAGTACTTTTAGAAGATAAATTTTATAGAAGACCAAAAAAAATGACATGTGTAAATATGTATATCTCACTCGATATCTATCATGGTTTGTTTTTCTATGGATGATGATGGGTGTGGGTTGTGTTACAAAAAACAAAGATGGGCGGTGGATTCCTATTATGGCAACGGTAATACAAAAGAGTGTGTGGTGTGTGAGTTTAAACCTTTTCGGTACATTACGACACATACCCAACAACATAACACACACACCAGCCTCGCGATGCAGGCACACGAAAAAGAAAGTGGATCGTTTTTTTTGTAATGCCCGGTATTCCTTGATCGCGCCACGAATAATGATAAGAAAAGAAAAGAAACAAACCGTGGCTCAGCATCCAAGTACATGGTTGATAGAAATGTCATTTTTAGAAGAACTCTAAGCCGAGCCGCCTAATAATACACACACGCACGCATACACACACTCACTCGCCTACCCTTTGTTTCGGGGCGCCTTTTGTGTTGCTCTCCGACTACTTCTTTTTATATATCATCTACACTCGAAAAGCCTGTTTTTCTTCTTCTCTTTCTCTCTTACACTTTTTTCCATATTCAACTCACTCATTACATACACGCCAGATGGGTAAATGGTTACTACAACTACCAATGAGCTGAGCAGTTTTTCCTGATCCCTCCATGCTTTCACTTTTAGCTGCAACAGCATTACTGTTTGGAATACCATTGAAATACCTGTCACTACTCATCTTGGTGGTGCAAAACAGTGCCTTGATTCTGGTTATGCGTTATACGCGAGCAAGTGTTCCAGAGGATCAACGTTATCTTGCGTCCACGGCAGTGATTATGAGTGAAGTTACAAAGACGTTGGCATGTCTCGCAGTGTTGTACAATATCCCTCGTCGCCGGTCGATGGCTAGACTGGGCGCATTCTTGCACAGAGAAATGGTCGTCAAGTGGCGAGAATGCAGTAAATTGGCATTTCCCGCTATTCTTTATTTGATCCAGGTAGGTTGTAGTGTCTCGGAAGACAAGTCGGAATTGAATCAATGATTGTGCCAAGACGCAAGCTAACCTTTATATTAGAACAACTTGCAATACGTAGCAGCTACCAACCTCGATGCGGCCACCTTTCAAGTAACTTACCAACTCAAGATCTTGACAACCGCCTTTTTCAGCGTCGTTCTCTTGCGCAAACCTCTTTCACGCCTCAAATGGATCTCTCTCGCTTTGCTTACCGCTGGTATCGCTCTTGTTGTTTTACCCAAGGACACCTCTTCCTACATCATGGCATGGTTCTTCAGCAGTGATTTACAAACCAGCGCTATCGAGGAATCTGAAGGTGATAGTCTTGGCAACCAATCGAATGCACAAGGTTTCTTCGCCGTCTTGATGGCATGCTTGCTTTCGGGTCTTGCTGGTGTTTACTTTGAAAAGATCTTGAAGGCACCTGCCAAACAGCAACCAGATCAACAACAAATGCAGGATATTGAAGGCAAGGTGAATGTTCCATCTGAGGACGATGACGACGACGACCATCATCATCACCATGACGACGAGATCAGCCCTGAGGCAGCTGCACTATGGATCCGCAATGTTCAAATGTCTTTCTTTTCTATCCTCGTGGGTATGGTCTTTGTGGTGCTTTTGCAGGATGGTACCACTATTGCCGAAAAGGGATTCTTTGTCAACTACACTCCCCTTACTTGGTGTGTGATTGGTATTCAAGCCTTTGGTGGTTTGATTGTTGCTCTGGTAGTCAAGTATGCAGGTATGTAAAAGTATATGGATGGGGATCAAGGAAACAGGGTAATTGACATATTTTTCTATAGATTCCATTCTCAAGGGCTTTGCTACTAGTATCAGCATCATTCTCTCCAGTCTTATGAGTGTTTGGCTCTTTGGATTCAGTATTACGTTTACTTTTGTACTTGGTGCTGCTCTGGTCATCTACGCCACTTATCTTTATGGCTTGTAGATAATTCCTCTCTCTCTCTTTGTGTTCATTTCGTTCCCCCCTCAAACATCATTTTACATATTACTAGTCTGTATTTTCATTTTGCCGTCAACCCGCATACCCTCGTTTTGTTCTCCTGATCCAAATCTCTCTCTGCCCCTCTCCTCAAACCTTCTCCCTTTCCTTACGCAACATTTGCATTCTCGACTTTTGTTATCATCATTGCTCTTTGCTCCTTGCAAGTAATAAACCGAAATGATGCTTGTATAGACAATCCCAAAAAAATATAGATACTTTAATGCCTTTTTGATCGCTTAGATGAACTTTCGCCATCATCTCCCCCTCGTCGCTTTTTGTTGAGTAAAGAAGCGCCTTGTTGCCATAAATCATCTTTGCTGGAGGTATCTTCATTGACCAAGTGGGTCCATTTGGTACGCCCAGCCAAACCAAAATTCTTGACTTGCATAACCTTGGGCAATAATTCCTTTTTGCGAACTTCATCAATGGTGGGAGCCGAATAATCACGTTGAAACACCTCTTCCTTATCATCTTGATAGAATGCACCACGATGGTAATACTTTTGCATAAACGTATGCTGACCACGGTCCTTTTGTCTTGTCTTTTCTGCTTCTTCCATAGCCAATCGATGTCGCACATCCTCGGGTAATTCACGTAGACGTTCAATTTCTTCTTGCTCACGCTCACGACTAGAAGATAATAGCGTAAATTAAAAAGATACAACATGATGTGCTCATTCAACTTACGCAATGCGCTCTTCCCGATCACGTTTGATACGTTTAAGCTCACGCACTTTCCATGCATCAAATTCGGCTTGGTCGTTGTAATCGGTATCATCCACAGTGTTGTCTTGTTCAGCAAGTTCCTTTTCCATGGCCTCCTCCTTTTCACGCTTGAGCTCATCAGCCAACATGGCATGCGATTGCTTCTTGCGAGCCTCCAACTCTTCCTCGTACTGTTTCTCCATTTCCTCTTCCTTTCGCTGTCGTTCTTCTTCAGCCATGATCGTTTCACGATGGGCCCTATCATCATAAAAGTGAATACCTACCACTCTTATAGCATTAATTAACTTACTTTGGTATAAACATTGGCTTGGGTAGACTTTGTAAACCATTCTCTTCACTACTATCCGTTTCATACTCGCTTGAACTCTATATACACATAGATCAATCAGCATATAGAATTCATCTAACAATGAATATATCACCTCTTCTTCCCCAGATTCCTCTTCAGATTCCTCTTCTTCTTCTTGTTCAGCTTGTCGTTCAATGGCTTCCTGTAGTTGTTGTTGCTCCAATGCCTTTTGCTTGATACGCAATCTTCGTTGCTCTTCCTCATCCTCTCCTTCTTCTTCTTGTGCTGGCTCTTGCTCGTCTGTAAAACGTCGTCGCCTCCGTCGACCAGCGTCATCCTTTTCTACAGCTTCAGCTTGTTGTGCTTGTCGTAATCGCCGTAATCGCCGATCGGATGCTGCATCTTGCTCTGAGATCTCGATTTGCTTGAGTCCAGTGACGACTTCCTTTTGTGCGAACTGCAATTGACCATGGTGCTTTTCTGATCGTTCCTGTTGTTGTTGCTGTTGTTGTAGTTGCAGCTGTTCCTCTTCCTCCTCTTCACTTTCAGATAGTTCGTCGACATAGTTTTCTGGAACGTGGCCTGCACGATATCGCTTGGCTTGTTGTGTGGGTCGTGGTTGATTACGAGGACGGAACGACATTGAGAAAAAGAGCTTTGCGGACTGAGAAGAAATTATCCTGGCGTGTGGTATTTATAGCCCTTTTGGGTCATTGTAGCTTGGGAGTCAAGTTGCTAGTGCAATTCCAATGTCTTTATTGTTTAGTCCTTCACCTAATCTATAGCCAAATCTTAATATATAAAAGATGATATTTCCATCCTATAAAGTATACCACAAGTCAACCAAAGCGTCTCCATTCAAAAGGTGTAATGCCTCTGGGTAGCGGTAACGTTGCTAGGAGGATGAATTTTAAGCAATGATGACCCATGCTATAGCGCTTAGTCTTAATAACATGCTAATAGGGAGGAAGATGGCTGTTATTGATAACAGCAGAGATATCATGTGGTAATAGAGGATGTGTTGACTACTAGTATGAGATGTTAAACATGCAATTGATTTATAAAAGGTGGGTGAGCATAAAGACTACAGCCATTGCTATTTGGCACCGAGACGATTGCTTCGATCGATCCACGTGGTCTTTTCGCATGATGTTCTCTGATCTTATCCTATTGATGTTGTAATTTTTTATGCTAAACCTTTGCCAGATGCTTTTTTCTTCAAGTCTTCATCCATAAAACATGCCACATCCTCTATGATCGTTATTCACACTACTTGACAAGGTCATTCTAGTTAATTTGGAGCCTGTTGTGTCTGCTACATTATGGAACGTTGGACAAACGCTCATAAGCTAGGCTCCCAATGTCCGAGCGGAGACAAGATACAAGGTTTATACAGCTCATTCGGCAGTTGGCTGCTCTCTCTATCCCTCATCATGTCAGAATTCCATTCCCTTGCGAACCTCATCAAGCGTCTGGAGGTAGCAACCACTCGTCTTGAAGACTTGGCAATGTCGGCTTCCTCGGCTTCGGCCGTGTCGGCTTCTTCAACAGGTGCAATGCCTGCTCACCCACCATCTGCACCAACGCCTACTGCAACATCTGGAGCAGCTGCTGGCACCGGCCAGGTTCCTTTATCAGTACAAAAACACGACGAAGAGATTATGCCTTTATTACAAAAGTTCTTGGCTCTTTCCACTGATATTGGTGGCCCTGTTTCAGAGCAGGTAAGATAGAAACCACGAGGTGAGGGTAACCAACAATGACTGATCCCGATCTCTACGTTGCCTAGGCAACCTTGACTCTTGAAGCTGTTGACGCCGAAAAAACCATCATCCAAATCTCATGCCTGGCAAAGAAACCCGACATGTCATCCAGCGCTTTTATGACACTTGTTGAGCCCATCCAAAAGGCATTGACTGGTATTGTCAGCATCAAAGATCAGCATCGTGGTGATCCTTTGTTCAATCATTTGAGTGTGGTTGCTGAAGGTGTGGCAGCTCTCGGCTGGTTTACAGCGGTAGGTTTCATAAGTGTGCATTATTTAATTATCGAGTAATATGCTTACGTAGCCTAAATTAGGAACCCGCACCTGTGCCTTATATTCGTGAGATGAAGGATGCAGCTCAATTTTATGCAAATCGTGTTGTCAAGGAATGGAAGGACAAGTATGTGGAAAAGTTAGGCTATAATGGAACCTTTCATTAATCTAATTCTATAGGGATGCTAAACATGTGGAATGGACTCGCTCTTTCACTGCCATCTTGGAAGCCCTAGCTCAGTATGTGAAGGCCAACTATCCTACTGGATTGACCTGGAATGCACATGGTGAACCTGCAGAAGCAATCATCGACAAGAACAATACATCTACTACACCCGCAGCTCCTCCAGCTCAAGAACCCCCTGCAGCTGGTGGTCCACCACCACCTCCACCTCCACCTCCACCACCCATGACATTTGATGATGAACAAGCTGTCGACGACAAACCTTCAGGTGCTGCAGCTGTGTTTGCCGAGATTAACCGGGGTGAAAGTGTTACTGCTGGTTTACGCAAAGTTGACAAGAGTGAAATGACACACAAGAACCCAGCATTACGGGCAGGCAGCACAGTGACCTCGCAACCTAAGAAACGTGGACCACCTACACCCACCAAGCCTGACAAATATGTATTGAAGAAACCTGCCAAGACAACACTCGAGGCAAACAAGTGGGTTGTGGAGAATCATGAAAACAACCATGAAATCGTGATTGAGGACACTGCTATCAATCAAGCTGTTTATGTCTTTGGTTGTAAAAACTCGACTATTCGTATCAAAGGCAAGGTGAATGCGGTCACTATGGGTATGTATAATATCATTTGGATTGAATACGATGCATTATGGAATAGCTGGCGCTCATACCTTCTTGCTAGATTCATGCACAAAATGTGGAATTGCTCTGGATTCGGTGGTTTCGACAATTGATTTGGTCAATTGCCGCTCATTTGGATTGCAAATTTTCCATGTTACACCCACCGTTGTTGTTGACAAGTGCGATAGTGGTCAAGTCTATCTCTCCAAGGATTGTTTAGGCGTTGAAATCCTTTCTGCCAAATCCACAGCCATTAATATACTCGTCCCCGAGGAGGTTGAGGAGAATGTTACGGATTACAAGGAGATGCCGGTCCCTGAGCAGCTGAAAACTACTATTGTCAATGGCAAATTGCAAACTGTATCAGTTGAACATGCTGGATAAAGGCTATGTTGATGAATAAAATTCCCTTTAAACAGTAATTTATTGCGTGAACACTGTTATCAATGACACAGGATAGCAAATTACTATAGTTCTATAGAGATAGGACATGAAAACGTAGATTGTTTAACGTCGATCTGCTATTGTGCTTTGACCAAGACAGTGAGACGTCGGGAATTCAAGTGAATTTCGCTGATTGCCAAGTGGAGACGTTTTCGCATAGTCACGCGGTTGGTCGCCTTTCAACCCAACGCCTTCCTCCCTTCCCAATTCGTCTTTAAACATCACTCGCAATCATCGCCACAACCAAATCGACTCAACACCAAGCAGCATAAACGGTCTCAATGTGAGCAAGAGATGGAACTAGCAACAGTGCCAATGCAGCATGCTTATTCATTACAATATACAGCAATAGCTCAAGCCGAACATGGAGGGTAGACCAAAGAGACAAAGCACTGTCGATAAGGACTATAGAGAACGCAAGCGGATACGAAAAGAGAAAGAGGTATGGGAGAATTATATAGGCTATAGTTCGGAACATTGATATGACCCCATTCAAAAGGCTTCACCAGCGGAAACGGAAGGAGGATATGTGGATAAGGAACGCGTTCAAGCTGAATGTCAACAACTATACAATTATATCAAGGAATGTCGTGATCCAGAAGAGTAAGTTAAGTGGGATCATATTTGGAATAATAGAACTAATAGATTTGCAGTGATGAGCATTTCTTGAGCGACTTTTTCGTGCAATTACCATCCAAAAGGCAGTATCCCGATTATTATCAAGTGATCAAACATCCTATTGCATTATCTAAGATAAAGGTAAATCGTCTCTTTATATTTCTTTGTTCGTGCCCACGATTTACCGGATCAAGCAGACCAAGATCGATCAACTAGAGTACACGGCAGTTGCTGAGCTCAAGTCCGATATTGACTTGATGGTATCCAATGCCAAGAAATACAACATTAAGGAATCCCAAGTCTACCAAGATGCTATCAGACTACAGGTATAATGGATGAATGAATACTATTCATATGTTGGAATGCTAATCAAAAGACACCGAAAAAAAAGAAATTGGTTAGAAGCTGGATTCCTGGAAAAGAAAAAGAGAAGCAACCAACACCATCGACACCTTCAGAGACCAAACTCAGGACAGTGCTTAAACTTCCCGGTGGTGCCTTCAGTCACAGCAACACTTTGAGAGGATCAGATGATCAACAGCGTCAGCAATCCCATACCGAATCTAAAGTAAAGGCCATTAGACTAAAAGCTGTGGATAAACATCCCAAGAAAAAAGGTAAATATATACTTTTGTTCCACTATCCCTTACTAATTGGATGAAATTTACTAGTCAATCTCAGTGATCTGATGGAAGCCATTACTGCAAAGAATACCAAGAAAGCCTTGGGACTGATTGATGATGATCCTACCCTCAATCTGAACCAGCTGAAGGAGGTCGAGATGTTCAATGACAAGTTTTCATGGTCCCCATTACATGCAGCTTGCTATTATGGATTACCAAAAGTGGCCCAAGCGCTCCTTGATCACGGTGCTGGTATTGAAGTACAGGACACATGGTATTCGGCAACCCCACTAGGATGGGCCGCATTTGGAGGTTTGTGATCATGTCTTTGGCGCTTAGGGATAGGTGCTCATTGTATTAATCCATAGACAATGACAAACTTGTACGACTATTACTGGAAAAGTATGGTGCCAATAGAGAAGCCAAGAATATCCATGGCCAAATCCCTTATGATCTTGTGAGCGACAAGGATGATCCTCGATGGGAAGGCATCTTGAAGGCCCCGTATACTGTAAATATTATGCCATCTTGGACCCGCATACAAATTTACTAAGCATGGTACCTGTAGATCAAAGTACGCTCTCCCCAGAAAAGGTCGATTAGTCACGACACGGCTGACCAGGCTGATCAAAGCAATGTGGAGAGTTCTTCAGAATTTGATGCCGTCAATACCCATAAGAAGCGGCGTGGCAGGCCACCCAAAACGGACAAAGAAGTGCATGATGAACGGATGCAGCCCACAGAACAAGTCGATCTCAGCAATTTCGACCCTATACAATTCATCAAAGAGCTCTTTCACAGCATCCAAACACACACCAGCAATGCGTAAGTGGCAAGAGGGATGGTATATCCCGATACGAAAGCTGACCATATTCTCTGTAATTAGTGGCCGACTATATTCCGAGATGTTCGAACACCTCCCGGATAAGGAAGAATATCCAGATTATTATAATGTTATTGAAGAACCACGATCTCTTTCTATAATCGAAGTAAGTTATCCTGGTGAATTGCATGATGGGGTTCCTAAAAGCATACGTTAGGACAAGATGAAGCGTCGACAATATTCGACACCCTCTGATTGGTTCAAGGATATGGAATTGGTGTTTGAGAATGCTATGGAATACAATGAACCTGGTTCTCGGGTTTACCGTGATGCCAAACTTCTTTTAGTAAGTTGGACCACCTAATGTCATTAGTGGCATATATACTAACATGAATTTAGCGTCTACTCAATCGCATGAAGGAGAAAATATTATCAAGAGAGGGTATTCCTTTGACACAAGAACGTGATGTGTTGAACTTATCATTGGCGGGTCGACCTTATGAAATGGAAGATAGACGTCGGGCGAAGCGATCAGTATCCAAATCAAAGTCTTTATCAGATGAATCTACTCCTGCTCCAGAACCTGCACCGGCTATTATGGAGACCTCGTCCATGCCACCGCCACCGCCACCACCCCACTCATATGGAATGATGAATATGCCCGCTATCATGCATGGCATCCACCCCACGCCAGCAATACCTCCTATTGCTGCTCATGGTTTCAATATTGCCAATGCTGTCGTACCTGAAGTAACACAAGGATCACTCCCATTCGATTCTACCATCCAAGCTGCCGAGCAAAATGGTCATTTGTCTAATGCAAGTCAATCATTCTTTGAATTATTCGCCACTGATATACGAAATGGTTAGTATACTGCATCCATATTGGTCGTCATATGCTGACCCCGTTTTTTTAAAGTACGTCCTTTGAAGGAAATTATCATTCGATCAATGAACGAGACATATGCAACAACCCTTGTCGGCAACATGGTTGGTCACAGCGTCACAGTCCCTCAAAGTGTCCAAGTGCTCGAAATATCGCCTATTTTACAACAATCATTACAAGATGAGTCCAAGCGTATATCGATCACAGTTATTCAAGATAACACCAAGCTTGATTCAACCGAGGCTGCAAGAAAGGATACTCACTCTTGGAGGAGCATACCATTACATGCTGGGCTTAATACAATCAAGATTACCGTTACTGCCAATGTCTCCACAACGAATGCTTCAGGGATGGTGTTTCCCGAATATAGGACCCAAGTGTATATTCTTTTTATCACTCAATCATGGTAATCGATCAAATGAATAAACAATAAAGATGCAGCAGTGAATGTAAATGAATGGGTATTTGGGTGTTCTAGTTCAGGAGATACGCTGTTGAATGGCAGGTACATCAAATGCCCAACCATGCGTAACATGGTTGTAGTGACCGCCTTTAGATGTACGATTGTAATTCAGGACATTGGAAAGTGAAACTACATTATCCTATTGGTGGAGACACTGCAGCAAACTTAAAATGACTAGCAACCAGTAAATGTCCTAGAGTGAATACTTCATGCTCCACACACCGTCCAAAAATGCCTCAGACTAAAAATACAGGAAGTAACCTAGCAGGAAATAAGGATTTGAGTTGTCTACGTTGTCGAAAAAAGAAAGCAAAGTATGTAGTGCTTCAGCCCTTTAAAGCATTACTAAGCTGTGTTTGCTCATTGCAGATGCTCAAAGACTCGTCCGGCATGTACTCGGTGTGCAAGATCGAATCAACTTGTGAGTTTTTATGATAGTGATACTTACCAGATAATAATGACTATCAAAAGTGTGAATATCCAGATGCGCCCCCCAACCTTTCGGACCTGTCACAGAAAGTTCTTGGTCTGTATGACACTCTTCGAAAGTTGGAGGATACATTTGTAACGCAGTACGGGTCTAATTTACGGGACAACAATGAACAAGAACCAGCCGGCTACAACAGCTCACGTGCTTCAAGCGAAATGCCTAGCATTGAAACATTATCAATCCATCAACCTGCTAAACGACTAAAGACTGCACCCACACCAACCTCAGCATCAATAATAGACGAAGGTGCTCTTCCTGGCAATTGGTCTATGACGCTCACTTCCGAAGGCTTAACATTACACGCTGTGACACGCAACATTATTGAATTCACTTCATTCGCAAAGGACTTCTCACAGCAACTACAATACAACAACCAAACTGATACCAAATTATGGGAATGGTTTGATGATGAACCAGTAGACGACGACGATGATGATCCTTTAGACGAAGACGAATACTTGGTTACAGTCCCAGTGTACGCTACAGCGTCTCTTCTTCGAGATCCATCAATTCCAATTCACCTCGATGATACCATATCAATCAATGACTCGCTATATGAACATGTCAGCCCGCATGTCAGCAAAATGTTCACACATTTACAACAGGTGTATGAAGCATTGGATGACGACGACTTTTCATTCAACCATATTCACATTGCAACCCTCCTATTACATATGCGGCCATTTGTTTCTCTTGATGAGCATGATCCAATGCCGCTTCTTGCACGGTTTTGCTTGTGTACCGCGTATGCTGCATCTACCATTTATTTACGACATGGAGCAGATGGTTCGCCGCTTGTTAATGACTGCGTTACATACGCCAGTGGGCTTTTAGTAGAATTGATACTACAAAGACAAACCGAGTTTCATCCGATAGTAATTGGTGCAATTCTCTTGACTTCATTACAAAGGCCGAGAATGATACATCTGGCGGCAAGAGCATTATGTGCTTCCTGTGATTGGGACCCCAGAGACGAAAAGTGGCAACAATTGGCAGCACTGGTCCTATATTTCGAAGCCCATTCATCGGCATTTTACGAGTGGCAAGATATTGGAGAAGCAAGAAATTGGCTTCTTCAAGCAGCTAGTCGGCTTTCAACTAGCAAAGACAAAACATCGTCGGCTCTAGGACTTGAAGCACAGCTGATGTGCCTTCTCAAGCAAGTTTTTGCACTCTTTTATTGTCGGGAATCAGGTGACAATGATAATGGCATGCGCAAAGTGGATGTTGACGATGTACTCAACCTCGTGCGCGATATTGAAATATGGGAGCAAAAGTTGCCACAATGGATGCAATGGTCTTGTGCACATAACGACACGGATGATGAGCGGAGTCTTCTTCTCAAAATGCATATCCACATGATCCACAGCATTGTCAAAATATTGTTGTTCCGACCCTTCTCGATTCCTATCGACCACGGCAATGACGAGCTGCAAACGTACACACGTACCACCTTCCTTGATCTTTCAATGGCTTCAGTTGATCGGTTATCTACTTGTCTTTCTTATCTCAACGCTGATAACGATTGGTGTCGTGCAGGGCGACGCTTGGGACTCGACGTGGTTTACCGCGTTCAACAAACATTTCCTTGTGATGAAGAATTAATACATAAGCTTGAAGAAACCAAGAAACAATTACAATAAAGATATTGTGGTAATTTTTATTCAAGGAAACAAGTACAGTGATCGATGGTTTGATTCTATGGCTTTTGTTGATCACGTCGTTCTTGAAGATCTTTACGAAATGCCATGCCTGTCATCACTAATTTTCTGAAATTCTCGTTCAAACGACCAGCGGTCCTGGCTCCTGATCCATTTCCATCTACGTTTGGAGATCCAGGTGGGGTATGACCGGATGTTGCCTGCGATGTGCGAACAAAAGGTGGTAGGGCATTTTGATTAAAGTTGGATGCAGAGCTCGCTATGGTTGATAAGGTAAAACCACCGGAGAGATTGGAGCCATTTTGTGCCACCAAGTCGACATTGGGTAATAGATTTGGGTTTTCTGAAAGCTCTTCCTTGCAGCTTGTGACACGACGTTGGAAAGCGTCTATCAATGGCCCTTGTTCTGATTTTTTGATACCCTACGCATTCATACATCTTGGTTAACAACAATAATACTGCCAACTCCCACATTTTCCAGCTCATACCTTAAGATCCAATAAGCGTGTATAATTGCCAACATGCTTATCGCCTGTTAGGAATATATAGTTCTCCACAAAGCCTTCGAGCGGATCAAGTGGCGTCATGATTGTTTTCAATACGGTTTCGGTCCTTGACACTCCTTTGCTAACAAGCTTGCCATATCTGATTCCCTCGTGTAAGTATAAAAGGTATACAGTCATTGGCTTTGAAAAACTCACGAGGTTGGTACAGTTGTAGGACCATCCGATGCTGACAAGGGGAGCTCCATCAAGAGTGTTTTGATAGCGTGGGTATCCAAGAGAAGCTGTCATCCAAACAAGGAAGGAAATGCCATTGTGAGTTATTTGTAGGCGACATGTTAAAGATATCTCATACTTGTTCAGCTCCAATTTCTGATACTGGTTTGCATCGGAAAACGTGTACCAGGAAATTTGACAGAAAAGCGCTATGATCATGACATAAGGATTTTGCAGTAATATATCCATCTGAACCATAACTTACTCAACAAAGCGATCGCAGAATGTTCGGAAATAGCGCTTGTTGGCAATGGTGTGGCCTACTGTAGTAGCAGATTCTTTGATAGCATCCAGTATATATGTGACGTATTCGGATTGATCGCCAACCGTGTCCAAGGAGGACCAAGATAATCTAATCATCTGTTGGAGGTAATTGTCACAGGCGCGTTGTAGGACTTGAACTGCTGAGTCTATGCAAGAAGACACTGCACTATAGCTTCATTAGTTGATGCCTGTTTTGCTATGTCAGACCGAACATACCCCATAAATGATTCTCGAGAATCTTGCAAATCGACCTTGTCCCGAAATTCAGCATCAATTGTTTCCTTCAACTTATCCTCTAACTTCGCCCCCGTTAGCAATGATTACGCATTATGATCCATCAGCAATGATTTATACCTGTGACGTCGTCATACAGCAGTAATCCGCGGTGTTCAATGCTAAGCTAATACGCCGTAGACTATCCTTCGATGCATTCCTATCGCTGCTTCAAATGAGTCATCAAGTCGCCGGATATCCCTCTAAAAACCCACCGTGTGATTCCATCGATCAATACAGTCTTGCAGTAAGATCTCAAATGTTTCGAGAACAATTGAGAAAGTTTCCAAAAGGCTTCGCCCGTAGAAAATCTTGCACATTGCACCAGAGTCTCACGATAGAAATAAAACAGATCCGTGCTTGAAGGGAGTACCATCACGTTGCTTTCATCCTCTGTTCGGCGATCCGAGTCGACATATGAATTGATCATCTCATTCAAAGTCCTACGTTCGAAGTGTCAGTGGATATAAAGCATAATTCTCGTTGATCTCACCTGTCCTGCGCATCGATGTATACGTCAAGATGAGGAATAAAGCATGAAGATATCCTCTTTTCAAAACGCATTTGCTTATCCAGGTTTTCATACTTGTTCTATAATACAATCAATACAAGTTTCCCATGTATAAGAGGCAATAAGTACCATTTTCTCATAACGCTTTGATAATTGGCCTTCAAATTCAATCGTAAGCTGCAGTGCCTTTAGAAATTCCTTCACATCCAATGGTTGTGTGTTTCCCAATACACGTCCCAGGTCCGTTCTATACGAATAAAACGGTTTAGAACGTCACGCTACCACTGGTCATTGGTTGTCTTACCTTGTCAAGTCGCAAAATTGCTCACATAGCCTTCCTGTGATACACCAAGAACGAGGAAAGATCTCTGCATGATTTTCATCACATGATTTCAATAGGCGTTTTAACCATGCATATCGCCTTGAAATGTTATCCAGCTGAGACACCTGTAGGCAGTTGTTAAAGGGGGAATAGCTTATACTTTCATAACATACCTCTTCGTTGACTCCAAAAATCTGTCGATAAGGCTTCAACTGGGAATCAACATAGATTTTAATGGCCTTTTCCCTAGACACAACCATTAGCACCATTCTCAATTCCCATTTGACACGCATACTTTGTGTTCTCCCCGAGTGCGGACGCTACTTTGCATGCATCATGTAACATGTTGGAGGAAATTGATAAGGATCCATCGCTTTGAAACCTATCGGGCAATGTTAGTGATAATCCATACTACTTGTAGCACATGAGATATACCCTTGCTCAAATGTAGTGAGGATCTTTCTTTCAAGGCTCATTTGCAAGCCCGTAATTCGTTCCGAGAGCAATGCTATTTGTGGTACACACTTGTATGACTTGAAATGTTGCATAAGCTGTACAACTGCCTGGGTATAACAAATTTCATTAATGAACGTACATGTCGGCCGACCGAATCGACGTACCTGTAACAGCTGTGCGCTTCCTTCATATTGATTGCTTTGGGACATTGACTCGAGCTGATCAATGGCAGTAACTATAAGGGTTTTTAGCATGCTATTTGTTGATTAAGTATGCTGCATTATCTTACCTAGCATTTGGAGACGTTTGAGAGCTGTGACAGAGTGCGTCAAATGTCGTTTGGCATAGTCTAAGGATTTGACATCTTGCGTGATCTCTTGCACCATAGCTTCAGAGTGAGACGCCTTGCATTTGATATCTTGGATATTCTGAAACAAGGTCTAAAACTAGCTTGATCAGCCCAGCCTTGACAACTAATTAATCACCCTATTGTTGCTAACCTTGATAGCACCCTTGGCTCGTTCAAGTTCTTCTGCTGCCTGATGCTCACTATCCGATTGCGTTGTCGTATGCCGTTCTATTTCCACCTTTGTTGCTCGAATCTTGTCGTGTATTTTGCCCAACACAGTATCAATGGAACCAATGCTATGTTCTGCAGCGTAGCTTTAGTGATGGTTACCTGGCACGTACTTTTTTTGACTTACCATTTGGAAAGAAACGATTGACATAGTCTACTGGGTCAAAATCGGGTGCATCGAGCTCATTTTTGGCGCCAAGGATTGTGAGAGCTTGTCTTTCAAACGTAGGCGACACGACTTTGTGAGGAATTTCTGCCATAAGAGTTGCCAAACCGATTAACGGGAAGTGGAATCCTGCTTGACCAATGGCTGGAAAGGGAAAAGCTTCGGGTACCACAGCATTCCACGTGATTCTTGTCCACGTGATTCTCGGCCACCTGTATGAGAATTGGAATAACGCTAGGGATGCTCGGCTAAGCGATGAGAATGATATTACTGATAGTGCCTTGAATAAAAAACAATGCTTGTGATAGTGGATGTGGGCAGTGGATCCGAACTATATCATGCACAAGTGCAAGAATGTGTCGAAACATAGAGTTGGGGATGGATGGCTGTACATGGTTTACAGATTGTACGAAGGTTGATGAGAGTAGCTGTCTGGAAATGAATGCATCAATCGTTCAGGAAGATAGCGTCAAGCATAATGGTCAAGTTGACAATGAATGCATAATAAGAACAAAGGCTCTTTGTTAAACTTAATTATTGGCTGCAGTGAACATTATTTCCAGTGGTACATTAAAGGGATAGTGTCTTATTGTAAACATGGATATCAGGCTTCTGTAAAGATGAGTGCTACGAGATTACAACGTGATGGCATCAATGTGTAGGACTACTCCGAATGTAGTGGTAGGCGTTCAAGAAATCGAGATTTACGAACGAAGCTAGCAACGGAGCCGCTTTAGAAGGTATATTTCACGATTGCATACAAAAATAAATTTCAGAAATCAAATGAAAGACGGCTCTTTATGTTCAACAATGTGGATGGTTGTTTTTTAACAGCAGTAATTTTGATTATTCTTCCCCTTTCTAAGCCATAGCATCAGGACCCTTGAGAGATGTTCTTCCGGCACGCATCATTTCGTCGACAAGCAAAAGGTTGCTGGCAATTACGGAACTATATAGCTTGGTCAGCAACTGCATAATTAAACATTAATCATATACGTACGCGGAATGAAGCATGTGGCGTTGCACTCGGTAGTTGTCCCAAACACCTTCCAATTTAGGATCCATAGTCTCGCCAGTTTTGATGTCAATGCCTACAATATGACCCTCTTGTTGTTCTTCTTGCAAGGCAACGATAACGTCTTGTGCATCGAAACCAGCGTTTTGAGCAAGCACCTTGGGAATAACGAGCAAAGCATCTGCAAATGCTTGAACACCCATCTTTGCCCGACCCTTGACTGTTTTCTTGAATTCCTGCAAATGCTGAGAGCAAGCAACTTGGAATGCACCAGCACCAGCGATAACCGACTTGTCTTCGATGGCATTCTTGACAGCTCTAAGGCCATCACGAACAGCGTCATTGATCTGGGCAATGGTGTGTGGATTGGGGCCCTTGATCAAGATGGTCACACTATAAGGATCCTTGACATCTTCAACAAACGTGTATTTTTCCTCGCCCAACACGTGTTCATACACGTGACCAGCATAGCCTAGAATATCCTCAGACAAGTCCTCCACCGAATTCTGTGCAACACCACCACAAGCAAGTTGTAAACGCTCCATATTCCGTCTCTTGGCACGACGCAATGCGAAGATGTTGTGCTTGGCAAGAATATCAAGAGACAATGGGTCGATGCCTTTTTGGTTGATGAGAACGAAGCCCTTGTTTGCATTTTCACCGGAGCATACAGTGTTCTTGAAATCGACAATTTTGCGGATCTTGTCATCCACGTGCTTCCGTTCACTCTCAACCAGCTTCTCACGTTGTTCAGGAGTAGAATAGAAAAAGCCAGAATTGATTTCACTTTTTTATAACCATAGAATCAGCACTTGCATCCAAAAGTATTGTTCAATCTTCCCTCTTACCTCTTTTCATATTCCAAACTGACATTAAGAGTCAAAATGAATGCATCGGATAATTTCTTTGGCATATCGGGATGACGTGCTCCATGATCAAGGACAAGGCCACGCACCAATCTTGACTCCGTCTCTGATCGATGTTGCATCTTCATAATTTCCACCATATGGAGATCAATGGGTTCATTATCGCGTTGAATAGCAAGGACAGCGTCAACCACAGCCTCAGTCAAGGTATCTGCCAAAGCTCGGTGAACTTTGGTGCGCAATGAAGTACGAGCAACCGATACGAGTAACTCGCGATCAATTTCTTCCTTCACCGTCTTGAATCCTTCAAGGAACTAGATACATCGATTTTTAGTACAATCATTACGAACCTCTTTTTATATATCATACCTTCAATGCTTCCTTCTTTGCAATATCGTAACCTTCAGTAACAACTCGGGGATGGAGACCTTCTGATACATAACGTTCTGCTTGCTTCAAGAGTTCACCAACCAAAAGAACAATGGATGTTGTACCATCACCAGTGATTTCATCTTGAGCGGTAGCAGCCTTTGCGATCATGGCAGCAGTTGGGTGTTGGATTTGCTGAGCAACATGTGGTTAATACTAGATGACCCGTGCAAGACAACATGTCCATGTACAATTATTTTACCATTTCATTTAACAAGACCTTGCCATCTTTTGTAAGCTTAATGGCACCAGCACCATCGACAAGCCTAACATGATGAATTACTGTCAGCGGGAATTGTTGAAATATCCAGGGCAAGACGCGTCATTTATCGCAGTAGAGAGAGCAATCTCACCAAGATGGATAATGATAGTGTGATATGATATACATACATTTTGATAGTGCCTCGTGGACCAAGGTTAGACCGTAATACATCTTGAAGACCAATGGCAGCAGTGATGTTGAGCTGTAGAGCCTGACCGCGTCGAGCGACATCCGAGTTGGGATTGATAACTTTTAAAGCCGAGGAAGCCCTAAGAATAAAGCTCATGGGTTACATGATGGTTTCGACCAAAGCTGACATGTCATCATTGTGTTCATCTGAGACCTACATCGCGTTCTAAGTTTGACAGGTTGGTTGGGAAAAGAACAAGAGCAAACTCTCGCCAGTCGTCAGTGGCTCGGCGTGTCAATTTAAAAGCCGCATGTGCTCCAGTGACAATTTGGGCAGGCAATTGAGTGATGGCTCTGGATTTCCCCCCTTTTCCTCAGCATATAAAACATGGCATCGCAAGCCGCCCAAATCTCAAAGAAGAGAAAGGTACATCGAGAATGAATGATGAGAGCATTGGATGGATAAATCGATAGATGGATGGATGATCGGATGGATGAATGGATTATTGATCATTATTTTATGCAAATGTGACCTTCATGTTCGTTATAGTTCGTAAGTATCAACCCACTATTTTCAAGCTCTATTATACACCCAATGCTAAATATTGTATTATTCAGGTCGCTGACGGTGTATTCTACGCTGAACTTAACGAGTTCCTCACCCGTGAGTTGGCTGAGGATGGTTATGCTGGTGTCGAAGTTCGTGTGACACCCGCACGTACAGAGTATGTAAAATCAACCATATCCACAGACGCACCAGCACTCGAACTAAACTTATCACGCCCACCACCAGAATCATTATTCGTGCAACCCATACCCAGAACGTTTTGGGCGAGAAGGGACGTCGTATTCGCGAATTGACCACTCTTGTTCAGAAGCGTTTCCGCTTTGCCGAGAACACTGTTGAGCTTTATGCTGAGCGTGTCCAAAACCGTGGCTTGTGTGCCATTGCTCAAGCTGAATCCGTAAAGTACAAGTTGTTGAACGGCTTGGCTGTTCGTCGTGCTTGCTATGGTGTCGTTCGTTTTGTCATGGAATCAGGTGCTAAAGGTTGTGAAGTTGTTGTTTCTGGTAAACTTCGTGCTGCTCGTGCAAAGGCTATGAAGTTTGGTGATGGTTTCATGATCCACTCTGGTCAACCTACTCGCGATTTTATCACCACCGCTGTTCGTCACGTCTTGTTGCGTCAGGGTGTTCTTGGTATCAAGGTCAAGATTATGCTCGACAATGACCCATCAGGTCGCCAAGGCCCCAAGGCTCCTTTGCCCGATATCATTACCATCCTTGAGCCTAAGGAAGAAGCACCTATCACTGAACCTGTCACTCAAGAGTTTGGCAGACCTGCTGCTGAACCTCAGGCAGCTGAGACCCAATAAATTCATGTGTATGCTCTGTACTACTGTATTTATTACGTTTACGATTTGGGTATCACTATTCTTCTGCCAATGAGACAATTTCTTCTTCATCAATGCAGTCAATGACATTGGATAACGAGCCGTAGATATTACGTACTGCAAAGTCGAGAATTGCAATGCCAAGAGTCACCCAACGGAAACTCCAGAGAGGGAGTTCAACCAAAAATTGACGAGTGCTGTAAATATCCGAATCGCCCTTTGTATCAACTTGGAAAGCAAATAGATTGAAATGAGCCCAAAAGAGGATCACTAGCGTGCAACAATATGTTAAAAGAAGCCCTTTTGTCAACTTTGCAGCACGTTGCATGAGTGCTCCTCGTAAATCTCGTTCTCGTTCGTCCGCTTGTGGTTGCTGCTGGGCAGTGAGGATAATGTCAAACATGTCGCTTAGAATCTTGTAGGTGAAGCATATGTTGTTGACACTGCCAACCAAAAAGAAACCCAAATGAAGATGCTCAAGTCGACATAAGAGGAAATGCCATATCCTTTCATCAGCAAAGGGGAATAACATATAATAGAGTAGCTGGCTGGAGACAAGAGAATGGGTTTCAGAGTAACCAGACGATCGATAGCACACAGGAAATGGGGCATAAATGACTTTGTGCGTTCCAAGAACCACTTGTTGTGCGTATGAAAAAGGTTGGCGTATTGAATTCTGCGTCGAGTACTTGATAAGATTGGTGAAGGATCCTGACATCCATATTTCGTACACTCCTCCAGGATAGTTGGTGAGTTGCATCGATAGGTGAATAAGTATCTTCATCAATGTGCCTGGATATGTACATGTAAACAATATACATCGCACTAGAATTTCATTTTCATTACCTGCTGGGATGAGGATGATAAATATGAGGAAGATCGTAAGCAGGACTCGGATAGCTACGTAAAGAGAGCAACAAGAAACCGCCTATGAGTTATATGCAAAGAATACGCTGTTCACATTTACCTTTGTGACTAAATAAGCTCACCCATTTGCGCCTATGACGCACGTGTAGCCGTTGTCTACACAACATGCAGTGATATAGCTCTTGTTTTCGTCCACGGCGTGAAAGCGACTGTCGCCAAGAAGCAATGCACTGTGGGTGTACATATTTGCTTCAATACGATTAGCTTCCTTGCAAGACTCAACACGTACTTGACATGTATTACATTGAACCTTTACACTTGCATGGAGCAATGAGATTGGAGACGTCCTCTTTCTCTAAGCAGATTCTGCAAATTTGGATATTCTCGAGAGATGACGCATATCGTTCGTTTGTCATGTATACGGAGAAGATGAATAAAGGTCGAGGTAACACACACACACACTCCTCAGCTTTGTTTGAATCTTGTTTTCACACTTCTGCATGAGAGGAAACAAACGACCAGGCTTCGCTCGTAAATTTCGTTAAATGACATGTCACTCTCTTTGAAGTAATAAAGATATCCGCTATGTCTGTGTGTTTATTGATTGACTGTCGTGTATTTTAGGGAACGCTAGCCGTATGCTGATTGCTATTGGCAAAGATTGTATAGCGGACACTTGGAATGCTTTTTATCAATTGCACCATTAAGGTTATCTGCAAATTCTTAGAATCGTCGTGCACAATGCGTGACATGATAATTTCGCATGAATGACGGGGATGTTCATTTGATAGACGCCCTCGCCATGCTACCTTTCCGATGGCATGCGTTACACATCAGCTCTGTGAACGATATCCATTGATGCCATTCTTTGGTATGCTGCTTATAGTAGTACACACGCTCTCCTGCCCCGTACCTTTTTGACATTAGCAATGACGGATACATGACATGTATTTGTAATGACAAATTGTTGAACGATACTAGTTGTTCGTTGACTTGGAGATCGATCATGCTGTTGTGTGTAGCAACCACCAATGTTGAAAAGAGGCCTTTAGTAGCTTGCTTGCAGTCCACATGATTTGATTACTCTTACCTCCATGAACCATGTAAACGGCATGTGAACAATAAACAACTCATCCACAATCTTGGTGTATGTTGATCACTCATGCAACTGTATCGAGAAATGAGGATATCCATTCATGTCGTCATTTTCAAAGGCATCATTTAGTATCACCTTCAAGAGTAACCTTAAACATTTATCAATTGAAAGGAAGTCTTTATTCAGCGATATTACTTCGCATGCGATCTAAGTTTCTGCATCATGATTTCTAGGCTATTAGGTGTCTCACTTCAAAAGATAGCTATTAGAACGCAGCTAGTGATGATGTCTTGTAATAAATAGATAAAGGTGGCAAATTAGCTTCCATGGAAACCCATGTACTGACAAGGATGGCCACGCGAAGGCTTTGCCGTCATCCTCACTACCATCACCTCGATCAAACACCAATCGCAACCAAATGAAAGGAGCAATTCGCACATTCCTCCACAATCGACTTCAGATATACAAGGCTAGACGCGGTACTAAGCTACTCAACGCATGCAGACCATTTAATGGGATTGATCCCATCCTATGGCTTCCCATGTCAATCAATGAAAGAAGCAGGTGCGTTCGATGGCGCATTGGTTGGCTACCAGGTGGAAAACCCAAACCATGTCCAAGATGCCGTGAACAAAAGGGCACTGTACGAAACCATCTTATCCATTGCCTTAACATGCATGCAAGGCTTAAGATATCCAATCACATTGAGGACCCTCTTTCGTGGATTTTAAATCGTCTCCCAAAAACTCGTCCTCGTCGCAGCAATACACGACATTATTGGTGCTCGATTTGGCCAGCAGTCTGTCTCATTCTAGACGATCTTGAAAACATACAACACCCTGAGTATGAGCCTCAGTCCATATACTCAGAAGATCCCCCTGGTCATCGCTTGGTACAATGGTTATCACAAGAGTCTACTGCCATACCATCTCCTTCTGATTCATCTCAAACTGCCTCTCGCTAGATCCCTTTTATTATTTTTTCTTTATTTCTTTGTCTTCCCCTTTTCTCGCCCCATCTTATGATTGTTTACTCTTCCCACTTCTGAACTTACCCACCATACTCCCACCTTGTATGTGTTACCTTTCTACCCTACCCTTTTTTCTATTGATCCTATACATCTACCCTTAGTAGTTTTACCTCCATCTCTTTTAACCATCCGGTACTTCTCCCTTTTTTCCTGACGCATATCAGGTTTTCAGTACTCTTGACTTGCTGGATCGGGCTAGGGCAAAAAGCTGATATCAGCGCGTGCTCAATTCGTAGCCATTTGAATAAACTTATCTTAAAACCGTCATCCTCACCCCTACGGTGCACCACGCCGGATAACGGGGGATGCCATTGCGTCTTCTATGGCATCGTCTAATAAAGGTGCTGCTCGAGCCAACATGTTCGGTCTGATAAAAGGACAAAATAGCCATCCCATGCCCCACAGAGGCCAACCCATAAGAGCAAAAAGCAATACATGATCCCATATCTACCACAAGGACACCGAGTGACAGTCTGACTTCCAACGGCTAAGGCAGTAATCCTCAAATGCAATTGATAGGGCCATGATAGGGCTGACCACACTGTCGCATATGAATCATAGCTGCCAACGATGCTTTACACAAAAGAGCAAAGCACCATCCCGTTCTACCCATAGCAAATAAACATCCGCCATATCAGTAGTAGCTGCCATCAAGCGACCTTCTTGGGTAGGCGTCATGAGAGACACATCATGCACTGCAACAAATAAATCCGGTCTTGATGAAATAGCATATGCGAGAATATTGACTTGCCGAGAGAACGTCCAAGGTATCCATACAAGTACTTGAGGAGAATGAGATCCGCCATGGCACCAATAAAAACATTGCTTCGAAGATCCACCGATGCAGAGACGACTTGTAGGTAGCTGATTTCCAAAACCATGGAAACGGTATCCTTGACATCCACAACCATAAGATAATAGAAGTTGCTGCGGATTCACACAAAAGGAATTTTTAATACTTGGTAACGAGAACTATCGAACGATGTAATAAGGCCTGCTGATACCGAAAGATGCCAAAGACGATGCTGCTTGATCCTAACATGGTTCACCTATAATAGATGCACCGTAAACAATTCTCCAAACATGTAAAACAACACTTAGCAATGATAACTGTAATCCTGGGGACTTCAATGCAAGATGATCCACCTAGAAAGACACATGTCAGCAAGAATAATACTTCCATCTCAAAGACTTTGGAATGATACGTACATGAATCTCTCACAATCAGGATGCAACCACAAAGCATAGTAATAAGAAAGGCGCAATGCCAAAGAATGCCAAGGTACCTGTACTGTCTACTAGCCCCTTCCCGAAGGAAGCATAGTGCCAAAACACCGGATTTAACGGTGACATGAGCCCCTCACCAGCCGACTTTGACACCACCTGAGCCGTGGATCCGCATGTTGCAACTGCGAACAGAGGATGCGTATTTAAATTGGTCTTGCCATAGCACCATGAGCACATGTTTCCACAAGAGGTGGTAAGGGCAACATGGTCTCCCCAAGACAGCACGCAGTACAATAGCATCCTTGACGTGCCCACGTGATCTAGCAGAGCAAAAGCCTTCTTGATCCTACCATCACACACCTTCCATTGTAAGTGCACTTGCATGCGACACATCCCATAATGGATACTCTTACCTTGTGATGCTTCTCAATAGCATTCTTCCTCCAAATAAGAGCCGTATCTCCATGCCAACCATATCTCCATGCCATCCATATCATGCCGCTGCTATTCCATTGTAAAGCTCGTTAATTGATAGCACTTGTATTGTAGATCCAATGCTGTACATACCAATGAATTTTGCCTCCAGCAATAATTGCAATAAATAAAGCCACAATGCAAAGAATGCCAAGGTACCTGTACTGCCTACTAGCCCCTTCCCGAAGGAAGCATGATGCCAAAACACCGGATTTAACGGTGACCTGAGCCCCTCACCAGCCGACTTTGACACCACCTGAGCCGTGGATCCGCATGTTGCAACTGCGAACAGAGGATGCGTATTTAAATTGGTCTTGCCATAGCACCGTGAGCACATGTTTCCACAAGAGGTGGTAAGGGCAGCATGGTTTCCCCAAGACAGCACACAGTACAATAACATCCTTGACGTGCCAGTGACATAGCCGAAGAAAAGCCTTCTTGATCCTGTCGTTGCACATCTTCCATCGTAAGTGCACTTGCATGCGCCACACCCCATAATGGATACTCTTACCTTGTGATGCCTCACAATAACATCCTTCCTTCAAATAAGAACCGTATCTCCATGCCATCCATATCTCCATGCCAACCATATCATGATGCCGCTGCTATTCCATTGTAAAAGCTCGTTAATCCAGAGCACTTGTATTGTAGATCCAATGCTATACATACCAATGAATCTTGCCGCCGGCAATAATAGCAATAATAAAAGCGCACTGCCAAGGAATGTAGTATCCGTACTGCCTTCTAGCCTCCCGTAGGAACGTGGCGTCAAAACACCGGTTTTAACGGTGACATGAAGTCCCTCCCCAGCCGACTTTAACACCACTAGCCGTGGGTCCAGCCATGTTGCCAAGAAGACAACCCATCGTCTTCAAGTCGAGTAAAGTATAGCCGTGCAATGATGGGAAGCATATACTTTGTTCTCCACGAAAGGTCAGAGGGTGCATTTTTAAACCGAAGTCGCACCGTGAGCCCAACGTAATATCCGCGTACCACAACATGGCCTTCCCCCCTAGACAGTACACTCCATCCCTTGACGTGCAGCCGTGATAATAGTAATCGCCGAACGAGAGCCTATTTCTTTCATCAGTGCACTTGAAGTGACAAATCCTAAATGATCACTTTACCTTGAGGTGTTCCCAATACCATTCCATCGTTGCTTGCAAATAACCTTGTATCCATCCGATCCAGTATGTGCTGCTGCTGCTTCATTGTAAGGCTCGTTAATTAAGTGGTCCTGCATTGTAGATCCAACACCATACATACCATTGAACCAACGTACAGCGTTCTTGCTTTGAGATCAATATCTTGTTACTGTCCACAGGTACCATCATCCAACAAGTCGATCTACCATGAACACAATGTGAGATACCAAGGAAAACCAATCTAAACGCATTTTCTTGCCAACATACCCAAAAGAGGCAGTGTAAAGAAGTGTTGTTGTGGACAACTTGGGAATGAATACACGCGACGCCTCCATTAGATCTTGTAAACGAGAGAACAGCAATCTACACACGAGCTTCAGCACCACAATGTCAAACCTGAACAGTAAAAGCGCTGCAGCGATTGACCGTACCTGTTGTACGGGATTGGAAGTTTGAAACATGGGTAGATTGCGCGCGTGCTTGTTGTAGTTGAAAGGGACGCCATTGACCACCCGTTCACCCATCTAGGTCTTGCATTAAAGAGCATGACAGGAGTTAATGCGCTGTACTTCGTCAATGGAGTGTGTCTCACCTTGAATGTGTAAAATGGGAGTGGAGAAAGGTGGGATGGACTCTTTTTAGTGCCTCTCGTCGTCCTTGATACAGCTACCCAGCCCCGCGCAGCTACTCTTGTGGATATGCATACATGTATACCTCGATCAGTATGGATCAACTACTAGTCCCTCGTTATGTATCTCTGGCAAAAGTGACACCAGCCTTGGTATTATGCAGCCAACAAACTCCTGAACTTGGAACATCCAATGTGTAATCCTGCATCCAATGTGGACCTAGAAATACTCAAATATGGTATGCGTGTATAAAGCAATTGTCCCTGCCATCATGGATAGCTTTCTCATCAATCGATAGCTTGTGTATGAAGAACTAACATTGCCCAAGATTATCATCACCATCTGTTTGTGTAACCTGTCAACAACATGTGTAACCTGTTCACCTTCGCCGTCAGTCCGATTCCTCTTACACTGCATGACAACGTATATCCTAAACGGATTAATAGATGACGGGAGAATAAAAGCTACATTTTCTTAAGATGCCACCATTTGCGAAATGTGTTATTGGGTCATCTGCTCTCATCCACATGCAAAAGTGAAGGCCAACCAACATGCAATGACAATCATCCACTACTCCGTCACTGCCAGTAGCCTCCTTGAAAATCCTGCTTGTTGTCAACCAATGCTAGCTTTTTTGTTACGTTAAAGTCCATTACTTCAAACGGGTGTTGAATGTTGCGACCATTATACCAGATATCGAATGGCTCAGTGATACCAATACGCTTTATTTTTGATTGCATCGCTCCTAGTTGTATATATCCATGAACCGGTATGATCCTTATTTCTGTGATTTGGCAAAATTTGCTACTAACGGAAGAGAATGTGGCACCATCATCCAAAATGGCGTGTATTCTTTGTCCCTCTAAGGTTACTGGTATCAGTATTTCATCGCATCCTCTTTGAGACTTACAATGCAACCCATCATCTAGACATCTACATCATCATCAACGATGACAGCAGAGCGATTGACCATTTCCTTGGCCTTTGGTAAATGAGACACAGGTCGACGTCCCTTAGCGATCAAAAATTCATTGCAGCGATGATTATTGTCTTCCACGTAGACGTCCACAGTAGTAGCAATTTCTGTGATACGGGATGTTTCGTGGATGAACGTTCATGGGTGCTTGATCTCTCATGCATTTTTGTTATGACCACAAGATATGGTATGTAAAGTTGACAATCTTTCTAAGTCACATGTTTACTTTTCTTTTGTCTTGTATGAATGCTTTTATGTCGGGATGCAATTGGTTATCGAAGGAACATAAGCTGATATCAATATTTTGGATGCTAAACTACTAAAGGAATGTCGCGCCTCCGATGTCGAAAAATGACGCGCACCTAGTGATTCCCTCGTAACATCAACAGCTGATTGACGTTTTTATCAATATTCAATTTATTATGCAACACTACAACCATATGTACTATTCTAAAACAAGATGGATATCTTCGCAGAACCAACAAAAAGACCTTCGAAAATATCTTGTTCGATGCAAATGATGATGAGACGATGAATGATATTTTTATACTGACATGTTCATATCAATTTTGCCATGAGGATGATAGTCTAGTACTTCGAAATCATCGACTCTGAAATCGTCAATGGAGTCAATCTTGCGTGCAATTTTGAGTTTAGGAAATGGGCGTGGTTCTCGTTGAAGCTGTTGCTTTAAAGCATCGACATGGTCAACGTATACGTGCGTGTCTCCCATCACGTGAATGAATTCACCAGGTTCTAGATCCGTGACGTGAGCAATCATCCTTGTCAAGAGCGCATAAGACGCAATGTTGAATGGAACTCCAAGACCCATATCGCATGATCTTTGATACATAGCACAGGAGAGTCGTCCTTTTCCATTCTTCGGATTTGACACATAGAACTGACAAAACGCATGGCAAGGAGGTAAAGCCATTTGTGGAATGTCTTTGAAGATTAACTATTAGCACTTATTCATAAAAGTCATCCTCATTTTGTACCTTTTGGATTCCATGCTGAAAGGATGATTCGCCTGTCAGTAGGGTTATTCTTGATCTTGTCAATCACCTCCTGGAGCTGATCAATGCCTTGATTGGTATAGTCGGTATCACAATCAACGTATTGTGCTCCAAAATGACGCCATTGAAAGCCATAAACAGGTCCAAGGTCTCCTTGCTTGCGGTCAGCGAAGCCGAGCTTGTCGAGATATTCACGAGATCCGTTGCCATCCCATATTTTGACTTTACGTTCACTCAGGTGATTTGAATTGGTGTCTCCCTTGATGAACCAAAGCAACTCCTCGAGCACACCACGGAAAAACACGCGTTTGGTTGTCAATAAAGGAAATACGTCGTCTCGTAATGAAAACCGTAACTGGGGTGGTGCAAAGATTGCCAAGGTGCCTGTGCCTGTTCGATCAGCACGATGCTCGCCTTGTTCCAAGATTCGCTCAATGAGCTCAAGGTATTGGTATTCTTCGTGTCGAGAGTGAGGTGCCATTTATTTTCGGAATGGGTTTGTGCAAGAAAGAAAATGTATCGCGTACCGCGTTGTAAAATGTTGGCCATCGGAGCAAACGCGCTGTAGATGCAAGTCGTGTCGTCCAATAATGTCGCGTGTACAATCTCTGGCTATGATGTTGGATGGTATATGCAACCGAGAAGCTATTGAAGGCCAAGCATGTACACATGTGCTATATCATGAATCTCTTCACTACTAATACTATCTATCCATCTACCTATGAGCAATATTCGCTACCACCATCACACTAAAAGCAGATCATTGTGATATATTAAGAGAAGGCAAATAACATCTTCTATAGTAGTCAATAGCAATGTCAACATAGACTCTTAAACGATGCGATAATAAAACATGGAAAGCCATAATTCTCTCATCACTGCGCTTTTTAAATGCGTCGTATAATGGCTAATGATTATTCCCGAGTGGCCAATTTGTTAAAATGTCATTTGTTTCAGCTCAGTTTACTATGCTTTATTTGATGTCAAACATGAGATGTACACAACAAGTGAACGACACCGACTTTTATTTGCTAGAGCTATCGGTGGTTTACTATTTCACGACTAGGATCTGATATAAGCTATCGTTTATTCCTTCGAATGCTTGAATTGCTATCAAACACTGTTTGATTTCATTGTTTTCTCAATGTATGGGATCGCAAAACAATAACAATGGCGAGCCATCATCTTTCTTTTCTTTTTCTTTATTGCATGTAATGGGGGACTTTGAAGGAAAATTCGCAGCTGCGATACATGGACCAGTCAATTCGGATTTACTGGCTCACGTCTCCCAACAAGCGGCTCGTGTAATTCCTTGCCATCCTGGGACTTCAGCTACACAACAATCTCAGGCGTGGCCGCCACCATTACGCACATTTATCAGCGTCATTGTGAAACGTTCAGCAGTTCGAGCTGGTACATTGTTTGCGGCGTTGGTTTTTTTGGAACGACTTCAACGACGCTTGCAAAGTGTAGCACGTGGCATGCCTTGCACCTGTCATCGTATCTTTTTAGCCACTCTCATAGTTACGTCAAAGGCTCTTCACGATGCCTCACCAAAAAATAAGCATTGGGCCAAGTATGCAATGTGGTGTTTTAGTATAGCAGAAATCAACCTGATGGAAAAGCAACTGCTTACTATTTTGGTAAGAAAGATGGGGTATTGTTTCGTCACACTGTTGGCCAAATGCTAACCAAAATCACTTTAGAATTACCGGCTATTGATCTCAATTGAGGACCTCCATCAAGTTTTCATGATATATGATAATTGCCTGCATAATACACCACCGCTGGCTTCGTCATCTTCTTCATCGCTCGAATCTTCGGCCAACACAGATATTGACGATATAAGCAGTATTACAAGCCATTCTGTGGAACATCAACAACAATCCCTTATGCAAGAAGCAGCGATCGCTAAGAAAGGCTATGTTCAACCTGACCTATATCCGCGATCTGAGGCAATTGACTCATTTTCTATCAATGATGAAACATTTCAACGACTCTATCGCAAAGCCAAGTTCAATAATTGATCCTACATAGCAAAATAATTGTTGCTACCCTATAATCCACAGTGTCAACTTAATACATCTATCGTCTTCAACCATCATATACAACTTCAGGGTTAGTTTACTTCTAATTGATAATGTGGCGATAAAATTGTCATGGGAAAAAATGCAAGATAAGCCGGTGATAAGAGATCTACGAATCGAGTCGATCCTATTGGTCCTCGCGATTTATACTTAACCATCCCCGCTGTTTGTCGCCCACCACCTGCTTCTTTCGCGATCACCTACACGCATGACACATCAAGCAAGAATCTCTACAGTTGTTGAGAGCCTTACCAAGGCACCTCGCAGTATTCAGCTATCTGATCGCAATGGAAAGGTCCAGCCGATCACTGAAGTTTATGGCAAGAACGTGTTCTCTCTCAACGAAATGTCAAAAATGCTCCCAAAGCCTGTGTTCAAGGTTAGTTGTTGCCTGACTCTCTTATTTGAAAATCACTTGATTACTAATGACCATGCTGATATATGTATATAGAGCTTCATGAACCAACTTCGTGGCAATGAAAGCTTGGATAGACAAACTGCTGATGCTATCGCACACGCCGTCAAAGTGTGGGCTATCGAGCGTGGCGCTACTCATTTCACCCATTGGTTCCAGCCAATCACTGATTCCACTGCCGAAAAGCATGACTCATTTTTGACATTGAAATCTAGTTATATCAATGGATTTGAAGAGGTAAAAACTCGCGTATATATTGTTAATGATCCATGTTTTAATAGTCTCTTGTTAGGTCACTGCTCTTGAAACATTCTCTGGATCCCAGTTACTGCAATCAGAACCGGATGCATCATCTTTCCCTTCAGGTGGAATGCGAACCACGTTTGAAGCACGTGGTTATACTGTCTGGGATACGAAGAGGTATGTAAATAGAATGATTTGTTCTAGTAATTGAAAGCTGATTATCTATATATCGTCCAGCCCAATGTTTATTCAAGATGGTCCCCATGGCACATCGATCCTTTACATCCCTTCGGTGTTCATTTCTTACAATGGAGAAGCTCTTGACGAAAAGTCTGTGTTGCTTCGATCAGTTGAGGTTGTTAACAAGGCAGCTCTTGATGTACTCTCCTTAATTGATGCAGTTGATGAAGGTAAATATAAGCATCGGAAATTTCAAAAGGGTTACATAACTAATTTTAATTACAGACCATCCTCGTACCAAGCAAGTATTTACTACTCTCGGAACGGAGCAAGAATATTTCTTGATCGACCGTGGTCTTTACACTTTGCGTCCCGATCTCAAGATTACTGGTCGTACTCTTGTTGGTGGTCTTCCTCCTCGTCATCAACAATTGGAAGATCATTATTTTGGCAAGATCCCTACACGTGTCTTGGCTGCCATTAGTGAATGTGAACATGAACTTGCCAAATTGGGTGTTCCTATCAAGACTCGTCATAATGAAGTGGCCCCTGCTCAATTCGAAGTCGCTCCTATCTTTGAAGAAGCTATGCTTGCTGTCGATCACAATCTTTTGACAATGGATGTACTTCATCGTGTTGCACATCGCCACAAGCTCAAGGTGTTGTTCCACGAGAAGCCTTTCCGTGGTGTCAATGGCTCCGGAAAGCATTGCAACTGGAGTTTGTCCACTGATCAAGGCGATAACTTGCTTGATCCATCTTCTAAGCCAGAAACCAACTACCGCTTCTTGATCTTCTTGGTTGCCGTATTGAAGGCTGTTCTTGATCACGGTGATCTTCTTCGTGCTGGTATCGCATCTGCATCCAACGACCACCGCCTTGGTGCACATGAGGCTCCCCCTGGTATCATTTCCGTATTCCTTGGTAGTCAATTGAATGAAGTATTGAACGCCATTGAGGAAGGACGCCCCGTCAACTATGATGCTACAGGTACTAAGCTTGAGCATGTTCGTGTCAAGGGCACAGTATTGGATCTCAAGGTGGCTACTTTGCCAAGCATTGCTCGTGATTTGACGGACCGCAACCGAACCTCTCCTTTTGCATTCACTGGCAACAAATTTGAATTCCGTGCTGTTGGATCTAAGCAATCGGTGTCTTTCCCAGTATCGCTTCTCAACTCGGCTGTGGCATCTTCGCTCTTGGAAATCAAGGAAGCATTGATTGCTCAAAAGGGAAGCAAGCCTGTAGCATCTACTGAAGACCAACTTGCTGTCATTCGCGAATTTATCAAGAAGACTAAGAATATCCGTTTTGAAGGAGACAATTATTCTGAAGAATGGGCCCAAGAAGCTGCCAAGCGTTCTCTTCCCAACATTACCAAAAGTCCTGAAGCCTTCTCTCGTCTACTTCTTAGCAAGAATGCTGACATGCTTCAACGTATGGGCGTGTTTTCTAGTGCCGAGTTGAACTCTCGTTTCCACATTCTTACGGAAAGATACTGCAAGGATATCATGATCGAAGCCCAAACTTTGATTACCATGATTGTTCAACAAGTTTTGCCTGCCGCCTACTCTTACCGCGGTGAATTGGCTGATACAGCATCCAAGGTCAGCTCTTTGGGATTAGATGCCAACCCTGAAAGCAGAATCTTGAAGGGTCTCTCGAGTGTGGTAACCAACTTGCAAGATCGCACTGATGAACTCGAGGCCTTGACCAGCAAAATGACTACCATCATGGAAATTGAAGAACTTGCTAAGTTTGCTAGTGACCAAGTCATTCCTACCATGGAAGCCGTTCGTGAAGCAGCAGACTCTTTGGAGAAGACTGTTGCAGACAAGTTTTGGCCCTTGCCCAGATACACTGAGCTTTTCTTGAACATCTAGTTGTGATACATGAATAACAGTAATAAACAAATGCCCATTGAGTCTTCGAATATGATCACATTTATAGCAGCTGATCCTGCCCTTATCCCCCTCTCCTCATTAGCGTGGGTGATCAGATGATAATAAACTATCATAACTAGGTATTAAAGGTCAAGGGTACATAGAGCGCATGTGATTCACTGAACACTGCAGCAATTGATTCTATCTAATATCAAGCGGGTTTCATGTTGTACAAGGGAAAAAAGTAATCAACATGATGTGCCAAATCAACCATCAGATGGGTAACTCGATATCTGGAAGTTAACGGATCCGTTCTTCTCAATAAGGTGTATAACTCATATCTCTATTCTCATGTTGACAAATCCAGCGATAGTTCTATACTACCATAACACCACTGATAAACTTGCTATCACGAAGATGATCGGGCTCCCTTGTTATTCCCCAGTAGATAATGCATGGATAATTTTATACCCAGGAGATGCTTGGGCTACTTGACAGCTTGTGGTATGCCGTAACCAAGGCACATCAAGCAATCCGATCAAGGATCATGGTATGTTACCAAGCCGGGGCCGGAATTTTCACTTTTGTAGTCACTCGGAGCCGAGGTGCGTTGGAATATGAAACTTCTGTAAAATGGAATTCCAAAATCTGCTGGCTGATGCCGGGATCTCTCCAGAGCTTCACATGTTAACTGGTATACACAAAGCATGGTATAAACTAATAACGTTCAAAAGCTAACTCCTTTTGATTGCAGCTATACAGCTCATTACAACGACCCCACTACTACATCCTGCATTTGAAAAGCACGATCGTATAACGTTGAAAAGACAAGCTATAAAGTATTTACGATATGAGGCAGCAAAGGTGATGAATAAGAATTACGTTATATAATGCATCATGATTTTCTAATACAAATACCAGGGTAACATAGAAGCAAAGGCTAAGCTTATCACGATTTTCCTTGACGAAGACAGCCCCCATCAGAGCGAGGCTGAGATATGGACCAGGAGCATATTCGATCGCCGACTATCGCTTGCATTGGCAGCTTGCAGACAGGACATGTGCGAAGATGGTCTTGAGAAACCTTTGCTCGATACTATATTTGAGTTGGCAGATGCAGACACCGCACAAGCTTGCTTTTTAGCTGGGTTGGTTCTTATCGATGGCATTGGTGTTGACCATGATGTGAAACAAGGCGTTGCGTATCTGAGAAAAGCAGTGAACGCTGGGCACAGCAATGCAAGAGTTGAGCTCGCTGCAATCCTAAGCGACATCATCAAATACCCATCCATTTACGATTTACAGCAAAGTGTAACCCTTTACCAGACAGCAGTAGAATCGACTACACAACCTCGACGTCTTTCAGCTGCCAATATACGCGCATTTACCAATCTTGCCAGGCTATACTATGAGGGTGGTGAAAAGATTCCACGTGACCTTGATATGGCGTACAAGTACGCGCGTCGCGTGGCAGAAGCCACAGGGGAACAATATTGCCAGTACATTGTTGGTGACGTATTGCTAACTGGCAATAATCAATACGTCCAAGAAGCTATTTTTTGGCTAACACAGTCTGCTACGCAAGGTTTCCCATTGGCAATAGAATCGTTATCACGCATCTATTTTTTTGGTATTGAAAAAGAGATCAAACAGGACTATGAGCAAGCACATGAATGGTGTATCAGAGGCGACGAAATATGGCCTTCGGGTTTAAGCTTTTGTCAAACATGCCTGGGGGATATGTATCGTTCCGGCTTAGGCGTGCCAAAGGACCTTCTACGTTCATTCGAATACTATCAGAAAGCAGCCAGCCAACGAGATGTCCCGCAGAATTATGCCAACTATGCCAGATTCATGCTCGGAGAGATGTAGGACAAAAAAATTTGCTCATGCGACCTTGTGTACCCTGACGCGTCATGCATTTAGGTTTTTCAAGGGTGAAGACTGGCCCAAAAACTATGCTGTGGCTATTGAATACTACAAACTCGCTGCTGCAGAGAATTATGAAGCAGCTCAACATAGGCTTGAGCAACTTTTGGCCTCGCAGGAATATAAAAATACGCAAGTACCGCAAACGCGTGCACAACCAAAGACTTGGAGGCTATGGTCCTTGTTCCGACGTGGGAAACCAACAGCACCTTCCACTACATCTATAAATGCCGGAATCGGTGTATAGGTTAGAATAATTTATTCACGTTGCAGCCATAGTTATGCATTGCAGCACACCGTATTGATTGTTTATATCTCGCCTTTATGTTTATTTTATCCTCCCTGTAATATCATGCTCAGTTTATACCCACGTATGTGAATGTCGGCAGGAATCAAATGATCTTCTAGCTTTAAAAAGTTAGATCGTGCGAAAAATTGATACACCAAGTGTTTGGTGATTATCGGCTGGTATTTATATAAAGCGCATTGATCAATCAACTAATTCTCCCCATACTTATCTTGTTCCCTCATGGATACACCACCCCGAGACTCATCTGTTTACAGCATTTTGGACATCCGTAATCCTAAAGCTGGTGCCATAAAACTCACACAATTCAAGACGGCAACCGGAAATGCTAGTCCTCCCACTCCACCTGCGTCAACTGAGCAGTCATCGGCCGATGCGTTCAATGATGAAGACCTGGCGGATACCATCATAGATACTCTTGACAAGCCTTATGGTGCCAAGTCAATACCAACCTTTGTGCTTTACGATAACCGAGGGCTCCAACTCTTCAATGACATCACCTACTTGGACGAGTACTACCTTACAACTGCAGAGATGTCTATTTTGAGAGAACGCGCAGCCGAAATTGTGGAACAGCTTGAGGAAAACAGCGTGATCATTGAACTTGGTGCAGGGTAAGTCATATAAAAAGTGATCATACGCATACGATATATATATATATGTATATATAATGTAGATCACTGAGGAAGACATCCATTGTCCTTGACGCAATCGAGAGCCGGAAACTAAAGGTCACTTACTACGCGCTTGATCTCGACCAGAATGAGCTCGAGCGCTCGTTAGGGTCTCTTGGAAGTTTTTCCTACGTGGAACTCGTTGGTCTACTTGGCACGTTCGAACAAGGCATTCCATGGCTCAGCCAGTACTTTAAACAAGGACAGAAGAAGCTATTCCTTTGGCTTGGTAGCTCTATAGGAAACATGAACCGTCGCGAGTCCGTTATGTTTTTGCATCACATTCAGCAAACTTGCATGGCTGCCGGAGATTTATTCCTCATTGGATTTGACAAACGTAAAGATCCGACCACTATTAAGCATGCCTACGATGATCGGCAAGGAGTCACTAGAGAATTCATCATGAATGGTCTGGATCACGTGAACAGTATCGTTGGGCAACCTCTTATCGAACGCTCGAAATTTACATATGACTCTCGCTATCAAGCTGAAGTTGGTCGACATGTTGCACATTACAGAGCTCTGGAGGATATGCAGCTCACCTATCATCGTCCGCAAGGAACTGTGAACATACAAGTTGATCGTGGAGAATTGATACATGTGGAGTATTCATACAAGTATTCTGATTCCGAGATGACCCACATTTTATCGGCTGCACAGCTAGACAAGATCCAGCAATGGCAGTCGAATGAGATCGAGTATGCTTTGGTGCTTGCTGAACGACGTCCATTTAGTTTTACCTGCAACCAGGCGGATGTTCTACAGATGCTTTACCCTGAGGCTCCCAAAACTGATGTTCTCGACTGCCAAGCTTGTAGCAATGATCATGATGTCAAGCATTGTGAGGGTCTCAGCCATGTATCGCTTAACCATGGTTGGCCAAAGTCTCTGCCGTCAGTTTCGGAGTGGATACAGCTTTGGGGAGCTTGGGATCTTGTAACAAGGACTATGTTGGATCATCGCAGCATGCTTTTTGAACGTCCTATAGCACTTCGACACCCATTTATCTTCTATCTTGGCCATATCCCAGCGTTCCTAGATATACAACTTTCTCGCCATGCTGTTGATGATGACCTTAATCAGGGTTCTCCCATGACCAAGCCTGAAAGTTTTGCAACCATCTTTGAGCGTGGTATTGATCCTGACATGGATGATCCAGCAAAGTGCAACCCACATTCTGAAGTACCTGCGAATGATGATGATTGGCCGAGTGTGGAGGCGATTGTTGAATATCAGGAGAAAGTACGTACCCGGCTACAACGTCTATTGCAACATTGGGAGTCAAAGTCGCACCATGGTATGATTTGTGGTGGTCGTAAGGAGCGTGTAGTATGGATGTGCTATGAACATGAAGCCATGCACCTTGAGACTTTGCTTTATATGCTTGTTCAAAGTCCCAACACACGTCCACCACTTTCACCTTACAGATTGAAAAGTACCAAGAGGGAGTTCCTTGATCCAGCACCGTTCACATCGATTCCTGGAGGACAAGTCACTATTGGCCATGATGATCCAGAATCAGCGCAGGATTCCACAGAGTTCGGATGGGACAATGAGCATCCTTCGCGAGAAATGCATGTGACGCATTTTGATATCCAGACACGGCCTGTCACAAATGGAGAATATCTCAAGTATTTGGAGCAATCTTCAAATGCCACAATGCCTGCTTCATGGGTTCACTTGCCTGGATCGACCGAGATAGGTGTTCGTTCTGTATATGGACCACTTCCCATGTCCCAGGCGATGAATTGGCCTGTTCAAGTTTCCCAAGTAGAGGCTGATGGCTATGCGAAGTTTTATGGTATGAGAATTCCTACAGAGGCAGAGCTTATTCGTTTCCGAGTCCATACAGCTGCAAGCTCGCAGCGATGCAAGGTCCCCAACGTTGGATTCAAGGTATGGCATCCCACTGACGTATCCAATGAGCAAGTCCATACGCTTGGTGACGTTTGGGAATGGACATCGACTATATGGGATCAATATGAAGGTTTCGTCCCTTCTACACTTTATCCTGGTTACTCGGCCGATTTTTTTGATGGCAAACATCATGCTGTCATTGGTGGAAGCTGGGCCACTGTACCACGTATTGCTGAGCGTGTCTCGTTCCGAAATTGGTATCAAGCTGCTTATCCTTATGTTTTTGCCGGATTCCGTTGCTGCAAAATGACAACAAACTAGAAACATTAGGAGTAAATGTTTTTTTTTTTGATTTGAATACATATAGCAAGGCCTTTATAAGAATTCAGATAAAGTTTCACTACATGATCTAAAGTATCATATAACCTAAGCCTCCAGTAAACTGTTAAGAACAGTTGTCGTCTCTGCAACCTTTATGATATAAATTTCAGAATCGAGAAAAGCATTTAGCGTTCCTTCTATTATATTTACCTGCAATGCCTGCTTGATTTCAAGGTGTCGGCGAGCTGCTTCAATCCAGTCACATGCCAACCGCTTAGGCCAGCCAGTAAGTTGATTCAATTCACGAGCTGCATTTTCCAGATCACCGTTTTTCAAATAATATCCAGATCTCGCCAAAATAGCCTCGATGTCGTTTCCTTGTACTAAACCTTGCTTGCGGAACATCAGCTTGGCCATGATCATACTGATGATATGGGAACCAAAACCACCATCTTCAGGGACAAGTGCAACTTGTCTGACTTGGTCGGCTACAAGCTCAAATCTGGCCGTCAAATCACGCATGCTTTCCACACCTTCTTCAGCAACCTCTCGAGGAATAGTATCCAAAACCACGCGTAACAATGCGTCGCCTTCGGCACTGCTACGGAATGCTTCAAGTTCGCTCACAAAGCTGACCTTCTGGGGTTTCTCAATCGCATCTTGTAAAGCACCAAAGGTGATATGCATCAAATGTGAAATTCTCGACTTGTCAAGTTCGGCTGCATTCTTCAGTGAGAGGTTTTCCAAAGCACTGAATCGTCCATTGATTGTCTCGAGTTTGCCTAATCGCCCCGCTCTTTCCTTTTCCACAAGATATTTGGCTTGGCGAACAAATTCATCCTTCAACTGAGCAGCCTGGCGTAATAAAGCTTCGGAATGGTCATTCTCCAATCGCTTCTTTTGTGCATCAAGTTCCTGTGCTACAAGCTCTGCAAGCATCTTTCTCATGTTCGTACGTTCTTGTTCATTCTCATTTAAAAGGGTCTCTTCGCTGTCCTGAAGATTGCTGGCTGTTTTAACATGGATGTTCTCAAGGGATTTTGCTGTATCATCCCGATAATTACTGAGGTTGGTGGCGATGGTGTTGGCTTTCGTTTTCAGCTGAATCAAGTCGTTCAAAATCGCACTTCGCTCAAGCCCAAGTCCTTTGTAACTGTTATTGAGATCCTGAAGACGCTCCATTGCTTCTGCCATCATATCTCGTCCTTTATCAGCCAAGTTGGCATCGTTGAGAATAGTCGCAAGTTCCACCAACACTTGGGTTAATTCGTGAATGACAGCATTATCCGAGTTGATCTTTTTGATGATAATGGGTTCAGGTTTCTCGATTGTTGTATCGATTGTTGGAGTTGTACTTGTAGCATCTGTGGTGATGGTAGCACTTCCAGCATCCACCTTGACTGGCTTTTCATCTTTGATCAATGGTGCTTCAGCTTGAACTTGTTTTTGTCCAGTCAGTTTGAGATAGGCATCACTGGCATAATCATATACACCATTGACTGCATTCTGTGCCTGTCCACTGTAATCTTCCACTTGTTTCTTCCACGTCGCAGCTTGATCTCGGTACGCATCAACATCATGTTTGCTTCGGAGGTCTTCAAAGTATCCAAGAAAAGCTGCACCGTGAGGCACATGCTCAACAAATGTATCATGGAAAGCTTTGTCGTTAAGTCCATAATATACGACTCCTCCAGCAGCTGTCGATACAACTAATGCCGTTCCTGCAAGTTTCAAGCCAATAGAGCTCTTGTGCTGTTTTGTAGTAGAACTCGCATATTGCTGTTGTTAATTAGCGATCACGTTGCTAACAGAAACGTCCTTGTTTTACTCACCCTAAAAACGGTGGCAGATGAGCGATTGGCACCAAGAGTTCTGTGCAGTTTCAACGCCTGCAACATTCTTTTCAATTGTCCAAAACCAAGAGCCAAGCTTGTAAGATCGCGTCGTTTGTTTTTTTTATTCCCCCACCCACCCACCAACAACGGTCTTGCTCCGCTCGAAACACTTGCTCCAAAGTAGCAACCAGCTGTCAGCACGTTTTACTCCAATGTACACTTTATTACGACAAACATTTCTACAATTGAAGCTACATCGTAGCTACTCCTCAGCATCGAAGAATGCTTTCAATAAGGAGACGCTTTCGCCTCTTGGAAAACATTTACGCGACTCCATCAAGGTACACCTATAACCTAGTTTCAACTAAAGAACAGTTTTAACATCTGGATACAGCTCACAGGCCCTATGACACTAGCACACTATATGCGACAAGTGCTCGTAAACCCATTGAGTGGTTACTACATGCATGATGATGTGTTTGGATCACAAGGTGACTTTGTCACTTCTCCCGAGATTAGCCAGATATTTGGAGAGGCAAGTGTAACCCTTACCTGTTATCACGTGTGGCTTATGTAATGCAGCTGGCAGGAATATGGTATTTGACAGAATGGATGAGGCTGGGCAAGCCAAAAGAAACACAATTCGTTGAATTGGGCCCTGGTAGAGGCACATTGATGAGCGACATGCTGCGCGTAAGTACTTTGAATAATAGCAATATTCTCAGCTAAAGTATCGTATAGGCACTTTCCAAATTCCCTGATTTTTACAAGACTATCGGCGATGTTCATTTAATTGAAGCAAGTCCAAAGCTGCGAACCGTTCAAAGAGGGATGCTCGCCGAACGATCTACTGAAGAAACAGTTACATCCGTCGTCCGCAGTGATGGGATCAATATTCACTGGCATGATGGCATCGAATTGGTTCCTGGTAAGATATGGTTTAAATGTGTCCTGATCACAACTCTAATTACGGCATAGATAAATGGACTTTTCTAATGGCCCACGAATTTTTTGACGCCCTTGCCGTCCATTGCTTTGAGGTAACACAAACATCGATGTTGAGTCTGTTACGGATATGAATTAGGTCTAAAACACTTTGCTGATGTCAGAAAACCGAGGAAGGTTGGCGCGAGCTACTTGTTGATATTGATGAAACCGAGGATAGGTATGTGCTGGTATTGGTTATATTTATGCGGCTTATTGAACAATGGTAACTGTAGTACGCGTAACTTTTGCTTAGTACGGTCGTCTACACCGACAGTGGCAAGTAAAGCGTTCATGGAAGGAGAGGAATATAATCAATACAGCGTTGGCAGTCGCGTTGAAATCTCCCCTGACAGCTGGAATATTAGTCGTCAAATGGCGGAATTTCTGCAAAGAAATGGTGGAACAGGCTTGATCATCGATTATGGTCAGGACTATGCTCAAGGGTCTACTGTAAGAGTAAGTGAGAAGAATATGCATTTCATTTCCAAGCTTGGCACGCTGACAATCATTTAAGGCCATCAAAAAACATGAAATAGTTCATCCTATGAGTGATCCGGGAAGTGCCGATCTTAGCGCTGATGTAGACTTTGCAGCTCTCAAGCAAGCAATGTTACAATATCCTGGTAATTGAATGCTATCGATATGTTTGATTACTGGCGATTAACCGCTCTCTCGTAAAAGATGTCAAGACATTTGGTCCAGTCACACAATCAAAGTTCTTGCAAAATCTGGGGATACAAGCCCGTACCGAGATGTTATTGAAGCATGCAAAAACCCCTGAAAGCAGGATGAATGTTGTCAAAAGTGTGCAACGGCTTATTGATCCGGCAATGATGGGCAGAATCTACAAGGTCCTTGCGTTTTCAAAGGAGCATACTCCTTCTGCAGAGACAAAACCCGTTGCATTTGAGTAAAATAGTATGTTGCCCTTAGAAGTCATTTATTATTATTGAGCATTGATCGGTATAGAAAGCATTTACAATAAATTCCTTGAGAACGTACTCGGCATACGTAAATACGTCACCCAAAGTGGGATATCTTCTTTCCTTGAGGTCAGGCAAATCAAGGGGATCGTGTTCAATGGCTTCCTTGGCCCACGCAATTGGATCAATGCTGATCCTTTTGGAGACGCTCTACCAAGTGTTTTGGGTTATATATGTACGGCTGACAGTGTTCACCATCATCATTGTTGCTGGTGGTCAATGAGAAAGGTTCCAAATATTATGGTGATGGTTCCTCTTCTTCCTCTAATGAATCGCGATCAATAACTAATACTGGTTGCTCATTTTTATCGAATGAATCAGACCATCTGTATCAGAATAATGACTGCTCCACCCTAGAGGAGAACAAGGTTGCTCGGCATCTCGTTCCTTGAGGATGTAAATGGCGTCACGTGGCACATTTTCCTCGCTGGATGTCCGAAGTTATCCATATCAGCTGTCATGCAGTAAGAATTTACTAGGTAATCGATATCTCAGTACGACTTCGTCCGCTCTTCGCGAAGTTTCTTTTTCATCACATCCCAAACCAAGAGCAAATTCGAAGAATGGACAGCCCATTCCACTATTTAGAATCGGATCAGGATCCTCTAGCGATAGCAGCACAACATGACTTGAAAACAGCAACGCTTGATGTGAACAGTTCAACCGGTCGACAAGAAGAGCCACTCTTTACAGCCAATATCATTGCTCTTGGAAAAACAGGAGATGGTAAATCCAGCCTATTAAACGATATGCTAGGCTACGACGCATTCCATCGTAAGCGTTCTGTGAAAGTGTGTGTGTATATGCAAGGTGTTACTACTCGATTGGAACTAAAAAATGATTCTAGTCGCAAACTGCGCAAATCGAGCAAGTATGCGGGTTCTGGAAACCACTTGAGCCACATTGTCCCAAGAAAACGACTTTTGGATGCAGCGTCAAAGTGGTCGACACACCAGGTTTTGGAGATTCGGAGCTTCGTGATCAAGAATTTTCGCCTGCAATACAACAAAAGATGGTGGATATGGCATCCACGGATGGTATTCACTGTATCTTGATGGTATTCAAAGTATCAACAAGGTAAAACAGCTCTCATCGTAAATATTGTGCGTTCACTCACTTACTATTGCCTAGCGAGGACAATATCATGCTGTGCCTCTGCAGGCTCTCCGACATGCTGGGTTCTTATGGCGATTTTTGGAGTAATGTCATACTGATTTTCACGCATGCCGATACCAGCACGGTCCATCTTTATCGGAGCCATAAGGTAGCACTCAAGACAAAGGTGGGCCCAAGGATCAAGGAATATTTTAATCTTGATCAAGAAATTCCCATGGTGTTCCTGAGCACTCAGAAGCATGTCTGCAGCTATCTCAAAGGGTCTGCGGACTGTGATTGTGTAAGCGGAAATCGCTATCATGCGGATTGTCGAAGGCGATTTTTTGAACAAGTTTGGCGCAGGCGTAATATACCCTTCTTCATCGATTTACATGGAGGGACCCTAGAAAGAACGTCAAATACAGAATAAACTCATGTACTTTAACCAAGCTAACAGCATTTGCCTCTACGATTCTTGTCTAATTGACTATGTATATATACAGCCTCCAGGCACAGTCATGCAATGGAGTCCCCTTTTTCTCTCATTATCCAGCACTTTCTTGCTTGGTGTGCAAATTCAGACGTTATATATTGTATTTAGAAGCTTAGCTTAGACGTATAGTATATGCCATGAAAAAGCAAGAACACCAGAGACACATGTTGCTGTAATCAGGGATTCAACTCAGACAAGCCCAAGATACAGTTTCTTTAATACTTCAAAAGTGACGTGTTTTATACGTGTCATTGTGATAAGTATACGTGCGCTAAGAATATAGGATTGATATTGAATACTCACCTTGAGTGTGAAGTACATGTTTCTTTCGTATATGAAGCTTCGTGTAAAAGAGAGGGGTTGTATATGTGTGTGTGCGAAAGTCCTTCAGCTCAAACCGTCAAGTCAGGTGATCTTGGACATTTCAAAACTCCTTCAAGCCTTCCTTGTGACGGTTCAGTGGTTAAATGAAAACTAGCTGTGCTCGTTGTTGCTCGAGGTGCATACCATAATGTGTGATCACAATCGGTCTGCCATAAAGACGGTCTTCACTGGCTCGTTAATTGCTGGTATTTCACATGACTACTTGACCAATGTCGCTGAAAAACTGAGAACATATGTTAGCATTAGCAGGTGGCACTGTTGGCGCCACTGCTGCCGTTCTGACCAACGCACCCGTAAAGCAATATGCCCTAAGCACTTCGCTCAACTGTGGCATGTTTAGTGCTACCTTTCTAAGTACATCTTAAATGATATGGAACAAGACGCAGGGAAACTAATATTCATTTACTCAGTTATCCGCAAAACCTTTGTCGACTACAACCACAGCAAATATGGGGAGCATTTGCCATCCCTTTCCAAAGCATCACAGAGGAGCGATTTAATAAATAGTACCTTGGCTGGTGCGACTACAGGTGGCCTCTTATCAGCGGTTTATCGTAAGTAATACAAGCGAATTATAATGTAGGGGCTGTAACATACATACTTAATTCTTTAATAGGCGGCCCAAAGGGTGTTATTCCAGGAGCTATCATTTTTGGAACTATTTGTGGAGTGTTTCAAAGCATGTATTCAGCTGGTAACCAATGGCGTCAAAATGCGATCATCAAGGCCAACAGTGACCGGTTGAATCCTTCACCATCCACGTCAAAAAATGTATTTGAAGAATTCTCTCTACCAAGCTGGGTGCCGATACGGACAATATCTGACGAAGAGTACAGTGAGTTATTAGATACCAGATTAAAGACTTTAGACGATGAAATGCGTGATATTGAGCACAAGCTAAAACAAAAAAAGCAAGACAACTGATAAACGCAGCATCATTGCATAATATATTGAGTCTTTTTTATAACGTAAATCAACTACTTCCAAAGCTTCTTAAGACTTGTGTTTGCATCAGAATCTTTCTTCATGACCTTGGCGACCGCCATCTCAAAGTCTTCTTGAGTAACATGCACACGTCGTTCACGAAGAGCAAACATGCCGGCTTCAGTACACACGGCCTTGACCTCTGCACCACTGCTACCTGTCATTTTCTCTGCTATCTTTCGCAAGTTGATTCCACGAGTGAGATTCATTTTCCGAGAATGGATCTTCAAGATATCAGCACGAGCCTATGTAGGAAAAGATGTATATGGTCAGTGGTCAAATGATAAGTTCCAGAATAAACCACTTACTGCTTCACTTGGTGGGGGGAATTCGATCTTACGATCAATGCGGCCGGGGCGAAGTAAAGCAGCATCCAAAATATCTATGCGATTGGTGGCCATGATGACCTTTTTATCATGAATTAGCACATGTGATCATAAGCAATCGCTGGAAGGAATACCTTGATGTTCTTCGAAGGCTCAAAACCATCCAATTGATTCAGCAATTCAAGCATTGTACGCTGGACTTCAGAGTCACCACCACCACCACTTTCCGAACGAGCTGAACCGATTGAGTCAATTTCATCCATGAAAATGATTGACGGAGCATGCTCTCTATAGTGGCATATGTTAACGCGTATCCAAAATAGTATACATACTTTCAACATACCTGGCCATTACAAAGAGTTCACGAACCATACGACTACCTTCACCGATATACTTTTGTACAAGTTCCGAGCCTGAAACGCGAATAAATCGACAATCGGTATGATGTGCGACTGCACGTGCCAATAGCGTCTTGCCAGTTCCAGGAGGACCATAAAGCAATACACCCTAGCCAGTGTTTGATAAGTTATATTGCTAGGGAAAGACCTATTGGATCTTACCTTCGGCTGCGCAATACCAAGAGATTCAAAGAGCTCTGGATGTTTCACTGGTAGTTCAATCACCTCCTTGATTTCTTTGATCTGCTGTTCCAAACCGCCAACCATCTCATACGTCGAATCAGGTACTTTCTCTACCATCATCAGCGACACCAAAGGATCGACTTTGTTTGGCAATATTTTGTGCAACTGGTAAGAGTCATTCCGTAAAGCAACGCGAGTAGTAGGAGTCAACTGGGAAACATCGATATCGGATGCGAGATCAACAACATATTTGCCTTCAGGATGAACCTATAACAACAGCAATCTTAGTTGTTGCACTTTGGATTGGAATTCTTCTCCCACTATTATTCTTACCTTAACCAGAACTTTTTTCTTGCCCATGACTTTAACGACTTCGCCCACATATGATCCTGGTTCCTGTAAAAGTTGAAGCTCTTCTTTCAGCAAACGCACTACACAATAGAAACGATCAGTTATGGCCCAGATGCCGCGTAATATTGGTGAGCCTGCACCTTTAGCGTTCAAAGCATTTCTTTGTGCTTGCAAACGTCGAAGATCTTGTGCTTTGTCGTTAATGACAAGCTCGCATTCCTCAATTTTAGCTTGATAGTAAGGCAAAACACCAGACTTTGGTTGTAGCATGCTGTGTAATAGTTGGTGAAGGTGGACAAATTGCGCGTCCTTTTGCTGGGATATCCTACGAGCTGAGAATGAATATTTTAGACGGCAGCATTTGGCTAACAAACCAAACTCAGCACCTCCATTTTATCCATTCATATGCTACACTGCTTTGCATTTGAAAATACAAAAGGTTTCAATGCAAAAGGAAAAAAGTACAATTTTTGGAATGCGCAATACACATTCAGGTAGCTAAGTAAAATCTTTGGGTTCTTGATATAAACGTTGGTCTAGCAGTACAGGCTTCTGACCTGCTGGTACAATCGATATAATGCACACAATACAGAATAAAGTAGTATTGCAGCAATGCAAAAGCCTGCTGAAGAAAATGGCATCCATATTAATGTTTTGAGCTACATTAGAGGGTAACTTTGAAAGAGAGCATTATTAAAGTAGGACAACACTCGGCTTTATCGCTTTAACTTGGAAATGATGTGTGTGCTGCATCCGCATGTCTTTTATGTCACTATACCAGAGTAATAATGGTTGTCACGTTCTTGAATATGCGCTGATGTGATACATGTATTGGATATAGCTTTCTTTTATATGCAAGTCATAATGGAACAACTGGTCTTCTGGAAGTTGGCGCCCAAGTAAACAAGCCAATAATAAACGTTTCTCATCACTGTCATTGGGCTCTAGTTACCAGTGTCTACAATGTCTACTTATTTACTTTGCATTAAGTACGGCATCAATTGATACACCCATTATCACCAATCTCATAATCCACAGATACTAGTCAAGACATGAAAAATGAGCAAGAAACAAAAGACCGGTGCATGTACTATAAGAGATTAAGTCAAGCATATCTAGTAGAGAAAGAATAGAGAAGACTAACTAAGGAACATTTATACACTTGTACGCATCACATCCATCACTCCAATAGTGTTCCAAAAGAAGAATATCTCATAGTGAAATAGACATAATATATTTGAGTCATACAATAAACTTCTAGGTTAAAGATATTCTGGTATTATATGTAATCAATGTACATGTCAAATGTCGTGCTGTAATCCTAATGATCAGACGAGCGATTCACCTTGCAATCTTATGTTTAATACATTGATCAACGAGGTATATTGACTAGTGATATATAATAAGCTTGGTAAGCTATGTCAAGTATATGTTGGATGTCTGGTATTTCTCACATCGCTGCCAGAAGAACGAGCACGACTTCATGATGATATGAAAGCTGAAGTCGGGAATGAAACCGGATGCAAGTCAGCAGCAAGGCCTAAGTCTGAAAACCCTGCCATGTGAGTCGACGTGGAATAAAAGGGGGTCGTCTATACTAAAACACGTACCCAATGGTCTGCTGCAACAATAGTATATGAAATGGGAACCTCAAATTGGATCTCAAAAGCACAATATGGGGAGCTCAAAGGATAACAAGAATAGCGTATGATGCAGTGAGGAAAAAGGATCACCATAGAAATATTAGAAACATCTCAATAAGAATAAAGCTCGCTACACTATAAGAAAACACGCTCACACTCACAAGCAGGATCCCAAACTAGGTCTCTCTGAAATAAGAAGCTCACTACTGATACTTTATTCAAGAATGTGGATATCTATACGTTTTTACAAGATAATATTGGGACTGTGGGATGGGGGTGTGTTCATGTTGACATAGGTGGCTTTAACGAGGGAAGGTGATGTGGGTCGCTTTCGTCCGGGTTGCGGAGTTACATGGTCATTGGATCCTCCACCACACATGAATGACTTGTTTCAGACTGCAGGAATTTGACTTTTTGTTGTGGGATACGCAGTTGAATTTCCTTGCTGTTGTTCATCTCTTGAGCAAAAGACGAGGGAATCCATGGGCTGGCGAAGATTTCCCGCGAACCCATGGTATGCCTGTGTGCTTAATTGCCCGGTTGGCGTCCCAAGTGAAGTGACAGTTTGTTCAGTCCTTTGGGTTGTATGGCTATCATGGTAGCGCTGCGTCTTTTTCACATTCAATCGTCACGGTAGCTCTAATAACATTGTAGGTTGATTACATAGGTTGGTTGTATCAATCTCGCGAAAGGTCATTCATGACGAGGGAATCCATGGGTCGGCGATGATTTCCCGCGGACCCATTGTATGCCTGTGTGCTTATGCCCGGTTGGCGCCCCAAGTGAAATGGCAGTTTTGTACAATCCGTTAGGTTTGTATGGCTGTCATGGTAGCATTAGTCATGATGACCATATCCCTACTCAAAGTAATTTGTATGACTGGTGCTGTATCTGGTATGACCACAAACGTGATAACAATGTACTCTACGAAAACCGCTGTCGAAGTGTAGGTAACGACATATCAGGTCTTTATCATTCAGCATATGTTTCGGTCGGCAAACATACAGCGCCTTTATCAATATCCGCTGCACACCATGGGCCCATATCTCGATCATACCATTCTGCAAGGAAGTTCTCGTGCAAATATCCAATGACTCGCATTATCAACACAATGAAGGGTCTTATTAAGATTGGGTCATCTTTCCATGTTGTATAATACCACACGCTTGAATTAATAAATGATTACCACGTAATATCACTCCTGAAAAAGGATGGGTCTTGTGATTCTATAAAGGCATTGCATCCTGTTGAGTCACACTTGTACCAGTTTAAGCATACATATACCTTCTCTACTTGCGTAAAATAAAACTTATCTTCACCCTGAGAGACTTTTGATTAGGACCCACTGGGACTAGGCTGAGATTTGATCATGATAGCAGTTTGCTGGTTGCCTTGATCGTAGCATATAATTCATCCCTTGTTTATTGATGCTTAACCAATATCAAAAGTAGTAATCTTGCACATAAGGATTTATATATCTTTGTCGTTGAATAAGGGAAAGTAGCTTTCTTGTTGCCTGAATCACGTGCATAGGTCAAGTTGGGATCAACCAAAGTCAGACGACGATCCGGTTCCACGTTGGTAATTAGTATTCGTCTCTCCTTTACGTATCGTTGTTGGACACAACTAGCCTGTTCGCCTGTTACTTGTCCTTGTTTCAGCTTCCTCTTGTACAGAACCAATTTCAATTTGTACGTTTGACGAAGCTGTCTCCTCTGAAGACAAACGTCGACAATGGGCTCCATCTTAGCTTGAATATCCTTTTTGTGTTCCTGCTCCTCTTGACGACTCCAAAGGCGCCGAATGCAGCCATAGTACCAAACATGCCACCAGCAAACCAAGACTCCACATAAGCTTGCGTAGCTACACTTTGCTATGGTGTCGAATACTTTAGGAGGAAAGTCAAAACGATTGTTTGGGTTCCAAGCTGTGCATCGTCATCTATCTTCCACAGGTACTTGTTCGAGCATATCCAGCCATGTTTCACTCAATTTGTAAATGTTCGAGTGAATGTAGGATGTGAATAGTGATGTTGTCAATCAGATGGAGTGGATGTTGTGAGTTGGTGGTGATTGTATCGTGCAGGGTGTCAACCACTTACGTCAGTGATGGAGATAGTCGATGTTGTAGAAACAATAAACATTGTCGCCTTGGATCCCATTTCACAATATCCGAAAGTAGATATCGTAGTGGCAGGGATGGGCATTGAGCATGACCCCTTAAAAGGTGATTTTCGTAGGCGCGAGATCTCGTCCCGCGAGAAATTATGCCGACCCGTACCGCCTACGCTAATCACCCTACCGCCTGCAGTGGCCGTACTGGAAAAGACGCCCTAAGCCATAACTTTACAATGAAGCATGGGGCTCTTATTAGAACGAAGTTGTTCGGCGTGTCTGGAAGTAGCTAGTGAGTAAGTGTCAGGTTCGTGGTGGGCAATCAGGGATTTAGCAAATGTCGCCATCAGCCAAAAAAAAATTTTTTTGGACGTCGAAAAAAAAGGTGATGGGGTGGAGCTGGATGGGGGAATTTTAGAATCGTCGTTGTGAAAGTCCATGTTCACAGACAAGGAAGTTTCGAGCACGACCAGCAAGTTTTCTCATGACTGGCCACGATTGATGGTAAAAAAAAAGTTTTGGCGAACTCTATGTTTTTCGCTTTTAAGTGGTTCCATGGTCACGTGGTCACCTTTTCGACCCACATCGGTCAAATGTACCCGGCAAAATATAGAGCCGTCTTTGTTACACAAGGCCCAGACCCAAAAAAAATTTTGTTTGCATGGACCCCAAACTCAAAAATATTGCAGCCTCAAAATTTTTTGGTGGCATGGTAGTCGGCTTGATATAGGGGTACAAAACGCCCGCTGGGTAAAAGTACAATACGTCGGTGGGTTAACCCACCGACGTTATGTGCGAACTGGGCTGTACACAAATCGTCACCCGATGGTTGAATATTTAGACGGTTTTCGAGGCTAAAAGTACGCATTAGGAAGCTAAAGCTCCATTTTAATTACTTATAATAATATTTAGGCTTAACGTGTATCCAAGATCTTCCTTTCTATAAAATTGATGCAATAGTGTGAGTCAAAGGCATATGTAGGAGACCCCTTTCTAGAGTTTAATATCACGTTTAGTCCTCAAAGATGACCACAGAGGTGATTTATACGTATTTCATAACATCTTGAGGTCGCTTTCACACATTTCATGACGTTTTGCGAGTTTCAAAGGAAGGATTTATTTACAAATACCAGTTTAGTGCTGCATAGCTGACGTAATGTAGAAAATTAGAAATATTGAAAATATTCTTGTCCCGTTGTAGATATCACCTTTGATGAAACAAATGAAAAAAATAATACATCCGATACAATACATTGGTTGATTAACCCGCCATCTTTATGTATTCTTTACACCGGGAAAATACTTTACTCACCGAGCGTTTTGTATTTTATACTCACCGAGCGTTTTGTATTTTATACTCACCGGACGTTTTGTACTCCTATGTCAGCCAATTTTCAATTTGTTTCATCCCAGCTGCAGGTCCACAAGTTCGCCTGACCCTGGCATGCACTAACATTTACCCGGGGTTTTTTGTACATGTATCGTTGGCGTTAGACGAAGGCAACGACTCGATGTATTAGGTTCTTTGCATCCTTTTCCTCCACGTGATCACTGCACTGCTGTTACCAGTTACCATGATTTCTCGCAAGGCGAAGAGACTAAGAGATCACATTCTCACAACTATATGACTTGACTTGCCTCTGACCACTGTGATGCCTTAGTCAAAGCTGACCACAAGGACTGCTTTTATAATTGTAAACAAATTTTCAGTTGCGGTCGACTTGCGATTTGTCGAGAAAAAGAAAAAAATTCGCTTCTGTGGGGACAAAGGGACATGTTTCATATCTTCTCGGATCATCTTGGGTCACTAACCAAAGTTGTAGAACAAGAGCGGTTTTATAGTTGGGTTTTCAATTTGAAGGGTGGCTGACATGTAGAACGCTGAGAACTGAGTAACAGAAGTTCATATGGGAGAGATCACGTGCTCAAGAGGTACAGGACTTCACTTGCTTCTGACGGCTGTGACTTCTTAGTCAATGTTGACCACAGTGGCTGCTTTCATGATCGCAAAACAAATTTCAGATGCGGCCGACTTGTGACTTGTGGAGAAACAAAGAAAAAATTCGCTCGTGCGGGGGCAAAGGGACATGTTTCATACCTTCTCTGATCAACTTGCGATATTATCCAAAGTACAAAGGAGATGAAAATCCTGATGCCTATTAAAAATAGTCAACACTTGCATACAAAAAAAAAATGAAAAAGGTATCCTGTGTAATCAAAGTGAAACCCGCTTGGCATGATCAGCCTTCCCATCTATAACCCAGTGGCCAGTGCCAATGGTGATGCCAGAGAATAGAAATGCAGCCCAGTCCCAGCCGGCATGTGAGATCTCGCGAGACCGAGACGAAATTGAGGATGACATCCCGTCCCGCTTTCGAGTTCTCGTGCATCTCGTTGGAAGGGAGAGAGAATGCGGTAATCCTACAAGCTTGCTGTTATTTCACCTGATATATATACAGCAGGTCGTATACATGCAACCCTTGTTAATTGTTCATGAATGCTATCACTCTGATAATAAAAGTCGAGAACCCAGTTCTATCCTTATTATTTTCCTCACTTTTAATGTTCTTCACTCCCACTGATTCCTTTCGAGTATAAATAAAGGCCACATTTACAAAAAAAAATCATCTGAAGGCTCATGTTTGCTACCAAAGGACACGCGCAGTCTGGGCTTTAATAGAAGGTGGTGCAAATGGCAATGCTCACTAAATCCCGTACAGAGTTGCAAAGGGCTTTTTTCAACTGGTCGAGAATTGATATTGGAATGCGATGTACAACTATTATCAGCGATCGAGTACTCAAAAATTCGGTCGTGTTGCTCCCATCAGGATCGATGCGGTCTACAATTCGCCGTTTCCTAACACCATCGCTTCAGCCCTCAATCGTTGGATCAACCTGGGTGCGACCCATTCCAGCCCTTGCCTTATCAAAAATACGAGTTTTATGTGTTTTCCCATTAAACCATGATGTGAATCATGAGCGCCTTGTTTTAATCCAACCGAAAAGAGTACAAAATGAACTTGTGCCAGCGACATCATCCACAGTACCTCCGAAAGGGTTGCTTCACCAGTTGACAAGGTCTTTGGACGCGTATTTGGTAGAACCACTTCTTACTTTACGCCGCTTGATCCACATTGTCATACTCTTTGCACCAGTAATGTTAGCGGTGCCTCTCTTAATCTTGGGTCCACGTGTACGGGAAGAGGAAAATGAACGATGCGGAGCACTTTGGTGGTTTGATTTATTGGCTGCCCAAATGGAGCGCGCCGGACCTACATTTATCAAGGTGACTTGTCAGTCATTGATGTCGGTTTAAACAGCATGATAATTAATGATTGTGAATAGCTTGCCCAATGGATTGCTTCAAGGACCGATCTTTTCCCCCATGCTCTTTGCATACGCCTATCAAAGCTCCATTCACACGTCGACCCTCATCCTTTTTCATATACAAAGCAAGTCCTAGCAGAAGCTTTTGGGAGGGACCTTCAAGAAGTATTCAGCGAGCTACAAGAAACACCGCTTGGAGTTGGAGCGATAGCACAAGTATACAAAGCGAAAATACGCCCAGACATCATCCTCCGCTATATGCGTGACCAGTTTGTTATACAAAACAACGTTGTCACCTCAGATTGTGTGCAGACACTGGATTGTGATGGTAAACCTGTCAACATACATACAACTGTCGCAATTAAGGTTTTGCACCCAAAAGCCAGGGAGATAGTGGATCGAGATCTTAGAATTTTGGATTTTCTCGCCAGCGCGTTGACACTGATACCTACCATCCACTGGATATCGTTACCAGAAGAAGTGAAGGTGTTCGGAGAAATGATGCGCGATCAACTAGATCTACGCGTTGAGGCAAGAAATCTACAAAGATTCAACGAACAATTTGGTGGCTCTAACCAGGTGACGTTTCCACAACCGGTTCTTGCATTCACGACAAAGGATATGTTGATCGAAGAGTTCGAAAATGGAATACCGCTTAATGTGTTTCTAGAACAAGCAGCTTATGAAAGAAAACACGCTGAAACACATGCTGTGTATGATCGAAAGATTGCAAATATAGGTAAGTTCATGCACCTCCATCATGTCGAAATCTGATTGATTCTTTTAGGCTTGAAAACATTTCTGGTATGTATAATCTGCTAATGGGTCTTCTCGTTATTGATACCTTCAATAGCATATGCTGATAATTCACAACTTCGTGCATGCGGATTTACACCCAGGCAATATCATGGTCAAATTTTACAAACCATCAGCACATAATCCCATTCAGCGAGCATGGTCTAAGTTATCGGGCCATTACACAGAGGATGACGGCGACGTCGCAGTTGAACGGATACTTGCCGTTCGTGGAGACCACGAAGAAATTCACAGAGAACTCGGCGCTCTCAATGATGAAGGTTATTCGCCTCGTCTAATTTTCATTGATGCGGGCTTGGTAAACGAGTTGAACGATGTGGACCGTATGAACTTTCTGGATCTCTTTCAAGCCATTGCTGAATTTGATGGGTATAAAGCAGGAGAATTAATGGTGGAACGATGTCGAACACCTGAGCTTGTGATCGAACCTGATGTTTTTGCATTACGCATGCAAAATCTTATACTCGGTTTGAAGCAGAACACTTTTAAGTTAGGCGCTGTTAAGATCGGCAATCTACTCCATAATGCGATGAATATGGTTCGTGCACACCATGTCAAGCTGGAGGGAGACTTTGTCAACGTTGTTGTAAGCATCATGTTGCTCGAGGGTATAGGCCGTCAGCTAGATCCAGACCTTGATCTATTCAAAAGTGCGCTTCCTGTGCTTCGGGATTATACCATCAAAGATCGTGGCAAAGCAGCAATTGAAGGTGTGAAGGATGTCCAAGCACATGGAAGTGCTCCACATTGGGTAAAAGTATGGATGTTCTTGGAGCTCCGTAACTGGTTATTTCGAAATACCCGTGAAGAGGAATGGCTAAAAATGTGGTAAGAGGCAATGCAAAAAGTAACGTTAAAAGATACTGATAGGACTGCTTAGTGACATCCTTTGCTTCAACAATTAATCCATGCTTGGTAAATTAGATAAACTTGTTAATGTAGTATAAGATATGATTTATGGAGCATAATCAACGTTTATTTTCTTCCCAACAAATGAAAGTGTGGTGATGGAAGTTAAAAGATAACTGGGTTGTTTGTTAAATTTTCAGGGCATCTTTCCAAACTACATGGACAGAAGCATCGGTGGCAAAGGCCGAAGATTCTGGTAATAAATTACCACTGTTCTGATTTACCGGCCATTCAGAAATGAAAACGTCAGCGGTTGTGTTTTCCCAAGTGTAAACCAGCATGTGAACGCTGTTACGATGTTGAAGTAACTGGTCCGGCAGATAAAAGTCGTGCTGTGGGCTGTCACCATTACCATAATATCGTGCAATCAATGCATTGTTCAGAAATACAAACGCAGTGAATGAACCGTTCAAATGCATACGTAACGGCATGTGCATGTTGGTAAGTCGTGTATGCTTGAAATTGAATTGCACCCACTGAGCACCTTGGGATGTACTGAGCACGAATTGATTTCCCTCTCCTGTATCAACTTCCATTGGTGCCCATTCATTGCTTGGTGTAAGCTCATCGGGAAATCCGGTTGAATTGTATGGGTTCGAAAGCTCACGGGTATCAGTTCCTGTTATCTTCCATGCCGGTTGTTGTGAGACGCCACTTAAATGCACCTTGATAATTCCACGAGGATTCCGTACATCATTCATGATAAACGCCTGTCGATTAAGACCGAAGTTGTCAACCAGTACAACCAGCGTATTAACGCTGTCGTCTGACAAATATTGTGTAAGGTCATAGGTGCGTGTGCCCAAGAACCATGGGTCGGGTCCGATCTTGGCTCCTGCTGAGAAGAGTTGCCGTGAATAGGTTGTATGACCACCAACCACATGTCCATTGACGAGTACTGTTGCACGATGCCGGATGTTGAGAGATAACTTCACATTGCGGCCGATAGGTGTATCAAATGCAGTGCTGTAAAGAACGTGTCCACTGAGATAATGGTAATCCAAGGCTTCAAAACTGAGCTTTCCATTTTCTAACTGCTTTAACGGATGCCACTGCATATCAAGAAATTTCACTGTACGAGCTTGCCAATTACTAAGGGCAGTGTGTATTGGGGCTGGCAATTGTTGTTGATGATGGAGTTCAGTTACGTATACATAAGGCATGCTGTAATACAGTCCTCGTTTCGGTCGAGCAAGACGCTTGTCAGCTGGAGGCGAAAACGAAACAACGTGAAGATCACGATCTTGCTGACGGTAGTTAACATCCAACTGCTGGGTTTTTTGATCATATACCATCGTGTCGGTCCCCCATGCAATAAATCCAGGATATCGCTTTTTGCCCTTTGTCCAATAAGGATCTTGGAAGTCAGCATAAAGCGTGCTGACTTGGGCTTTAGTCAAGCCAATAATATATAAATTGCCTGTTTCCGATCCGATCTTTGTCCAACCGCTTTCTTTTTCAAATTTCAATATATCTGCAGGTCCATCTCGTCGTAGAACGTCATCTTGCATATTCCCAGTGATATACATTTGCTTATGCTCAAAGGCCAATCCACCAAACTGATTCGGTTCGATGATCCAAATTTCTTCAGTTTGATCTTCGCTCAACATTCGCAGATGGATAGGCACAGTAGCTTGCAGAAGTACCAGGCCATTAGCAGCTTTGTAGTTGCCAACAGATATGAATGCATGCTTGTATGGGAGGTAACAACTCATTGTAAAATTGCCGGCCGACGACTGTACTTGCATATCAAAAAGGTCGATCTTTTCGGTATTGAAGTTGCGGAAAAAAGTGAAGAGGACTGGATTATCTACGTCGCGTGATACACGTTGGTTGCTTATCGTTCGTTTGATTGTCGATTTGATGGTGCGCTTAGGGAGTCGATCTGTACGCGTAAAATATGGATCGAAAGAGCGTGCAAATAATATAGTCTCACGTAAACGGCGACCACGCATCGATAAATAACCGTACTCACGAATACAAGCTGAATAGTCGTAAGAAGTGTAGACGTCCCTACAAAGACATTAAATGTCAATCGATATACTGTAGCTTTATATCTGTGGTTATTAACTTACGGATCTCCGAGCGTGCCCCAGTTCGTTCCACCATAAACCATATACAAGTTCGTCATGGATACGCCTTGAGCCAATGCAGATTCCACGATGTCCTTGGTATATTCGTCACCGTAAAAATCGTAAATCTGGTCGTATGTATGACCAAGCTGATAATGATTAAACCAACCACCTTGTAGTTCAGGGATAAATAAAGGTGACTATGTTTACAATATGTTATAAGCTTCGAATGAAATACCGTTTACATATTCATTCAACTTACCTCTTTAGCACCTCCTCCAAATGCACGCACAGTCTTTTCCAATCGATCCATTGAGCTTGCCATATGCTTTGTACTCCACTCTTTCCAGCCACTGGTAGAATTCCCGGTATCAATAAGCCAACTAGTGGGATCACTCGTGGGGGGAAACACTGTATACAAATGCCGTTTATCATTAGATGCAAGGAAATGGTGAAGAGATAAGGGCACGTACCGACATATTTGTCAAAGCCGTATAGATCCAAACCGAAAGCAGAGGTCGACCAAAATCCTTTTCGAGATTCGAGTTCTGGTCTAGCTACCCAGCTACTTTCTTCGAACCCGTCGTTGCTGAATAAAGGAATTGTGATGCCTGCGTCACGTGCAGCTTTGGCAAGCACGCGCATTTGATCCCGTAATCCGATTGGTAAGATAGCAGCCATTGTTTCAAAAAGTTCATTGTCCAGTTGAAGGGCTAACACGCATCCTCTTTTTGATCGTTGGTTTTCTGTAATTTGATGCCTGGCAATAATCGGGAGGATATGATTCAACCATTCAATCTCATACTGTGCAAATTCTTCATCATAGGTACGCCAAAGCATATATTGAGCATGTCGGACGCGTAAGTGACGCTTCGCGATAAGCCAGCCAGGGTAGCCTCCTGCTTGCGTCTCAGCACAAATATAGGGACCAGGTGCAGCTAAAACATACAATCCAAGGTCCTCACAGAGATCAAGCAAATATTCGATGTCACGGTTGCCTTCAAAGTTGTACTCTCCCTCCTGCGAAGAATGATATCCCCAGTGGAAGTAAATGCGTATTGTATTCATGCCCATCGATTGATATTGCTTGAGTATGTAGGACCATCGTTCACGGTCAGGTACTCTCCAATAGTGAAACTCTCCAGAAAAGATCATTGTCGGTTCGCCTTCCACATACAATGCGTATTTATCCCAATCAAGTACATTGTGATATTGTGCACGATCGTAGGCTACTGAGCTAGTCGTAATGTCGAGAGTGCCATAAGTGCGCTGATGGCAGTAAATGGCAATAGCCGATAGTATTACAGGCAATATTGCAACTATCGAAAAAAGTGCTGAAGACATATCATGAAGATAATATGAAAGAAACGCGTACATACACACTAGTCCGATAAACCCCAAAAAATTGGGCTGGGTTTAGGCGACGCAGGATCTCTCTCTTTTTTTCGCGCCCATGTTAATTATAAGAGTTGTAGAGTATTAGAGCTTCGATGCTCTAAAACGTCAAGTTCCAAGCTAATGTAAGTATGACGGTGGGACGTCTTCTTTGTTATCCTGTGGATGAGAGCCGACCTTGTCATCATATAATAGGTCTTCATCATCGTTTCTTTTGTCTACACTCATAATTAAAGTTAAACTATTACATGATTAGTCATATACTGCTGTGATCGCATTTACAAAGCTTGAATTGGTAGCAGCGATATAATGTATAGGTTGGCTAATGATGGATGATAATCTCGCGCGATCCAATCGTGCATCGTAACTTTGACCAAGCCAACATTTTATAAGCCGATTGACGCAATCTAGAGGTAAAAGACTCTATTTCCGGCTTCTTAATTCTTAATCACTGAGCACGGATTATCACGGAGGACTTTGCTTTTGAAGGGAGGATAACCCGTTGCGATAGGATCGCCTTTGCTGAGCTTAGTTGATTCAGGTTATTTCCAGGTTGAATGAAAGTAAGGATATGAACATTGCTGTAAGGGAAGGACTGTCAAATATCCCAATTCAATGGCTGGTACATCGTTGGCCGACTAAAGTTGGTTTTCAATGAAGCAGAAACGTTGTTAAGAACTGCGGGTGTGTAGAGTAGAATGGGCAAGTGGATAAAGGGATTGATCGGAGTTCAAGTGGAATGTGGATCACGGTGGATGGTGTAATAGTGTGCGAGTGAGCAGCAGACACTATTACAGCCCCCTCCCAGAACTTTTGTATCTTCAAACACAAACCACTGTATAATATCTTCAATCTCATTGTTAGTCACTAAAGAATCTTGCTAGCAAACTTCAGGCACATCAAATCACATTCATCTAGTAGAAGATACTTGACGAAGAAAAGGACGATTTAATCTGATTATGGGAATGTAACTACTATTTATCCATTCTTTTTGTATTCAAAAGTTGTTGCATTCGCTGTTGCACCTGATATCATTGTATTTTCTTATGTTAGATATGTGCTTCCTTTTAAGATCCAGCCATACCTTAGTTGTCAAGTAATGAAATACTGCCTCTTTCACCCAAGCTTGTTTGTAAAATTCAGCGTGCCTCATCTCCTCAATACCAATTTTGCTGTCACCAACAACCGCCTTTCGAAAACCAGGTAATTAGTATTACTATAATAGATAATGCCCGTTGTCCGAGGTTACCTCTAAATCTCGAGTCTGTGTAGCAATCCACTTGTTGATAAAATTCACAGGATGCTGGGCAAAGTGTAGGAGAAAATCGCGTCTGCTTTTTGAATTGTTGATGTTTTGCACACACTGAACAATTTTGTCATCGAGAGCCAGTACTTCTTTCTGTGCTTGAGTCGACGCAACAGATGCAATCATTTTTTGACGAATAATGCTGTCCAATTCAACATCCAGATCATATGCTTCAAGAGAATGTCGTGAATCGGTATCCATGCTATCATATGTAAAATTGGTATCTCAATAACTTAACACGTAGGTGGGGTAAACATACGTAATAGTATAGTTGATGACAATTGGGTCAGGCCGTACAAGATGATGACCGATCAGCATGGGTATCTCTGAAAAGTGAATGTGCCTTTTATCGAACAGCTAATCAAAGTAGCATGAATGACATGTTAATGTGTGCGTGCTTGTCCTTTCCTACCTTTTGTAATTGTTCATCGCAATGTATTGTGTGCTTATCTTCGGTATCCTGCAAACCATGAACCTGAACACCGATATTCAGTATCGAATACATGCTTTGCATAATCAATACAACATTTTACCTTGATGTAATTCCATAAACCCATGATCACTTGAGGCTTCGTCTCTAATTTCATATCCAGTATCTCGGACAGCATTGGGCTGAGTCTATACTTTTGCGGTATGTAATCCGGATCTAGGACAATTCGGACATTCACATTGCTTTGACCTCGTCGACTGATCTCTACCCCATCATGCTCAGGCCCATTCGGTTGTTTACGCCACTATTGCGGATAGTTAGTATATAACTGTCAGAAGGCGATATATTACAAGGCTATGTACCTCAACCAAATCATCTTCGGAATACGATCCGGATTCTCGATTTAGTTCTACACATATGGTGCGGAAAAATGAAGTAAACTTTTGGACCGGCTGAGCTTTTTTGGTTGGGATAGGAGGCTAAAGAAAAGTGAATAAAACTTGAACACTGTATGCTTGGTGTTGCCCTTACATCCAAAAGGCGGCCTTCAATCTTGAGCGTCCATGATGATTCCACGATGCCATCCATGACATCAAAATCTCCATCTCCTGTTGATTGATCCCTCGGACGCGCAGTTGTGTGTGATACGAAAATCCTCAATATTCGCCGTGTCTATAGGATCAGCTTAGTTTGACGAATTCGTTTGATCCCAGACTTTTCGAACCTTGTTAGGCTTCCCAAGAGCTTCTTGTACGTCAAGCCGCTTCCTCAGTATTGTCGTATCCAATTTCTTATCAAATGCTGCAAGCTCCCTGTAGAGCGTCGACTCTGGGACCAAGGTTTCTATCTATCGGTATCGATCAGTCAAGCACGTAGGACGTTCATTTCGCAGCGTGACATACCCTAGGCGGCATGTTGCGGTCGCTTGGTCGCTTTTTCCTTTGCAAGGGTAATTAATAGTTTGAGAGGGAAGGTAGTCATTGCTTCTTACTTGACATGTTTAAGTAGTAGTTCCGATTCACCAGGTCTTTTCCTGTACTGAAATTGGCTTTCGATCGACTGATCTTCCATACTGGTCTTTATCAGCTGTTGTGCCATATCGTTGACTAACTTCAAGCACTGCGAAAGGTCCGCCCAGGGTTTTAATGTCAATCGGAGTTCAAGTTGGCATCGTCTTATTATGGTCACTGTCGCCATCATCCAAGCAGTGCAGCATGTGCATGCTAAATTCGAATAAAAACGTCAGTATCCTACTCTATCATGATCCATCTGTCAAATCTGGGACCTGATGGGCTTATCGTCAATTTTGCATGGGCATTATCACGTCTAGTGACCATGATGATGTTAAACAGCTCCATCAATCTTTGAGAATAAATGAAAAAGGCCATGTTAGCAGCACACTACCGATGCCACCAATAAATAGCGTATGGCTGTCGAGATGTCTTGTTGCATAACGCAAGGTGATGATAACCCATCAGATGATGCTAATAGGAATCCCTGCAAGTCGCATTGGTAGCAAGCAACAGACATATCTCAATAACTTGCCTTTTGGAGAAGAACAATAATGGGGAGGTCACGTTTGGTTCCATAGTAAAATCATTGCATGGCAATAAACACGTGAGGAGAGGAGATAGCAGACAAAGGAGGTGTCGGCCACGCAACCTTTTCTGAGGCAATCCTCTACGTTCCACTGATTTAGCATTTAGTATTTACCATGCCCATGCAGCTCCTGGTGATAACAAGCACTTCCAGCGCGAAGGAACATTCTCCTGTGAAAAGGCATCGCATTTTTTCTCATTTTCGCTGTTTTTCTCCCTATCCTATTGGATAATCGACATTGAAATGAGAAACCCACTTGTAAAACCAGTGACGCTGTACAACTTTGCTTACGATCACGTGACGATCTGAACACTTCCATCTTCCAAGTTTCACCTAGGATGATCATCGCCTGATTTATGCATGGGCAATTAATCACACCAATCACACCAAACTCTTTAATCAAAATGTTTGTTGAGGATGGCTATAGAAAGTCCATGTATGAATACCCCCTTTGTTTTGTTGATCACCAGACATCCTACTTTAGTATAAATCATTATCGTGCAGCAAAGTAAATAAAAGAGCTCTTTTCCTCGCTTTATACCTGGATCATAGTAGGGCACAAGACTGCCAACGCAGAGTCAAATCCTTGTATACATCGTACGTACCGCAAGCCAGAGGTCCTTGGTCACGAACGGTGTACATGTATCTTATTTGTTGTATCCCATTAGTAGTTAGCAGAGTTACCTCATTGCCGATATCTATACACCTTCTCATACAAGTTCCCCTTTGGTCTCCCTTTGTTGGTATGTTAGAGCTCCCTAGCAGTTGTCATCCCCACCTGCTTTGATTGAGTAGTAGTATTCATTTGAGTTGTTTTTGTTTGGTTGTTACAGTGTATCGCAGCCTCTAAGATCGTGATCAATAAATCTGGTGGAGAAGCCGCGCAGTTGCTACATATTGTATCAGCCAAGAAGCAAGAAGTTTTATTACGTATCTCATTTGGAAAATGACTGGCTCGGCACCGGAAACATCATTATCACCTGCTGCGCGTGAGAGATTGGGATCAGCAGATGTGGTTGTTGTCGAAACAAACACGCATGCAATTCCACACTTTAATGGGCACCCTTATAATGACGACCCCTTGCTATTTATGGAAGCGTTTCAAGATGCAGCAGATGAAAACAATTGGACAAGCGAAGAGAGAAAGTTGGCACGTGTTCGTCTAGCATTGAAAGGTGCAGCTAAGGATTGGTATCGCAGGGAGATACAGCTGAATCCACCATCGACATTCGAGCTTGGATCAGACTCCTTTATCGCACGTTTCAAGAAAGCCTATGTGACGGCTAGATGGGTGGCACATTACAGCATGTCGTATCACAGCATGAGACAGCAACCAAATCAATCCGCACCTGATTATGTAAACGCTAAACTGGCTATGGCTCACAAGTACGAAACAGCATTGAACACCACGTTGCCGGATGAGAAGAAGATTTGTGACATCTTGCAAGGATTGCGCGAGAGCTATATGCGTTGGATCTCGAATGATGCCATGCCCACTACATTATCAGGATTAATGGATGTGATCTCTCAATTGGAAACGCAGATCAGTGTGATCAGGGAAGAAGCACAATTGACAGCAGGCCCTATTGTCAATCAGCAACCACATCCTTTTGTGCAACAACAAGGATTATTGCAGGACATGCAGCATCAGCCAATGATATCTTCTGAACCAGCTCCCGTATTCTATGCCAGCAATGACTACAAAAGACCACCTGTCAAGGACAAGCAACTGTATGACCCTTCTTCCAAATCCAATAAGAAAAAAGAGCCTAAGCGTGAAGCTAAAGATGTTGGAGATTTGGAGAACGCCATTGCAAACATGATGGATCGCATGGAAGCCACCGTATTACGCGCTGTGGAAACAGTGGCAGAGAAGACTGCGGCGAGATTTGACCAAAGAGACCATTGCTATAATTGTGGCGAAAATGGACATCAAGCAGCTCTTTGTCAAAAACCATGTAATGTATGCAAGGCCGACGATCACACTTCATACACTTGCCCTGAGCGAATGAAGCGATATAGCAAGAAAGGAAGAGAAGCCAAATCGGATCCGGATTTTCAGACAAGCCGTCAGTAACGACAGGTCCGGCGGCTAAAGAAGAACAAAACCCTGTCAATATTATACAAGAAGCTCCCGTTTATGCAGCAGAAGAATGAAATAGACGTGGAGATAAAAGGCCTGCCAATGACGATGTGGCGCCTATGCAAGTGGATGAGGATAGCTTGCCTAGGATAATTGGTCCTTATACCACGCTTCCAACGGATCCCAAACAAAGAGCACGGCTTATCAATTTACAAAAAGCAAGAGATGCCAAAGCTAGAAGGAAGAAGGAGAATGAAGAAGCGGTTGCCAGAGGAGAGATGCCTTTATCGTATCTTGGGAAGGTCAACAATCCCATCCCTGCAATCAAGGACTATGAAGGTCATGTGTTGTCGTTTGATGTCAAGGAGGCTTTGTGGAATACAGACGTGTCCATCAAGTTACCACAGCTAGCTTATCACTCCCCTTGGATTTTGGAACAAATTTTGCATTATCTCGGTGGAGACCTCCCTCGCAAAAAGGCTGACAAAAAGGACCAAGTGCATCTAGCGGAGGAGCCTAATTATCAAGCCCATTCAAACAACAATACCAAAGGCCTTCAAGCTGTGTACATACTTATAGGTGACCATATGGTAGAAGGACTAGTGGATGCTGGATGGTGGAGCCTTTTGTTCCATCTTGCCGTTATCATTGGTGCAAGGCATGGGAATGGAACAAGGCATGCAACCAACGGATAGTCGTATTCGTTTTGGTGGAGGAACCGAAGAAGTGCCGGTTGGATGCATTGAAGTCGACTTGACTTTTCACCCTGACATTATGATCAAGCAGCGTTTTATTGTTGTGGACAACCCATATACTCCTTTGTTGTTGGGTTATGATTTCCTATACAATGCCAAGGTTTCAGTGAACCCTTCTCGTGGAGTCATGACGTTTGATATTACTGGTGACACAGATGAAGAGGCAAAACTCGTAGACATTGAAACACATGTATCAGGAGTTACACCATCCGAAGCAGAAAGGAAGAAGGACTAGGCTCATGGATCAGCTGTACAAGCTCATTTTATCGGCTATACCAAGTCCATGGATACCACTTCGCAAGTAGCTATTGATTCGGATGTGGTTTTGGACCCGGGAGAGATTATGATTGCACACATGTCGATAAAGAAGCCACCAAATGGTATTGATGAATACACTGTCCTGGAAACGAAGCCTATGGGGAAGCACGAGATAATCCTATGGCCGTCCACTATTTGCTCTGATGGAATGACCAACATGTGTATAGCCAATCGAGGCCCTGATCGTATCGGCATTAGAGCGGGTGATATCATCGGAGTGGCTAGGAATATGTCCAAGCGCCCTACTGGTATTGATGATGTGAAGCACGTAATGGCGCAGCTGGAGCAATTGGTTACATACCCTGATATGCCTATTCCTATGGCCGAAACAGCGACACCATTGGACACACCCAGACATCAAACAGTGAATAATGTATTCACAGTGCAACCAGTGGATATTTGTGAAGATTTATCAGCACCACAGCAAGCCGCTATTAGAGCCATTGTCCAAAGAAGAGATGAGTGCTTTGCAAGTAAGCTCACTGAAGTGGGAGAATTGAAGGTGGAGCCGTATCGTATGGTCTTGAAGGAAGGTGCGATACCAAAGAAAGTAGCTCCATATACATTGCCCAAGGATGCAAACGATTGGTTGAAGGGATATTTATCTCAATTGGAGGAGATCGGCTTTATTGAGAAATGCAATGGACCGTGGGCAGCAGGAGCATTGCTCATACCTTCTGATGTGGATAAAAGAGTGAGCAGATCAAGAATCAAGGTGAGGCCCTTGAAAAAGGAGCCAAGGCTACGGACTCAACGCCATGGGCCAAGTCATCCTGTATGGATCTTGACGAAGGAAGCTGAGAACGATGATGAGCATCAACATGAGGAGGGCATTGATTTCAACAACGATGATTGGTATTCATTGACATATGGAAAGGAGGTGCCAACCAAGCAAAGATCTGATGCGAATGGGAACCGAGTGGACTACAATTGTTCAGCGCCACCTTTGCAGGCAGGAGAAAAGGACCCCTATAGGCTTGTATTCAACTACAAGCCTATCAATGCAGCCACTGTGGATTCGGGGTATCCAATACCCAATATACACGAGTTGTTCACACGTCTAGGAGGAGCCAACTACTTCACAATTATGGATGCTATGAAGGGATTCTGGCAGTTGCCTCTTCATGAAGACTCAAGAGATTTAACGGGTTTTGTGGTCAATTGTGGCGGCTACTCCCAATGGAGATGGACGAGATTATCCATGGGATTGAAGGGCAGCCCAGGAGCCTGGCAAAGTATCATGGACACGGTGTTCAAAGAGGCTATTAATGTGTACCTCATGGTATACATTGACGACGTGGTGGTGTGTAGCAAGACCTTTTCGGAGCATTTGAAGCATCTGGAAGCAGTATTTGACATGGCGGGTGCTGTTAATTTATCCTTTTCAAGAAAGAAGTGCAAGTTTGGATACTCCGAGTTGAAGATACTTGGCTACAAGATTGGACGAGAAGGCTTTGGAATGTTGAATACCAAAGTGGACAAGATCATCAAGTGGCCACCTCCAAAGGACAAAGACGAGCTATCACGATTCATTGGTTCAATCCAATATTACAGGAGATTCATCCCTCATTTCTCTTCATTATTGGAACCTTTGAACAAGCTGCGAAGAAAAGGAGTTAGCTACACATGGGAAGCTGAACAGCAAGAATGTTTCGACGAGTGCAAGCGTTTAATGTCAAGCGATCCTATACTGAAGCACCCGGACTTTGACAAGAAATTTTACCTTTCTACCGATGCTTCAGATACCGGGATAGGTGCTGTGCTTACCCAAAAGAGTGAAGAGGAGAGTTCCACTACGCAAGTATACTTACCGATATACTTTGGGAGCCGCAGTCTCAGTCCTTCAGAGCGTCGCTATTCCACGTATGAAAGGGAGTTCCTCGCCATCGTGTATTTTGTCAACTTCTTCCGCTTGTATTTATTGGGGCAAGAGTTTGTTGTTGTTACCGATCACAAAGCACTATCTTTCTTGGCAACGCTGAAGGAAAACACATCAGCAAGAGTAGCAAGATGGATGGTGACCTTATCCATGTTTGATTTCGAGATTCGCTATTTGCCCGGAAGATTGAATGTTCTCGCTGACGCTATGTCAAGGCTGCCAGTGGATGTCATGGATCATGTATCAGCTGACGATGTTATCGTGGATGAGTATTTACCCATCAATGCAATTGGAGAAGAGGATAAGCACGAAGATTCAAGCATCAAGAGAAGAAGAGTGGATAGCTATTGGGGAGGAATGGATGAAGAGCTATATCGAGCACTAGCCTTATACCTGTCAAGTCTCAAATTCAAAGAGCAAGCCAATCAGGAAGAACGACAGTATATTAGGCGCGTTAGCAGAGAGTATACGTGGTTTCAAGGACTTCTATATCGCAAGGCTACAGCTACACATCCTGCAAGGAGAGTATTGACAAGCAGCGGTGTATTGGAAGCCTTAAGGTTGAATCATGATCACATGTTGGCGGGCCATACCGGTGTCAAGTCAACTTTCGAGAAGCTTAGTCGCATGTATTATTGGCCATGTATGTACGAGGATATCAGGCGTTACGTGTTATCATGCCCTGTATGCCAAATGTTTGGTCCTCGGCCTAAGACACAGCGTGTACATCCTTGGCCACCTGCAGAGTCCGGTCCCTTCTCACGTATAATGATTGATTACTTCTCAATGCCTATGTCGGCTCGAGGTAACAATGCGGTGCTTATTGGGATTGACACTTTCACTGGTTGGATCGAGGCAAAACCTATGGCTAGCAAGACAGCGCTAGGAACGGCGTATTTTATTTATGAGTGGGTTTGTCGACATGGAGTGCCGCAAGAGATTGTATCAGACAACGGAAGCCATTTTACTGCCTGGGAATTGCAAGACCAATTGAATCGATTATATGGGTTGACAATCAAAACGGGGTCATCATGGCGACCACAAAGACAAGGACAAATCGAGAGAGCTATTCAGACGGTGCGAAAAGTAATGGAGCGATTACATATGACTTATCAAGGATCTTGGGAGATGTGGCTATCAGCAGCAGAATTCGTTTGTCGAACCTCTATAAACCGACGTCATGGATATACACCATTCTTTCTTGCTTATGGGAGAGAACCTCGACTACCGGTGTGCGTACAAGACATTTGGCAAGAGCAAGTCAGGGATGGTGATGGGTTGGATGAAGCCTCGATACGACGCACAATTCCAGAGAAACTAGCCCAGCATTGGAATGAAGATCTTGATACCGGGGCTATCAACATGCTCAACAACTACGCTGGTACCATTGGCCTTGATTTTGGTGAAGTTTGCAGTGTGGCAAGCGTATTCCATCCATCTGATTCAACGTCCAAGAGCTCACAGCTTATCATCAAGAGAGGGTTTTTATACGGCAACAACATTCCCAACCGCAACTGGCTTTTGAACAGAAAAGCTGCCAATGACATCGAGGTTTTGGAATGCAAGCTCAGTGTCGGTTCTACAAGAAAGGATCTACAATCTTACATGGTGTATATCAAGGCACTGCGAGATGAAGAAATCGGCAATCAACTTTTTGATTTCTACTCGAGTACATCAGTTCGCCGCAAGGATTGGGATACTGCTATGAGCCAACGATCGCGTCTCGACACTGCTTGTGGATTGATCATGAATCAGCATAAAAAGACTGTTACCGAAGCAGATGCCAGGAAGCCTGTACTATTTGGATTTGGATTGGATGGCATGCGGCAGAAAGCAAGGAAAGGTGCAATGGCATCCAAAGACAACAAGTTGGCAAACCGTTTGCATGCACGCATACTTCAAGGAGGTTTTCATCATTGCACGCGTGTCTGCGAGTATAATACGACAAAAATGTGCTGCCATTGTGTAAAGAGTGGGAATCCTTCTGTTACTCGATATTTGCAACGTCCTAGCCCAATCGGCCAACAAACATCATTCAGAGTCCTTTATTGTTCACGCTGCCGTCGTGTCACGCACCGCGATGGCAATGCTGGTGATAATCAAGCTACCATTTTACGAACCATGCTTGCAACACAAAAGCGACCAGCATGTTTTATACCACCATCTCGCCGACTCATTTGATCCAGCTTGACCACTGGATGGGGATTTACTCCCGTTTTCTCAGTGTAAGTGAAACAGCCCCCATTCAAGCATTGTAATCTGAGTCCTAATTACGATGAGTTTACAGTAAAGATAAAAGGGACATAGTGCCAGCAGGGTAGCATGGTTTTTGTTTCATTGTGGGATACTAGTCGTGAGATGTGTGTGTATGTGTGTGTGTGTGTGTAGATGATAAAAAACGAATAACAAACAAAGTCTGTGAGATTGCTGTTTACTCTGAAAGTGTGTGTCTGGGAAAAGAGACGTCTTTCTATCGATCTACCTCTGAATACTATAACTAGGCGGATGCTAAAGAGTAAAGCTTTTCTACCAATAACAAGCTATATCGTAAACGAGTAACGGGCTGAGTTGTATATGATGATCCACGCTTGTGTATCATCTCTTGTATGCTTATGTGCTTGTCTTTTGTATATACAATGATAAAGATGATGATAATGAATACATGATGTGTACCTTAACCGATCCATATACACGACAAGTCGTGATAGCTTAGAATAGAAACGAGATATATAGTCTCGTATATAGATGTCAATGATATGATTTTGCTATTCAATTGGTGGTATCACTTCCAAAATCTCCTTGGCGGTTTCGTCAATATGGGTTTCTCTTCTTTCGTGATCTCAGTTTGGCCTACAGAATCATCCCGCAATATTTGCTTCAAGTACATATCCCACTGACGCACTGGGATCTATGCATGTACACATGTTAGCTGTGGCCTGTGGTAGATCAAAGATGATGATGTAGATCATCACAGTAGTTTACCCTGCCAAAATTCATAGGACTAAAGATGTGTGGAAAGAGCATATGCCATGCATGCCACGCTGTAAAAGATCCACCAGGTATTTTGCTCCGTGAAAACCTCGGCGGAAGCGTTGAGTTTTCATTCCGATGCCCGCACTGTCCGCTATTCACGTTTAAGTTAAGCACTTAGAAATTGGTAGCACAGATACTATGGATGAAAGAGCGATGACTGTGGTCAGTATCAAATAAAGTTTGGAGCCAACGTAGTTGTAACGTCAATTGTTGAGCGGGAAGATGCCACCTTGGGATCTTGGGAGTAAAAGCTTGTCATATGAAACTTGAGACCACGTCTTGTGCATAAAAAATGCACGGCCCTCGGATTGCACTTTGTCCATGAAGGTCCGCGTGGTGGGATAAACCTGTAATACATGCCAAAGCCTTGATACAACCAAAACGTCTCACACTGTAGCTCTTCCCCTGATCGAGATTTCTCAGTGTGATGTGTGAATATAGTTGACAAACTGAATGAATGTTGGTGGCTTGCCATTGAGGCGATCTGTAACTGGAAAGTGACACGGCATGCATTTTGGGAACGTTAACTTTTGCATTTGATGCACACAATAAGTACACAGAGAGATGTTGTAACATTCTCAACAAGTCGTCCTCGTCCTTGATAAAAGTAAAGTAATCATCCGCATAACACAAAACCTTTATTAAGCGTTCTCTGTTATGTTATCGATGAAGGTGAGGAACTATGATAACCTTGACATTGAGAATCATGCAAATTCTTCGGGTGGTTTCAATAGCGAGGGTAAAGAGAATAGGTGTTAGCGGATCACCTTGTCATTGTCTTATTCCTCGTTGCTATTCCATTGCCGATGACAATGAACTAAAATACGTTGGTCTTGATGGTTGTACCAAAGAACAGCTTGATAATCCATTGAATTATTAAAGATGGGAAACCCCAACGAGTAAGACATTGTTCAAGGTATGCTGGATGAACACAATCGTACGCTTTCTCGATGTCCAGTGATAACCGGTAGCATCCGATGGACAATAATTAGCATGAACCATACCTAACTTCACCCCAACACCATTATCTGCAAACTGTAATGAATCGACCACGTACGAAACTGTTTGATACTTATTGCTGATCTTCTTACCGACATCAGCAATTCTTGTATTCATGGCATCTGTGTTGGTAAGTGTTATCGGACGCCAGTTGCCTGATGAAGCGGGATCTCCTTTCGTGGGCAGAGACACGGATAGTTTTTCTTTTATTGAAAGTGTAGACTTTATTAAACAGCAAAGTGATGGAACGAAGGACATACAATAAATCAGCCTGAAGCGTACTAAGAGCTGCTGATGTTGACCATGGCTGGTCATCTATCTTACAACGCCAATGATGCTGCTATGGGTCAGCAATAATGCAACAGAGGCTGCATAATACGTTGTCCTTGAGAGGTTGGTGTTGGTATGATTGAAAGCTAGTGAGAGCACGCCAAACGAGAGCTTGTGTGGGAAAGAGGTGACTGAGATGCAAGAAATATAGTGCTTTGCGCCAAAAATGGCGTTTGCTTGAGCAAGTAGCGAACATGTGCTGTATACATGATTTCCCAAAAGAAGTGGAACATGAGGATAATGATTTCGTGGTTAAGGTGATTGGTTTCGTGGGTGATGATTATTTGTTCGTGGCTAATGACAAGTGAGTTCGTGGGTGGTGGGTTTTGGTTTCGTCGGTAGTGCTTTTGGTTTCGTGGGTAGTGCCTTTTGAATTGGTGGGCAGCGTCTTTTGAATTGGTGGGTGACGCTTTTGGTTTGGTGGGCACGGCTTTTTATTTCGTGGAGGATGACTTTAATTTTCGCGCAGGATGACATTAATGTTCGTGGGTAGCGCTTATGATTTCGTGGGTGATAATAAAGGTTTCATACGCTGTATTGCTGGTCAACATTGCATACGACTTGCTGATTGATGTACGCTGTTGCATAGAATAGTTTATGATCACCCACGAAATCAAAAGCGCTACCCACGAACATTAATGTCATCCTGCGCGAAAATTAAAGTCATCCTCCACGAAATAAAAAGCCGTGCCCACCAAACCAAAAGCGTCACCCACCAATTCAAAAGACGCTGCCCACCAATTCAAAAGGCACTACCCACGAAACCAAAAGCACTACCGACGAAACCAAAACCCACCACCCACGAACTCACTTGTCATTAGCCACGAACAAATAATCATCACCCACGAAACCAATCACCTTAACCACCAAATCATTATCCTCATGTTCCACTTCTTTTGGGAAATCCTGTATCTTCATCTTCATCAATTTTGCAGAGTGTGCGTACATCGCTGTCAACCTGAGGAACGCGAAATCGATGGAGCTTTTGTTGTGTGCTAATGCAGAATTGTAGTAGTTGCCACCATGGTTTGAATGCTTTGTGTGGTAATAGGCACCAGAACCGTTTCCAAAAGGAAGGTGGATAAGTAAATGTCAGAGGCATGAATGTGGCCGTATCAGATGAGCGATCAAGGATGAATTGCCAGTGCGGATGCCAATATCGACGTAATTGCGACAACGATAGACAAGGTATATCTGTTGTATCCATAGCACCATAATGACTTCATAATGACTATGACAAGGGATGCTGGACATCCCATGTAAATAATACTGTTTCATTAATGCACATATTCATCATCTTAATTCATATCCATGCAATAGTAAAAGTATATAAAAGGGTTGATCCCATAATAAACACTTGACATCAGTCTCACAGTACTCGATCTTGCCTATACACTTTTCTTGTTTCTTCTTATTTAATCTCCAAACATCTCAATATCACTGGTCTTGTTTGTAGAGACCCGGAGTATCCAATGCCTCAAAGACGGGAGAGTAGGATACATAGGTTGGGATGCCGTTGAACTCTGTTGGGGAACCAGGTGTGTCGTGAGTGATCTGAAAATGAGTATCGAGATATCCTTCGAGGTGCAATGTGGATGATGTCATGTTCGAATGGACCACAGTAGATCGAGACTTTAACAACGTATACCTCAACTTTTAACTAGGATGTAGTATAAGGCATTTCCGTTCCAGATCCCAGTAAGCAACGTCAGACAACAGGTATTGCATTCGAGGCTGATTTGTAACTCCGTTGCCCTGAAGGGTTGACAAACTGTAATGGCTTTTTTTGTGTATCAAAGTGTAGACTTTATTAAATTGTGGAAACAGTCTGAGGAATGGATGAGGAATAAAGTATATTAGTTGTAAGAAGGTTCATTGCAGCGTTCGTGCTCCATTCTTGATGATTCAAAACACATTGCCAGTGGTATCGCCAAAGTATCGCAAGGATACTACCCAACCGGAAAATCGTTGAGTCTGTCAAATAATAGCGAGGCGAGCTTTGTAGAGTATTAAGACATTCCATATTTCTTGGTGGGTAGGAAAGATGGCAAAAAGCTCAAATGCATTTAAAGCGTCGATCCAGAATTGGCGCTTGCTAGGACAACCCACAACAAAGTGGTAGAGGTCTTCTGGCGCGGCCTTGCAGATTTGACATATTGGGGATTCCACCTCAGGTATGTTCCATCCATGTAGCTTTTGTCGGGTGCCAATCGTATCATGTAGCAGTCTCCACCATGGAGTGAACGCTTTATGTGGAATCATTGATCGCCAAAATCGTTTCCAAAAAGAAACAGGATAAATGAGACATAGTGGGCGTGCTATTTCCGGTGGTCGAGGACGACAAAGCATTAGCTGCCAGCGTGGATGCCATGAGTGACGTAGTTGGGCATTGGGCTAAAGTTGCTGTTGGTATTGATGTGTGTTTCTTAGCAGACACCCGGAGAGTCCAATGCGATAAGGAAGGAAGTCTTGATTTCGGCAGTGGTGAAGGAGCAAAGGTGTGAGATACCGGGATAGATATTGTCGACGAATTGTTGAGAGTAAGGATTGTGGGAGCGTCTTGATCTGCTTGTGGGAGTGATTCCACGAAATTTTGAAGGAGCTTCGGCAGTCGATGATCGTGAAGGAAAAAGTATTGCTGGTCCTGTTCCCAATATACAATATCCAATAGCAGATATCGGATAGGGAGCTTATGATGGTTTGGTGGTGGTGTGATCATTGTTTCCAAAAGTAGATCCAAAAGCCAGCATTGAGACCAATTAGAAGAGATCGCCAGAGGAGGTAGTGATTGCAATACTGAACATAGCTGTAACCTGTAACATGTTGGGATCATCTTTCATTTGTTTGCGGTAATGTTTGGGAAAGAGAAACCACGGTAGAAGTGATGCATGTCCTGTCCTTAGCTGATAATACTTGATAATCGAAGGTGATATGAATCGGTTATTCGTGGATTCTTGCACAGTCATTGAAGATAGATGAAATGCAGTGCCTTGCTTTGTTTCTCGATATCTATCAATCCCATCCCACCTTGTGCTCTTGGGATCGTTAAAGTAGCCCATGCTGGTTTAGGCCAGAAAGGAAGCAAAAAGGAGCGAACCACTTTCTCGATTTCTTGTATCCATTCAGAGGGTACTGGAACCACGCGGAGGATATGCCACAATCGAGATAGTAACAATGAATTGGCCACGGTACTTGCTCCACGGATCGATAGGCTACGTTCTTTCAACATGTTTGCATGACGGGTGATCTTGGTCTTGATCGTCTCCAGGAAACTCAGAAGCTGTGGCTGGCTGTGAAAGAGCGGATATCCCAAATATACGAGTGCTGTTTCCTTGTTAGAATCATGCCATTGAGCACCATACCCTTCTGCTAATGCTAGAAAGTGTTGAATAAAGAATTGTGTGTGTATACAATGGGATATGGTAGTGATTATCAATAAATCACTACTAATAAACAGTCATGCAAAAAAAAGAAAAATCAAAGTATCTGTGGTGTGCGTATATTAAAAAGGGAAAAGGATAACAAAAGGAATATAGTGAGACCTTTGATCGCCTGTCTTTATTACTATGTCTCTACTTGGGCTATTTATATTTTATACTGTATTGGGTATGATCAGGTTTGTGGCAACCACGAATGATTCACCATGCACGCCTTGCGAGAAAGTTTATATATCCAGGTTCCATTAGCATCTCGGCCATTTGGGTGGTCACAGCTCACAGATGCACCCATGTTCTTGAGATTTTCATGCAATGTTGTATAGCGGTGCTTGATATCCTCGAGTTGTTCTTCATTATCGTTACCTATAGTAATATCAGTAAAGTAATCCCTGACACTATAAAGTTGGGGCTTCTTGATGCACGATTCGGATTGCGGGTCAGGCATATAATACCGAAAGTCGCCCCCAGGTTGAGAATTCATAAGGACATTTCTCCCAAGTAAGTGAATCAACATCTGTTCGGTGCTGTCTACCAGGTATCATTGTTCATCAGTAGGTTTCTGCTTTCTGACAGCATCACGTACGTCATATCTCATATTTAGGCTCATAAAGAAGTTGTCCACGAGGATAAAGCTTAAGGCAGAAGGTGCAGCCAATCACTGTCGACAAGAACGCATTTTTGTTCGATCCATGGAATCAAACAGCGCAGTCTATGATATGCTTAAGCATATCAAGCCTCTACAGCCGGATTTTTTTTGGAATACTCACTTGTCAGCGTTCTAAGGCCTTAGCCTAGGTACTTGGCAAATTTAGGACTTCTTATGTTATTGTTTCATTTGAAGATGTAACCTCGCGCTCGCGGGACTTGGCATGTGTGGGTCTTCTCCTTGTTTTGTTATTACAGCAACAAAAATCAGAAATCACAAAGCAACAAATGTTTATTGAAGGTGGGCAGGAACCCAGGCAAAGAGAGCACCGAGAGACATATGCACGGAGGACGGAGGTGCACAGATGTCGCCATCCTTTGCCGCCAACAAGCTCGGCAGGTGCATGGTGCTGGAGATCTGATAGGAGGGATTTCTCCTGGGTGAAAAAATGATGATTATCAGGAAGAGCCATGCGGTTGACCAAAATATTTTTGACTAATAGCAACATGTGAAATTTCGTATTGTTGACCGCGATCATGGAACTTTCACATAAGCTCCTTTCGACCCAGCCAACTGAGTTTGTTCTATTGAAAACCCCTAGCCCCATACTTAGTTGAAAAATTCGAAGTTACATGTATCTTTATGTTTTGTATTTGCTGTAAGGGTGATGCTATGTAGTCTTTGATCTTTGTTCATATATTACAAAGCTAAACTCTAATAGAGCCAAAGATGTAGAGGATCCTTGATCCGAGTTTTGGTCGAAAAGAAAGTAGATCAGTTGAGATAGGTAGTGCATACTATATAGGGACTGATTCACAACTCTCAAATTTAAAACATCAGTTGACAATCAAAGCGATATCATGGTAAGGCTCTATTATGTATGCCTGCTCCTTTTTCTAGGACATTTATGCACCCCACAATATGCTTTCAATAATACAAAATCAATGCTCAACCAAAGCTTTTGTTCTTGACACGTGACACCATATAAAGCAAAGCTTACTCTGATAATTTCTCACACAAATACATATAGTATGCTATGCCAGATATAGACGATGATCTCGAGGACCACATAATAACTTCTCCCTTTTCGCATCGTGATCATTCTCTTCATTCAAAATTGGTAGGATGCAGCAGGATGCTGGGCTTCTTTCTGATGAAAAGGCATTTACGATACATGTAATTGGTCCCTGACAGATTCATCACACATGCTATTCAGCGTGCCATGGATTATCACCATAAATATGTAAACAGCAAAGGGGCAACGGCATGAACATCTTTCCTTAGATGCGCATCATACATTGTTACTCCACGTTCGAGCTCTTTCTAGTCATTAATCATTGCTGTCAAGAGCCAACATGTCAGATGCCGATAACCGGTCGTGAACACCGTGAACACAAAGTAAGAAGAGGGTTTCTTGCTTATTGCGTTCTTCTAATGGTAGAGCCGCAGGGATCATTGACCATGTGTCATGATTGTTCCATTTTTTCAAGCATGCACCACTAGTGTCATTACTGAGCAAAATCGTCACCCATTCCTTTTTTCTTCTGTTATCGATAGTGCTGGAAGTTTTAGTACCCATCTCATTATTTTATGTTCATAATGCCTGTTACGGAGCCACATATGGCAAAAACGTTGGCATTCAATAATGTCATATTATGAGGTACAAGTTCAGCTTCGCAATAGCTTCCTTTGCCACCTCGGTCAAAGACTTTGCCAGGTCATTTGTTCTTGCCGTTGCTGGTTGCTGGTCATCATGGCCGTCATTGATAGATGGTTCAGCGAAAGTATTACAAAACTTTGCATGCTCATGGATAGCGGAGGCTCCATGTAGGATCTTGCAGTTGCCTCAATAAAACTTGCTGCGGTCATCATTTGATCGATGACTAATGACTACATGTCCTATAGGTATGGTTCAATAAACATCAATATACAATGTGCTAAGTCGACCAGCAATCAGAAAACCCTTACCAAGAATCACAGTACTGGTAATGCTCACAGTGGGCAGGCAAGATTTGCGACGGTGGTACTTGAGCTTCCCCTTGGCTTCGAAACCTTCACCACAGTCTATGCACACATAGGTACAAGGTAGCAGTAGTATTTGATCTCAGCCAATCACAGTCATTTTATATACAACACAGGGGCTATTGAATAAACATCGACCTTCTTTTCTTGTTGAGCCTCATGTCTTACTGACGTACACGTTATCAGTCATCGAATATCACAAATAAAACAAAAGCTTTAGCCTGAGCAAAATCATCGGAACAACCTCGACATCTATATCTAATGCAATTTGTCCCAAGAAATGCTCGCGTACTCGAAAGTAAGGATGCTCTTTAGGCTGAATGCATACCCATTGCGACACCAGGACCGCTATATAAAACAAGCAGTACGAATCACCATGTCATTGGTATGTCTTGTCAAGGATACAAGGAAACTGTGATGGTTGTTATGCAACAAGGCAAGGCTGATTCAGAGAGCAGGCTCAGGTCAAGGAACAAGAAAGAATAGCAAAGACTAAACTAAGAATGTTAGATCAATTGTATAAGGATATCCTAGGAGCAATATGTGATACATGTCTCTAATAATGATCGTAGTACTTGATCCAAGAATGAAACTTGAGGTATATGATAAAATTGGCGGATTTACTGAGGGAAACAAGCAGACATACAAGGATTTCTGTGAAAAGGAATACCTTGAATACCGTGCACTTGCAAATGAAAGCGCATTGGACTACGATCAAGGCAGTAACGCAAGTGAAGGCGCTATGGATGAGGAAGATACCGAAATAGGCGATCATCATCATGTCTTTCGCGCATCCAAACAAATCGCCTGATAAGGAATCAGGCACCCGGCCTATTTCACAGCGTCCCTCATATGCAGCAGCCACGCGTGCACCTTCTTCGATTCGTGAATCATTGAAGACACCCAAGGACCGTAAATTAGCAACTCATTCCAATGTGTGGAAAGTAGGTGGTTCTCCTGCCTCATGTCCCAGTTTATTTTTCGACTTCACTTCTCGTCCTGAAAGTCGCTCTTCTTTGCTACGTTTTGTCAACACCAGTATCCCTAAAAACGTTGGAGCATGTCTTCACTCTGATCACTCACGACGCATCGTTGAACTTTTCATCCCTGTATGAAAAGACTACCTCCTTGCCGATGTCAGCTGCCAGGGGTGTTACCTTCCCTGACGGACAACGTATTGTGGAGAGCTAGTCCGGAGGACTAGCTCAAACCTGACACATGAATGCTGTGATCTAAATCTCCGCATTTATTGAGCGAATACAGCTGTCTAAATTGAATACAATAATAAATGGAAAAGTCTATCTAATGAAGCTCTTTGATCTCTGAGCGAGCGGGAGAAAAATGAAAAAAGGGTGGCGTGGGTTGGGTGATTTATGTGTCAGGTTTGAGCAAGTCCATCGGTTGTCAAACCTGACACATGAATGCAGCTCCAGAGAAAAACCGTGAACCAGGATCAAGCCGAAGGAGAGGAAGAGGAACAAGGTAACACTGAAGATGTGATATCCGAAGAGATATGACGAGAACGCCGATAATGATTATCAAACATCATGGAGGAAGCCCAATTGCCGTGAGTAATAACATCATCAAGAGGAACGCCACGAAGTAGAGCCAAATCCGAAGCCACAGAACGAATAGTAGGTTGTCGTGAAGAAGATGATGAAGTAATGGAATGTGACACCACCTTCCGTAACCAACGAGAGATGGTATCACAAGAAGCCGCCACACTAGCATGAGTGGTACTGATAAACAAGGCACCAGGAGGACGATTCACCGCACCAGGATGATCCCGAAGAGCCTCAAAGGCTGTCACTGGACGCCACCAAAGTGTCGCCAAAAGTGTCATCAAAGTGTCGCCATCTGTTTACCAAGGCTCGAATTGCACGCTCATGTATTCCATTAGCTTTCGTATCCGCGCCTATAAATGAATAGCTTTTTACATACATTGCAATGATGATGATGGTCCAATGATTTTTTCAACAGCTTCTGGAAGCTCTTCAGTCATGTTTGGGAGTTAGGACATTGTCAAGAGCGTTCTGGACATCAGGTATATCACCAGCGACGCAGGTCATCTCATTTCCTCCCTTGTGGCAATTTCGCCTTCGTGCTCATATAAATTGGTTTGGTCATCTTCGATTTCAGCAATCAATTCGAGTAATGGTTTGACAGGAAACCACCTTGTTCCATGTTCTTTCGTTTTTGTTTTTTCAGTCAGTTGTTTTGGGACTGTGCCCAGGGAATAAGGCGTCATTTGCATCGGCTATCGGGTGCTCTAATAGCTTTGTTGCCTTTTTTTTAAGATCGTCTCTTCTTCGAGGCTTGGTCACACATGGGTGATCTGCCTCATGAGTAGAAGTTCCTTGATGTCACGATGCCACCTAGTGCAATTTGAAGAAGAGGAAGAGCTGATGGTACTGGTTCTGATCTTTCATTTTTCCTTGCCATCCTATAGAGAGTATGGTGGAAAGTCTCAACTGCATTTGACGTCCTCAGACGAGGTTTTCTCAGAGCGGGTTTCATTACCGAGCACTTGGCTGCAGCCACTATTTGATCCATAATTTAGTTGCAGGGAATTGCATTGTCATAGATAATTGGTTGTTGAAGACTTGCTCTGAGGTTGTCGCGCAGATCTTGTATACCAAACGAAGGAAAAATTCGCGTTGTAATATAGGTATGGCATTGTCGTTGCTACTGACTTGTCGCACGGATTGCATCCAGTGCATATAGCGACCTTTAAGATACATTAACTCATCGTCTCTGCCTACGTAGGTGCTATCAGCAGTAAGAAATCGATTGATTTTTGCCTGTGAGAAGTCAATGATGAGTCCGAAGAGGTTGTCCTTGTTAACGAAATTCAGCCTGCAAGCGGTGAACATGAACAAACATTACTGCTGCAGCTGCCATGTTGTCGCTGCTTTCATGATTTCATGGAAAATAATAACATGCTTGGCAATTTCTGGTAGATAGATGACTAACGAGCAAATATCCCTGACAGCTTTGTAAGTAATATCGGTGACGACGGGGTACCGGCGGAAATTGACAAAAACCTCAATCGTTGGGGATTTGAATGATATATAAGTGCTGCTCAATCAAGTTTACAAAAGTAAGGAAGTATGGATACTGAATTGGATCTTGCTGAATGCTTCAATTGGATCATTTACAGAAATTGGTTGGCCAATTCTTTCCTTAACCTTACGCACCTCGTATGCTAATCTCTCATGGTTGGTTATGATAGGATCGGTGGTGTAAGCTGGTTCGACGACTCGTCGGGTTTGCTGATCGATCCCAATGCTTGCAGCCTTTGGATGAATTATTGGATGTTGCGTGCCAAATTCATGAATTCATCCTTTCGCTAGGCTTCTGATAAACGCTTACGCCCATAGATCATGTCAGAAGGCTTTCCTTGAAGTCGCATGTCGCATCCTTTTGATGTGAACTTGCATGTTTTGCAGCCATGCTATAGACGTTTTTCATTGACAGATGGCTTCACTTCAGGACGCAGGACTCAGTTCAGGCATTTTAATTTGCATGTTTCTATGCAAACATTGTAGCGGCAACAAACTCAGGAATGAACATGAATGAAAGGATACCAGGGTTGAATGCAGGTTGCCGTCGTGGTTGTTGTCTGTGGCGAGTGAGCCTCCTGCTGACACTATCACAGCGCTCGTTTGTTTGCCACCACATACCTACTTGGCTTGAGATGTATGTGTGTATGTGTGTGTGTGCGTGTGTATGATAAAACGTATAGCAAACAAAGTCTGTGAGATTGCTGTTTACTCTGAAAGTGTGTGTCTGGTAAAAGAGACGTGTCTATCGATCTAACTCTGAGTACTATAACTAGGCGGATGCTAAAGAGCAAAGCTTTTCTACCAATAACAAGCTATATCGTAAGTGCGTAACGGGCTGGGTTGTATATGATGATCCACGCTTGGGCATCATTGTATGCTTATGTGCTTGTCTTTTGTATATACAATGATAAAGATGATGATTTATGATTTATGAATACATGGTGTGTACCTTAACCGATCCATATACACGACATGGCTTCTTTTTACATCACTCCTTCTTATATCAACGACAATTGTAGCAGCTGTCATTAGCTTCGTCATCTGCTGGCTGTCTTGACCCTTGCTATTTATTGAACGCAGGCTTGGCTTGCATATTTCTTTATACATACAGCATGCAATATTCGTCAAGCGCGTGCTTTGGTGATCGATGTACTGGGTGAACAAAGTAAAGTGGTTGGTAGATGCGACAATGATGGATGGAAGGGATATATTACAACAGAAAAGGATGACGTTTTTGCTTGTCAAGGTAAATGACTTAGATGATGCAGGATAGCATTGCTTGATGCAAGACAACAAGGTGCACCATTTTTACCATGATGATGGAGCGGATCGATTATTATTCACATGAATGGACTACAGGACTTGGAGGATAGCATTGTTTCATGCAAGACAAGAAGATGAGTCACTTTATCATGGTGATGGAGAGGATCGCTTCTTTCTTCAAAGGAATCGACGGCACGACTTGGATGTTCGAAGATAACAAGGTGAGTCAAATTGTCACGATGATGGAGGTGAGACGATCATTTTCAACGAATAAATGAAGAAGGATGTCCTTGCTTATTTCTAGACAACATGTTGAGTGATTTTACAATGATGGTGGTGGCTCTCGATCAAGCGGATGGGAGCAATGCACTCGTTTATATTGTATGGTAAGATGGCTATTTTTTTTATTGAGTCTCTTCTTTACACTTTGGGCTAGAGGAATGTTGTTGGTCGCTTTGATTGGTACGTTTTGCTTGTAGCTTTACCAGGCACACGTGTTATTGGGCCCCTTTGTTTATAATGGTCAATTGGCAGCTGCTCTATTTCTGATGGATAGGCATGGTGGTAGACTCTTGGATGGTCATGAGAAGTGGATATACAATGCCAGCAGCTGGTTCACGTGGATTTTGTTATACACCCATCTTCCACCATCACGGTTCTTTTTGGGATAAGGACATGGAATGGATCATGGTATTGGCAGTGAATATACAACAACAGCAGAATCACCTGGTACACGGTACGTGTGGATTTATTATACAACAACCATCTTGCACCATCGCTTATTGGGATAACAAGAAGGAAGGTTCAAAAGGATTGGCATTGGGTTTACAAGATACCTCAATGTTGAATCAAATGGCAGCATCATCAAGGAGCAAGGACAAGCGTATGGTTTTACTATACACCCATCTTACACGGTCTCTTGTTGGGATCTCGACAATAATGGATCAAAGGGATTGGCAGTGTAAGGTACATAGTCAGAATATATTGTCTCTTTGGTGGTTATTGTAGCCGGCGATTGAAGCAGTCTTTTGTTGTATAACAAGGTCACGTTGATATGACATGAGCAGGCACCAATGTTGCTTTACGATGTAAAATCATCATACCTCGCTCAAATTGAATCTATGCGCCATTTGCAATGCACCACTATCGTAGCCAGCAATGAACACAGCCTTTTGCTGTATATCAAATATCAATGCGACGATGATATGGTAGAAGCAGGCAATAATGTTGCTTTACAATGCAAAATCCTTATAACCTGCTCAAATCGGATCTATTCGCCATTCGCAATGCATCACAATGTAGCTCGCAATCAACGCAGCATTTTGGCTATCTAACAGGGTCACGTTAACGTGGAAGTAGCAGGCAATAACGCTACTTTTCATTGTAAAATCGTCATACTTCACCCAAGTCAGATCTATTCGCCATTCATAATGCATCACATTGTAGCCAGCAATTCAAGCAGTCTTTTGCTGTATAGCAAGGTCTCGATGATATGACAGTGGGAGGCAGTAACGTTACTTTTCAATGAAAAAACATCATACCTCGCTCAAATTGGATCTATTCGCCATTTGCAATGCACCACGTTGTAGCCAGTAATCACCCCAGCGTTTTGGTGTATAACAAGGTCACGATGATGCGACAGTGGGAGGAAACAGCGTTACTTTTCAATGCAAAACCATCATACCTCGCTCAAATCAGATCTATACGCCATTCGCAATGCAGTACATTGTGGCCCGCAATTCGAGCAGCCGTTTGCTGAATACCAAGGTGACGTTGATATGGCAGCAGCAGGTAACAACGTTACTTTTCAATGAAAAAACATCATACCTCACTCAAATTGGATCTATTCGCCATTCGCAATGCACCATCATCGTAGCCAGCAATTCAAGCAGTCTTTTGGCGTATACCACGCTCATGTTGATATGGCAATAGCAGACGCCAATGTTGCATAACAATGTAAAGCATCATACCTCCCTCAAATTGGATGCATTCGCCATTCGCAATGAACCACGTAGTAGCCCGCCATTCAAGCAGTCTTTTGCTATATACCAAGATCATGTTCATATGGCAGTAGTGGGCAATAATGCTACTTTACAATATAAAATCTACATACCTCGCTCAAATCGGATCTATTCACCTTTCACCATTCGCAATGCACCATCATTGTAGCCAGCAATCTGAGCAGCCTTTTGGCGTATAGCAAGGCCACGTTGATATGACAGTAGCAGGCAACCATGTTACTTTTCGTTGTAAAATCATCTTACTTCGCTCAAGTCCGTTCTTTTCGCCATTCGCAATGCACCACGTTGTAGCCCGCAATTCAAACAATCTTTTGGCTATCTACCAAGGACCCGATGAAATGGCAGTAGCAGACACCAATGATGTTTTTCAATGAAAAATCATCCTATATCGCTCAAATCGGATCTATTCGCCATTTGCAATGCACCACGTAGTAGCCCGCAATTCAACGCAGTCGTTTGGCGTATAACAACGTCACGTTGATATGGTAGTAGCAGAAACCAATGTTACTTTTGAATGAAAAAACGTCATACCTCGCGCAAATTGGATCTACTCGCCATTCGTAATGCAACACATTGTAGCCTACAATCAACGCAGTCTTTTGCTGTATAACAAGGTCACGATGATATGGCGGTGGAAGGCAAGAACGTTACTT